TAAATAGCTATAACTATATTATTTAGCACTTACTAAGAAAGTATAAAGTTAATGTTAATAAAGAGCTTTTACTTAATAGCATACAGCTACTACAGCACCTATAGAAGGCAGCTAGAGGAGTAGCAGGCTTATTACAGGGGTTATTTTATACACTATAGTAGAAGAGTTTTCTACGCAGTGCCCTAGTTAACTAGGTTATAGTGTAGAATTAGTTATTTAAAAATACTATTTTATTAAAAACTTATAGTCTTATTAGCTAAAATTATATAAATTTTTTTACTACTTTACTATATTCTACTACTACACTTTTTAAGGATATCTACGCTGCACTTATGTAGTAAAAAAAAAGATTTAAATAATACTAATTACTACACTATTAAAAATTATGCTAAGTGTAAATATATAGTGTTTTAAAAACTACTTTTTTTTACAGTAGTAGCTTACTTTATTAGTATACACATATAGGCTACTATTATAAAAACTTTATAACTAATAATAGCTAAATACTTTACACACTTAGTAAGACCTTTTAGTTAGCTTTAAAAACTTATATAGTAACTATACTAGTAGTATATAAGCCTCTAAAATAGCTACTATTATTAATAAGTATTATAACAGCGCAGGCAAGACAATGGGTCTAAATGCAGTGGGAATCCACTTAGAGGCATATAGGAGTGCGTAGGGACTCTAAACCTAGGAATGCTATTAACACCTATAGGCCTTGTACAAAAAGATATTAGAAAACTACTAAGCTAGCTACAGAGCAAGGTGCGACTAAATATATAAGGGAATAGGGGTACAGTAGGGGGCAGGGCAGAGTTAGGGCTAATACAGGGGCCTTCTAGAGGTTCTAGGCGCCCTAATAATTTATAAGAATTAAGTTAAAGTTAGAGCTAATATAAGGACCCTTTAGATAAGTTTTAGGTAACTTAAAATAGAATAAAAATTATTACACTACTTTTTCCTCTATAAACTAATAGTCCCTATTAGTAGTAATTATAGTATAAAGTATTACTATTATGTCTTTTACTTTCTTAAACTAAAACTAGTCTAATTTAGCTAGGTGTTCTTACTAAGTATTTCTTTACACTACTAGTAGTATTCTTTAAACCTAAACGCTACGCATGCAGTTATTAATTATTAGAGTAGTAAGTATAGTTTATTAATTAAAGCTAATTTAAATAAAATAATAAAGTTTTTTTTATAAGTCCTCTTTTCTAGATTATACACTATAAAGTAGGCTACTATAGCTTTAAAAAAGTTTACCTAAGTATATTTAAAACTATAATTTAGTACTTATAAGCTAAAAAAAAGCTTTTTCTATAAGTAAAAAACTAATTTAACTAAAATACTTTTTTTTTAATAGCTGCACTAATAAAGCGCGCTTTAAATGCAAAAAATACTTTCTTTTTATTTATTCTAAAAGTTTAAAATATTTACTATGCCTTAGTCTTTTTCTAACTTATAATAAAATAAGCTTATAAAAGCTTTATTATATCTTTTACACTTTTAAACTAAAACTAGTTTAATTTAGCTAGGTATCCTAGCTCTAGATAATCCTTTATAATACTAGCTATGTGTCTCTATATTAATACTATATATGCACACTTACTTTAATAGTAATCTAAATTAATATTAAGTTTATTTATAATAAAAGCTTACTATTATTTAAATGTAAGTTTTTTGCTATCTATAAAAATCTTAATTTTAGATATGTATTTAGTAAAGTAGATTTACTAAGTCTAAAAAGTGTCTAAAAAGTCTTTTATACTTAGAGTAGTAAAAGTAGTATAAAGTGTTATTAAAAGTAATTTAGTAGTTAGTAAAAGTTAACTAGTAGTTTTTAGCTAAATTAGTTACTTAAGCTATACTTATAATTAAGTAATCTAATTATTAATAAATATACTACTAAAGGTTAACTTTAAATTAGGTAAAAGTATAGCTTTAAGTGCTATAAAAGTAGGTTTAGCTATTAATATAAATTATTAATTAACTTTAAAAAGCTTACTTTAGCTAGAGCGTATTTTAATTCTAGAATTAAAGAGTAGTTAGTTAGACATTAGTAGTTACTTTTAATTTTAATAAGTTATTAGTAGTCTTTAGGTTTTTACTTTAGCACACTTTTTATAACTTTTTTAAAAGTAATTTTAATTATAAAGAATAAAAAGTTTTAAACTTAACAGCTTTAGTTAACTAAAAGTTAATAAAATCTAGTTTATAAACTAAATAGTTTAATATAACAGTGTGTAAGTATTATAACCTAAACTAAATTAAACACATCTTAGAGCTTAAACATAGTTAAATAAATAATTAGTGTAATATTATAATAAGGCTATTACTAGCAAAAGTAAGTTTTCTAATATAATGTAACAGCGTAGGCAAGATAATAGGTCTAAATGCAGTAGGAATCTACTTAGAGGCATATAGAAGTGCGTAGGGACTCTAAACCTAGGAATGCTATTAACACTTATAGGCCTTATATAAAAGAATATTAGAAAACTACTAAGCTAGCTACAGGGCAAGGTGCGACTAAATACATAAGGGAATAGGGGTACAGCAGGGGGCAGGGCAGAGTCAGGGCCGATACGGGGGCCTTCTAGAGGTTCTGGGCGCCCTGACGATTCATGAGAATCGAGTCAGGGTCAGAGCCAATACAGGGACCCTTCAGATAGGTTCCAGGCGACCTAAGATGGAACGAGAATCGTTACAAGTATAATATTATGTTAAAATTTAGCTACTTTATTAAAGATAATATATTAAATAATAATAATAAGCTTATTTAAAGCCTTAATAAAAAGCTTAACCTACTATATAAGCTTAATAAACAGCACTAAATTTACTATACTGCCTATATAATTTAGGTAGTTATTAAAGCTATTATATATAGTAAAAGTGTTATAAAATTTAAGTAAAAGCTTACTAAAGCTACTTTATATAATTAATTTAAGCTATATTAAAAGCATAGAGTTATTAGATAACTTTATAACTTTATAAATAGTGTGCTAGCATTATATAAGTATATAAAGCTTTTTAAAACTCTTTAAATTAACATTATAAAAGAGGACTTAATTTAGTAGTTTAGCACACTTAATCTAGTGTATAATAGTAGAGTACACTAGCACTTAGTTTACTTTATGCTATTACACTATTATAAGCTTAGAAAAGTTATTAGTTACTTTTAATAGTAATAAAAAAGCTCTTTTAATGCTAATAAAAAAACTTAATAAGCTAGCTTTAATGCTCTAGTAAATCTTATTACTAAAAATAATTAAAATAAAATTAAGCACTTTAAGAACTTTTTAAAAAAGTTTTATTAAATAATAAAAAAACTTAAAGGCTAAAGCTTATCTAGCTTACTATAAAAAACTATAATAAAGCTTTAGTGCCTTTAAATTTACTTTAATTAAATAAAAGTAATTACTACTAATAAGCTAAGTAACTTATACTTTAAAAACACTATTAAGTTTAGCTATTAAAAGCTTACTACTTACTAAAGTAAACTAATTTTTAATTTACTAATTTTATACTACATAGTTGCTACTATCTTTAACTTTTAATTATACTTACTTTAGTTTTAAAATTACTAGTAGCATTATAAAAGCTAAGTAAATAAAGTAACTAAGTTAATAAAAATAATTTTTAACTAGTATTTAAATACTAAAAATAAGCATAAAGTTAAAGATAAGCTATTATCTTTTAGGCATTATAAGCTGCTAGGTAGTAACTATTATAATAATAATTATAAGGCTTACTTTTTTATTAACCTCTCTTTTATAATAAATTAGCGCTTATATAAGTGTAAAAAAGTGTTAAATAAGCTATAGCTTTACTATAACTTTATAAAAGCTAATTACTATAAAAATTACTCTTTACTATATAGAAAACCTTTATAATAGTAGCTTACTAAAGGTAAAATAGCCTATTTTATTTTTTTTAAGATTACTTTTAATTTTCTTACTATCCTAGCTACTAGTTGTGAGTGTAAGAGGTGTTTTAGTGCAGCTAGTTATATAGTAACTAATAATTAAAGCTTACTAAAAAGTGTAATAATTAAGGCTATTTAACTCTAAAAAAACTAGCTATAGTATAAAGTAGTAAGCAGCAAGCTTTTAGACCTCTCTACTCTTATTACTAAAAAGAATTAGTTATTTTATAGTTAATTAGACTTTAATTTTATGTCTTTAAAGACCTATAATCTTAGCTGTTTTAACTAAAGTACAGTGTACTTTAATTAAATTGTACTACTTGTACAGATTACGTGAGCTGTAACAGTTACAATACGTACACCTACCTCTCCTCCTCCCTGTTGTACGAACGTACCCAAAATCTCACCCGTACAGGCCTTAAAATCGCCCAATCGTACAGTACTACGCCTCGTTGGAAGCCCTGCCTCCAACCGTGGCTGCCTACCCTAGCTATATGCTGCCTAGCTTACTCCTTTCCCTTTGTTAGCCCTTAGGTACAACTATTTTACCCATCAGCTCATAGCGCTCCCAAAAGTTTCACATCGGGTGATGACCACCCTAGTTTGACCGAGCAGTGAGGCTAAAGGATTCGAAGGACAGACTGCTTGCGGGCGCTCGAAATTGTAGTCCATGATCATCTAATGTGACATGAGCAAGCTTTATTTCGTTATCCACATGCGTATCTTTCTCGTCTTCCCCAAACCAGCCAACCATAAACTTTTATCTAAACCATGGTGTGATGGTGAATGTAGACGGCAACGCGAGTTAGCCCCGATTGCTTATTTGCTGAACGGACCACAGAAGTAGTTCTTAGGATTGTCCTTTTGAGTGTGATATTCATTGCATGCTTGCCAGAAGCCTACAACAGTTATGCGTGTTCCAATATTTGGGTTAACAATAGTCAAGATTAGCAGGAAGGCATGAACAGAAGTGTCCCCTCTCCGAACTTCGTGGCAGGATCTCCAACTCAAAATCCTATCCCATTCCGCTTCAAAAGGAAATAATTCCAAGAGAACTCTTATTATTAAATCTACCTTAATGCACACTCTCTGTAACACTCGCTCTCCTAACAACATCAATCACCTCATTAACATCGCTCTTCCGCTCGCCCACACCTCTGAAACTCTTCCTACCCCTGACCAGCCAATCAATCGCCATGATCAGCGTAACAACGCCATACACAGCGGAGACGTAGTTCATATTGCTCGACTTGACCGGCTTCGCGTACGGGAAGCTGTACATGATGAGTGTAAAGAGTGTCCAGATGAGAAGCACGACATTGGCAACAAGACCGAAGGGGCCGAGCCAGAAAGGACCGGGTTTGATGTTCGAGCGGCCTTTTACGAGGAGGCAGACGACGGGGATGGCGTAGCTGATGTAGAGGAGGACGATACACGCTGTGATCATGCTGGTTGGAGGTTAGATTCAGTTCAAAGACATATATTTCATCCTTGATGGTATGTGGGTAGGAAAGGGGGAGCATGACTTACGAGTTGAAGGCTGTTAACGAGGCCAAGTAGAGACAACCGACAATTGCCACAATAACACAGCTCACGAAATGTGCATAAAGTGGGACACCCAGCCTCTTATCCACTTGGCTCAACCACTTGTGACCCGGCAATCCACGATCCCGAGCGAAGCTCCAGCAAAGCCTGCTCTGCCAAGTATGGCTCGCAACCAGACATCCTAGACCAGTGGCAATAATCAAGACTTCTAGGAAGATAGCACCCCCCTTATTTCTTAGTGCTTGATAGAACAGTTCCAAGATCGGAACAAATGTCGCAGTAGCGCCGATGTTCGAGAAATCGCCCACAATTGAGAAGAACATGGCCATGCTGAAGAACCAACTCGTTACAAACCCAATTGCAACTGTTCCCATGATCGCAATGGGAATCATGCGTTCTGGCCTATGCACCTCTTCGGCCATATGCGTCGCGCAGTCCAGACAAGCAAAACTCCAGTTCGTGTTCACGAGTCCGACGATGAAGGCAATGCCTCCTTCGGCCCAACCGGTGTTGTTGATGAAGGTGGCGAAGACGAATTTAGCGTGCTGGTGCGTAGGTGCGACGGCGGGAACCGTGATCAAAATCACTAGGAAAGAGATGAGACTAGTATAGAGAGTGATTGTGGCGACCTTGGGGAGAGTTTTTCCGTAGCAGTTAAAGAAAAAGCAGAAGATGTTGGCAATTTGGTAGGCTACAAAAGTGTGCCATGTTTTAATGACGCTGTTGGGCTGTTAGTCATGGTTTAGGGATTGTTGAAAAATGTGACAGTATGCCTTTAGAGTCATGACTGAGGACTAGATGAGGCAAAGGGAGCAAATGGGAAACTGAGAGAATCGACTCACAAATCCGGATGTCCTAATTGCCAACAACCCACCAACGCACTCCCCATAGCTAACGCCACACTCGCACTCGTAAAGATGCTTCCCCACCACGCAAACCAGCCAGTCAAGTAACTCGCAAAATTCGCATACTTTTTCGGTGCCAGTTCATTCGCCCAGAAATACTGGCCCCCTGCATTCGGCAAAGCACTGGCTAGCTCACTCAGACTAATCCCCACACAAGTGGAGATCATTGCGATCAACATGATGCCGTAGATGATAAGGAGGGGGCCTCCAGAATTGATTCCAGTAATCATAGCGGCCGAGATGCCGAACCAGGAGTTTGTGAGCGAGAAACCAACACCGAGAACTGACCAGACGCTGAAGTTGCGCTTCATGTCTTGCGTGTAGCCCATTTCGGCTAGCTTCATCGCGTCTTCGTCAATAGAGGATGCATTTCCCTTCTCGTAGTCAACTGTGGCCTCGGGCATCGCCATCTTCTCGGTATCGCTGTCGACCATGATTGCGAGGTTGTTGAAGGGCGTTTGAGAAGATTCGAGATATGAAGTGAGGTTGGAGGGGCTAGCGTCCAGTTCCCAATGAAGGCGCGCTTATGATGACGGCCTGCTTGGCGTGAAGTTTGCTGCAAACACCAGGAGCTTGGCGACGGAAGTAGTAGAAAAGCGGGGATGGTGGGAGTTTCCAAGTCCAAGGGAAGGAACTCGGAGCCTGCAGGAAGGATGGTCGGAATATTTAACACAAGTAAGAGATGACGATGGATCGAAAGGGTGGGAGTACGACAAGGGGCGATGATAAGAAGATAAACAATTCGGTGGATGATCAAAACACATCAGCGGCAGCCATCCACATTGTTCGTTTGTAGCTGCGTCGGGATGCCCGCCAATGCATCCTAGAGGCACTCTGTTGGTACCTGCAGTCCTCAGCCGATGGAGATTTGACCGAGCACGTTCTCACGCATTATATCCCGGGTCCTTAAAGGAAGTCGTTTAAGACCCGGATCGCAAGTCGTCGGAAGCTGGGTGGACAAGAAAACATAAGATGCGGAGAGTCGCTTGCCCCAAAGCAGAATAAAGATGCAGAGTTTAGGTTGTGGAGTAGTGCAGCGGCACAGCAAGCCTGCAAGAGGAGAAACTGGTTGTTTATGTGAGCAGCGATAGGCAAGACTTGTCGAAACTGTAAACGTTTCCCGATGCTTGAATCAAATGGCGCCCTGGTATTGGCACGATATGTGTTTTTCGGAGCGCTAGCGCAAGCAGGGAAGCTGAACTTACGCTCTTCCATTTCCATGATTCTTCTTTCCACAGTTCGCCGAAGGTGCGTACATATCTCATTTCATAATTTGACAGCAGCAAGCATGTCTCCCACGCGGCGGCAACTGGGATAATGCCTCCCTCCACAACTTCATGCCTGCACACCATGTCCAGAATTCGATACCTCGGGAAAAGCACCCAAAAAGAAAGTACCGACCCTTAACCACTCGTTCACCCTGGAGCGCGCATGCTCCCGCGCGCGTGGACTAGGATAAGACGCAATTCCAACGTCTTAGAGATGGCCACGAACGCCTATCAAGGCGGGGCGTAACTGCGTCCTCCAGGATGCGTATTCGGGTCGCCTATGGACAGCTTCGAAGCAAGTGGGGAGTCTGCGGAGGCATATGCACAACTGTCGGCTGCGAGACGATGCGGCGCAGCCTCGATTACCATTGGTATGACTTGCCGGTCCACCACAACCTGTCAAGGAAAGGTGGCATTGCCACAGTTCTCCAGGACTGGGAGAAATTTACCATCGAAGAGACCTTTATTCTTTTGGGCGAAACATAAATCAAAAGGGTTTGATAAAAGCCACCGCTCGCTCGCCTCCGCAACTTCAGCAAATGTTGACGCTCCAATATCATTGCCCAGCTTCGCACGACTCACGAGGCGAAGCCATGTCAGAGCTGCCTAAAAGAGCAATATGATCCACTCGCCACTACACCTATCTCTAACTGATACTTCAACCCTCCACATGCCTTTCTCTGATCCGACAATCTGCTTTGGATCATGAGATGCTTATTTGTCGCACCACGGATCACTAACATAGAGCAGCTTATCTCGAAGTGGACAGCTGAAATGATGCAGTTTCTGTGTCATTTAAGAGTTCGCATGTTCTGATGGAAGGGTAACCCACAGAATTGTAGATATCTGTACGAGGACACCGCCCACTCTAAAAGCCTCCTACAAAGCCTCCTACAAAAGCCAAAATCAAGCTCCGAGTCAAAATAATTCAATCTTTCGACCCATATCCAACCCATATCCGACCCGGCTTTACCATGTTCCACATCAAGCACCAGGTACGCATTCAAGCAGCGAGTCTCTTTGTACGAGTCCAATAACTGCCTCGATATTAGATCCGCCAACCTCTGGTATACAAAGCTCGAGTCCACTCACACAAGTGACAGGTTGCTCAACTAATGCACCGTTCCTATGTTTCCTGAAAGCTTGAAGCGTAGTAGCACGACCATTCAATCCATGAACTTGGAGTCGTACACGACCATGTCCGACACCAGGTGTACATGTGTGTGGCAACAAGAAGGAGGGTCCAGCTGAGGCGGCGCTGTTACTAACAATTTGAGAAGAGCCACAAAACACACATCTGGAGTTAAGGCGCTGGGAAAAAAGTATCGTTTTTCATGTCATTGCTTACAACCATTCCTGTGTTTAGGTATCCGTGTGGGCCAGCTTTTCTCAGAATCCTCATGTAGTGTGGAGTGGATATACAGACACCGTTACTGATTTCCGCTCAAATCCGACGCGCGGATATTGGACGTGAAAGCATACTCCAATGGATCCGTCGCATCTGTCTGTTCGACGAAGTCGCCGGATGGATTTTGGAAGTGAGTGGTGTATTACACCCCACTGGTTGTTAGGCGGACCTACCTCAACAGTATCTCTAGAAATCTCACTGACAGTCCCTGCAGAGTACCTCGTTAATACTAACGGTTTTGACAGTGCCCCAAACCCCAGAATCACGTGCCTAGGCAAAAATATATCCTCTATTGTCACTTTGCCCAGCGCCTCAGGATTTCGTGTCTTACCCATCCTTGCAAAGTCTCACTAACATCTATATCTCAATCTATTTCCCATACATGCAATTCCCATCTCCTACAAAACCGAACGAGCCTAAACGCCCACCCAAGACGCCATCCAGCTAGCTCCTTCAGCCATTATGATCAAACCGAGCAAAACAAAGATTCTCGAACCATGGGTCTCGTTCTGAGGACTTCGAGTCTCACATTTTCGCTCGATCCATAGATCCGATAAACGGAGCGGACTTGATACACATGCAACTCTTGATTGAATCAGGATGATTCCCTTTCCGCCTTTCAGTTGAAGTATTGCCTCAAAACTGCTAGATTAATGCTCGGCTATTGATCTTGAGTCGCGATACTACTTGACGGATCAAGATCAAACCATCATCTTCACAAATAAGTGCAAGCCCAGAGCTTAGTTAATTATCTTGTTTGAGGAAGAAAAACTTCCAATGATATGAGAGGGAATTTTCAAAATACATGATACTTCGTGAAACAACACAATGTAAAAAAAATGATGATGATATGATGTTTGAGCGCGTAGTATGGAGAGGGAGAGGGAGATGGAGACATTCGGGAGGGGGAGACATTGTCGGACACTACACCGAGAAAAGAGTATTCTTGGTCCAGTCAGTAGAAGAGAAAAAAACACATCCACGCCAATATCCACGTTAGAACACGTTCCTGTCCGCGCGTTTCCCAGTTTCCGATAACTGTTAAACACTTGCCTGAGCTCCTAACATTGCACACACCCCATCATCATCATATCGTGCCACCGTGCCCACCCGCAACCAGAAAACCCACATTTCTCTCAAGAGTTAGATGCGTACTTGCGTGCAGAGTCTTACAACTGCAGAAGCCGTGCCGTTGAAATTAATTTCGCCATTAGGAGGGGGTATCGATATTCGACCTATTGACGCGCCGACCGCCGTATTTCTACCTGGTGTAAATCAGACCTGGTTGTATTACATTTAGCTGAGTTTTTGATCTTGAGGGTATTGATGGCCTGGGTGGCGGGCCATGCCTCCCTGCGGTGGCATTCCGGGGTACTGATTTGACTGCTGCTGTTGTTGCTGAAGGTATGACTGGTAGTGGAGTGCAGCCTCTGGGGTCATGTATGCTGGCGGCATGCCAGTGTTTTGTGGCATGGCGCCAGGGCGGCCGGTCGGGACCTGGGGATGGCTGTCTTCTGGGGAGTCGACGGGATTGTCGCCGTCGACACCGTTGGCGTCGCCAGATGCGGGCTCGGGCGCGTTCAAGCAGGCCTGGGACGATGTTAGATAGTGCAAGGAGGCAATGCGACGCACGATACATACCTGGATGAGGTTTTTGCCTTCGGGTTTCGTGACGAGCGGCTGGAGCTTTGGGGTGGTGAAGGTGTAGACCAGACCGGTCTCAGAGACAACAAGCAACAGAACCTGGGTACCGGTGAGGACGGATAATTCGTAGGCCTGGCAAATAAAACAGGTTAGCGAGGAACGACAGCCGGAGACGATGTTTCTCATGCGACGCGGGTAAAGCGCGACGCTGGTGGTTAAGACTGGGATGCTTGGATGCGCGCCAACGTCAACAGCAACGAACGCACCTTCTTCATGATGCCGGCCTTGCGCTTCGAGAAGGTGATGTGCCGGCGCGACTTGTCCTGGATGAACTTGATCTCGATCTTCCTGCGCTCGCGGCCGGGCTTGTCATCGTCGTCATCGTCGTCGTCTGCGGCCGGGCGCGGGCGCTTAGTACCGCGGTTGACATCGCCTGCGACAAGTGCGCCATTGTTGCCATTGCCCTCGTCGTGGACAGTAGGCGACGCGTTCTGATCGTGGTCGGTGATTTCTGAGGCCATGGTAGTTGTTCCGCGTGCGGTTGGTTACGAGTGTTTGGGTTTTTTGGTCGACCTAACTCGTTGTGGCCGGGCAGTTGTGTGGGGATTTCCTCTTTGGAGGAGGGCGGCTTGTCGTGGATGGGCTGCTCGGGACAGGCGAGTGCAGGTGTCTGGATGGACGAGGTTTAGCCCAAAAGAATCGGGGCGGATGAAAGAGGAAAGACGGCGCGCTTGGAATGAAAAGAGACAAGTTAAGAGGTCGGGGGCTGCGCTGCCTGAACCCTTTGTGGTGTGGGCGGGCGGGCAAAGAATGCAAGGAAAGGCAGACCAGAAGGACGCTCGGTCGCACAACTGCTGCGAGTGCTGGTGCTGGACGGCTGGTGCTGCGAGGCCCCGAGAGCCGGCCGGCGTGACCACAGACGAGTCGCCGGCGGCAGGCGCAACTGGGTGGGCTAATAATACGATGGATGGGAAGGCAGGGAGCAGGTGGCGAACCGGTACGTACCTCTCTTGCTGCGCGCAATGCTGGCCGGAGCCGTGCGTGTGCGTGTGCTTGCTGTGCTTGCTTTTGGAGGGCGGCCGTTGGATGCAATGGGTGGAGAGCGCGGTGCCAAAAGCGAAGTTAGGCCTGAAGTGGTGGAGCAGCTGCTGTTGTAGGCCGCGGGAGTGTAGGGGCGGGGCTTGGCCGCAAGTGCACCAGGGCAGGACCAAAGCTGGAGCAGCAGCGCGCGGTGGTGCAGGTGTGAGAGGTGCTGTCTCAGAGAGGGAAAGTGATGGAGAGATTGGGGAAAGTGAAACGGGCGGAGGGCAGGTATATTTTGCAGCGACCACCGCTCGTCGAGCACGCTGCTTGGACGGCCAGGACGGGCTGCCGTGGGTGGCAGGCTGGGGGCGTGACGGTTGGCTGCACACTTGGGGGGACGTGAGCTCACCACCCTGGCTTCGCTGAATCGCTGATCTGGACACCGGGGGTCGCGCGGGCGGCGCGAGAACGGGACCGCAGGCAAAGCGCGCAGTCGAGGCACGATGTTTACACAAAGTTGAGGCGTCGCGCTGACAGCTCGACGACAGAGACAGCAACTGTGGTTCACGATGCTGCTTCGAGGAAAGTTGGAGACTGATATTGCCTGTTTGGGCGGCCTGGAGAGCGGATGAAGGAGCTGAGCAGCGTGCTTGGCACTCGACCTGCGCTGCATGGGTCCTGGTCTCCCGAGCTGGAATGGCGCGGGCGAGCGCGGTTTAGCGCAGTGTGCCCTGTGGGCCGGCCAGTCACGGTGCAGCAAAAAAGCGGGGCGCCCCACCGTGTCCGCCCCCATCTGACCAATTGGCCGCTACTTGCTGACTGAGGCCCACAAGTCTCCTTACCGCCTGCCAAGCGCGGCCTAGCACTTGCTGAGTCCGGTCTCGCCTCGGGGTCCAGCAGGAAGGAGCGCCCTCGAAGTCACTCGCAGCAAAGCCACCAACAGTCACCACACCGCGCAGCTCAACACCAAGCGTCTCTATCGTGGAGCAATTGCAGCGCATCGCCAGTCGCCCGTTGCAGAGTGACTTCACCTGCAGCAATCGTAGTCTCCCGCAGAGTTGCTGTTTCTCCCTCCGTCGCAGTCCACGTACGCTGCGCGAAACATCGGTCCACCCCTCCCTCTGTGCCCTGTGATTCGTCAACCCGGCGCCTCCTACGCTCCTGAAACCATACCCGCCTCGCTTCATCCGACTGCGACACGCCCACCATGTCCCTCTTAATGCTGGAGCCTCCCTCCCGCTCCCATCCCATGCACCGCCCGCCCTCCTGCAGTCGCTGTCCTTCTCTTCACACTTCTCTTCTCTGTACCTAATTCTCATTATTGCCACGCATTAATCGTCGTTCTGCGAGAGAGTCGCCGGACGGCTCTGATCGCATTCGACTTTTCATTCATTCACCTGCTCCTGAGCGCTCTCGACGAGACTCTTGCTGTCGTTCTCCCCGTGACCTTTCATCCATCTGAAGTCGGGACGATTCCTACCTATTTAAGACCACATCCATCTCGCCAAGAACGAAGCAAGAACTTCAACCGTTAAGATGGTGTCCAAACTGATGCTCGTTTTCGTCGCGACAGACGTCGTCTTCGCTATGTGTGGTGGTCTACTAGTAGGCTTCTCGCTGATAGCCGAAACAAACATGCGGGCGACCCCAACGACGGACAACGCCGCGCAGCGCCTGTTGCTCAACCAGTGTCCGTTAACAGGTACGTTACACTTCACATTGTAGAGCTGCAACACAGGGTCCATGTTCTAGCACCACTGTAGCCGCTGATTGTCACGTTCATGATCCAAACTCGAACACTGACGCTTTGCAGCCGGCGTGGTAAATGCCGCCTTGGTCTTCATCACATTCGTGTTCTCAGTCCCCGCCTTCTTTCTCCCATCAAACCGAGGCTGGCTTCGTATGCATGGCTGGCTCGTCGTCTTTTGCGCAACCTTCACGCTCGGCCTAGGTCTCGCTGTGTGGGTAGAAACGCTAACGACTCGGAAAAACCTGGGCGCCATGTGGGCAGAAGAAGTGCCGCTGGTTCAGAGTCTTTTGCAGCAAAAGGTAAGTCTTTGACAGCTTTCGTTTCGTTACGGGCTGCGATGGGATTGTCAGGTCAGATGTCTCAAGTGGAGCGAAAGCAAGTGAAATGAGGCGGAGAATCCTGCAGACACTACCCCCAAAGAGCGTGGCTGACTCGATTTAGTTTAACTGCTGCGGATACTTTAACTCAACTTCACCACAATTCATCCAAGACAATGTCTGCACTGACAAGCTCGTTGCGGCCCAGAAGGGTGGATGTATTGGCAAATTCTCGAGTTTTGCTAACGGCTATTTGGACCTGATCTTCACCGCTGCGTTCGGTATTGTCGGCGTGGACGTCGTACTAATTCTCTGCGTCGCCATGGTCTTAAAGTTCAGGCAAGAGCAGGAGAGGTACAGGCATATTGACGAGAAGAACGGCTTAGGCGCACTATGAGGATTTGATTGAAGATGTCTGGAGGTAGTGGAGAGGGTGGATGCAAGAGACCGTAGATCAGACTAAATCAAAAAAGAGTATGAAAATGAGGGGTAGGAAGCTGGCTAATTCATTCTTTCTATCTCGATACCCTCTTTTGCGTGTAAGGTTCTGGTGATACGGTGGTGGAAATGGAAGTATCAGCCGTGCTGATTCAGGCAGTTTGGGGAGAATGTGTATTTTCACCTTCATTGTATCCAACTCATTTTCTGCTTTAGCTTAATAGCGTTGTTGTCTTTTCAACTAGATTCACAAACCCAATTTATGAAGCAAAATGACCGTTAACTATGATCTAAATGACTTCAGAATTTTTCAGGGCGCTACGTACTCAAATTTAGCATCAAGCTTCGTCGAATCAACAGAGTTGTGGAGTCCACTCAAGGAACGACAGCGTCAGCGTGATAAACTGCTACAATCTTCCAACTCTCGACCCTATTCGATACCACTCGAAACAAAATCTTTTTCGAACCCAAAACACGAAAATCCTCAATGCCAAACCACAACCCTTTTCGAACGTCCCTCACACATCCACAACTGCATCGCTCGGAAACGTACGGCACATAGTAAAACGCAAAACCTCACAAGACACGGAAAACAACGATGCCGTTTCCGACCGTTCCGTCAGCAAGGTCGTTTTCCGGCCCCCAAAAAGTTAAACAACCTCAAACCACGATTCCGGGGCTAAGTTCGGTAGCTCTCTTATCGCCGAGCTTCAGCTCTCCACGCCATTCTCCTCACCGTCTTTTCAAGTCCGCTGTATCTGCAGCATCCAATCTGGATCTGCAGCGATGCGATGTCCATTCCATGGATACATGATTCATAGGTGATCGTTCACCATCTAACCGAGTGTTCGAGACATTTCTCCCTCAGGGCTTCCTAATCCTGTCAAAACCACGTGCCCATTACTTCGTTAGGCACCCCATCCAACCGCGCACTAATAATTCCGAAACCCTGGCGTCATATGTGAACTAATCAGGGGTGAGTGGCGAATGTCGTCCATTTCCCAATCAATAAATCGTCTCCTGAATCCTATTGATGTAATATACTCGATGAGGGGATTGCATCCATGAGTGAGAGGACAGAGATTGCGAATAAGAAAATACGAACTCGTGGGCTGCGCTGGGATCGATTGCGTGAGAGATGGAAGGGCTAGTAGGGAGGCTTGGGGTGGACGTGGATTGAGGGGTGCTTGAGCTTTGTTCGCTTGGATTGGTTCGGGGGGGCGATGGATCATCAGGGTCTTGGGGCGCAACGCGACGCGTACCTGACGATCCCCCTGATCTTTATTTGGGATTAGACAGTGGACAAGGTTGGAGGGAGGGAACACGCTGCTATGGATGACGCGGCCCAAGAAGGTAATGAGGAGCAAGCTCTCTGGCGGGTTTGCCAATGCCAAGGTATTGGGATTGATGGTGTGAGGATACCCTGGTAAGATATTGAATTCATGCGTTGGAAATTTGAACATTGGTGAAAAGGCTAGAGTGATGGATTGTGGATTTATTGGAATGTGCAAGACGACAATGGCAATGTCTATCGTGTTGAAGGGTGGGGGCTTCTTTCCTGTTGGCTGTATATGCCCCTTAGTTCTGGGACTTGGTAAGTGAATGGCTGTTTGTAATGTTCTATATGTGGACTCTATGTATTTACGGTTGAATAAAAAGTAACAAAGTTGTAAAGCATGGCAGTTTCTTTAACCTTCCTACTATCCATTTCAATCTACGGATCCGTAGCCATGGTTCTATAGCTCGACTGCTGTTCCTCCAGTATTGCGTAAAGTTAACGGCTATGTTTAGGGAGAAGGGCTCCAAGTCTGTTAAGCGTTGTGGACAGGATATTAACCTTTAAATAGCAAGAGAGTGAGACAATTAAATAATAGGGATTTATGTGAGTTGACAGTTGGAGAGTTGCCAAATGCATAGTATGAAAGTGTGCGTATGTTTCCGTGATGTTTGCGGGAAAAACATAAGACGGTTAGCGCTGCACAAGGTCAAGCTTCCCTATCTTGCCTTCCGCTACTTACAATTCAGACGGCCATGCAATACTCTTCCCCCAAAGGGGAGTCAAGCTCTACTACCAATGAAATTAGAAGCACTTCTCCACTGAAGGCATGTAGAATCCCATCTATTTCGTAAAATCCCCACTCTCATTCCTTTACCTTGCTGTCAAATCAGTCAATTACTTTTCTTTATTACCTGTCTCTAGCATTTTTGCAAGAATACCACCCTCGTTCAAAGGAACCCCCTAAGGATGCCCTTTCGACTTCTGTCAATGAGATTACAGTCTAACAAGGCAGAGACCAAGAACTTCAAAGTAAAAGAGAAGACGAGTACAGGAGTTTGAAGGTAAGAAGGAGCATAATAAAGGTTCAGCGAGTTGTGAAAGTCCCACATTCAAACCATCTCCGCAGTATCATCAGCACTCAATTTCCTTACTTTCCTAATTCTACCATGTATTCTTTTTTCTCCCCGGTTTGTTCATGTAAACTCTCTTGCGCGGCGCTTCTCTTGGTTCTCTGGCTAGAGGCCTCACCTTTCCACGAGATAAACACCGTTCCTTTAGTGTTTCCCCGGATAATATAGAAGATGAGGCAGTCATCAAGAACTCTGAAGAGCATCTGAAGACAGTGACCAGCGGCGATATTCATCAAAACAAGGAATCCGACGAAATTGCGTAATTAGAGTATTTCACTAGAAGACGAAAAGTAAGCGGAAGATGCCAAAAAGCTATTCAAATTCCACGTAGTTGAGGCGGAAGGCGCTTCAAGTAGTCCGACACCGTAGGCTTGAAATCACCCTTTCCGCATCCCATAGGGGAAAAAGCAGTACGTGTCTATGCTGCCGGACTTAAAATTAGAATAAATGACCAAGACCCGAGGGTTCCAGAAAGAATTAGTCCAAGAAAAGGATATAGTCGGTGAAGTCGAGACTCCAGATGGAGAAATGCGAATGCGGGGTTGGCTAACCTTGGACAATGTCGCAATAGAGAAATTCAAGAAGCACCCAGGGATCGCCCTTATATACGAGGGCTTAAAGCTGTCTCTCGGGTAAGCTAATCAAGTTGGAAATACTACTAAAAACAGTGGACGAAAACTCCTAAAAACGTATGCACTCCCACCCCCACAAATATCGATACTTAGGAATCTAGGTACCAGTGATTGAGATTTCGAGTCTTGGCCCTTAATCTTCAGTTGAATTGCTATATCTCTAGAAAAACCTAATGGGTTATTTTTACCATCCAATAGCGGTCTACAAAGAGGTGAAGAGCGCAAATTTTAGAAATATTATTACGCCGTTATTGAGAAAATAAGTCACTAGCCTTTCCATTTTTGGTGCTTTTTTGGGTGGCACAGTGACTGGTACGCTTTAAAGATATCTCGCCGAAGCTCTCTTAACCCCACGAATAATTGATCCCGCCATGCTCGTCATGGGTTTTGCTGCATTTACACCCTTGCCGGAGAGTTTTCTGAGAAGAAGTTCTACATGCCACCAGAGTCTGAGAGCGAAGAGAAAAGATTTTAGCAGGAGATTTAGAATGGAATCCTTGAGAACACTTGCAAGTTGTTTCATACCAGTCCAGACGCGGTCTAGATTGCTGTCACACTGGGGATACTTCTAGATGGTTTGTAGCTAGAGGTAGGTGGTGTTGGACCACACAATCCAGTAGTCGTTGAGGCCCTCCCAAAATAGCCTACCGACGTTCTCCCTTAACAAGGGCCATAGGCTCATCATATTCAGAACGAGTGAAACTGGATGGCTTGAGTTGTGGTTGCCGATGCAATGTCATTCCGGGAAGAATATCGAGAACAAACAACATACTAGATAGAACACGTAGAAAAAGAAAAAAGAGAGGCGGCATTTTGGACAGAGGTCAATTGAGGTGACAGAGATTGTTGATGTACATATAGAGGTTAATATTCGCACTGCCTTGCCAGTTTCCAGGAGTCCCTAATTAGCAAGACTAAATAATACAATTCCGTCAACAATACCACTACCTCCGAGGCCGCAAAAATGGACGATGACGACAATTTTGTTTACATTGGTGGCGCCGTCAAGCCCTATAACAATAACGTCAACAGCGGCAGCGAAGAGAGCGAATTTGAGGACTTTGATGATGTCACGTTTAACCCTGCAGCACCCACCGATATCCTTGGCATCAAGGCTTCGAGAATATCGAGTAGTTCTTGTGTGTTACACATATACGCATATAATGAAGAATATGCTCTGAGAAAGCAGAGGAAGCTATATACGAAGAAAGTCTATGAGCTTAAGGCTATCTATCTCCATTGCGACCATGGCCATAAACCTAGAGCGAGCGTGAGCAACATCAAATTGAACAGTATATTTCTAGCCCACAACTGCTCCTCCGTGCTAGTTGTGAGGCGCGTAGATGGCCTGCTGGTATTATGATTGCCCACTCTGTGCTTCGAAAGCAATCTTAGCAGATAGATGACAGTATCATCCTTATAAGTAATGAAGGAGCTCGTGCGCGATTACCCTAGTCAAATGATTCGCCCTCACGATATTTAGAACGGGAAGCGGAAGTACAAGCGCGAGCAGCTGGTACACATCTTCTCAATACCTGCTGTCAAACCTAGTTCTATCGTTTCTTTCCGCAGGTTGAGATCCTTCGGTATTGTCTTCGGAGTATGTCTTGACTGGTGGTTCGGTTGCGTTCTCTTCATTTAGAAACTCTAATTTGAGATTGTTTCCCCACTTCCTAACATAGTGTTGTTTTATTCAGGTCGAGGTTTATCACACTCTCGAAGCCGGAGTTCTATCCTTTATATCGCTCAACGGAGATACCTTTGCATTTTCTCCATGGTGTTCAGTTGATACTGTGTCGAATGCATTATCTCTTTCGACAACACCTATTCCCATGACCTGGTTTCCACTCCACACGCTCGCAATACAATATGATAAATGAAGTCCGGCGAGGGGGTTGTAGAACATGTCGATTTTCGATGATCAGGAAATGTCCACGCTTGATGTGGTTAGGCTTGCAGAACCATAGCTCGAGGTCGTGTCTGAAAACGAAAAGGGGATTTGGTTAGCGAGAAGTTCGGACGTGGGTATCATAATAAAGTCGTAAATCAATAAAGGAAAACATTAGGTGTCCGCCTAGACTTTTGGAGTATAAGCCTACTTAAATGAATTTGCTACAACATTCCCCATCGACTGCAAACCAGATCCCGTCGTAGATTTCTAGGTGCCGGTCGTACCATATGAGAATGATTCAGATCCCTTCAGGACCATTCACACTCGTCATCTCGCTCTTGATTCCACAATCCTCCCCACTTACACTCACAGCTTCGCTCTTGACGCTATTGGCTTCCCCACTAACACTCGCTGCCCTGCTGGCCGCTGTCTTCACAAACCATTTGTTCATGGGCGTCTGAAACTTTACTTTTCCCTCGTCTTCAAATGGATTCCCACCATTCCGGCCACGGGTCCTCACTGCATGATCAAGACGATGGTACAGTCGCTCACTGGCATCCTTCGCATCTAATCGGGCCATATCGCTTAAGGCGCCGGTTTCAACGATATTGTTGCTAAGGAGCTTGACTTGCTGGGCGAGCCTGTCGACTTGTTTGTTGAATGCGATTTCCTCGGGAGAGAGATATATTGGAGTCGAGGCCGATGTGGATGCGGTAGTGGAGGGTCCCGGGGGGGGCGTTGGATTGATTATAGGCACATAAGGGACCGTCATCGGACCGGGACCAATGGCAACATCCAAGAGGGATAGACGGGCAGCGAGAGTTTTGTAATCGGTCTTCTTAGTGAAAACATAGTCTGGAGAATTCTGAATGTGGCTGCGGATAAGGAAGGGAACGCTGGGATCAGATAGAGGGACATTGAGCTGCTTCGGTTGGATAAAGAAAGCAAGCGCTAGATGCCGTTGGAGATGCGCAGTCAAAGGCGTGTTAGCGGGGAGGGACTGCACGAGGTTATTTTGAAGGATGGGATGGGTAATGCGCGGGAGGAGCGAGGGGAGGAAATCATTCAACTGTACAATCATTAGAAGTGTCACATAATGGAACACAGGGGTTTTCTTACAACAGGGGTCAGTTCATCTGGTGGTATGACGCAAATGATCTTCTCGATGGTAGATTGAACGCTATGTAGCACCTCTGCATTCGACATAACGCTGTCATCAAAGCAGACATGAAAGAGAAGATAGAGAACGTCACTCCTCGAAGTAGGAGGTACACTAGAAAGAATGAGAAATGGCATCATATCGGTGATATTGAAACGCACCTCTTTGCAGCTCTTTCAAGAAGATGAATGACCCATTTTAAGGCCGGTGGAAGCGGTCGTTTGGCAGCTGATTTCATTAGTATCTGCCTTAAGAAGCAGACCTGCAACCTCACCATCTGGAGGCTCTCTGGAAGGAACTATCCCCTGCAAAGAATTCAGACACTGGGTGTCGGCGCCCAAGCAATTGAAAATGAAGTCGAGCCCATCCCTCGTAAAGATGGCTTGAAGGTGACGAGAATCAGCCTGCTGATACTAAGTCTTTGAATACAGCTTTGAGATGTTAAATGTTACTTACTTCGAGCAATTGGATATACCTGTTACTCAACATATCGCTCCGCCCGAGACAGACTACACTGCATTAGCAGATGCCCCTGGACTTCGAACTTATGGCATACTTTGTTCGATCATCCAGGAAGCCAGCTCCTCTGGGAGCTCCTGGAACTGGAAGATTTGCTGAGCGTAACCAGACAGAAATGCCTGATCACTGGCAGCATCTAGAAAATTTAGAGGATGCTGAAACATTCTAGGACAGATGCCCGAACCTTCAAAGTTTGTGGCCCAGTGTTGGTTGGGCAGGCATTCGGATGGAAAATCAGACGGTTTGACGGAGCTCGGATCGAATTTGTCGCTAAAGAAGTGAAATACGTGGTTGTGATCAAGGGCATTAGTCCTCTGCATGGCAAGATACAGCCGCTTTGCCTTGTCACCACCCTCCTGGTCTGTGACTACCCCAGCGAGCACCTCCTCGCTGATGACTAGGTCTAAGGTAGGGTCTTGCTCGACAGGTTTCTCCATGTCAGCCTTGTTTTCAGCAATATCTCGCTCGATTTCGGAAAACTGCTGTGCCTTAGCCGCAAGGTGGTTCAATGACGACTTCGAGAACTTGGCGGGCCTATCGGAAGGCCTACGAAGAGCATTCTTCTGTGTCCGGCTGAAGGGCCCAGACCGTAAGGTAGGGCCCCCTCTAGTCTTCCCATTGGCCTTGAAATCGTCCAATATTATTTTGCGGGGGGGAGATTTCTTCTTGAGACCAAAGTCAATTTCCTCAAGCGAATCTGAATCAGTGTCGGAGTCCGAGTTCTGCACCATCTGCTCTCCATTGAGTACGATTCTTTTGCTGCCACTCGAGTTTGTCGACGACTGCGATGTGCTGGGCGGGCAGGTTGTCATGGTTGCTCGCGGGGTCGTGTCGGTGATGATCCATGACTGCTTTGTGCCTATGTGGGTAGACGTTGGAGAGGTTGGAGAGGAGCGAGCAGAGACATTGCCGTGACGGAAGGTTGAGCGCGCGGACGGCCATACTCGAGGCGCATTCCCATCTAGAGCAAACAACGTCAGCGAACACTCAACTAGAATGCTGTGCCATGGGTCGATGTACCTGTCTGCGGCGGGGATGTCGGGGGGTATGGCGGGCGCGAGGGTTGAGATGCGGGCTTGAAGAAGTCTCTGATGTCTCTCTTTGGCGGCATCGTGAATTACGAGTCACGGGCTCTGGTACAGGTCTAGGGATGTGTGTCTTGGAATTATGTCTTGGCATGAGGTCTTCTGGATGCTGGCATGGTTGAATGTGGTTGCAGCGAGCTGGGCCGCGCGAAGGCACGTGACCAGCACAGGCGTCGTGAACACGCGTCCTCATCTCGTCATCGAAAACATCGTGTAGCAATTAATAGCAATTAAATGGTAACCCCGCCGCATGCCAACACGAGTATTCTCTCCAGAGCTCATCGCCACCGGCGCGAGCTGCGTCACAGCGACATCCAAATGCCATGTTGGGCAATGGGCAGCCACGCGCCCAGCTTCGTCGCCAGTGGGTGCAGAGAATGAAACGTTTCGCATAATAATCCTCTATGGGCGCTCCCCTGCAGCAGTCCGGGTTTGACGTTGTGCGAGATCCGCTGTCCCTGTGCAGATTGGATGCACTTAATCAAATCCTATTGCAGTTTCGGACTCTCGAAATTCAAATTAATTGTGCGCACCATTGCGAACCCATCATTCCACGCAGTGCCAGTACCAATAAGAAGGGTCGTGGCCGCTGAGAAGCGCTGACTGCGCCGTTGTTGTACAGTGATATATATATGGGTGCTGAATAGATGGACCTGGATTTGATGCGCTGCGGTTGGGGCTCTGCCTTCAGGCGTCTGACCCCGGGGGACATTCTGGGCTTGTGCTGACAGGAGGATCTCTCTCCAAGCCACTGAATGCGTTACCAGAAGTGCCCTTAAGTCGCCGATAATATACGGCAGCTCTCGAAATCTGCCTGTCTGTCAGTCTGCCTAAGGGCTGTGGAAAAGCAACTGGGTGTCTGTTGACCTGTACCGGCCTGACGTGCTCGGGCGTCGCTAGCACCGTCCTGCTAACCCCATCCGCCGGTTCCAAACCATCAACGGTGGCCGAACAGTGCGCGCCGCTCTGTCAGCACAGCTGCACAGGGCCACAGCTCGGAGTGGGCGGCATCATAATAGCAAAAGCGCCCTCCGCCGTTGTCCGCCACGTCTCCTCCACCTTCACTCCGTACTGTCGGCTTGCTCACCTCATGGACTGACACCGCAAGCCAACTCCCCAACTCCCAGCTCCATCGTCGCATCCGTCATATTTCATCGCTCGCTCTCGCCGCGCCGCGTCCCTCTCGGTGTTCTCGCTCGCTCGCTCCCATCCCGGCCACCTTGGAGCTTATTAAATCCGCTGCTGCCGAGAATCCCATACTCCACTCCCCGTCCAGCCTCAACCCCCTTAAAGACGCTATCTCCCTCAGCGTCGGCCCTGCCCAGTGTTGTCGACCCAGCATCGTCATATCCTGGAGTGCAGGCGAATTGGCATCTGTTGTGGTGTAGAGGCCTTCCCGGCTGAGGCCGGCCAACCCACCAGCCCCAAAGCTGCCCCGGATCGTCTGCCTGCACAGCGCCCGTCGCAACAATGGCCGCCCTACCGCATCTGGAGGACAGCGAAGTCACAAATCCCGTCAAGCGGATACGATGGGCTACGCATCGGGCAAAGGGCCCGAAAGCCGACCACAAGAGACAGTCGCTCAAGGAGCGCCTGCATCGGCGGATAGGCTCCGGCGAGAAGAAGAGGGACTCTCTAGGGAAAGAAGGCGGCCCGCTGGATAACGGGGACGAAGGTTCAGATGTGGGTAGTGAGGAGCAGGATCCTGGCCGCAGAGTGTATTTCAACCTCGCGCTCCCCGCAGAAGAGCGGGACGAAGATGGCCATCCCAAAGCAAACTACGCGCGAAACAAGATACGAACGGCCAAGTACACGCCCATCAGCTTCGTCCCGAAGAATCTCTGGTGGCAGTTTCACAACATTGCAAACGTCTACTTTTTATTCATTATTATTCTTGGGGTATGCTCTCCCTGCAACCCCCTATGTCGCGTTCTGACTGACCCTGCTTGTGTTTAGATATTTCAAATTTTTGGTGCCTCGAATCCCGCTCTCAATGCGGTCCCATTGATCGTTATCCTCACCCTTACAGCTATCAAAGATGCAGTCGAAGACTGGAGAAGAACCGTGCTAGATAACGAACTGAACAACGCGCCTGTGCACAGGCTCGTCGGTTTTAGCAACGTCAACACGGCTGAAGATACTGTGTCCATGTGGCGAAGGTTTAAGAAGGCGAATACTAGAGCTATTGTTTGGGTCTGGAATAGTTGGAAAACTAAGAAATCATCCAAAGGCAAAGAGAAGGGCTGGAGAGAAAGAGCCCAGGACGAACTAAGGCCCTCCTTGGAGACCCGCCGAGCATCCGTTCTCTCACATCGATCGTCCTACCGTGCCCATGGGGAGGACGGCATTCCAATGACCCCGGTTCCCTCGCCTCTCCCTGACCAAAAACCTCCGACAGATGCTATGAACATCGACGGTCAAACTCATGTCGTGGAAGGCGACCAAGCAAAGGTTTCTGGAATAAAGACGCCTCAAGGACAGAAGTTTTGGGGTAGCGTTATGAACCCGTTCACGACAACCCCAGACAAGGCTCGGTTCAAGAAGGACGCTTGGAAAAGTGTGCAGGTCGGTGATTTCGTTCGCTTGTACAACGACGAGGAAATTCCCGCTGATATCGTCATTCTTTCCACTTCATCAGAGGACGGTGCATGCTACGTGGAAACCAAGAATCTCGACGGTGAAACTAATCTGAAGGTCCGTTCGGCATTGCATAGCACACGAGACGTTAAGCACGCTCGTCATTGCGAACGGGCTGAATTCGTCATCGAAAGCGAGGGACCGCACTCAAATATTTACTCATACAGTGCCGTTATTCGATGGCAGCAACACGACACCAAAGATCCAAACGTTCCAACCTATGAAATGGCAGAGCCTGTGTCTATCAACAATCTATTGCTTCGTGGCTGTCAACTTCGAAATACCGAGTGGGTTCTTGGTGTCGTTGTTTTCACAGGAGAGGAAACGAAAACCATGATCAACTCAGGCATCACTCCCAGCAAGCGCGCCAAGATCACGAAAGATCTCAACTGGAACGTCATTTACAACTTCATCATTCTCTTCGGGATGTGCCTCGTTTCTGGGATTATCCTAGGAGTATTCTGGGCCAAGCCTGACACATCTCATTCATTGTTCGAATTCGGATCCTATGGAGACAACAAGCCAGCTCTGGATGGTGTCATTTCCTTCTGGGCTGGAGTCATCCTCTTCCAGAACTTGGTGCCCATATCCCTCTACATTACTCTGGAAATCATCCGCACACTGCAAGCCATCTTCATTTACAGTGATGTTCATATGTATTACGAGGCACTCGACTATCCATGCACGCCTAAATCCTGGAACATCTCTGATGATGTTGGACAGATTGAATATATCTTCTCCGATAAAACCGGTACCCTGACACAAAACGTCATGGAATTCAAGAAATGCACTGTCAACGGGGTACCCTATGGCGAGGCCTACACAGAGGCGCAAGCTGGCATTCAACGAAGACAAGGAATTGACGTTGATGAGGAGGGTGCCCGTGCTCGCGAGCAGATCGCGCGCGATCGTGTCCGAATGCTTGAAGGAATCAGGAAGATGCACGATAATCCCTACCTTCGAGATGAGGACTTGACTTTCGTTGCTCCAGACTACATTGCCGATCTCGCAGGGGAGTCCGGCCAAGAACAGAAAATTGCCAACGAACGTTTCATGGTCGCTCTTGCACTTTGCCACACTGTCATCACGGAAAGAACACCAGGTGACCCCCCAAAGATCGAATTCAAGGCACAGTCTCCAGATGAAGCTGCTCTCGTTGCTACCGCACGCGACGTTGGATTCACTCTTGTCGGCCGAGAGGACGATCGCCTTGTTGTCAATGTCCTGGGCGAAGAGCGTAGATATACCGTTTTAAATACCCTGGAATTCAACTCTTCCAGGAAGCGAATGAGTGCAATCATCAGAATGCCGAACGGAAAAATCATCTTATTCTGCAAGGGAGCAGACAGTATGATTTATTCAAGGTTGGCTCCTGGCCACCAGCGCGAGCTTCGTCACACCACTGGAGAGCATCTTGAGATGTTCGCAAGAGAAGGTCTTCGAACGCTCTGTATTGCACAGAGGGAGATCGAGGAGGAGGAATACCAGGAATGGCAAAAGGATTACGAACTCGCCGCTAATGCCATTAACAATCGCGAAGATAAATTAGAGGAAGTTTCCGACCGCATCGAGAATGATCTATGGCTCCTTGGTGGAACTGCCATTGAAGACAGACTTCAAGACGGTGTTCCAGATGCCATCTCACTCCTCGGCAGAGCTGGCATCAAGTTGTGGGTCTTGACAGGGGACAAGGTGGAAACTGCCATCAACATCGGCTTTTCTTGCAACTTGCTTGACAATGGGATGGACCTCATTGTCTTTAAGGTCGAAGACGAGAGCCTTGAGACTGCGGAGGCTATGCTTGACAAGAATCTAGCTATTTTTAATATGACGGGATCGGAAGGAGAGCTTGCCGCTGCGCAAGACAACCATGAACCTCCAGCCCCTACACATGCCATCATCATCGACGGAGATTCCTTAAAGCTAGTTTTGGGCGATTCTCTCAAGCGGAAATTCCTCCTCCTCTGCAAGCAGTGCCGATCGGTTTTATGCTGCAGAGTAAGTCCCAGTCAGAAAGCTGCCGTCGTGCAAATGGTTAAGTCTGGGCTCGACTGCCTTACGCTCGCCATTGGTGACGGTGCGAACGACGTCGCCATGATCCAGGAAGCGCACGTGGGTGTTGGAATTGCTGGTGTTGAAGGTCGCGCTGCAGTCATGTCATCCGACTATGCCATTGGTCAATTCCGCTTTCTAACTCGACTTGTCCTCGTTCATGGACGCTGGTCTTACCGCAGACTTGCTGAGACAATTGCAAACTTCTTCTACAAGGTTAGTATACATTTTCCAAGTTTATTTGTCTTCGATGCTAACGCGACTTGCAGAATCTTGTTTGGACGTTCTCGCTGTTCTGGTATCAGATTTATACCAACTTTGACTGCCAGTACATCTTTGACTACACCTACATCATATTATTCAACCTTGCATTCACCTCGCTTCCTGTCATCTTGATGGGTGTCTTGGATCAAGATGTTGACGACAAGGTATCATTAGCCGTACCACAGCTCTACCGTAGAGGTATTGAACGAAAGGAGTGGACGCAACCCAAGTTTTGGTGAGTATCAAAACCTGTTAGCCTTTTGAAGGTGCTAATCTTGCCCAGGATGTATATGTTCGATGGCATTTATCAGTCTTCTATTACATTCTTTATGGTCTACCTCCTTTTCTCCCCTGCCACGTTCAATACTGCAAATGGACAGAGCATCGATGATCTGAAACGGATGGGCGTTTTCATCGCTACCATTGCTGTCGTTGTTGCCAACTTCTATATCCTTTTCAATACCTACAGATGGGACTGGTTGATGCTGCTCATTGTTGTTATCAGCACTCTTCTCGTCTGGTTCTGGACCGGAATTTACACTGCATTCACCGGAAGTGCCCAGTTCTACAAGGCCGCTCCGGAGGTTTACGGAAGTCTTGCCTTTTGGGCAATTCTTCTTGTGGCGACAATAATGTGTCTTCTTCCACGATTCACCGTCAAATCCATTCAGAAGATCTACTTCCCCGGAGACGTTGATATCATCCGCGAACAAGTCATACAAGGCAAATTCGATTACCTCAAGGAGACTGATGCTTTCATTCCCCCGCCACCCGAGAAAGTGAAGTCAATGTCATCATCCGAATCCTCAGCCGCCAAAACTAAGCCAGTGGCCAACACTCATACCGGAGACGATGACATGCGACCAATCTACCCGCCCTCGGTTGCCCCAACTGCAACAACCCACAACCCGAGAAGCCAGAACGGAAGTAATAGTACAGATTACACGTTTCGACGCTCATTAGAAACCATCCCCGCCCATCGAATATCACTAGATCGACCGCGACCATCCTATGACCGGGCTCGGATGTCCATGGACCGCGTTAGGCCAAGTTTTGAAGCTAGCAATGAATTTACATCTGCTGCGCTCTTGACAAGAATGGAATCCAGCCATAGTCGACATAGCCAGCTAGGTCAGCAGCAGACAGGGCATACGATGAGCCGGCTACGAAACGCCTTCCGAAGGCCTACCGTCACTCGTGAGGAGCAACCGGATTTAGATCACCCACCACTTCCGCAAGCCCAACAATGAGCTCTGCTCACCGATGCTTGTAATGACATCTGACACAATCAGATACCACTGCACATTCTTTTTATCACGACTGTACATATTAATGCCTGCTGGGGCATGGTTTGGGTTGTCACTGCCTACAAAATCCTTTCTTTGTGTTTTTAAGATGTTTCATTGGGTCGGCGTTTCGTAGAATAGCGAGGCTGGACGGTAGTCGATTTTTGTTGGCTCATCCACTTGGCTGGTCTATTTTATTTCCTGTTTTATCCCGCTTACGAGCGAAGTCAAGGATTCATCGAGCCCTTGGAAGGGTAGACGGCGTATTGGAGTTTTCTACGCCTAGTCTTTTCAACATTGAACCTTTTTCATCATGTGCATTACTTCGCTCCTCTCTTTCTTGTTCTGTGTACGAGGCTATGAGAGCTAGTGTTCTGATTGTAAAGAGATTTACTGAGAGAGTTGATAACGGATTTGTTTGATGCATATCGTAATGGGGCGAGGCCGGCCTGAAGCCACCTTTTGATTCAACGTTTGGCTCTTCTGTATTTTGGAATTGAGAATGAGATGACGTAACTTTCGGCCTATCTAGAAGCTCAATGTGCATAGTGATGACCATGTGAAGCAGATAAAGCGACAGTGAATTCGATTTCCTTGCCATTGGTTCACCATCAATCCATGGATGTGCCAACGGTCACGTGCTTTCGGGGCTTGGCAGTGAGAGCGCGATCGTCTAGCAAGCGCTTCGACCCAGATCTAGCTCGGCTGCGACGCGTCGGCTTCTTTGAGGGCGGAAGTGCCCACTGCGACTTCTTTTCCCACACACGACTGCTCTCTACCCCAACTTATAAAAGCCTCTCCTCTGCCACATAGTCTGAGGCAACCTCTCCAACGGTGTAGTTCGCTTCCTTGGGTCTGACACCATCCTTTCACTCCCCCACATTGTCTTTACAAACTTAGCCCACAACTCTTGCGGCGCACCCCAGCTCGCCCTTTGCCGTAGATAGAAAACCTCACTCAAGTGATTGACCATAATTGCCCTCTGTGGCCTGCCTTACCTGCAAGAATCCCTCGTCGCATGCTGGTTACGCCTGGCCTCGTTGACTAGTGGCGAGCAAGCGGAGACTCGAGGACGTTGTGGGGGAACCTGCTCCCTGTCAGAATGGCTGACGTGCTGGAGCGCATCTGGTAGGTGGCTCTTTCACTATCGAAATCAATCATTCGACTAATTCACTCTTTCACTGCAGCGAACTCCAGACCCTCCCCACCAATCAACACTTGTTCTGTCCTCGCAACGGCCACGACTCCTCAGTCTACTTTGACGAAGACATCGCCAATACTGAGCCTGACCACGACGCGGAAGCCGTGAAAGAGCGCCAAAAGAAAATCCTGGAGGCACAGGATAGGAAATGGCTTACGCTGAGCGCTCTCGAAATACTCTCATATCCCGGTGAGGATGCTCGTCCGTACCAAGAGTGGCTGAAAGAACGGCTGGATAATCTGATGACATCCTGCGATGTGTGCGTCCGAGTCTTTCACCAATCGAGGAGCGAATGGAAACATCGACTGAATGAGTATGCTGCATATAAGGTTTCTTGAAACCGCGTCTTTGCTAACAGCAGTAGGCAATTCGATGAGGATACGGTAGCAGAGTTCTTTAAGACCGTTGATGATTTCTGTATCGAACGCATCAAAGCTGGAATGAAGATGGCGGCGATTGCGCTCAATGCTGCCGAACCCAAATCCAGAGGCATCCGGATTCTCTCTAGCCAAGCGCTCTACGCCTTTTTTGAAGCCCTAAGCTGTGATGCCTTCATCCGGGACGAAGAGCTCCTCCAGGATTATTTCGATAAGCCATTCCAAATGGTACAGACGAAAAAGCGCCTGAAGGTGCAAACATTCCTTCCATCTATTACTCGCTTTCTCTTCCGCAAGAATTCCGTTTCCCAGGACTGGGCTCTTGTATCATGCGCAACTTTCAAGAGGAACATCTTGAGTTCGGAGTTTGAGTGGGCAGTGCGCGACTATCTGACAGAGGCAATGATGAGGGTACAGATGTCTAACCTTGACCTCCCCTTCGTTGCTACTTACTGGAACGGCGTGAGGCTCATCGTCAACAAGTTAGACAAAGATCTTATCACCCACTCGCTTCGAGGCCTTGACGGTGACTTCTACAGACTCCTATTGGATCATCTCTCCCTTCAATCAGAAGGTTTTTTCGACCTAATTGGTACCATGACCCTGCTGTTGGAGAAGTCACCAACTTCATTCTGGGATGCAATGGATGCCATCACACCCTCCACCGCCACCATTGTGGAGCAGGTTTTCAACAGCCCTTTCTTAAAGAAGGTACTATTATCGGCAGAGGATTGTAACGAAGATGATTTGAATAATCTTCGCGATGCCTTCGCCTGGATAACCCCTTTTCTGTCGTCCATCAAGACGGCGAATTTGGCACCAGTTTGCAGGGCTTTTGCCAACCAATTTTTCGGTCGTCTTCAATCCGACCAATTTTCTCACGCATCGAGAGCCTACTGTTTCAAAGAAGGCCTTCAGGTGCTGGAATATGCCTTCCGGAGGATGAATCAAGGAAAGACTGTATCGCAGTTTGTTGGCCAGCCAACGGTCAATGGAATGCTGGAGATGCTATCCAGCCATATTGGACTCATTGTTACCAGCGTGAAGCGATTTGTTGATGAGCAAGCCCGAGAAGAGTTGCGTTTGGCATTGTCGATGATTCAAAACGCTTTCACTCTAGAGTGTCATTCACTCTCCATCGAGAAGCAACTGATTGAGGCGAAACAGCCTTCACCTACCGAGACGCCGCCCTCCAGTCCCATATGGAAAACCATTATCTCAGCAATTGACGCGAAACACATTGATCTCGCGACACATCTCCTCATCGCCGGCAGGAATCTCATTGGTCTACAATCGCTCTCCATGAAGACTGGTATTAGGACGATGCCCCCCACAATACGTCATTTCAACAATAGATTCGAGTTGCTTTCCCAGTCAATCACTGATGTCATCGATCGCCTGTCCGAATTTGATTCTACACAACTTGAAGCTTTGTTCATGCAACCCGCCTCAGCCAGCTCCGTCATTGCTACCCTGTTCTCTTCAAGCGAAGAAACCCGTAACTCCTCAGTTGAACTGCTGAAGGTCATTAGTTTGAAAGATGAACGCCGAGACGCGATCCAACATGTTCTCGATCGGTTCTACAAGAATGTGTTGCAAGGCGTCTCGGATTCTTGCCGACAAGTTACCAAGAAGAAAATTTTCGCCCCAGCCCCAAGTTTGATCAAAACTTGTTCTGATATCATTGATATCATGACCAACCCACAGAACGGTATCCTACGGTCTCGCAATCTCGAATCTGGGGAATCTGGAGTGACAATGGCCCTATGGAAGAATCTTTGGGATGCCCTTACCATCATATTTCAGACTACAGAGGACTGGAGCAATCTTGGCTACTATGATAAGGATACGATGAGGGAATTCTGCCGTGATACCATGCAATTTGCTAATTATTTGTTTGACCAATGCAGCATTTTCTCCACAGCATTGAAGAACACAATGGCCGACCCTGAAGATGCGACAGGTGGCACGAAACTCCTTAGGGAATTGCTGGAATTGCCGGCCAGGACAGTGGAAGCCATTGCCAAATGGCTCCGCCTTCGAGACGAATTTCTCTCCAGTAGATGCGTCACTCTAATCAGCAGACTCCTCGTCCGACTTCGAGACGTCTCCATTGAAGTAGACGCTGACGCGCTGGTATATATGGAGAGAATTCTCTCGGGTGATGTCCGAGCCAAACTTAGCATGCAACAACAGGCAGAATTGCAGCGCGCTCTTGAGACACATCTTGGCCATTCGATTGTCAGAGGGGAAGAACCTGTCAAACCAAAGCAGGAGTCTCTAACTAGATACATGTCAACAAGTTCTATAACATCCGAGAACAAAGTAAAGATCACTGACATACGAACGAAGCTAATGGCTGACGCGACCCGCACTGCCATCGCGATGCAGGTGAAACGAGAGGCCAACAAGGCTAAGGAGACTGAGGCGGTAAAACAAGCGAATGCAAAGAAAATTGCAGAGCAAGCAGAGTTCAAGAGGAAACGCCAGCTTGAGATCGAGAAACAAAAGAAGGAGAAAGCTGCTGCTATTGCCCGAGCAAAGCAGGACGCTTCCCGTCGTGGCTGGTCCGAACACACTGCCGAAGCTGGATCGGGTCTCGACGGCCTCGGTGTATTAGGCAAGGACCACGCCCCAAAAGGCGAGGGCCTTATGCACTCCTCGGACGAGTCCGAAGAGGAGGGTGATTTTGATGCGGAGCTTTTCGGAATCAGGGATAAGAATAGGGCCAAAAGTGGGCCAAAGACCAACATCGTAAACGAAGTAAAAGTACAGATGCCGGTGAAGAAGAGGAGGGTGATCCGGTCGAGCAAGGACATGCGTGCTCGCTTGACTCCTGACTTATCACCCCTTCACAAAGTCATCCTTAGTTGGGATTACTATCACAACGGAGACTTTCCACCACACTCGCGGCCGGACATGTATGCGAGCGTTCTTAAGACGTTCTCAACTCCGAACGATTATCAAGCAACGTTTGAGCCTTTGTTAACACTTGAAGCATGGCAAGGGTTCGTAAAAGCCCGAGAAGAAGGCATCTCTAGGCCTTACGACATCCGTATCGTCTCCCGAGCTAGCGTGGATGCCTTCCAAGAAGTCAGCAGTACAATGACCCATGCCGAGAACAAGGAGTTGTATATTTCCGAAGGCGACGTTGTTCTCCTCTCAAAGTCAAAGGACTCGTCTCGAGAGGATCCTCACTGCCTTGCTAGGGTCTTCCGAGTACAGCGGAAACCGAAGCATCTCGAGGTATCCTATCGCGTCATGCCCTCAAACCCTCTGCAGTCTTCGCTAGTACCGAATGGTACCGTCTTTGGGGCCAAGATTCAGTCACTAACCCCATTGGAGCGCGAATACGGAGCTCTCCTAGGCCTCCAATACTACGATCTGTGTGATGAGATCATTCGAGCTAAGCCGTCGCCATTGCTAAACTATAAGGACAATCAGTTAGAACCCCTCATTAGCAACTACAAGGTGAACAATGCTCAAGCGAAAGCCGTGAAGTCAGCCATGGACAATGATGCGTTCACTTTGATTCAAGGGTATGTTGTTATATTTGATGATCATTGCAGAGGCGAATGCTGACATGTTTGTAGTCCTCCAGGTTCAGGAAAGACAAAAACAATTGTTGCTATCGTTGGTGCAATTCTATCAGATACCCTTCGAAATCACGGCACACCCATCCCATTTCCCGGCCAAGCAAACCGGTCTGATACCGCCGCCAAGAAGCTGCTTGTTTGCGCCCCGAGTAATGCTGCCGTTGATGAATTAGTTATGCGTTTTAAAGAAGGTATTAAGACACTAAGTGGCCAGGAGAGGAAAGTCAACGTTGTCCGATTGGGACGTAGTGATGCCATCAATGCAAACGTTCGAGACGTGACGCTAGAGGAGCTCGTCAACAACAAGCTGGGCATCACCTCCTCACACGGGAATGGTAACGGTAACAAGGCAGGGGATCCCGATGCCACGCGAGCCATATTTCAAGAGCATCAACGGATATCAGATCAGCTCCGAGAAGCACGAACTCAGCTTGATTCTGGGATGGTGGAAGGCGAAGATGCATCAAAGCTACGAGATGACCTAAATGCCCTTCGCCGTCGGAAAGCGGACCTCGGCACCAAGATCGATACGGTGAAAGACGACGAGAAACGAGCAAGCCGAAGTGCAGAATTAGACCGACGACGAGCACAAGAATCCATTTTGAGTGGCGCTCACGTCATTTGTGCTACACTCAGCGGTAGCGGACATGAAATGTTTCAAGGCATGAACATCGAGTTTGAAACGGTTATCGTCGACGAAGCTGCCCAGTGTGTTGAAATGAGTGCGCTCATTCCCCTGAAATATGGATGTGCCAAGTGCATTCTCGTCGGAGATCCCAAACAACTTCCTCCAACGGTTCTCTCAAAAGAGGCTGCACGCTTCCAGTACGAGCAGAGTTTATTTGTCCGCATGCAGGGGAACCATCCCAACGATGTGCATTTATTAGACACTCAATACCGAATGCACCCCGAAATCAGTCGGTTCCCTAGTCAAACGTTCTACGACGGTAAATTGTTGGACGGAGACAACATGGCAGGGCTTCGGAGGCAGCCATGGCACACCAGTGCCTTGCTCGCTCCCTACCGGTTTTTCGACGTACAAGGACAACATCAAGCGGCGCCCAAAGGACACTCACTCATCAACATTGCCGAGATCGATGTGGCTCTACAGCTCTACAAACGACTTACTTCAGACTTCGGCGAACTTGATTTTAGGGGCAAGATTGGCATAATCACGCCTTACAAGAGTCAATTGCGGGAACTCAAAACCCGATTTTCCGCCAGGTATGGTCAAAACATTGTTGAGGATGTGGAATTCAACACGACGGACGCCTTCCAAGGACGAGAGAGTGAGGTCATTATCTTCTCCTGTGTGCGAGCGTCCCCCGCGGGAGGAATTGGTTTCTTGCAGGATATTCGCCGTATGAACGTCGGTCTGACTCGCGCCAAATCGTCGCTTTGGGTTTTGGGAAACTCGCAGTCCCTGGTCCGTGGACAGTTCTGGCGGAAGTTGGTCGAAGACGCTAGACAACGGAATCGGTATACCGAGGGCAATGTGTTGAAGATGCTGGGAAAGCACTCAAGTACTTTTCCGGCGCGAAAGGAGATTGAGACGGCGATTCCATCCAGGACGGCTCTAGTTAAACAAGACCCCCAATCGCACTCGATGAGTAGATCGACGAGCATTCAATCATTGAGCGAGTCGGATATGAAGCCGATGAAGAAAGAACCTGTCGACAACGTGGAACCTGTGTCGAACGGCAAGCGGAAGATGACTCCAAGTGACGATGATGTCGATATGGAGGATGCATTTGGGGAGTCTGAGGCCCCCTCAAATACCGTTAGTGGTCGGTCAACACCGGCAATTGGATCTGATGCTGCACGCAACAGTGCCACGCCTGTCCCAGAGATGAAAGAGGAGAGCACGCCAGATCCGCCGAAACCGGGAGATGTACTGGGGAATATGAATAGGCCGAAAATTAGGAGAAGGCCAAGACCAGAGGCTAATCCGTTCATGCCGCGACCGCCAACTAAGAAACCGAAGACTGGATAATGAACTGGATTTAGGGGAATGGGTATATGGGTGGATTTTTCTTTTTATTGTAACGGCTAGGAATTCCCGCTTTGCTTCCTGGGTGGGAACCCGTCAGGCTTGTGCCAGTCTGTCGACCAGCAGCAGTTTCTAGTAAGATGTGATATTTCGTGCTTTGATATCACATCACATTGCGATGGCGTATGGGCGGGTGGCTTTGATCTTGCATTTCCATGGAGTTTTATTCTCAATATCCTTCGGGATGTTTGTGACTTGGCTTTAGATATATATGTGGGGGGGATATTTGGCTTCTACCAGGCGCCATATCTTCCCTTATTTCAAAATCATTAGGGTGGAGAGCACGATGCTGTGTGCGTTGGCGGCTCAGCTGGTCAGAGCTGAAAGTATCTTTCATAGAAGATTTTGTGATGTGATGTTGACATTGACGGACTTGGGTTTACTCTCCACTAGGAACACAGGGCCCTAGGGAAACGGTAGAAATGTTCAACTCGGACCATGATTAACTGCGGGCAAGTCGACTGACACAGGTTATGAAGAATACACGAACATCTCATGACTCCCCCTTCCCTCCCAGGTCTAGATCTAGATAAGGTTGAGAGTCTTATATGTCGATCCGGTTGTACTGCTGCTGTGCTAGCTAAATACTGCCCATCATAATCCTGCCTAGTTTAACAGCATGAAATACTGTTACGCTAGACGGGAGGGTTTCAGGTTTTCTAGATCAGGAGGAGGTTTGTACGACGGTCTTGGGGCAGAGGACTGGGCATGTGCCACCGGTAATCACGGTGAAACAATGCTGTGGGCCAATTGTCGTAGCAGATTGCCATGTCATGAGATCTCTTGGTTTGGAAGAGGCGCCTGTTGGGTAGTGGCGGGATCAGGGGGAGGACTAGTACTAGGTCATTCAAGCGTGAGGGTACAAGGAAGGCCTTTGAGGTTATTGGGGGAGAGGTTGGGATTGGGAAATTATTTCTATCTTTTGTTCTCTTCATTTCTGGTGCGTTTAGACAGGCGGTATGTATGATACAGGTTTCTTCTCGCTGACCTTCCCATATTATTTCACTTCCTACCTTCCCTGACCTAGTCTACATCTACATCCCATCCGCATCGGGACCACATCATCCTCAGCTCCCACATGCCACCTCCCGCATGCACCGCGCCCTGCCATCAAACTTATCCACTTACTTGCTGTCAGACATCAGACACATGTTGTGCAACACGTCTTCCTAGCGCCGCTGAGCCGATGACCGCATTGTCCCACCAAGCGCCACACGTTACATGTTAGGCAGCCTCAGAGTATGGTTTGCTAAGGGAAAGCTGAGATGATGGGAGGGTTTGCTGTAACAATGACTGGGAGCGCGGGATTGCGCATCGAGACGAAACAAAAGGTAAGTTTGGAGAGCACCGAAGGAGAGACGGGAATGGGCATAGTAGATAGGTAGGTGCTGTGGGTTGAGGAGACGTAGTGCATTTGATCTTGGGAGGGGAGCGTGAGGGTTGCACTGGTAGACAACCTTGGTTTGGTGTTTCGGGCTATGAATGTGGATGTGGTGTTGCTTGCGCTTAGGTTGTAGCTCGTTTCTCATTGTCGATTCGATGAGGACACCATAATGGTAGATCAGTTACTGGTAGTTCAGCTGAGCTAGGTTGCATGGGTTGAGCTGGGTCACTTGTTCCTTTTTAAAGCTTTGGATATCGCAAGTGCTGGTGATGTAAAGTCGTACGCACTCTTATGGACATTGCCAGGTTTCCTACCTATCGAAAGAGTAGACGCGTGCTCATGTTTGGACATCCTGGAATCAGTGCGATGGAGTTTGCGGGGACGCAGGACCAGCAGCAGCGTCTGGCAAAGAGGAAGGCTGTGGGTTGGAAAACCCTGATTGGAAAACGCACGTCGCCGACGCACGACGATAATACAGCTGAACCTCAACCCGCCAGCGCAAATATGTATGAGGCTGAGACCGGGGAGCTACACACCGTCCTGCAGCACGAGCTGAGTTGTCAGCAGAGACGGAGAGGTATGTTTATGAACCATACCCCTAGAAAGTTTGAGATAGAAGCCAAGAAGCAGGAAAGTCAGAGGGGTTCTGAGGAAGTTTTATCGAGAGCAGGAACTTCATGTCTGGGTAGTGAGAAAGGGGACTCGTTCACACCGTTGCTTCAGGATTGGGAGTTGGCGGGTTTTGGCTGTCAAGAGCAGGACCCGGTAAGGAAGAGGACTAATGAGATTCTATCTCGCGAACAGACTGAGTATCCAGAGTCTTCTTTTGCGAATTCTTTGGCTGGAAAACTTACACGTCCTTCTCCGTTGGATTTCTCTACGCCGAATAACAGTCAAAAGGTGGAGCTGGGCGCGTCCAACGAAGACCGCCAAGGACCTGAGAAGCGTCGACGACGCCAGTCCCCCTATCGAGACTGTGCTCCAGTTTCTCCAATTGCAAGTAGATCTTCGCCGTTAGAGCCCTTTATCGCTCAGTATAGTCGTGAGGAAACCGGAAGCAGCACCGAGATCCCTGTCACAACAGAGAAAATTGACGCTGTTGCGGTGGTATCTCAATCCAGAGCTTGTCAGAAGTCCTCCAACGGCCAGGAGATTACTTCATCTAGTCCTAGTAGCCGTTACCTATCATCATACTTACCGAATAAATCACTACTAGGCTCCTCCCCAGAACTGCCCCAATCAAGCAGTTTAATAGAGCCAACGAGCATCTTTCCAATTGAAAAGTCGGGCACTACACGCCAGCCACCAGAAGTACCCTCTCGAAACCCCAGAAGGCTGACAACACCACCTCCCAGACTCCGAATCCGCAGTGGCTCTCGCACCTCTAACTTATCTAGCGACTTTGCCGTCGCGCGAGGGATATACTCGCCCTACGATAACAGCCCCGTAGTGTGCTCAAACTTTTGCCGTCGTCGAGTACTGCGACCAGGACAAGCTTCACCAGCTGGATCCAGCATCCTTGGACGAATGGCGCCGCCAATCTTAGGGCACCAAGCTCTAGCCGCTACCACCGATCTCAACGATCTAAATTCCTACCTCAAATACACAGGGCCCTCACCCAAGCCACTCAAGCCCACAATAAAGAAAAAGGTGGGGTTTAGCATGTTCAAAGTCGGCGGGAAGAAGAGTCTTGAAGCGCGCGTAGGATCTGTCGAAGGGGCTCCGGATACTAGCAGGGATAGACCGAGAGCGACCATGTCAGCGTGTGCGAGGGAAATGACAACTTCCAGTGGTGCGAGGCATTTGCGGATTGTGATTCCTTCGGGGGACTTTGAATACGATCGAACAATCACGCTGCCGGTGTCGGGGACTGGTGTGGATATGAGTGTGGATGGGGTTGACGGAAAGAGAAGGTCGAGACATGTGTCGATTACTTGGACGGATGAGATGCTGAATCGGTTAGGAAGTCCGGAGCTGGAGCACGCGCTGGAGGATTTCAATGCTGTCGAGGTAGATGCGTCTAATGTGCCCTGCCTCCCTATTCGTAGCCCGAAGAGGAGTCTAGCAGTGTCGAAGCCAGTGCCGGTGCCGGTGGACGATCATCCGTTGGTGATGGCGACGAGGGAGGAGCAGACTAAGGCTAAGAAGCTGAGGGATCGGAAGAGGATAAAGATGAAGGATGTAATGGTTTCTACGACGCTCTTAACCCCTGTTCCGTCTCCAGTGATAGATCATGGCGAACATATGGATGTAGTGGAGGAAGAAGGAGAGAAGGAGAAATATGTTATTAGGAAGATGGTGAAGTTGCAGGATAGGGTTGAGGCGCTGCAGAAGCAGAATATTGAGTTGGTGAGGGCGTTAGCAGAGATTGTTGGGGTGGACATTGAGGGCAGGGAGGGGGATGTGGAGGGGATGTTGAGGAGATATAGGGAATTGAAGAGGGATTGGGTGAGATCTGGGAATGACAGGCAGAGCGGAAGAGGAATGGAGCCTAAAGAAGTAGGGGACTAGGATCTTAATAGCAGCTGATTATTAAGGCAGAGAATTTACGGTTGCCGCATATGGAGACGGATCTAGTTGAATAGTAACAAGAGGGGAAATAATTGTATTTCATGGTAGAGGATGAGCAGGATCAAGGGAGATGCTTAAAACGAGGGCATGTACTAGACATACATTGACAGATACATGATAATGACTTGAAGACATTCATGCTGTTGCATTAGACATTGCATCACGACTTTTTGCTCAAAGGTAAAACCCAGTCCCTAGTCAAAGACTTCACTTACAATGCCCTCTTTCAGGACTTTGGGATGTTCTAATATTAGACTTCAAGCTATTCCCTAAAGGACTTAGCCCAAACTCTGGTACCTGGAGCTTGGCCTTCAGCTGTCAGCAGCCAGCTTTACCGCAAGATAAATCAAAAGGAAGCCCTTTGAGAGCTATTAACTGCTCAATTGCGTTGCAAAGACAGTTCTTTTGCAAGATCCGGAAAAATTAATTTGCACACTTCCATTTGACCGTCCCTCCCAAAGAAGCCACGCACCCGCCCCACCATCGATAAGCCTCCTCACTCAGCTTCCGCACATTGGCCTTCAATTGACACCAAACACAGCTCGACCCCCTCCAGCATTCATCTTAATACCTTCTTCTCTCAATTCCCCCGATTGAAAAGTCAAGATGTCTCTCACCAGCCCCGTCACCGACGCAACCACGCCCCTCTTCAGCCCAACCCTTGTTTCTCCAGAAGTGCTCTCTGAGCTACCCGAAGGCTATACATGCCGCCCGCTACAACGCGCAGATTATCACAACGGGTTTTTGGATGTGTTGAGAGTCCTCACAACTGTTGGCGACGTCACAGAAGCGGTACGCCTTATCCTTCCCTTAAAGTCCATGAGTCGCACATTCCCCGTGTCCTGTACTGTAGATGGATCTCTACTAAACTTGCATGGCGAATACAGGCGTGGAATGAGCGCTACGAATGGATGTCGCACCGCAACGACGAATACTTCCTCCTCTGCATCCTCGACCCCTCGCGAAAGATTGTGGGCTGCGGCGCGCTAATCGTCGAGCGCAAATTCATTCACAATCTGGGCTTAGTGGGGCACATTGAGGATATCGCGGTCGCAAAAGACCAGCAGGGAAAGAAGTTGGGGTTGAGGATTATTCAGGCGTTGGATTTTGTGGCCGAGAAAGTGGGGTGTTATAAGGTACGTTTATCTCTTATTCTATTGATCGCTTAGGTAGAGGAGCGCTAATCGGTATTTGCAGAGTATTCTGGATTGCTCAGAGGCGAACGAGGGATTCTATGTTAAGTGCGGGTTCAAGAGGGCGGGGTTGGAGATGGCGCATTATTATGGACAGAACAAGCCAAAGGGTGGTTTGTAGGTGGACAAAAGCCTAGCCTGAAGCCTAGGGGGACTACTATTGCATCTTGGAGGCGTTCTGAGGGATATCTTCTTGCTGGGGGCATAGAGAGTTATTAGACCATTACAGGTCTTGGAAATCTAACTTGGATTATTCGTACAGTGGAGCCTGTTTCTGCAAACTCTAAACCTGCTGTGGAATATCTGGTTTAAATTTGCTCTATATCCTCTATCTCCTTGGGAATCGATAACCTCGATAATGAAGCTGTCTCTCGTAATTAGAGTCAGTAGGGTACCGACCTGCCCTTTCGTAGTTGTCATCGGGCGGGCGGTAGCGCATTTCTTCAACCCAAAGCCTTAGTAATCACCACAACATTACCTGCGGCAAACACATGTGGTCAAGATATTAAACCCCAACCTCTAGTGTCTTGCTATATTCTAAAAGTGGCCACTTTCCTACGACTAGGATCCTTCAGGATGACCGAAGCGGCCCCCACCGTCTCCTCTGTCGGCTGCAAATTCGAACCCGTGGATCTCGAGAACTGTCCTACGATTGACTCTGGCCTACCACATGAACTTTGGACTATAGTTCAGTCGGCTCAGGCAACATTCTCTCCAGAATTCTTCCTTGAGGTCAGCCGTAACCTTCTAGAAAATCCTAATCTGACTGCGTCACACCTCGCCCGGGCTGAACTCTCCTACCAAAGTTTCATGGATGCTTCGTTCAACCCAAAGGCAGAGCACCCACATGAACTCGCTAAGATTGTAAAGCATTTGAAGGTTGACCACCAACCGATCCTCATTCCGGAAGGGTATCCTGGCTATTTGCTCGAATGGACCGTTGTTAGGAAGTTGATTCCCCGGAACCCTAAGCTCGACAAGCCGTTGATGCAGACGTGTCATTTATTCACATCCACCGATGATGTGATCGTGAAAAACGGGGATAGAAAAGAAGAGATAATCAAGGCTGAACGCTACCTCGTAGTGTACCTCCCACATGTTTCCGATCCAGAGGAAATTCCCTTCTATCATCCCAAAGTGCGAGCTTTGGCTGTGCTTTATACTTTTCAGCCAGACGCAGCTCCCGGGACTCCTTCAGGAACTCTATCACTGTACTATGACCTGTTTCCAGAGAAAGAGTTAGATAATCGATTATCTCGCACGGCTTTGAAAATGTTGCAAATCATCCACAAGCACTCAAATGGACGAATGGCTGGATACCAAAAACGTGTTCATCACGATATTGTCATACCGCAAAAGCAGTTTCAAGATACCTATGCCTACTTGAAAGGAAAATATGCGAGCTCGTTGATCAAGGATTGGGTGGAGCAAACGCCTGCCGAGAAACATGTATTCGAAGATCTGGGGATCGCTGCGTTTCTGATCGAGCTATGGACAGACATGTATGGTAGAGGAAAGGCCAATGCGCCTCCCAAAGCGCATGGTGGTGAAAAATTGGAAGAGGCCGAAGCAGATAATGAATCCGTCACGCCAGTTGAAGCGGGTCTAAGCAATCATCGACGAGTCACAGCCAAGACAAATTTCCCGGGTTTCGTCGACATTGGGTGTGGGAACGGCTTACTCGTTTGGATTCTATCTCAAGAAGGTTGGGATGGGTGGGGCTTTGACGTAAGAGCGAGGAAGACTTGGGACACGTTTCCGGAGAGCGTGAGGGACAAGTTGAAGGAAATGCTGCTGGTGCCGGAAGTGCTAAAACTGCTTCCTACAACAACGTCAACTTTGAACCAAGAAGATCAAGTACTCGGGTCTTCGTCTACGGGAAACATACACAATGGTATCTTTCCGAAAGGAACCTTTATCATCGCCAACCACGCCGATGAGCTCACGATTTGGACACCTTTCCTCGCTTCCCTCTCCCAGTCACCCTTCATCGCAATCCCATGCTGCAGTCACAATTTCGACGGCACAAGATTCAGAGCACCACACTATCATCAAAGCTCTGAAGGTAAACCCCAAGACAAGAACTACCCGTCACACAAACCCTCTAGACAGCCCTCCGCATATGCCTCTTTCTGCAGCTACATCACATATCTTACCACCATCATAGACTATACTCCTGAGAAAGAATATCTGCGTATTCCGTCTACACGGAATGTTGCTATTCTCGGGCGGAAAGCAAGTAGTAAGATAGATACAGAAGAGAGGTTGGCTATTTTGCGGACTATGGTGGAGGAGGAGACGGGATTGCCAATTGGCCTTGTGAGGGAGGGATGGCTAAAGAGGGGAAGTGGATTGACGAAGCCTGGTAAGGGAAGTGGTCACTAAGTCAGGTCAGCAAATGAAGTACAAAGACTCGATTGAAGTAGATCCTTCGGTGATATTCCGGGTTTGCGCGAATCCCAAGTCTATGGAATGAATTTCTAGACTGCCTTCCCACGATGTTAGCGCAGCCTCAGAATACCACCCAAATTCCTTCTTTCGCTTCTATTGGCTTTCAGAATCAATCTCTACCCCCACTTTCGCTTTTACAAGCAACTCGTCACTCGTCGACCGTCATGCCAGTATCCGACGGGGAAAGCAGTTGAGGAAGGAGAGGAATGAATCTGCACAAGTGCATGAAGACAATCACTTCGAGAAAGAGGATGGTGGGGCAAACCTTATCCTAGAGGAAGTCGTGAAGAATGAACGAAAGCCAGTCTTCTCTGCCATCATTAAGAAGTCGGGAGAGAGAAAGGATAAAAAGAGTCCATGAGGTTTACAGGAAGCAGACTGCACGCTGAAGAAGATGCTGCGGAATAAGAAAAGGCCAATAAAGTATGTGAGGGAGCCAAGGGGAGTGGAGAGGAAAGTATCAGGTCGGGTAGTCCCCGGCACGTCTAGGTAAAGCATGAAACTGACCAAAAGAGAAGGCAGTTAAATATCCTGGGGTGCTTCACCAGAGCACCATCAGTAGGCGCCCCTGGTTCGCCCTCCACTGGTAAGCTTGTCTTTTCAAACTAAAAGCATCCCAAACCAGTATCACAAGTAATCCGGACTAATTCTATATGGGTACAATAGGCTTTCTGCAGCATATCCAAGACCGCCGCAAGTATTAAGGCCGGCAAAGCGCGCCGTGCCTTGCCGAGAGCTGCAATTTGGACACATGCCAGGCTTCGGGTACAGATATAAGATCTACATTTCTTATGGATAGTAGAAGCAGTGAGCCAATGAAAGGCATGAAATTTTCTATTCCCTCCAGCGGCGTATGAGACATGGATCCAGTTGGCGAGGTCCCACGCGCTGGTGTGTAATTGTCTTGATTATCTTGGGTCCCGAACATAAGACGCCCTGTATTACCGCTGCTATGCGTAAGCTTGGAGCTGATCTTTTGCGACCAAAAGCAAAAGGTATCTGGCCTGAAGCTCGATGCGGCGGCCGAAAATGCTATCAACGAATATGTCATTCTACGAGCTTCCCTCTGGTCAAGACGTTGAGAAAGCGGGCCGCTTGATCACTCACAAAATCGTGGAAACCCCAACTAAGACTTCTAAATTGTTATCGGAATACGCGTCGTCGAATCTACCAGAACCTCCGAATGATGTTCCTCTCAGACCAAGTATCGAGCTCTACTTCAAATGCGAGAACTTTCAGTGTACCGGGTCCTTCAAATTTCGTGGCGCCATTCACTTTCTAGCAAAGCTTGAAGACCACGAACTCTCAAAAGGAGTAGTGGCATATAGCACAGGTGAGCCTTCTTCACATTTTCTGCTATTCCCCTAACGTTTCGAGAGGGAACCATGCTCAAGCAGTAGCCCGTGCAGCCCAGTTAGCATCCGAAGAGCGAAATATCCCGGTTCCAGCATACGTCGTGGTTCCAGAGAACTGCTCGAGCAAGAAGATCGACGCGGCAAAGAAGTACGGCGCGAAAGTCCTTATATCTGGCACGTCACCGGAGGCACGCGTTCTCCTGGCCTCCAAAGTCCAAAAGTCAACTGGAGCAACTCTTGTGCCTCCTGCGGATCATCTCAACATTGCTCTTGGTCAGGCGACACTAGTTGGGGAGTTCCTGCGTCAGGTAACAGACATGGGACACAGTCCCCTCGACGCAGTCATCGTTCCCAGTGGAGGAGGCGGCCTGCTTGTCGGGGCCGCGGCTGTATGCAAACCCCAGGGCGTAGCGGTGTTCGGCGCAGAGCCAGAGAAGGGTGGAGCCGGTTTAGCTGAAGGTCTACGTAAGGGTGCGCGTAACGTCGGTATGGGACAAGGTCCTACGATTGCTGATGGTCTGCGCTCGCTGACTGGCGAGGCCAATTGGGAACTAATCAAGTGCCGAGAGAATGTGGACCTGGTTTTTACCGCAACCGAATCACAGATTAGGGAGGCACTTCGACTCGCGATTGACACATTCGGCTTCATCATTGAGCCGAGTGCTGCTGTGCCCCTAGCGGTGGCCCTATTCAACACCACCTTCCACCAGCGAATAGCCAAGGAAAGGAGACTCGTACGAGTTGGAGTCGTTTTCACCGGATGCAACATCAGCGAGGAAGAGCTCCTGACAGTTCTGCCGGGAGTGTCTATCGTTGGGGTCCAGAATCTGGAGAGAGAAAGTTCACTGTAGGATCGAGCAATACGCGTAGCGGTTTCTATCACGAGGTGGGCCTGACGGCTGACATATCTAAGATCGGGATAACTATAGGGTCATGTTGAATGAGGTAATCTGACTACCGAGATAGGCAATCTACTTGCCAGGATTGATTGATTTGCATGGATATGCGTTATGGTGTTCTCGAGCGTGAGCCTACGCCACCAACGTGCAGAAGTAGTTCGCCAAATCACTAAGCTCAATTGAAGTATAGGATTGATGTGTATCTCGGTGGTAGTTCAGCGCCACCGGCTTAGAATTAGGGCTCGCGATGAGAACGTTTTTCAGATCTTGTTTTAGCATGTCTCTTATATTCATCTCAGTCCCGAGGATTATCGAGGACGCACAACTCGGGCATACACCAAGATGGAGAAGAAACAACCTGAAGGAGAAAGTATTAAACCAAAAAACCCTCTGGTAGTTGACGAACTACTAGAGGCCAGATTGTATATGGAAAGCAATGAGTACGAGATCAGACAGGATGGAGGGGCGACAGCATGGCTCCAAGTTTTCGGATGTTGGCTGCTCTTCATGAACACATGGTCAGCAAACTCAATCCCCAATCAACACACAATTTCTACTCCTACTTACGCATTCTTAAAGGGGTCTAACAAACTCCTTCGCCATCTTCGAAACATACTACACCGATACCAAACTCCCTACCACCAGTCCTTCGTCCATATCATGGATTGGCTCTTTGCAACTCTTCCTCACGCTCTTCATCGGCGTTTTCGCAGGCTGGTTCTTAGACGCTGGATACATCCGGGCCGTAATTGTCATCGGCATGTCCTTCGAGGTTGTTGGGATGTTCATGACGAGTCTTTGTGAGACGCAGTGGCAGCTCCTCCTCGCGCAGGGCGTGTGCGTTGGGATAGGGAGTGGAATTTTGGCTTTTACCAGCGCGGCCGTGATTCCATTTTATTTTACTAAGAGGAGGATGCTAGCCGCAGGGATTGTGAGCACGGGTAGTAGTGTGGGTGAGTGCAAAGAGCAGCCTTCATTTCCCGTTTCCCCATGGCGCTGCGGCGAGACTGGAGTCGATTGCTGGACTGAATGCCTGGTTGCTAACTCTTTACTACAGCTGGCGTCGTATATCCCCTGATGATGCGCGAGCTCTTCCAATCTGTCGGATTCTCCTGGGCAGTCCGCATCCTGGCCTTCGTTATCCTAACTACACTGCTTCTGAGCATTGTGGTCTTGAAACCTCTCACAAGGCGCAAGAAACATGCTGCGTTTTTTAAAGCGAGCTTTCTACGCGATACTGCATATACACTTTTTATCCTCGGTAGGGCTCCCTCGTCCTCCCCTCTGTCCTTTGGAGCTTCTAGGATGAGGGCTAATTGGCTGATGATCTTATAGCCTACGCATTCATGGTTGCCGGGGTTTATGTTCCGTACTTTTATATTCAAAAGTATGCGTTGGAATTGGGAATTGATGAAGATATGACGTTTAACGTCATTAGCATTATGAATGCTGCGACATTCTTTGGGCGGTTTCCGTATAACTACCTCGCAGACATGTAAGATACGCCGTCCCCATCCGTTATCATTTGCAACCAATCTCCTTACATACATGTCTCTCTTCTTCCCTTCCATCAACCTATATTTTCTAGCTAACTCATCCTTAGGTACGGCGGTATCACAATCCTAATACCCTGCTGTCTCGCCACTTCCCTCCTCCTCTTCCTCTGGCGCTTCGTCCACACCCTCTCTGGCCTAATCGCCATCTCTGCAACATACTGTTTCGTAACCGGCGGTCTGGTCTCCCTGCCGGCCGTCACCATCGCTAATCTCACGACCAACAAATCCGAGTACGGGACTAGGATGGGCATGGGATATACTGTTGCAGCGGTAGGCGCATTGGTCGGAAATCCGATTGCGGGGGCGGCGAGAAGGGCTGGAGGTGGAATGGTTCGGGAGGGGGGTGTGGGACTGGGTGTAGATGTTGGAGATGTTATGGCGAGGTGGCAAGGTGCGTGGTTTGTGGCTGGTGTGGTATTGTTGATGAGTACGGGGCTGATGGGAGTGGCAAGGTGGGTCAGAGTGGGTTGGAATTGGAGAGTTAAGTTGTGATGTGAGATGTATAATGGACTGCTGTTGTTATCAATTGGGCCGATTTGGGACGAGTACTAGTGTAACTGAGAATAAGTAAATTCTGAAGACGATTATCAACATGAGATATTTTCGAAGAATCTCAGAACTCTCTCTTCTCATTCAAGCCCGTGGAGAGACAGTTGGTGGAGTATGGATGACGGCTCTCGCCATTAACGGTTATGGGGCTCTGACGTTCATATATGTACAAGTTTGCAATGTATCGAGATTAGATGGAAAGCTTGTCTTCAAGAAAAAATGACAAAACAAACAGACAAGCCCAACTTAACGAATACAACCCTCCATCGCGCCTGTGTCTTTATTACATGCAACCTGTACACTTCTTCCCGTCGAGGAATCCCAAAAAAAAAACACCTCCTCAAAAGCCTCAGAATAATCTCCTTCAATCTTACAAAAGCCACTCACCCTTCTTGTACCCAACGCTCCAACTACCAAATATGTAGATTTCCTCTCAGCAAAAAAAACACCGCCCGACCTGGGACTCGAACCCAGAGCCTTGAGATTAAAAGTCTCACGCGCTAACCAATTGTGCCAGCCGGGCTTTTTCACATCATCTTTCAATGGGAGAATTTACCAAATTTAAGAAATAATTGAATATATACCTATATTTTTGACTCCAGAAATTTTGGTAGCAGATTTGCTAGAGGGGAGAGAAAGGAAAGTGGGTGGGGTGTCTTATCCGGTAGCCTAGAGTGGGGGGATGAGTAATGGGAATGGGGGCGGCAATATCGGAACATGACGATCGGAATCGGAGAATTCGCGAGCTTCAGGGTGGTGTTGCTACCCCCCTGACTCTCACACGACCAGCATATATGTAGTCTCGCATGCACGTGGTACTTTCTTTCTCTGGAATCGTTGAGATTTCTGCCGAAAAGGAGTTACAAGAAGCAAGATTTTGCAAACACCCTAACTACACAAATAGGTCAAGCCAAAAATACTCCCACCCATCCGTTCGTCGATCTTTCAAATCTCAACCATACCATTCATATACATTCCCCAAGTTTGCAGCATCTACCCAACCCTATTCTCGGCCCAAATATTATTTCGTCTTGGAAGAAGGAGAAACTTCACTCGCTATCCGAATCATGCACCGCCTTCCCCGCGACAAGCGCAATCAGCGCTGCACCAACACCAGACCCATCTTTCGCAATGCCAATACGGATCCTCTTCTCTCCAGCCTCGCCAATCTCCTCGACTTCCCTTAGTGCCTGTCTAACATGGTCTTCGAAACCAGGGTAAAATTCTACCAGCGACCCATCAACGCCGATATCAATTACGTCTTCTTCCGGCACCTCTCCTCGACCAGCTGAATCGAAATCTCCTCTCGGCAGCTCAACGCCAGCTTTCTTTTCTGTGGTTGCCGTTCCAGTAGTAGAAGAAGCATTTAGTCGCCCAGTCTCGATAATAATAGCGGCAATAGCGACGGCCGAGAGACGAGCTGCACGTCGTCCAACAGCAGCAGCGATTACGCGTACCGCTTCCGCATCCTCAGCGCTCACGGCAGAGATGCCATAGTCCTTGTCCAAGGTCTGCCTTGTCATTCTGTACCCGGGGCTGTGGTCGCCGGCGCAAATGCTCAAGAAACTGGTATCGATCCCCCACTGCTTCCACAACCCGCTGCCCTCGTGGATCTGCGTGGTGCTGTGGACGTCATTTTGGGCTGAGTTCTCGTCCCTGAAAAGTGGGATTGAGGGGTCCTCGAGGAGCCCGACAAGGGCAAGACGGAGAACTTCACCAAGGAACATGCCTGAGACTCGTTTTTCGAACATCTGGATACCGGGATTCACGGATTTGGCGTCGAGCTCGATGTCGTATGGAGTGTTTGGAAGCGTGCGGAGGGAGTTGTCGAAGGAACCCCATTCGGTGTTGACGACCATCTCACCCGTAGACTTGTCGTAGTCTCCTGCTTTTTGGTTGTTGGTGAGTTTAGTGAGTTTATCTAATTTCTCCACGTAGGCACCGTTAGTTCCGGTCCCAAAGATGGCACCCAAAAGAGTGCCAGTCTTGCCGGGAGAAGTGTATGACCGAGCCATGAGCGTCCCCACAGTATCATTGACCAAAGCCGCGACTCGAACCGGGAGATGCAGCTCGTCAATCTCCGCCTGAAGTAGAGCGCAGACGTCCTTGCCGACGGCATCCTGGATATCGAAGCCCTTTGTCCAACGCATCAGCAAGCCTTTATTGATTCCAATCTGATGTACTGGGAAGGAGAAAGTAAAGCCCAAGTTGAATATTTCTTCCTCGTTTATGCGATCCCCCGTTTTCCGGCGCCGAATGTGTGAGAAGTAGTGTTCTTCATGGTGCGTCTTGAGGAAGATCTCGATCTGCTTGGCTAGGAAGGAGAACAGTTCTTTGGCCGTCTTCGCAACCATGAGCTCCCGAGGGATGGCGACCTTGCTCTGGGTGAGGGAGAAGGTGGTGTTACCATGCAATTGAATTGAACAGACACGGAAGTTGGTCCCGCCTAGGTCAACGGCCATGTAGAGACCCTTCTCAGTTCCATTGGGTACAGCGGTGACGTATGTGGGAATCTGGCTCAACTCCGTTCCATCCCTCTCGAGACCCTCGTCTGCGGAACATTAGTACGTTAATTCCCAGGTAGGTCATGGAACTTACTCATCTCGCGTATAAACTCCTTGACAGCCTTCCTGACGTCCTCTTGCCCAAACTCAAACTCGGCGGCGACCCGCTTAGCCTGCTCTGCAAGCGCCATGCTGCGTTCAGTGTCTGTGTTGAATGTGCCTGCAAACTCGACGTGCTGTGGCGGCCGCGGACAGGTCGGAGGGCTCTTATGAAGGGTGGGACTGTGGAGAGGGACGCTCGGCGATGTAACACGCCAATGCTGCTTTGGCGAGAAATACTGCAGGATCTCGTGAGGTAGGCGGGGGACAAGCAGCTGGACCGTGAGGACGAGCAGCACAATCACCACGCCGAACAGGTGATGGGTCGAGAGCGACGGGGGCAGGCGGGTCTCAGACTGTGCGGTGCTATGTCGCCGCGAGCGAGCTGAGCGGGCGCGAGAAGAGGGACCCGCAGAGCAGTTGGCAAGGCTGGTCTTCATCAAGGCCCTCCTTTGGTCGGCGGGGTCAGTCACCGGGGGGGACGGGCTGGTGGTGAGCCTACCAAGGGTCCGTGTTGAGGGATGTACTATGCAATTCTATGCGCATGCAGTAGTGACCGAATTTTCGTATTCGACCGATTGCGTTGGGCGTCAACTCCGGGCATGAGGCACAATCACAGAGCTCTGCAATTGGGGGCATTGCACATAAGGACGTCCGCTGCGCGACACTCTAGCGTCGCGGCGTGGGCAAGGAGGGCAATTGAAACGGGAGGGGGCTTGTAAGAGAAACACACCTCCGTATCAAACCCCCCTCCCCCGCCCGCAATCCTAACCATCGAGCCATTAGCCTTCTCCGCAAAAACTGGTTACGTCGGCGGCTGAACATCCCCAGACTGGGGACCATTCTGTCGGCATCCCGCCATGATTCGGCGGGCAGTGGGTACCCTCAACGGCCCCGTCAGCGGCCCTGTCAGCGTCCAATACGCGATAATGCCCTCTCGTCACATGAGTTCACGCAGTCCCGTCGTTGTAGTATGCAAAGGAACGCTTCTTTTGTTTCACGCTAAACTATGTATGCTTTACTACAGAATTGTCTCCTCTGGTTCTCCTGCTGCACCTCGCTCGCTCTCCCCTAAACCTCACCGCTCTAAAGCACTACTTTTCGTCGTCTCCGCAAAGGAATAGGTAGATAGTACAGACTTTGTCGGTCGCCAAACCAACACAGGATCGCGCAGAACTGCCTCCACGCCCTTTCCCCCCAAAATCCTTCACAAGCCGCAGAAAGCCAAAAGACATGTACATGTATCGAAAAGGCTAACAGGAAGACCCGACCCAACCCCACTGCGCAACCCATGCAGCCATAATTAGCGGGCGCCAGTCTGAAGCAAGGAGACGTCGCCGTTAGTACGTCTACAGTATGTACGATAAGAGACCAAAAGGAAAACCTGAAAGAAAGCAGGTCGGTGTACGTGCCAAAATGTCCTCCGTGAGCCCCCCCTCTAATGTTCATCATTAATTACCTGCCAATGAGAATCCAAATCCCGGTCCCATTGGCAGCTCGTAAAAGGTATCTCGGCCCTCCTCATTACTGCCCGTCGAGGTCTAACAAAGATCCGTGCCTATTCGTGATTGAGAAGAGAAGATGTGTAGCCAGGGTCAGGGATGGATAGCTGCCGTCAACAGCAGAAAGGGAAACCCGGAGAAGAAAGACATGTCGGTGGCACGGAACCGCCAGCTTTCAGACCAGTAGATGGATGATTTCGTCAATGTCGCCGGAATCGAAAAACGGTGTCGATGCAAACTCCCAACATACTCCAATTCGAATGCCGCAGATGCGATATGAAACAGATCTCCTCTATTACCGAACGCCGATAGGAGGACGAGGTCCTAGGCTACTCTGGCTGCTGTGCGCAGAGTTCTCCGAATCTAGTTGAGCGCTGGCGCCACTACTACCACTCCCCGCGCTAGCGCTCGCACTTCCAGTCAGACTGCGCACTTGAGGACGAGACTTGGGCGGGTAAAGGTTGCTCACCCCAGCATGTTGTTCAACTTGTTGCGGTGCCACTGCATTACCATGACCGGGTGGATGTCGTGGAACCGGCTGTCTCATCCCAGGAGGGGACGGACGGCCATTAGGTTGCACTCCATTCGGAGGCATACCATTCGGAGGCATACCATTCGGTGGCATACCATTCGGAGGTATTCCATTCGGAGGGTAGCCGTTTGGTGGAGACGGTCTCCCAACAGGTCGCGGCCCAGGGCTGAGAGGATTGCCTGGGGACTGGCTCGTTCGTCGGTTCATTGGAGGATATGCACCATAGCTACCACCCTGTTGAAGCTCATCCAGGCGTGCTGTGGTTAGTGAGTTTGCTCTCGATTGTTGACCCATCTCCCCACGATCAACATTACCGTATCGGTTTGAAGAATAGCCCATTAGGGGGTTGTTCATGATCGAATCATGAAGACCTGGAACATCCTGCATCAATCTCGCGCTCGTGCGGTTCTTGTTCATTCCAGGTCGGAAGGGGTTCCTTGAGCGCTGGCCTCCTCCTGGACCTGGAGGTGGCCCACCAAGACCTCCAAGCTCCGGGTTTTTGCGGATCTGGCTTGCACTCGGCACCTTGCGATTGCGGCGGGATGTAACGCTCATCATGTCGAAGTTGTCAGGATCAATCATCGGCCCAGGGCCACGTGAAGCCATGGGATCAAAATAATCATCCTCATCCTCGTCTTCGTCAAAACCACCCATGTGCGAAGGAGGCGGAGGAGGGCCCCTACGTGGGCCTCGACGCATGTTAAACTCTTGCTCTCGAAGCTGGAGCTCTTTTTGTCGAAGCATAAGCTCTCGTTCTCGGAGAGCAAGATCGTTCGAGGACGCTCCTCCGTGTTCATATCCACCGCCATTAGCTTGCCCATCGTCAGCCATGTTGTCGTACAGCATCAAGTGGCTGAATTCTTCGAGATTATTTTCGTCAAACGAGGGTCGTCGTGGCCCAGGGCCCCCAGGGGGGTAACCGTTCATCTGCCTCGGTGGGTATCCATTCATCTGACCTGGTGGTGGGCCTCGACGCATCATGGGCGGTACCCCGGTTATCGATGGAGCCCTGCTTCTCGGACGAGGGCCCCCCTTTATCATTGGCCCGTTTCCATTCATCATCGGCCCGCCTGGGCCTCTCGGCAAAGGGGCCGAGGACAACCGTGGCGGTGGTTGCGGTGGCGCTGCTCCGTTTGAAGGGGAAGGATTGGGTAGTGTCGTTGGTTTGTTCCGGTTCGCAATATTGATGTGATGAAGCATAGCATAGAGTGTCTCGATGCGGGGTACAGGGACGCTGTTTTCCTGGGCAAGTTTCAGGGGTGATCCAAGATACGTTTCAATCTCCATTGGCCGTCTGGCCTCAAAGTCCAGGTACATCGTGCTGTTGGTCTCCTGACGTTGGGTCATTGTTTGAATCGTGGTTTCCCGAAAGTCTGACGGGAATGAGCAGCCTTGGGCGTTTGCAAGAGCCAACAATTCATCTATTATGCCGGTGACGAGGGCCCGGACACCGACTTTCTCCAGCAATTCGGCGTGGTTCGGTGTTTCGAAGAGGACACTGGCCGGCTGGAAAGCAATTGCACTACAAAAAGCGTTAGCGTAAGCCCCTCGTATTATGAGACGAAAAAGTGACGTACCCAATCATTCGCTCGTACTGTTGCTGGCGGATGTTGGGAGACACTTTGCAGTCAACCTGACCAGAGCTCAGCGTCATCGCAAGAGCATCTGCCATATCAGCCTGGATTTGTGCTGGGATGTTGCTGTTCTTGTTTGCGGGGCCGACCCAAATGTCGGTCGCTCCCTTGTGTTCAAACTCGCTGGCCCCAAGCTGCGATATCTCTGCCCCCGAAACTAGTGACAATACTACATTCGTCGGAAACCGTTGTTCGAGATATGATTCGACTCCTAGACTGTGCGTAGTGTTCATAAGGATGCAGGTGTGTTGCGGCGAGACCACGGATTCGATGATGTTGGCGATATCGTATACGTCGGGGAGGGCCTTCACGCAAAGGAGGACATAGTCGAATGGCTGTTTGGAAGAATGTGCAGCGTCTTCGGGGGATCGGACCACTGCGAACTGTTAGTTCAGAGGGTCGGATACAGAGGGTTGGGTGACCGCATACCTGAATATGGCTTGAAGCGTTCATTACCGTACAGAGCGGATCTAGATAGCAACGGTTAGCCACAACGTCTCTCGGGGTAACTGATAGCGAGGGACGCACTTGAAGCTGATGCCGTACTGGGCCACGCTTTCATATCCGGACTTCCACACAAGCGTCACGTCGCAGGCGTTGGTAGCTTGGAGCCGCCACGATAAGAAGGCCGACACAGCGTTGCCGCCAACTGCACGCGGTGAGGTCAGCAATTGAGCAACTCAGACAGGAAGAGGGACACGGCAACGGATGTGGAAGGAGCAAAACGTGGGAGAAAAGCTTGGTTGTGGCAGGCGTGGACGAGCAATCGTCACGAGCCGGCGAGCCATTGTCGTGTGATAAATATGATAGAGAGCTTGCAAGGACACACCTGAGAGAATTCGCAGTCTGGGGACCGCAGGAGCCATGGCGGGTGCTGATCAGAGGTGCTGGTGTCGGGCGGACGTGGCAGTTGAAGAGAGGAGGGTGGGTGGTGAGGAGAGCCAAAAGTTTGGCGTCGAGAGCCGCGTAGCCAGGTCGAGCGAGAGCAGTCTGGCGACGGCACGGGGCGGACGGCGTAATTATTGATTAAGATAGGTTCCGGGAATGAGCGTGCGGGCGGTCGAGCGACAATTCACTGCGTCGACATGGAACAGGCAATAAAAGAGAGGCGAAGGTGGGAGAGCGAGAAAGTTGTGTTCAATGGCCGCGAGAAGCACCACCGGAGCCAGTGGGAAGGCGGAAGGCGGCTGGGCCAAGCAGGACACAGGACAGGCAAGATGGAGCGCACGGAAAGCACAGTCGAGCGTGCCACAGGTCCCACGACAGAGCAGAAGCAAAGCGAGTGGAATGCTGGCGACGCGGGGACAGCGGGTGGAGGGGAGAGAGGAGAGGGAACAAGATGGCGCGCAAGTGAGTTGGCGGAGACGGCGGAGCAACCAGAGCAGCAGAGGAGCGAAGGGTTGATACGTCTGCTATCTAACGCTTGCACCTTGATGTGCGTGCCACTTCGACTTCCTGCTGGGTTCCTGGCCCGCTCGCTTGGACACCGAATCGCCTTCCTTCATTTATTATTCTGGAATCCTCTGCTTCATGGCTGGCTGCGGGTGGGCGTCATATGCAAGCACTCACTGCTTTGTTTGCGCTGCAAAAACAGCTGTTGTTAAGCAGCAGTAGCTGTAGACGGGGTGGGCAGGTGCTGGCCACAATGCCCGTCTATCTGACCTTCCTGACGACAGTATCGCAGAGCTTGATCAGAGATGAGGTGCTGCGACTTTCGATACGAGACCCGGTGTGTGAGAATCCGCTATCAGCGCCTCTGCATGCGAGCATCAATGGGGTCCCTGCTTGCGTGGCCTTCGTCCGCCGTCATGGGGAGATGATCCACCGCCGCCGACTCAGGAGATCTGAAGGAGGCGTTTGTCGCCTACCGCTACGATAGCAGGCCTAGCAAAGACAAAATGCAAGCTACACCACTTGCTTCTTGCTCATTCCGTCGTCGCTTTGTCCGCCCGTGCAGCAGAGGCCTCGAATCCTGCTCTCCTTTTCTTGCGTCACGCTGAAAGTGCATCCACCCATCCAACACCAAGGCGTGCCTGGCCAATAATCGTATCCCAACGGCTGTGCAGTTCAAGTCTGACGTCGCGCTCTGGTGGACCGCGCCAAGGCGCTGGCACCCTCTCTGGCGGCATCACGCCCGGCGACGCCAATTCATTCACTGGGCAGAGATCACCGCCATTGGGACGTGCACAAGCAGTATTGGAAATGTCCGTCGCAACGGCAGCTTGTTATCCATGGCGCCACCAGCCGCCCACCAGATAGAGGACCGTTTTAATCTCCAATCTCCCTCCCTGGCCGCCACCTCCCATCCGTCTGCTCAGTAGAATAAGCACACGTTCCGTTCATGGTCTGCTAACGTTAACTGCTGTTCATTTTGATAAAGTCTGCCTCCCAGCCACGCCCGATGAGGAGGGGCCGGCCATACCGGAGCCCCTTTTCCAAACTTCTCGTCCAGACCCGCAGTGTACATGTCCCGGGCCTTGCTTGCGTCGACGAATACGTAGCCGTGGAGCAGTCTACTCGAGAGCGGTCTTACAGGAACCTACCGCACCGCAGAAGCACCGGGCGGGGCAACCACCATAGCATATCTCGCGGTGTACGAGTGACATCGGGTTCATCTACATACATTGTTACGCACGACTGAACCAAGGTGCAGGGCAGCGGCGAGGTTTGAGGTTGAAGAGCCTATCATCCCACAGAGTAATAATAGATTTGCTATTGCCTCGACTGCCTTTCCGACATCATCTGTAATTTTACCATTTGCCATCAAGATCGACTTGGGTTTCCGTTCGTTGCACTAGCAGCCTGCACATCGCATGTTGCCATTTGCTCGTCCCAGGACTGGACGCAATGCCAAGCCAGTCGCCTTGTTTTTTCCGCTGACACGTTCAAGATTGCATGCAGAACTTTGTGTTTCAGATTGTTTTAGTTTGCAGAAGGATCCGTCTTCTCGAAGCGAGTGGCTTAGTGGAGCTTTCCTTCGCACCGCCTCAAGCTCCACAGCAAGTCACGATTTGGATCTCCCCAAATCTGTTTCATAACTCAACCCTCAGCGCCATTCAACCTCTCTTCACCATTGCCACTGACACCTCGACCTAAGCATCGTCTACTACCCGAAGCAGGAGGCGAATTCAAAGCTTCGCTAAGCTTGTTATGCCCTAATCCACTTGTCAATTGTGGCCAGTAGGGCTTGCGGATATCTCTACATCCGAGATACTGCCCCTATGTGGAACGGGGCAGGGGTAATTCAAGACAGAAACTTGCATCCTGTTACCCTCCTCTCAAATTCCAGCCAAAAGTCTAATTGATCAAACTTGCCCTGCTACTGGTCTGCAGTAGGCGCGAATATGCTGTTAGTAATTTCAGGCTAGCATTTAACACACCAACAGCGCACGACGCTGAATGGACAAACCCTAACTACCCACGTTGTTGTATTCAAACAAGCAGCCTTATCAAGGCGGAGACAATGGCGAACGTTCTGTGTCAGCCGGGGTAACGTTGTCATCTCTTCTCCACTCAAGCGTGGCGACCTAGCTCACGAACCGTCAGGTACTCGTCGTGTGCCAGACCTGTACCTTCATAAACCGTTTCAACACCTTTTCTTGACACTTTCGTCTTCGGCTGGGAGCCACGCAGGGTCTGCAACGCGTCTGTCACCACCCTTCCCTCCCCTTCAATATTAAACTTTCCTCAATGAGATCTAAACACCGCACGAATAGTGCGGACTTACCAAATGCCCGTTCGCTATTGGCAAGGTAGAGTCTCATCGTGACCCTGACCCATGAGGCTCTTAAGTCAGGAACAGCCAAATACGCGCGCACACAATGGGATAGCTGAATACACATGGGAGATTTGCAAATGCCGTCTTTTTCCAAACCGAACCCCATTTCCGAGTCTCGAATCTCTCATCCAACCATCTTGAACTTCTCGTATTCGACGATCCTAGCCCTACAAATCTAATTTAAAAATTGCGAAATTTAAAACAAGCTATCGGCAAAAGGCGCAAAATCCAACAGGTACGAAGATCTGTCGTCGCTGACAGCTATGAATAGCAATATCAAAATTCGCCATGCCCATGATATTGCCAATTGCCACATCGCTAACAACGCGAAGCCCTAAACCCCATCCACAACCGCCCCCAAAAGGCAAATCTCAACAATCATCACTATCCAGAAATCACAAAATTCAGGCTCCCCGCTCTAACCATTTTCAGCTGCCAGCCTGAACAGTAAGCCATGAAGAACGCTTTCCGTTCTAAGGTGATGTGGCGCCTAAGTACCGAAGGCGGCCCGCTTGGTTGACTCAAGCCCCATCGGCAAATGTCAGTGGCGGCGCCGCCGCCGCAAAAATATCAAATTTCCTTTCTGCTTGCATCCATGGAATTTTCCTATCTTTTGGAATCCCCGAGTCTATTGATTTTATCTGATCCATGAATCGGATTACCGGAAAATGCTTGTGCATCGCCTATGCAAACAGCCACAAAACGTCACCATCCTCCTCCTGTCTGTCCCGCCGCTAACCCTAATCTCCAACCCCCAATCTCTTACAATCCTCACAAAAACAAGTCTTCAACCCTGATAGATCCTCGACCTTCCCTTTGCACCGGTTAAACCATAATAATAATAAAAACCCCCCCAACAATTAACGCCCAGAAAAAGGCCCTAAATCCCACCTTTCCCAATGGTCAGAAATCAGCGTCAAAATCAGGATGAAATATCAGCGATCCGGAGTATCCGGATACCCAAATCTTGATTTCCCTTCCATATCGCACCTGCATACCGTATATTCCCGCCCCTGTTCGAGCGGCAGCTTTCCAGCCGAAACGCATCATAATACACACCGCTCGCTCATAGGCTCATTTCTCTGCCGTGTTCTGACTGTTTCTTGTGAATACGACGTTGGAAGTGGATTTGAGATGTCCAAGATTTGAGTCCTGGACAGGTAGGTATTGCCTTGATTCTCAAGACAACCTCGGGTGAGAACCGAGTCCGACAGGACTCGTATCTCCAAATGTCCAGAACGGCAATTGATAAAGATGAGAGCTTCATAATGTTGTATCACATCACGTTATTCACATAAACCTCATGCCATCAAGAATCTTGTCGTAGCAATTCAGTCGCTCTGTTCAGTCCATTTTCCATCACTCAACTGGCGGCGAAACCGACGACCCAAAGGAAGTCACGACGCCCGCCACTAAATTACAAGGGAAAAAAACTGATTCGAATCCGAGATCCACAATCCTCCCACGCCGGCGCCAAGCATATCATTTTTCCGTGAGATGAAAGGAACCAAATACCATGCTCGTGGTGAGCCCGAAGGCAAGGTAGTGTGTTGTGGAGAGTAGTGGATAAGTTAAGAAGAAACTACCTCTGGCGATCTCCCATCTTTCCGACCTCTCAGTTGTTCATGTAAGACCCAGCATCGATACCCTCCTCTGGAAATTCCCTATACCTCATTAGCATCAAGGATATAACAGGTGAGCTCAGGGAACTTACGGAAGGGCAACACTGAAGCGTTCTTCAATTGTCTTCAGGACCTCCTGGTCCATGTCGCTGCTAACGAAGGAGATGGAGAGACCCTTGGTTCCGAAACGACCGGCACGACCGACACGGTGAAGGTATTGATCAGCTTTCTCCGGCATGTCGTAGTTGATTGCAACATTGATGCGCTCTACATCAATGCCACGACCGAAGATGTCAGTCGACACGCAGATTCGGGTGTTGAACTCCTTGAATTCTTTGTACCGCTTGATACTGAAAGCGGGTAAGCAAATGAGGAAAGTAGGAAAGAAAGGCGCAAATACCGTTCAACTTGGTCAAGGCCGCCGTGAACTGCCGTACTGGGGAAATTGCACTCGCGAAGGAGCTTGTCAAGCTCAACGCAGCGGACAGTAGACTTAACGAAGATAATGACCTGGTTGAATTCAAGAGTGTCCAGAAGGTCATTAAGCTTCCGGTTCTTCTCTCGTTCATCCAGCTGGATATAGAACTGCTGGAGACCGTGGAGGGTGAGCTTTTTCTCGTCATCCACGTAGATCTCGAGCGGGTTACGCATGAACTTCATGCAGACAGGTCGGATTTCTTTGGCCAAGGTGGCAGAGAACATCATGACCTGCTTGTGAGTAGGAGTAGCGCGGAAGATTGCCTGAACGTCATGACGCATGTCTATAACAACAGGTCAGTGTAAGTAAAGAGAGATCGGCGAATACACCCACCAGGCTGATCGAGCATCTTGTCACATTCGTCAAGCACGAAATGCTTGAGACCAGCAAGACGCAGTTTCTTCTCACGGACCAGAGCATGGATACGTCCAGGAGTGCCGACAATGATGTGAGGGTGCGTCTCCGGGTTGGAGAGCATCTCAATATCCTTCTGGATGGGAATTCCACCGTAGAGCACAGCGGTTTTGACGTCCGGAAGGAATTTTGCGAACCGGGCGTACTCGTTGTTAATCTGATATGCTAGTTCACGGGTATGGCACATAACAAGGACGGTGGTCACTCCCACCTCAGGCTTCTCGTCCATCTGCTGTAGAGTTGCCAGAACAAAAACGGCAGTCTTTCCGAGTCCAGACTTGGCTTGACAAATAACATCGTTCCCCAGAATAGCTTGTGGAATACAGACTTGCTGGACTGTAGGAAGAAAGACCATGTCAGAAAATAATCTTATAAGCGGCAGAACAAACGAGGCGGCAGGAGGAGGGTGAGGGGTGCGCGCCGTCCATCTCGCAGTCGTGTCGTCGGAGCGAAACCATGACCGAGTATCCAGCTGCTGACCATATCTAACCAAAACAAAGACAACGCCTTCTTGAACCACCAACTTTAAATGTCTCGAAACAACATGGCTCGTAATGACCGCATGTGTATGACCACCGAAATCAATTACCGAGCAGAATACTAGGTATTGTGCAACACCGACGCAGCAGTGAAGATGGCAAGATATGGTAGCTCGCAACAGGCGGTGGATTTGCTGAGTTCGCTCGTACTCGCGACGTGCTGCGGAGATGGACGGATACTGTGGGGAATGGAAGGCTGAGGGGAAGAGTAGAACTAACCCTCGGATGGATGCTCGAAGCCGCAGTCCGTGATCGCGCGCACAAGTTCGTTCTTCAGAAGGAAGTCGCGGAATCCAGTAGTGTGAATGCCGACATAGCTGCCTTTCTTGTCACCGGCATCTCCAGGCGCGAGGCTGCCCTGGGCTGCGTTGTTGGCCGCGGCTGCGCCGTTCGCAGGGGTCTCGGTGGGCTGGATCTCCTCGTCGGAGTAATCAATAAGGTCTTCCTCGTGAGACATGGTTGTAGAATTTGCGAGAGAAGGTGAAGGGAAAGCTTTGTCGATGGTGGTTTGGTGGGACACTGTCAACAAGGCTGGCAGACAAAGGGAGTGTAGGCGTCAGGATACCAGAGGAGCACCGTAGATGTCTTTTGCGATATAACCGATTAGCTTTTAAGTCTCGAGCCCTGAGAGCAGTGCTATAAGACAGTCTGAGGAGTTGTGGTGGGGAGGGGAGGGGAGGCGAGGCGAGGCGGAGCTGTCGCAAAGGTGAAGAAAGAACGCTCGGCGTTGGATGCTTAATCAGCGACCCACCTAAACAGGTAAAGCGCCATTGGCATTGAGTGCGAGAACCTCACAGGCAGCTGGACTCACTGATACTCTCTTTCACATTACTCCTTCACTGTCCACCTTGACACCTTCTCCATCTGCTCCAGTTAATAAGGAATTGAGTCTTGGGCTCTCGCTGATTATACCACTCCCTGAAAGCGGTGAACGCACAAAGAATCCAGCACCACACTAGTTACTCAATATGGCCAAAGACAAAGCAATTGGTAAAGGAGTCCCTAACAGACATTTACATGCTAGGGCCACATTTTTGTATCAAGCAGCTGCCTACTTGACACTGCAAGCTGGGGATGATGGCTTAGGTTTAGAAACGACTGAGCATCCCACACAGAAAGAATCCTGCAAACAGCTGTCAGCCACACGCGGGAATTCTGGGCTCGCACTCCAGCTAGGTGCACACCTTCGCAGTGTATCTTTGAAAGGCCAAGTTCGCCTCTCTCCTCACTTGAAACGGTCACTCTGCAAAACCTGTAACGCTGTGCTTGTACCTGGCCAGAATTCTACTCAGGTCCTACAGAACAAGAGCAAAGGGGAGAGAAAACCGTGGGCGGATGTTCTGTTGATTCAGTGCAAACTGTGTGGCAGCCAGAAGCGATACCCAATTGGAGCAACACGGCAACAAAGGAAGACCAAACGGGCCCTAAGTACCAGGGACCAATCTGCCGGTATTCATTTTGTGGACATCGAACCACTCCATTCCGCCACTCTTCCTATCGAGACCGACCACGACCCCGGCTCTGGGTAGGAGCTAGCATGAGCATACTAGAAGACCATAGCCGTCACTTGTAACAGGAGACATGGGACGAGTAAGTTGCTTTTCAATATATACAATCCTAAAGCAGTGCAATGTAAAGCTAACCGAGATATACAAGGATTCTAGATATCTGCATCACACTCACCGAAAGAGAGGTTACATAAGACAGTTAATCCACGCCAAACTTCCTGACAAACAAGACTATATCGTCTAGCTGTTCAGGTTCCTTGATCCAATGGCCATTCCTCTCCGCTCCCATGTACTCATGCACTTCGATTTTTGCTTCAAGAGCTCGGAAAATTGCTGAAAGGTCATGGCAGTTCCTGATATTGACTGGAATGTCATCGGTGCCATGGCCTAAGTAAATGGGCATCTTCCGCACACACTTGTCGATCGTTTCCGTGGAGACGAAAGGTTCAAGCCCAAGGATATCGAGGAAAACGTGGCTAAGGGTTTGGATCGCTGGTGCCAGGCGTTTAGTGGACGTCCCAGTGGTGTCTGCTGCTTGTTTCGCCTCAGCTGTGAAGGGCATCCATCCACTCAATCCTATGAATCCTCCCAAGGTCCCTTGTGCTATTGCTGCGCCCGTAAATAAAGACCACAACGCGGTTGCCGCTCCTTGAGAGAAACCGCCGAGAATGATTCGATCAGACCTTCCGCCCAGCCGATTTGCTTCATCTTCAATAATGTCCTTGATGAAATGTATTCCATCTCTCAAACCTGCGACGTTGAGATCTTTCCTCTCGCTCAGGTCATCCAGAGAAAAGGTGTCGCACCAGGCCGACCGTTTCTCCTTGAAAGGTGTGCACCATCGTTGGCCAGCGTCGGGAAATACCCAGCGGAAAGTGGGAAAGCTAGACGTCAGATTTTGAGGTGAAGCAGACGTTTTGAGTGAGAGAAGGTCGGAGGCAAACTCCTTAGCTGTGCTGCTACGTCCGTGCAGGAGAATTATTGTGTGCGTGTGGGGGCCATTGGGCTGAGGCTCGATGATGGTGGACGGTGGATAGGACATACTGAAGGACTTGAAGGATTTACAGTCTCTTTACCATAATAAATATCCTTCCATTTATGTCAATTGTGCACCCTTGTCAAGAGTTAGGCACCAGCGCGCTACCGTGAACTAGCATGCAACTATGCGAGCAATCCGAAACCACCCTTGACTATCTACAGCATACCTCGGTATTCTCACAACCACAGAACATGACCAGGGGCGGACTTACTGGTCTGTTGAACCTCTTGCTGAAATGGGAAGGTTCAAACGAGGAGGAGCCTTCTGTGTTAAATCAGATTCTTGTCGTGTTCGTTCGTATGTGCCAACCTGCAATATCATTGCATTTCAGATAGCGCATACTACAGAATGCTGGGAGTTGACGTAATATTCATTTTCTATTTCAAGAGCTAGAATTGAGTGGAGATTTACTATGATGGGTATCTAGATCTTGCTTTCATTTCACTTAAGCATGGTTGTCCCATTCCTGTCATTCAACGGAGTATGCCCGCGGAGTATCAAGCAAGCTTCGCTCACTTGGAGATTTTTGAATCCTTCTAAGGTTGGACTACTATCAATTACCACTAACACGCTACCACTACAGTGCAAATACTTTGTCTTCCAAGCGCAAAGTAGACGGAATCTTCTTCAAACGTGAGTAGTCTCCCATCTTTAGGCTCACACTAGAACCGCGGTGCGTTGCCCACTCAGCCCGGGAGCCCACAGTTATGTGCACGTGATGGCGTGTTGTCGTGGTTTCCAATGGTCCGTGTGTTGCCCCACTATCTTACATACCAAACGACCGCGACGCTGAGTAACATATTAGCTGGAACATAGACACCATTACCGCAATTGTCTTGCGTCCTCAACTTCAAAATCACAGAATCTCAAGCTGCGACCACAGCTAATTTCTCCCAACAGCCAAGGAAGTCACGCCCATCTGAGGCGCTGCGGCTTCCGTAGAGGCGCCTACTTTCCTGATCTCGACCACTTGCCAATCTTGAGATTTTTCCTAACTCCTTCCATGGTGGAATCTTTTCCGGGTGGTCCTGTTAATCGTGCTTACGAAGTCAACTTAGACATGGTTGGACCACCATCACCCCCCAAGCTGGAGCATCACTGTGGCATATGCTCGAAATCATTCAGAGTGAAACTTGCTCTTAAACAGCACATGCTGCATCACAAAGAAATGCGGAGCGCTTGGACATGCAAAGTGTGCAACACGCGATTTGAGGATGAGCTGGCATTGGAACAGCACAGGATAAAGACTCTCCATGATCTAAGGCCGGATAGCCAGTGCCACACTTGCAAGCAGTATTTCCCATCGGCCAACAAACTTAATCGGCACCGCAAATTCCCGTTACCTTGTGCGGATGCTTTCCGGAAGCCATCAGAACCCAAGAATCGCAACGGACCAGCCCAGATGCCTCGCCTAGCGAATTCTCCAGGAAAGGAGTATGCACATCCTACTCCCAAATTCAGCCTATCGTACATCGAACCGTCACCAGATATAACTCGCCTAACGTACATTGAGCCATCTCCGGGACAGACGAGTACTACGAGTGCTGAGGGCCCGTATTGCGATGTATGCAAGAAGTATTTTGCTAACCGAGGAGCGTACAACAATCACTGGTTAGGCTGCCGACCATCACTACCAGTTCAAGCTCTCCCGGCTCGGTCTTCACAGGTTCACGTGGCCCTAGCCAAAGATCCAAAAGGTCGAGCTTCGCTCAAGTGGACTGAGCGAGAAGAGAAATACGAAGAGGAACTGATGCGTGAGAAGAACAGCCGCCTGGAGCGCGCGATTAATGATATGAAAGCACTTGAGCTTCAGCGAGAGCACTGGAATCGTTCACACCGGGAGATGATATACGAAATAGAGGAAGGGGAGGGAAACGATGTGGACAAAGTAGTTCAAGCACGGGCTCTCCTTACTGCGAACATTTCTGTGCACGCACCAGCTGTTCAAGATGTGTCTGTCCCAGCTCCGGAGACCTCACCAATTGTAAAGACAGATACGTCATCTGATCCGGTGGAGGGCTCAATCAAGGAACAGCCGCAGGCTCAAGCATCAGCTGCAACCCTCTCACGGCAAGGTGGACCTGTGGTGTCCCCACCACAACGCCAGAAGGACGTATCTAAGTCTGCAGTGATTGCGCAACGACAGGATAGACCACCAAAGTCTCTCATGGAAGCATCAAAGCCCATTCCAATCACCCGGTCAGTCTTTCCTCCCCAGCTAGCTCAGCCTGCATTCCCACCACCTATAGCTCAGACTTCGACGACAAATATTCCGAGTGCGCCGGCCCCAATCAGTTTCCAATGCAAAATTAGAGGATGCCAAGCAACATTCCAATCTAAACCTGCGTTGAACGTTCACAAAGCAGACATACATGGAGTTGGCGGTCGGAATCCTGATCTCCATCGAAAGGATCCATACATGCTTTCTCATATTCAGAAACAAAGTCCAATCGAGTCAGAAGTATATAGGCCACATCAATCTCCGGGCATAACCACCCCACGAAATCTGAGGGGAGGGGAATACCCTGCAAGCGGTCACCCTTCTGATGGCTATCCGAGTCCCCAGCAACTAGCTGCCCCGGCATCCTACTATCCACCAATGGGACCTTCCGGTCTACCAGGCGCTACTAGCTCCTCTGTCAGTGGCCCTGAAGATATGATTCAAGCACGAGAGATCCGTGAGAAGATCATGCGTCTTTTACTGCAGTCCGATGTTGTCATCCACCATGATGGAAAGATTACATGTGGCGGTATTAATTGGACTCGGGTCGGAGTTTCGAGGCAGCGTGAGGTTGCTGGTATGTTTGCCAAACTTTGCCATCTGCCAGAGACGCTCCAGTACTCTGAGTATCTTCCACCTCCCAAAACCTTCAAGGACGAGTACACTGCCGACTACCCTGTTGGGAGATTCAAACTTTCCCCGGAGCGATTCATCACCAAGCCGACTCTGGAGGTTGTAGCAATTTCTTGCAGTAGGATTACCTTAGCAAACGGACTCCAAGAGGTGGTCAAAATTGCGGCTATTGATGTGACCTCCTGCCGGATCTTAATGAATCACCTTGTCTGCACAGACCCGAAGGCCTCGGTGCGGGACTGGCTCACGAATACTACCGGATTGACTGCCTGGCGTGACATGGAAGCTGCCCGCCAACTAGGATACAAAGTCTTGAAGGGATGGTGGGCAGCTCGAGCTGCACTTTGGAAGTTCATTGACAAGCAGACCATTCTGGTTGGCTACAACCTCCGGGGTGAACTAGATGCACTTCGAATGATCCATGGTCGGTCTGTTGACGTTGCTAAAATTGTCGAAAAGGCCGCCAGTGGGCCGCTATCCAAGCAACAGCTAAGTCTTGAGAGTTTGTGTCGAGATCTTCCCGCCGCTCATCTTACGACCAATCCAACCTTCGGCCAAGATGCTCTACAAAATGCTTTCGCGATCCGGGAGTTGTGTCTTTATATTATCAAGAATGAAGACAATACCAAGAGGTGGGCAAAGGCGAAATCATTGGACTATCAGCGGGCCACAGGCACCGCTTGATTGTCCTGCACAACAACGCCCATACAGCCTACGAACGTATAATTCCAGACAAGCAAACAGGAAAGAAAGGAATAAGGATGAAAATGGTGGATACCTAGGCTATAAAGAAAGGAAAGGTGATGAACTGAATGAAACGAAACGACACCCATGCTTCCAAGAATGAAAAGCTCCACTCTATAATGAAATAAAACAGCGGAAACGCAACCGGTTGATCATATTAAAGTGTAATAGTAGTTTGCAATAGGATTGATGGAATGGAGTTGTGTCTATCGATGACGTCTCCAGATCACATTGGAGGACCATGTCAATGGGAGAAATCGTCCGAATAAAGATGACACTGTATAGCTCCTTAGCTTTCCTGAAGTATCTCCTAGTGTACTTAGAAGGTACTTCCTTATAAGTCACTAGGATAGAGTGGAATGGACCACATGATTATTTCCCTTTCTGCTTGAATATCCGTCCGCGATGCGTGATGTGTGCGAGTGAGGTTTCGCAATTCTAATTCTATTTCCCCAGATATCCATCCAAATCCCCAAGCCCACAAACCCCATCACTTCCCCTCATTAAGCCTACCCTCTTCATCCTTCTCCACAACATCCACGACAAACGCCCCTCCTAACAAAATCGCCGGCTCCTCGATACTATGATGTTCATAACTTAACGTCCCTACACCCCCCGCCTCTAATATTAAACTCGGATTCCCCTTCAAATCCTTCCCAATCCACCTTGCCGCAAATGCTCTTAATATATGTCCATGCGCCACTATCAGCACATCATTCGGAACCCCCTGCTTCCCCTTCCACCCGGAGTCTTTGCCAAACTGGCCTTCATGCCACTTCCCTCTTATCTCCGCGATTAGGGCATCAAGACGGGAGGTGACTTCTTCGGGGGATTCGCCGCCTTCACACCCATCGCGCCATATGTCCCAGTCTGGGGGGAGACCGCGGGAGAGTCGGGAGGCGCGGATTTGAGGTGATGTGAGGCCTTCGTAGGATCCGTAATCCCATTCGCGAATGGAGGGGGTGATGGAGATTTTGGCGTTTGTGCGGATGTCAAGGGACTGGGGCGAGGCGGGGGTGGAGGAGTTATGCCATGGATAGCGGTCTCGACATCCTAGGTCTAGGAGTTCGAGGGTGCGTTGGGCGCGGTGGCGGGGGGATACGTAGCTTGAATTCACTGACTTAGTACAGGAAATAACAGAGATGGAGGGGGAAAGAGAGAAAGGGAGGAAAGGATTGCGTACATGTGTGCGAGATTTCCGGGGACGATGAGTCTGTCGTCACCGACGAGCGCTTTGCCGGTCGCTTGCACTCGCTTTTCGCCGTTGGAGGTTAAGGGGAGTTCGGTGGTGCCGGTGTGGCGGCCATTGAGTGACCATTCCGTCTCTCCATGCCGGATTATGAAGACCCTTGGGTCTGGCATTGTTGCAGAAAGCTGGATGCCAGGTGACGGGTGCTTGGAGGAGCTGTGGGTGAATTGCTACACAGAGGGATCAAGCCGACGGAGAGGAAGTTAGTTACGGTAAAACACTGAGGCCTAACATTTGCTAAGAGGAAGTAAAATCTCGAATACTAAAAGAAAGTAAGGCAAATTTAGGAAATTCCGGAGGTGAGAAGGGGTGATGATCACGGAACAGATGAATAGAGGGGTAGCTTCTACCCCACCATCCTGTATCATGGAATTTCTCCCGCTGGTTCAGTCAGCTTTATATATCTGTTGGTCGGCTTCAACCCAAGTTTGAAACCACTCAAGTATGTTTTCTTCATTCCGCAAAAGGTGCGATCGGCATTGAAACTCGATTTTTGCCTGCTGAAATCGTTTTGGTGTGCTAATTCTCTAAGGTATGTACAGTTTGCCCTATTCATCAAAGTCCAACACATCTACAACCCATCGGTATGGTATGCTTCAAGCCGATGCGTCCCGTCTACTACCATACGGCCGTCAGCAACCTCATCTTCTAACCTCCCGCTTAGCTGTATCATCCGCAACACACTGATGATAATAATCTAAAGCTCAAAATCAGCAATTGATCAAACGTAAGTGTTTTTCAGATACGTACCATTCTGCAAAACACAAACAGCTCCTGACACACACTTTGTGCATCCTGTCCATGGCACACCTCCATAGTATCCTCCACACTGGTAGTACAGGGGCACGGGACATTTCGTACTGCTCGGTCCACTGTCTTCTGGTCCTGTTTTAGTACCCGAAGTGACCACTGGCGGCTTCTGTGAAGTTTTGATAGTCTAGGATTGGATTAGCGTTTGGTCGCAACCCGCGATCGGCTACTAGGCGAGATAGAAGGTTTCATTGAACACTAAAGACATGTACCTTTGTGGGCGGATAGTTTGGTTCGTCAGTCGTTTCGGGGTCCGGCGGCGAATATCTACTCGTGCTACGGGGAATAGTGGATGTCCTCTTGCTTGTCGGCGTTGGCGTCGGCGTTGGCGTTGGCGTCGGCGTCGGCGTACTAGTCGTCTTGGGTGGAGATGATTTAGGTGTTGTGGTCGTTTTCGGCACCCCTCCAGGCACGGTGTACGTGGTGGGAATATCGATAGTCGTTGGAGGATTGTCAGGGCAATTGACTCCGAGACATGTGATGGTGTAGGTTTTGTCCCTCTGCCTTTCCTCGAAACGATTATTGTGCGGCGCCTAGTACCTTTAATTAGCTAGTTGATGTGACGATGTGAGTGTAGGTGTACATACCGCAAGTAAAACTGAAAAGAAGGCCGACAAGACTACCGTGAACGCAAGGAGCTTCATGATCGCGGAGGTAGGAGAAATTTCAGGACAAAGCGGGCGGAGAAAAAAATCATCGAACTGACGAGAAATGCCCTCTGTATGCTATATGAAGAATCTTATATTGTGATCGCCTGGTTGTCGGTTACTGACCTGCAGTATCCCGCTGTTCGTCGCGGCAAAGGCATTTTGGCCTACATGTCGAGAATTAGGCCGTCCTGGGCGTTTTTTTTTGTGAACCATGCTCTGTAACATATTGACACCAATCTAATTCACCCTAGCCAAGCGACTTGACCCTCCGCTTTGCGTTAGAGAGATGCTGTGGTCATCAGAATCCCATTATACGGAGTTGCAACAACAATGTCGGGGCGGGACGGATCCCAATGCACAACAATATCTGAAAAAGGCTTCCAAGCTAAGCATGGATTTAATGCTTTCTCCCCAGTCACACAGCGACTGCAATGTCGATATTAGACAGGTGGGGTCACGGATATTTAGTGTACTCGAAAACAGCAGTAAACCTCAAGTCTAACATATGCTAGACGCTAGTAGCCATGTTAGAAAATAAACTAGAAGATTTGGTGTCTGACAATAGCATACTCGCCCCAGGTCATGACATTGGAAAACGATCAGATCACTGAGTCGAAGCTATTTCCGTCGTCCCTCGCATGTTAGCTTTTTACCCGCAAATTAGATACGACAGAACCCACGCCAAGAGTCAAGAGTTAGAGGAACTTGCCGAAGCCTGATTCCGGTGGTGTGTACCGTATGAACGGTCCCTCAGTCTTACCAGGCACAACGAGATTGAATTAGATGATTGCTAGGGCCGTGAACCGGACCTTAGACCAATTATCAGCAAAGTGTAAATTATGTGCAGGAACGAGGAACCCGTATTACGCGGGAGGCGTGAGGTGGAGATCAATAATACCAGTTAGATAAAACCAGGGAAGTGTTTAAGGGAAACGTCCAGCCAAAGGCCAGGATACTGGAGATTGAATTAGAAGGGAAAGAAGCTAATTCTTCCAGGAAGCTCATCGCCACCCAAGCGCCTTATCTTTAAAAGACAGCCTTCAGATCTCGCTAAGGTAAGAGTGCCATTGAGCCATGGTGGTTATTGACGGAAGAATGAATCCGACGAAATAAAGTGAGTGCGTGCAAAAGACACTGTTCCTGGTAAAAGCGAGTACGAGGATCATGAGATTATAGGGGAGGTTTTAGAAAACAAGGACTGAAGGTATTGCAGGGCTCCTCGATTTGTCTTCCTGTCGGAATTGCGAGTATTCACCCCCACATGGTCTTATTGAAGCCTCAGACTGCTAGCCTGCTGTATGCTGTCAATCGTAGACCAAGGGCGCTTTCGGAAACCTGTACTGTGTTCGTACAACATTTCCAGCGCCACGGGGTCCTTGTTTGAGATCTAGATTTAGCGCTCGATGGGGTTCGTAGAGCAAAGCCCAATGCTAGGCAAAGCATTCTCGTCTCTACTACAGAGCTTAACGGAGAATATTCTCTACCGTCTTCATCCCTTGGTTGTACTGGAAGCTTGAGTATCGCCAAGGAAATGTCCAACCCCAATCCACTTCCTCACCAATACCGCTCCACCAGGCTTAAGCTTCCTGTAGTAGCCTTCCTCTTTTCCAAGAGTCTCAAATCCTCTTTTCTTGTACCATTCTAGACCGTCATCGTTCGCCTCCCAGACATGCGCAGTCACGTACTTCACACCATGCTCTTGAGAAGCCTTCGCTACAATTCTCTGCAGCAAATGCGTTGCTATCCCATGGGAGCGGTAGGGCGAGAGCAGACAGAGTGTGGAAATGTACAGGGTTGAAGACGGTAGCAGCCGACAGGAGAGAGCGCCTATCAAATGTGGTTTCTCAGTATCGTCAGAGGGGGGATCGGTGGGTGGTTTGGGATGCCAAAGTGCCATTAGGGTTACGCTATGATTCGGCTCGGCCATGGTTTCAGTATAGAATTGGGTGGGATAGGCAACTGGGAGTGTTAGGGAGTTGAGGCGTTTGAAGGCAGGAATGAGATCTTCGGTCAGCGGGACTAGGACCACGTTGGGAGGGAGTGGAGGGAGTGAGAACGATGTCGGGACGGGCGAAGGCTGCGCTTGAGGTACAGGTATTGAAGCTTCTTCGTCACTGAGAACAGACTCGTCTTGGGTAGCTTTAATCTTCGGTAAGGATGTAGTGATGTGCTGGGATTTAGAAAGCGAAGTATCGGCTGTGATAACAGATGCAGGCTTCTTGAGCCATGCCGTGATCGACGACTGGAGCATGTTGGTGAAAGAACGAAGAGGACGGACTACGGCGCTGCGTGGTTATGTACGCTTCTCCTAATTAGTAAACAAGGGGTTTTTTTTTTTCAGCACCTCCCCGAGAGCGCGGAGCCGCCAAACAGGCTGTGATTAATATTGACAGTAGAGGTCAAATTGGTGATGGGATTTTGATGTTGAGGCGCGACGCGACACGGGTGAGTCAGCAATTTGCCAAGACCCATGTGACCTTCCTGCCAGCTCCGACAACCTTGGAACTCAGGCGAAGCAGCATCAGGACCTTCAAGCAACAAACATGGGGGCAGAGAACTCCAAACCTTCAAACGAGGTCGCCCAGCACGTATTCTCATCGTGAGTATTTCTCCGCGTCACCAATTGGCCTCTGAATGCGCCCATTGTCTCAGGCTGATCCTTTTTCCCGCCCAGAGATGCCCCCGTCCGATTCTCAAATGAATTGGTAGATTCGCTGCAGAGGAACACTCAAGTAAGCAATTAGGTGGACGAAAGAGCATTTCCAATGCCAATTGACCTCCCAGACCGATTCCATCCGATCCAAACAACAAGAACTGCAATACCAAACCCGCCTGACCTCTGAGCTCGAGAAACTCCGCGAACAGGAAACTCAGAACTTCTCTAAGCTATCCGAGACTCTCGCTGAGGAAGCCGAAAGGCCGTCTGAACCGACTCTTGCCGACAAGCTTAGCGACGCAACATCCAGTTCCTCCACGCTCGCCGAGAAGCAACGACAAAAGGATATGAGCCGGGATAGCGTGACCAAGGAAATAGAGGCGTTGAAGAAGAAATTGCAGGGTAGGAAGAGGATAGAACAAGTAGACTCCGCATTGGGCAAGGCAAAGGAGGATGTCGCTACTTGCCTAAGGCTGAACGATCGAAGGCCCCTCGATTGCTGGAAAGAAGTGGCGACGTTCAAGAGGGAAGTCGGGCGGTTGGAGAAAGAGTTTGTGGAGAAGACCATTAGGTGAACGTGAGGGATACCACCCGACTCACCAGGGCTGTATTAGGATTGTGTATAGATAGAGAAGGCTGTTCGAAAGCTTTTATGGAATCATCTTCCTCACCACACCCCAGTATCACTGTCACTATAACGAGGGTTGCGGTGCCTACAGCACTAGCTCCTTTACGTTCACCACCTCTCATAATCCTTTTCCTATTTCATTTCCATCCTTCTCTTTTGCCTTCCCCAATCACACTCTCTTTCTCCTAAGTATCCACGCCACCTCTCTCGTTAAGATGTCATTCTATCACTCTATCCTTGGCTCTGACACCGACGAAGAGTACAGTGATTCAGAGAAGGATATTGAAATCATCGACTCGAGTAAGCCCATTGAGTCCCATAGGCATAGGCGCTTTGCTAACTGCACAACTGCTAGACTCTGAAAATTCAGATGTTGAGATCATAACGATCGAGGATGGCAGCCCAATCGCCCTCCCTGAATCTTCGATTGGCAGAGCATTTCGTGGCCCGGGGCAGCCAGCTACTTCAGTTCGTGCCAGCCAAATTCAACTTCCAAACGTGGAGCTAGATATATTTCAACTGGAGGCTGGTATTGCAATCAAAGTCGGCGATACAGTCGAACTCAAAGACAAAGTTGATAGAAGAGGGGACCGGCTGCATAGCGGGGCCTTTCTGAGGGTCAAACATATCCTCAAGGATCTAGAGACAGATGAAGTGAGGCTGCGAGGATATCTCCTCTGTCGCACCAAGTACCATGGGCAATTTTTCGACTGTAAGTCTACTCAAGAATGCATTATTTTTAATGTCGCCAACCTAGATCAGGGAAAATGAACGAATTAGTCATGGTCTTAAGCGTCTTCGAGGATGATGATAGGTCCGCCTTCGTCCAAGGGATGGAGGAGTTCCCAGTTGAAGAGGTCCTTCGCAAGCGTGAATGTATTATCACGCACATGTCATATCCTGCCATGAGTTTTCGAGAAGGCCTGCTTCCGATCCACCTCCAGACAGACCAAGAGAGGAAAGCTCATATCTTTCACAAGGGTCGCCTTACTTGCAGATGGGTCAATATCGCAATCCTCACCGAAACCAAGAGGAACTACTCTGGGGTGATTCGAGGCATCTACTCTCGCGAAGCTGACTCGCGCCAGCTACCAGTGCGCATCCGGGCAAAGGGACACACTCCGAACATGCCGATCGATCTTGATGAGGATGACGAACAGGGTGGCGGCCTTATCATCGATCACCCTCAAGAGGCTACGTCCGGAAAGCGACATCGTGCCACAAATTCAATTGAAGAAATCGGCTCCTTGGGTCACCCAAGCTCTGCCAGGGAAGGCAATCGGCATAAGAGAACTACTAGCATTGAGGAGGTTTCCGCAGACGGACGGCCTGCTCTTCCGTCAAAATCGATGAGGTACACTTTTGGAGATGCCTTCTGCGGTGCCGGTGGTGCATCCCAAGGAGCTTCCAGCGCTGGCCTGCATATTAAGTGGGGTCTTGATAAAGATGAGTATGCTATACTGGCATACGGCTCCAATTTTCCTGGCGCAGCGACTTTCCAGATCGACGCTCACGAGTTTCCCCGTCCCTGGATGAAAAATACCCTATTGAGAGTAGACGTCCTGCACCTCTCTCCTCCATGCTGCTATTGGAGTCCTGCACAGTGAGCTGAACTTGTCTAACTTGCAATGCTCTCGATCTCTGACTTTTTTCTTAGTACAAGAGCAGGCCAAAATGATCAAGCTAATTTTGAAACCATCTATACCGTTGGGCCGATCCTCGCCAAAATCAAACCTAGAGTGGCGACCTTGGAGCAAACCTACGGCCTCGTTACCCATGGACAGCACAAGAAAAATTTCCGGCAGTTGATGAATGACATCGGGCGGGCGGGGTATGATATTCGCTACAAGATCCAAGACCTGTCCGAATTTGGGCTCCCGCAGCGTCGCAAGCGCCTTTTGATAATTGCTGCGAGGTAATGTTGCATTCTACTATCGCCCTTGCTCATGACTGACCGTGTATAGACGTGGCACACCCCTCCCGCCCTTCCCTAAGCCAACCCACGGGCCCGCCGGCAGCGGATTGCAACGGTTCAAATCCGTCCACGATGCCTTAGAGCCCCTCCGACATCTCCGTCGGCGCACTCGAGACGATGACTACCACATGCCCGAAGACATGAAAACGCTCCACAAAACTCCCTACAACCCAGAGACCTCTTTCCTAAAAGGCTGCGTAACCGCCGGTGGCGGCGAAAACCACCACTACTCTGGTACCCGGAAATACACCACACGCGAGATGTCGCTTTTCCAGAGTTTCCCATACAGCTACATCTTCACCGGCAGCCATGGCGAGGCCATGAAGCAGGTCGGTAATGCCTTCCCCCCGGTCATGGCAGAAGCAATGTACAAGATCATCGCGCAAACGCTGGAGGCTTTTGACCATGGGATGATCGGCCCAGATGACGAAATCCATGACCTTGACGCTTTCTTGGAGGAGCGGGGCATCAAACTCCCTAAATCCCCATCTCCATCTCATCCTCTACTCGGCACCCCACTCAATCCTAAAGCCCTTCACTCTCCATATCGCTATCTTGCCGCTGCAAGCTCAGGCACTGGAACCCCTTCAAGGACGCCAACCAAGAAATTGTCGCTTTGGAGATGCAATAACGACATTGATCCGATTGCGCCGAATACCGAGAGGAGGCCTGCTCCTACGCCATTAATTTGGGGGAATTGGAGTAGGAATGGGAGAGAAGCCCTAGGGCACTCGTTGCATGTCCATCCGAAGCGGAGACATATGATGGATAAAGAGAGAGCAGAGAGAGCGGAGGAACCGGAAGCTAATGGAGAGATTATCGAGTTGGACTAGGCTCTGAGGGAATTGGTGGAAGAGTTGGTTTGTGGTTTGGGTTGCGTAAAATCAATTTTGCAGGTTGAGGTTTAAGGGTTTGGATATCTGGGAGTATGGGAAGGTGGGTGCCCTATACCGTCGAACGCATGTTCTTTTCTCGGATTTTCAAAACTCCAGAGCTTCTGGAATGGCGAAACAAGGTTTGACGAAAACTTCATGTGGGAGGGACTCGAGTGGTATTAGATACACAATAAATTCACATCATACCACATCGCATGCACCAACTCCTTTAATTCTAGCAGCATCTCATGCCACCCTAGTCCCCTCAGTTCTGTCTCAGAGCCCACTCGCGCCATGTCAGCACTGTAGCACATCGAACGGAAATTTTGGTCTGTCGCTAGTAACTCGGGAAACTTAGGACAGATAGAAACTTGGATGTCGTTTGCCACCTTCCTAGCTGTACTACTTGTCTTGGTGGATTAATTCTTCGTTGTTGAATACTCGCGATTAGTCTAAGTGCGATAGTATGCTGGTGTTTATATGCTGGTTATTGTATGCTTGTAGTATATAGTTTACGCTGACATATATGGGAGGAGATGAAATGTTATGAGTTATATTTTTGTTATTCTCTATTGATCTATTGATGCTATCTAATACATTTGGGTGATAAAACTAAAGTATGGCTGTCTGTCTTCTGCTTCTATGCCTCTGCTCTGCTCAAACCACTAGTTCGGCCCCAAATGATAAGGGGCTGGTGGTGGAGATATGGAAACGTATGTGAGTGTATGGAGGGAACGGTGTTGGTAATGATGTTGGTGGTGTCTATGTTGGGGAAAACGTCTTCGCGGTGGTGAGTGAGAGTATGAAGCTGCAAATTCGCGACGATTTGCTGAGACGGAGTGCGTCTGAGGAATCGATGATATCGGTGGGATCATAGCATCCACACCGGGGAAGGCAGGCAGTAGAGATGAAGAGGAACCATCACTCGAGACTGGAAAATCGAAACGAGAAAGTCGCAAAATGCCACGACATGATACCTAGACGCACTAATGTATTGCTTCCCGCACTTGCCATACGATCTGCTAGACCTCGAATCTGTCATCGTCCGAGGTCTCGTGTGAATCAGCGAAAGTCAGCGACTCCTTGAAGCGCTGCCACTGCCTCAAACCCGGTCAATCCGCCTTCAAAGCCACACTCTGGACTTTTCGCTCCAAATATGGCGCCAGATCCATTTTCTCTTTAACCCCACTCTCTGGCTTTAGCACCCCATTCTCAAACATAGCCAGCATACGATCAATCTTGACCTGGCTCTGGCAAAACATGACCTGGCACGCGAGCAACAAGATACTCCTCGTCACAAAGACATTCGGGCGCAACTCGGTATGATAGTAGCTCTCCGCAAAGTCAAAGTGAAACGGCATTTTCTTCAGCGGGACTGCAGCTAACGCGGAAACAAAGTCTCTGTCACGATCGCAGACACAGAACGAGATCAGCGAGCGGCGCGCGCAGAAATGGTGGTTGACTGAAGCGGCTAGTTTGAAGGATTTGAGTTTTGGGCCGCTGACCCGAAGGACGGAGACTACGTTGGAGATGTAGACAACAGCGGCGGGATCTTCATGGAGTTTGAAGGACTCGAGTCTTGGAGCGGAAGTTGAGGCTTTGGCGGGGTAGTAGAGGAGGTCAATGGTGAGATGGCGGATGGACAACCAGCGTACGGGATGAAGTGGGGGGTCGAAGCGACCAAGAGCTTTGATCTTGGCTTCGGGGGAAGATTCTTTGGAGGCCTCGGTGTTTATATCCTCTGGGATGCTCGTGATCACGAAGGTGTTTTTGCCAAAGAACACTTGATGCGCTTCATCGTAGATCTGGCGGCTGACGGCGAGAATAGCAGGGGACAATCCGTACTTCTTCTCCTTTCTGGAGACTCGACCCCGGATAGGTTCATCTGCAAGGAGGAGCTCCTCGTACACTGCCAAACGAAGCTCTGGCGGTAGTTTATCTAGTAAGAAGCACTCCCCAACTGGCATTTTGGCGGGCTTCATCGGAGGTTCACCAGGAGCAGAGAGGGCTGCTGCTTCGTCCAGTGTTGGCACGGAAGTGATTTGACCTAGACCTGACAATTCTCTGGTTGCCATCGGAGGTGAGGTTTTCTTTGGTGGAAAGCGGTGTCGTGAAGAGCTAGTTGTCTCACAGTGCGAATAAAGTTTGTGGGTAGGTTTTACCCTGGATTTTCTCGTTCGCGATAGATTTCAAGAACGTGAGAGAGGCAGCGAGGAAGGGTAGGAGAAACACTTCGACCTAAGTGAAAGTTGCTGGAGTTGACAATTGAGGAAGTGAGGTTGAAGGTTATCTTGTTCATTCGCGGTTGTCATACGGAGCAGCAATCAGATGATCTATTTGTTTTGGAGCAGGCACTCCTCATTCGCTCAACTCCTCCTATCACCGCACCATACTTAATAGTTAGCTTAATGTTCGAGAACGCCCCCGCGGCAGATAGTTCGTCTAGAAAATACACGTTTCTGTAACAGTCGTCTTATTTTAGCCTCTTGTCATCCCCCACCTGCACTCCAGGAGCCGAACTAGCAGCCATATAGTAGCCTCTTGGTCAGCATGGGAAGAGTCAGAATATCACGAGGCACAACACCAAATTTAAGCTCAAGTATGGATTCAATATAATGTACAGCAGTGCTCGGTAGACCACCATGGCTGGTCCGTTTGCTGAAGGAAGGGCATCATGATTCCCTTCATCCGCCCGTACCCAACCCCAGGAAGCATTCGAGTTAAAAGTAGGGGGTGAAAGGGAAGGTGTATCATGCCAGGAAACCCAGCCGACTCTGGGGGGGCAAAACAAGGCCGTAGAAGAAAATAAAGGCGAGAGGAAAACCGCCACCATTTCACCATCAATCAATGCTCTGCTCTTTTCTATCCTTCCTGAATCGTGAATCAGTTTCATATCATAATCATTAGTCGCTAGTCGCCACGCATGCTTGCTGAAAAAAGGCAAAAGTGGAAACACAAAACAAGAACTTCGAGGAGGCCTGAATACTGCAGTATACGCTCTTCTTTAGAAGTCATCATCTCGCTTCTTTCTTGAACTTCGGGATCCTGGCCTCTTTCTAGTAGCTCGACGGTGGACGTCGGAATCGGTGTCGCTGTTGCTGTCGTAGCCGCCCTTTCGCCTATCTGGAGACGGTGACCTAGAGTACTCCTGCCTTCGACTGCTGCGTTGTCGGCTACCGCTTCGACTCTCTCGTGTTTTCGACTGATTTGAGGTTCGGGAACTTTCGCGTGCGGCTTTTTTCCTGTGCAAACAGAAGAATTAGATCAGTAAAACAATCAAATCTACGGTCCTATTTCGCCCCCTCTCGACCTCCACAAGGTCTCATATCTCACATCTTACTTCAACTCCACTTACTTCTCGTGCCTCTTCTCAAGCTCTCTTCCGCCGAGTCCGCCGATGGCTGCCCCTACAAGAGTGCTTAGCGTCCCATGACCAACAGCTTTGCCTGCAAGTCCTCCTGCCAACGCACCTCCAACCGAAGCTGCCAAGTTCTTCTCTTGAATATCAAGATTTTCGAACCTATCCCGCAACTGATCAGTGACACGACTTCGACTACGACCGTGCTGACCAGCAGACCTTGCCCGATGCTGCTTTCCATCTCCATGCCGATGGTGATGGTGCGAGGATGAGGTACTGCCGTGACGGCTCGGTGCTTCGAGGTAGCCGCTGACCTGATTGTCGGGATAGGGATACTGGGCTAAGCTTGGCTGGGAGTGCGAGGCCTGGCGGTAGAACGGGGGTGGGGATGGGTAGGTGTTCCCCGGCGCTTGGTACGATGTTGCGCCTGGGTGCGCATAGTTGGCCGGGCTGTAGGGAGCATATCCTCCCGACGGTGGAGGCATAGGAGCATTTACAGGTGATGAAGCGTATCCAGGTGCGGGTGTGTACCGCGCTGCAGAAGACGACGTCGAAGGACGTCCGCTGCGAGGCTGAGGGGTGTTAGTACTTGATCTGTAGAGCAGAGTCGCTGAAGGCGGCTCATAAGACGGGGCGAAAGCCGTGTGAAGAGGAGAATTGCGAGAAGAAAGAACGCTGAAAGTTGATGACTGGTAAGGAAAGGGCGCTGCTGAACCACTGGAAGGGGTTCTGCTCGGCAACATAAGCGGAAAGGTGGCCGCTGGAGGCAAAGCCGATGGCGTAGGGATAGTTGCACTGCGAGGACGAAAGGCGCTATTTACCTGAGGCGGGTACCCATGGTTGGCCGATGAAGCACGACGGTCGTAGGGGTCGTAGTAGTCGTTGCCTACAGTAGCTCCTGTCGCTGCTGTGGCAGGAGCATAGTCTGCTGGGTTGTAGGGCCTATACTCAGAAGTGGGAGGGGGAGGAAACTCTGGCCCACGCTCTGCCCGGTCCATCTCCCCGTCCAGATCTCTGCTGCGATGCATGTGCCTGCCCCGGCTCAAACTCCTGCTGATGCGTCTGCCCAAGCTCTTTGCTCGGCGGCGTCGCTGCTTTTCGCGGTACTCCTTCTCGTAGTCTGTGTCGTCGTAGCCGCTGTAGTCGGAGTAGTCAGTGGGAGGTGTGCGGTCTCGGTAAGATCGTCGTCGCCCGCGGTCGCTGTCTCGATGTTCGCTCTTGTGGCGGCTCTGTCGGGGAGAGTGTGGTTTCGTTTTCGACTTCTTCTCGTGTTCCGGTGTGAAGATGCCACCTGGAAGTTTCTCAAAGAATTTGTCGGGAATCTTGTCTGCGCCGTAGTGCAGAGCTTTGAATGCCAGCGCGGCCATGTCTCAGTTGGGCGCCCAGCAGGGCTGAAATCCGGTTGCGAGGGACGCTGGATTGACGTAGAGGCACAGTAAAAGGGATAGCTGTGATTGGATTACAGCACCCTGCTCAGAGACGCAAGGAACCCGATCGGGTTAACTTGGAGATGGCCGAAAGTTGATGAACGTCTAGATTTCTGGAGTGGAGGGTTGAAAATTAAACAATAATGTTTCGATGTGGTGGAGGTGAGTGTTGTGTGGGTGGAGGCTGCTGTGGTGGAGGTAGCTGCGGTGGGGCGGAGAGAAGTATTAAGCATTTTGCCCCCTACATTTACTTGCCATTAAAGCAAGAGGCTATTCTGGCCATTGGCAGGTGCGCTCTGGCCTGCGATAGGTGACGGCGCTGTGGTGGTGGAATCAAACCCATCACGTGCCAGGTTGACGTCATTGTCAACCACAAACGCTTCCTGTGCTCCTCACCACCTTCACTCAACACCCTGTCAAAAGTGCCGCAGGGAAATCTCTTCCATGAAGATTGCTAGTCACTTCAACGATAACCCGTTCATCTCGGCAAAAGCACTTCCTCGCGCGAGGTTGTGGCCGCTCAATTTTGATATTCATAGTAGAGAATTTCTGTCTGGATGCTTTACCACCGCCATCGTACAAACGGAGTCATCGCTATCCGTTAGAATCTCGTGGACACTTGCATTCTCCAAGTTTCCCTGATACGCAAGCCGTCGTGCTACAGCCAGTCGGGTGCTGCTAATATTGCCGAAGGGAGTGAGAATCTGTGATGCCCAAGCGATGCATGACAGTCTTCGAATCACCATCGTGAACCCTGCCAATGGCGCAGAAACCTAGACCTTTAGCTGGGCCGCTACTGGGAACTAGGTCACTCCCGGACCCAATTCCCTAGTCGTCCACCGTGAGGTTCTCCACAAACTCTGGGGTGTCAGCAATTTTACTTCCCACCAGAGCCATGAAGGGATCACAGCTCAATGCCCAATGACGACACTGGTTAAGACACTACTACACCGCTCTCGCCGGGCCATCAGAATCGCAAATGTCAACCCAATCATGCTCATGGAATATTAGAATATTCCTTCAAGGACTCCTAGCCCAACCAACCCAAAGCGGTAAGCATCATACCATCGTCAGCATGAGCGCCAAAATGAAGGCTATAACTGTCTCAAGTTGATGCCTCACGTACGACATGTTGGCATCAACCACAGAATATGAAAGGGTTGGCTGAGGACAGGAACTTCCATCCTATTGGCATGCTTCTCAATCCCGGCAAGTGGGTTCAGCCCCTCATTTATCGATACACCGTTGTTAGTCATCGTATGCTACGTAGTTATATGTGCTTCACATGAGTAGGCTGTGTTCATTTTGGTGCCTTTCTCATGCATTTCATTTTATTCGTACCACAGCTGTGTACCAGCTTGCTGTCGCCGTGCAACCTTGCGGCTAGCTTCGAGACTCGTACTGTTCGAGGACAACTTACTATGATCCCTCGTTTCTTGGTGTCATCATACCCAACTCTCAACTCTTATATAGTATAGACTTGCCAAATGCAGTAACTCATCACTGTCTGTTCAAGGGTCCAATCAGAACCATGTCCCCCACACTACACCCGCCTAATGCCCCAGCGATTGAGCAAGCGTTTGAGTGGAGTCAACGGCCGAAGAAGGCGGTATGAGAGCCAGTGCGTTGGCAAGCAAAACTCTTACAGCTTCCCAGATCCCGCTTGGGATCGCCTGGAGGGTTTCCCCACCGAAAATTCTCCCAATAGCTATGTATCTGAGAGGACAAGGACATGGTTCTCTTGTGATAACACTACATTCACGATGAATATGTCTAGCAAAAATTTCAAATGATCAGCATCTTTTAAATTTGTGCACTGACCGCGTCCCTTTCTACTGCCCAAGGCAAACCCAGGCCCGTTTGTGAAGAAAGAAAATGTCTGTGAAGTATCTCCTATGTCTCCTATATCTCCACCTTCTACCTTCCTACGGTTGTGTTGAAGAAACTACCAGACCCTCTTATCGTATTGTATCATCAGGGTACAGGCCCTAAATTAGTAGCATATCCCTCAGGCAGAGCAGATCCATATAATGTGGAAGGGAGATGCAGAAAAGGGCTAGATGACAGCTGCTCTAGGGGTTTTCGAGCCCACAGCAAGCATCACTTGTATATACACACTACCTAGGAGCCAAAGTTCATCCTTACAGGAAGTCAATCATTACAAGGGCGGGTTGCATCGCCCATCAATTACCTCAAAAATATACACCGTCAGTCAGTGCAATATCCTAGACCGTTCAAACCGAGCCTAGCCACCAACTCAACTCATCAACAACCGACAAACACTCCCCACATTCAGTCCTCTCAAATCCGCATAATGCTGCCCGACCCCCAAAAACACCACGGGAATCCCCGTTGCATGCACCATACTAACCAACGTACCCACCATATCCCCCACCGTGTCACACTTGGAGATAACAAACCCATCCAATCCCCTCCCCGGGCCGAACGAATTGTTGAAATTGCGCGCCTGGGCCACAGAATCCGATCCCACCAGCGCTTCACCCACCATCAGGATTTTATCCGGGTTAGCGAGTTTCCCGAATTTCTCGAGGGAGGACATGAGCCGTTGGTCGTTGTGGCGACGGCCTGCTGTATCGATTAACACGACGTTGAATGAGTTTTTAGATGCGAAGGTTACGGCGTCGGCAGCGATGTTAGCAGCGTCTTTGCCGTAGCCTTTTTCAAAGATATCGACTTCGCCCCCTTCGCGCTTGCTAAGTTCCTTTAGATTTTTGACGTGGACGCGGAGTTGCTCGACGGCGCCGGAGCGGAAAGTGTCGGCGGCGGCGATGAGTACGCGGTGGTGGTTTTGGAGGAGGAAGAAGGCAATTTTGGAGAGGTTGGTCGATTTACCGACGCCGTTGACGCCCACGATGGAGAGGACGTAGGGTCGGCCGCTAGAGTTGACTGTTTGGATTTCACGGAGGAGGTCGAGGGAGGAGGTTGGTGTGAGGATTTTTGTAAGGGCTTTTTCCATGGAGGTGCGGATTGTAGATTCGATTGCTGGAAGGGCGGTGGTTTAGCATAACCCTAGAACGGAATGGAAGATGTAAGGGTTTAGCCCGGAATGAGACTGACGTACTTGTAAAGCTGCCTGTCTTGAGGCCAACGAGATCTCGTTCTACGCCCTCGCATAATCGTACTGCGGCTTCTCTTGCAACATTCTTCTTCAGGAGGTGTTCTTCCATCCCCCTTAGCGGTTTCGCAAGATCCTCCTTTGTCAACGTCTTCCCACCCACGACGTTCCTGAACAAGCCACCTATGGCTCCGAGACTGGATCCAACAATCCCACTTGAACCGACAGAGCTTTGCCTCTCCGCATTCTGCCCCGCTATTATAGCGTCCATCTCCTCGTCCAAGTCCTTCAACACAAACTGGCCCTTGCCCGTCTTCCGTCCCCATGTCTCAGGCTTGATTTCTTCCAGCGTCTCAGTTTCGGAGGTTGAGTCGCGGGCGTCAGCTTGAGAGTAGTCAAGGACCATGGATGGATCGTCCTCTTCTGCACCGAACTCGCCCCATGTCCTGTTCTTCTTTGCAGCGCTTTTGCCACTGGCCTTGCGCTTTGTGCTTGCCTCGTCTCCAGATGATGCTGGGGCCGACGATACCGCTGTAGCCTTCTTCCTGTCTCTTCGAGAGAGCTTTCCACCTGGTCGCGCTTTCGCTGTTACCAAGTGGCTCTGTGCTGGGGTTGTAGGCCGCGAAGTGTCTGGAGTAGGAACCGGGGTAGAATCAGCTGAGGTATCATACAGCGGTCTCTGCGGCTTCTGTAAGGCCGGCAGCAAAGGGGGTTCTTCTCCCGCACTGTCATTCGAACTGGAAGGGGGGGTAAGCTTGACATTGGGCGCAGAGGCCGACCCATCGCTCGTCCTCTCCAGCTCTTGAATCTGCCTGTCAAAGTACGGACCAAATTTGTCGCAGTCCACCAGGCTGCTATGTTCCTTCCTCAACTCCTCGCCAAACAATCCCGTGAAGAGTGCACGCACATTGTCGAGGAGCTTATCTATCCACGTCAAGTGGACCAGAGATTGGTATACAGCCTGCCGCGCGCATCAGCACAGTACCGCGGGGGCATTCAATCCAACTAGCACACACGCCAAACAGCAAGCCAGCCACATACCACAAAGATTAAGCCCAAGTCCTTCGCCGTCGTCCACTTCAATGTGTACCCCTCTTTCCTGTACGTTGGTTTCTGGCCTGTGTCTTCTGACTGCGGTGGTATGCGCTCCTCGATAAAGACATCGCGGATGAGGCTGTTAATAATATTTGGCCCGATGGGGGCGTAGGTGCGTGACCAGAGGACAACGCCCGAAGTTGTGAGTATCTCGAATGTATCCAACATGTTTCGGTCTGCAGTGCGCAGTGCGCAGTGAATGATATGTGCTGTCCGACACAATGCACTGCACTATGACGAGGGGCAAGGTTGGGATAGATAGGGTTGAGTCGGGGGCGCGGACGGAAGTTGCCAGATCTACCTGGGCTGGGGGGGGGGAGTTCACCGCAGAAGGCAGAAATTCCGAGACCTTTTATTCAAACAAGACTCTTCTTCACTCCTTCCACGTCACTTCTCTCTCTCTGTCCTCAGACACTCCCGTGCAGGCTTTATTTATCGAAATTGTCTCCGTTGTTTCTGATACGCAGCGATTGACCGACACACGATGCAACGACCGGCGTACTCCAACCCGCCGCCGGCGCACTCACCCCCCCTTCACCACCCCGTCCCACAGCACGTTTCCACAGTCCCGCAACTACGCTCTCCACCTCCCCCCGTCCCACCTTCACAGCCCCAGAGCGGATATGGCTATGCGCAACAACAGCAGGCTGCCCCAGGCGCTGGTGGGCCCGGAGGGGGCTACATGCACCCAGGATTCGGAGGCTTCATGAACGATCCCACTGCGCAGATGGGCTTCCAGGTTGGCAAGAGCGCGGTGATGGCAGGCCAGGAGTATATGGAGCAGAATGTATGCCTTCCCCCTCCCCAGCGATTTCCTTTACCTCCTTCAGCTTCCCCTGCACGTTTGACATTTGAACGACTGATGACGTGTGGATTCACAGTTCGGCCGCTTTGTCAGCGTCTCTGCTCTAAAACACTACTTCAACGTATCCAACTCATACGTCGTGAACAAGCTCTACATTGTGCTGTTCCCGTGGTGGCATCGACCGTGGTCGCGGCAACAGCGCTTGTCCAACAACGGGCAGGATGGATACTATCTGCCTCCCCGAGAAGACATCAATTCGCCGGACATGTACATCCCCAGTACGTACTCTGTACCTCTCTTTCTCTCGCTCTCGCTTCCTCTTGCTCTCTCCCTCCCTATATATATATATATATATATATATATATATATCTGTATCTGTATCTGTATACATATCTCCCTTTCCCTTCCCCGCGCCTTTGAGAGCCTAGTAGTTTGCACACCCAGCCTAGCCGTCAAACAAACACACTCATGTGTGAACTAACTAGCTAATATTATAAAGTGATGGCCCTAGTAACCTACATACTGCTCTCGACCCTCCTCGCTGGCCTCCGCGGCGCCTTCCACCCGGAACTCCTCGGCTCCACCACCGTCGCCGCAACCCTTGTAATCCTGCTCGAAATCCTGATCATCAAACTCGGCACCTTTATTTTGAACATCTCTTCCTCGTCCCAAATCCTCGACCTCATCGCCTACAGCGGCTACAAATTCGCCGGCGTTATCATCTCCCTGCTCTTGTCCGAGCTCCTGGGCCACATGGGCGTTGGTGGCACCTGGGTCTCCTGGGTCGTGTTCCTATACTGCTTTGGCGCGAACGCCTTCTTTTTGTTGAGGAGTCTGAGGTATGTGTTGTTGCCGGATCAGGGGGGCCAAGGGGTGGGAGGTGGTGCAGCAGGGTATACGGTTGCGAGGAGTCAGCGGAATAGGAGGACGCAGTTTTTGTTTGTGTATAGTTATGTGGTGCAGTTTGGGTTTATGCTTTGGTTGAGTAAGGTGTAGGAGGGATTTAATGTGGAGGTCTTGGGTCACGGTCGTGAAGATGCTTGCATTTGATTCATAGGGGCCGGCGAGTCTAGGGTCGAGTCCCAAGGCAAGCCCGGGGAGAGATGTCTGTCTTTCAAGCATGGGAAAGCATGGGTTCAGGATCAAAGATGGGCTCGGGCATTGGTATGTTATGACATGGCAAATTAGGACAGTACAAGGAAGCTTAATACGTACTCCGTGATAGCTGAGGCGTTGTGCCTCAACTACGAATCCGTAGATATTATCGTTCAAACATTTCGATTGACCAGAACGTGGATATTTGCCTTGGAAATGGTCGCTTATCAACATTCTAAGAGCGCGGGTAGTAAATGCGCAGAGAAGAATCTCGGTAGATATGCTTCGTGCGCAACCTCGCAACACGCATCCATCCCGCAGGCATCCCTCAGAGGCCGCCTTGAGGCCCACCCTTTCCAAAACCCATAAAACCTCAACCTCCCCACCCAACCTCACCTACCTACACTCGCAAAATCACCGTTCATAGCAAAGCACATCATAAGGCACATGTTATGAAGTCGACTATCATCTTATCTACTTAATCTCACTAGCTATTTCGCGCCATCCCATCCCATCCCATTCAATAAACGTACACATCACACGACTCCACTCCACTCCCCCTCCATTTATCGATCCATCCATGCGTGCATCCATGCCCGACACCCAAGACTAATGCACCTTCCATTCCATTCCGTACACAGAAAACCCAGACCCAAAAGGTTGCTGGTTCACCCACCCCTAGCTCTCGCGAGCATTACGAACGCCATACAGACAGTTAAAAAAGGGAATGCATCACACCGATGACCGAGAGCAAAAGAAAAGAAACAAGAATAAGTATTTGGATGTGACTGTGACTGTGACTGACTGATAGGGAAAAAGCAGGAGGCTGGAGAAAGTGTCCAGTGTGGAAGAGTAGAAAGGGAAAACAAGCTTCTCCTTTGTACTCATACAGTTGGTAGGTAGAGGTATCACGAGAATATACACGAGCGAGGTGTGAGATGGATGGGGATTTCGCGTAGAAGGCTTCTTTGGGCCTTTTTCTCTTTCTTCGAGTCCGTCTGAGACTGTTGACTCTTGAAGTGGTTTCCAGAAGTGCACCCTATAGGACGCCTTCCCACATGCCGGGACCTTCGCGACGGAATGTCTGCGCTGCTTCGCTTCCACAGCAGGTTCGCTTCCTTCCGAGATCCTTCTGGATTGGTAATCGGCGCTCCGGCACTGTATGCTTAGGGGACTGCAGCCCCTTTGGCCCAGTGCAGGACGAAGGCGTCCGATCTCCAGAAAGGAGGAATGACTGAGCGATGGACCGATCAGGAAGGACAGTCATCCCGCCACGGAGGAATGAAGTAGAGCGAGAGCTATGCAGAAAGTGACGAACGCTATGCTGAAGATCAACAGAAGACCTGCCACGCTTCCGGCCCGACTTGCCCATTCGGCTATCGGACCGGACTGGGGTTGCTTCAGCATCATCGATGTGGAAGCTTTCTAGATCTGGCGATGACATTGGCTCGCTCGGAGTGTATTCATACTGCTCCTTGCACTTCTGCAACGCTGGATACGGAAGTCTCGCGTTGCGACATGTCGCCAATCGGGCCAATCGGGCCTGATTCGGCGCCCAGCCTGCAGACGAGACAGACGAAATTGAGGATGCACGAGAAGAGCGGGAGCCAGAGTCTGTGACCATGGACTCTGGGGATGATGCAGAGGAAGCTGTGGACATCGCCAAAGACGGTCGTCGACTTGGGAAATGATAAGCATCCAGTCCGTTCTTGATGCATGGGTTGAATTGGTCAACACAGGCGCGAGCCAAAGACGAGCTCTGAGCTTGGGCCATTGCGGTGCACATGGATGGTCGCCTTGATCCGAAACCCATAACACTCGCTGCAGGAGTGTTAGAGGCGGCGGACTGTGGCGTCAAAGTAGGTGTTGGCAACGGACCCAACCGAGCAAGAGATGGAGTCGGTGGAAGAAGGTCTGGCTTTGGCTCCAAGAAACGTGGTGCCTTATAGAGGCTAGGAGTAGGAGTGTTTTCCTGAGAGCTAGGCTCCACAAGCGGAAGAGGGGATCGTAGTGAATATTGGCTAATCTGGTGCCTTAGATCGCGGCGTGTTGGCGAAATTGGCGTTTTTGGAGCAATGTCGACGACATCCAAATCGGGCGTCAGGCACGGAATGATAGATCTCCAAGTGTTCGGGATACAAGCACCAGGAGATGGCGGCGGGTTCGAGGGAGTATGTCGCAAGACAATCTCCTGCCACCGCTCCCAGACAGGATCGGTAATGTGGAGCTTCCAGTTGACGGCGGCGAGGAAAGCCATCTCGTTTGTGTTAATCTCACATACCTTCAGCCCAGAGATCTTGCTCCAAGCGCGAGCGGAGTAGTTGCGGTCTTGCAGATACTTCGAAGCGAGGATGAGCGCAGCGAGAAACATGCGTCGGCCACACTGCAGAGCTCGGAGAGAAGCAACATCTTCAGGTTGCTCCATTGTGAAGTCGTGTTTCGGCACGTGCGCCTTGATTAGGATCAGGTAATACAAGGCGACCTGGAGGGTCGAGTAGCTGGTCCGAGATCGACGCAGCGTCTCCTGGATGAAGGTCCTAAGAGGAAGGACGCCCCGACCAGAAGTTGACTCGCAGCGGCTTGTGGGAACCGAGAGAGGCCATATTACCTCGACCATTTGAGTTGCAGAGTCTTGACCAGGAAAAGCTTAGCGATTGCAAAAGATGCACGAGAAGACACATGTACTAACCGACTAGACAATCCACAAAATTAACCTTTCGCTCGCTTTGCCGTACCAATTGAGGGGGGGGCCGATGGTTGATGGTCGAAGAAGAACGTCGGGGGTGCAGTCGCTGCTCCGCAGGTACAGCGATATCCGTCCGAAGAGGCGGAAGTAACCTCTCGGGAGCAGTCTCGCGACATCCCGAAGGTTGATATAGAGGGTATGTATTCACCCTGCTGATCGGCGCAAACGTACCGAAGCTGTTGGGATCTAAAGCAGCTCCGAGCCCGATAGGCCGTGACCTGTTGATCCATTCTTCCGACTCCCACCCGATTGGAATAGAGTTGGATGTGGATGAGCTGGAGCAGGAGGTTTGAGAGGCGGCATCTGAAAAAACCGACGAGGCAGAAGAGGAGGCGGACGAAGAAAGTGATGGGGCGTATGGATGACTTCTTGGAGAAGCAGTGCCAAGGATTTGGGTGTGAATGTCAAGGCTCATGTTGAAGAGGTAAGCTTCAGGAAGCAGCACCTCGTATAAGAAAGAGACAGTAAGGAGTGAGCGGAGAGGTGAGTATATCCTGCACCTACGTTTCGAGGATCTAACCCTAAGGCAGAGCAACGAGCCGTATTGCGAGAACGTGATCGAGTGGTCGTGGGGTGACCAAGAACTTAACCGATAGACAAACCGTACGGAAGTAAGCCCTATGCGCTCGTCGTATGATTCCGAAAAAGTGAAATTTCTTCGTTTTGCTGTTCCGCCTTCGGAAGCTTGATCCTGACTTCAATTAAAGGAATCCGGTCCTCCGTAGAATACGGTGGTCGAAAGGTTATTGAATAGCCAGATGGAAGATGGAAGAGGGCCAGAAAGCTCAGAAAGCTCAGAAAGCAGTTTCGGAAGTATTCGAGAGGATATAGGGGCGATTGACGATGGCTTACAAAAGGATGCTTCGTCCGGACAGTGGTGAAGTGTTCGAATTGGCTTCCAAGCGTTCGCCGAGGGGGACTCCAGTCACCGTCAGCCGCAGAATCACCAAAACAAGACCTTGGGGGAGATCTGTCGGCAGTACACTCCGAAGATTCAGCTACTAAGACAGCTATACCTGTCTTAAGAGCTGGGAGATCGAAGGAATGCGGCAGGACCTAGCAGGCGAAGCCTCCGTTGACGAAGGCCTTGTTTCCGGAAGCAGTGGTACTGGTGATATCTGGGCGACGAGTGACTGGAGTAGAGGAGAGCTTGGGGTACATCGTGACTATTTAAGATCGATAAAAAGAGGAGTTCTAGTGGGTGACGATCGCAGGTAGCGTGTCACTCGGCCGGAAACAGCTCTTAATGTCGAATTTTCGAGGTCGATGATGTATATGGAGTTAGTGGAGAGTTATTACTAGCGCGTGCGACATAAAGAGGTGAAGGATGGATATGGGAGTAGTCGGGAGTGTTGTTTGCAAGAGTGGCGGTGGAGGAGGGACTCGGTGAGGCGGTCGCAACTTCGAGTAAACGAGGCAAGGGCCAGCGAATCCGGAGATGGCGGTGGAAGGGGGAGGGTGGGGGGGAAGGGGGGAATCTGGTGAAGCAAATGCAGGTACTGGGCCGCAACGGGTATTAAAACGACCTCAGCGAAGTGAATGACTGTCGGGTGGTTATGAGTCTTGTAGGCGGCAACGGGGTGGCGGCAAGTGACGGGCGCGTTGTCGCTGCTGGCTAAACAAAGACCAGGTAACAAACGGAGGGGAGAGTGGCGGGTGACTGAAGGGTACGAGCAAGAACAAACAACGGAGCTGCTGTGGGTTCAGATGAGGCCCCAGGGCTCGTTCGGCGGTATTGAGGGGTTCATCTTTGCTGTGTCTTGGGGCTCGAGATGGGTTGGGGCGAGGGTATAAGAGGAGGCAGCCAACCCCCGAGAAAGCGTCGACTCACAGGGCTGGTCTGTGCAGTTGCCACCATACACATCCCTTCTACCCACGGCCACATTATGTCGCTCGCTGACTGGCACTCATTCTGAGATTTGCTATTTGCTAGCAATTCTGAACAGAAACACACATCCCCTTAACCCTCCCTATAATAATTATGGCCAGAGGTTTGGCAGTCTCCGTCGTTGCGCTAGACAGTCGATGAGTCTGTGGCAGCGGGAGCGTGCTGCCAGCTTGGTGTGGATGCTCGGCAACACCTGCGGCGGTCGCAGCAGTCAGTCGCAGAACACCTGGGCACCGCCGCTCTCTGCCTGGCACGCCTGGCTCAGCCCCCTACATTCCAGGCATGACGGAAGCACCCAACAGAATACAGGGGCTTTTGCTTGTGGATGCGCATTCTCGGTCGGCCTCGAAGACTGCCTCCCCAAACCGCGATGATGCTGCTCTCCGCGGTTTGCGTGCGTCAGCAACCGGCGCTCTCGATGGAAGCAGCAAACTGCCCTCAGCTCCGCTCCCGTTGATTGCGCATGCTTTCATGCCGCAAGCGACGGCCAATCATCGCCACCCTGGTCTCGACATTCTCCTCACTCCTCACACAGATGCGTGCCAAGTCCAGTCGGTGCACCAGACTACGCCTGAAGCGGCCCATTTAGCGTTCTCCAGAGCGTCCAATGCCCTGCTAGCGGCACTATTAGCAGCAATTACCACCAGGCTCCCGATCGATGCTATCGGTGCTCGAACAACCTCCTCCTGAGTTCCATCAGCTCCTGACAGGGCAATGCTGCAGCAATTCATATGGCTATGCGGCTGCTCGTACGCCAAAACGCCTCAACCCCAAACAGATGGACTGTACATGATGCTGCAAGCGGCGCACGTAAAGAAACCGGCGTCCCAGACAGAAAACTTTGTCTGATCACGACCCTCAGATGGATTTTGGAGAGAGGCGTGGGTTGATTGTGGGCCTCTGGAGTGGTGTGTGGAGTGAATGATGACACGCACCTGTGGCTTGCGCTCGGTTTTCCTGCAGCGCACCACAATCGTCGTCAGACGACGGAAAGGCCACTTCCACGTCCATGTCCAACCGCACAGCCTTTTCGTTGGGAATCTCGGGAAAAGCGTGACCCCGGAACTACCCTATAGGCCAGATCACACTCAGTCTGCAGATTTTTCTTTGTCTGCTTCCAGAAGGCCCTGATCTTGCCTCTGATTCCCATGATTATCGCGCCTCGACTCATCATGATTCGCAAAGGGTTCGATCGGGAGCCGACTTATTCCGGTCTCGCACCGCTCACAAAGAAAAGACAAGGAAATTCGCGGGTTTGGGCTGAGTCAATACCATCAACCTCCGACTCCGGGCTCTAGGCAGCTGGAGGCCCTGCCACGAGCCGCGGAGCTCTCCCGTCCAGACTTCTGCCTGCTCAAGTTGCTTGGCTCAACACCACGTCGAGCATTGGAAGGCTAGGAGTTTGAGAAAATCCTGCTCCTACCAACGTGATCTATCAAAAGGTTACCATCGGCGCAAATGATGTCTGCTGACTCCGTGATCAAAGACACGGCTCAGCAGAGGCGAGACTGGAGCCTGTCGCGTTGGCTCAGACGGTTCCAATGCCGAGCGAGGTGAAACCTCAGCCAGGGATGAAGAATGAAGAGTCATCGCTTCCTCCCTTCCAAATTGATGACACGACGGTGGCTAAGATTGGGGGGGAGGCGGCAGGGCGATGCGGCGGCAACAAAATGGAGCCTGAGGTGTTGAGGCGTTCGTTATCAGAAATGCCTCAGGCGTTGAGGTTGGAACCCAAGCACTCCATCATCCTCGAAGCCCAGGCCATGCTGCATTAAGATGAAGACACTTTGAGAAATCGAACATTTGTCAAGAATTGCGCTATTTCAAAACTAAGAATGAATAGCGCTCATTCTTTATCCAAGTGCTTCAAGATTTGAAGAGAGCAGAAGTACCAGAATGCAAAATGCAAACGACTACGCCAACTATGAGCAATCGGAAAGATTGTAACACAGATCATGATTGTACAAGATTTTGCCACCAGGGTTCGTAATCACATTGCACTTGTACTTATCACTGAACAGAACCAGGATTTGATTCAAGACAGATATCCGCATCCTCTTTACGTCCTCTCTTTGTCTAACAACGGTCCAAATGAATCAGATCCCCCTTATTCATATTCCAGTAAGCGCTAATATTTTAAAAAAAACAATTTGCCACTCGAGGCGTGAAATGGTATCTAGGTTAGGCATGCTCAGAACGCTCAGATCCATCCAGAGACGGTCGAGTTGAGGATTGTTCTGAGACGTTTAACTGTGAGACCTTCGTTCATTCGCTGGGGCCAGGGCTAAGCTTGCGCGAGTGGATTTGCTCCACTCCAGTTGGGGGGAAAGGAGCAACAGCACTTTGAGGGTCTGTTCCTGTGAAAGGACACGAAGTACTCTCGACTAGCTTCTCAGCATCACTGTCCAGAGCATCCGAGGGCGAGAGACTCTTGTCAACGGCATCTTTCTGAACAACACCATCGGGAGCAAGCTGCCGGAACATGTCCAGCGGGTCAAACCATGTTCTGACTGACTGTAGTTGGACTTTGTCATTTACTGTAGCAACAGTAACACCTTGGATGTCAATAACACCCCCGTGTGCCTTGGCCGTAACTTTCTCTCCTTTGCTGTTTGCAAGTCAGCAATGCAATGTCCACGTTGATAGCTGCTCCTTACTTATTGAAGCCCACATAGTCATTCTTCATCACCCCCCAATGTCGCCAACGGAACGCAACTTGAGGTGGGCCACTGTACACCTCGAGCACCTCCCAAGCAAATGTCGGCATCATCCGCTTGAAGGTCTTGTGCGAGGATGCGAAGTCTGAGTATTCGGGACTATAGTATTCATTCGGACTGATAATAGCGTTGTATGTTCCGTGTTTGAGCATATGTTCAGCGGTTTGCGGGTCTCCACCGTTTATCGCAAATGAGTAGTTCTTGTGATCAATAGTTCGCCAATCATCCAACGAGGACTTGAAGGATGCCTCCACTTCCCAATTCTTAACAAGGTTTTGGACGAGCTCTGGGAGTGATCTTGCTTCATGGGACATTCGCTTAGCTATTCACCAAGTGAGTTACTCGGCGGTTTCCAGAAAGTTTAATTAACTGAGACGAAACCCCCAGCGAACATGGGTAGGCTGCTAAAAGACAGCCATTCTCCCTAGACGGCGCGTCGAGATAGAATTCAGGAAAACCCAGTTCCAACAGGTTTATGGGTGACACACAAAGCATCCAGAGAAATCTGACAACGGCTTGTAGGTTGTGAGGTAGGCAAGCAAAGAACACACTCACTCTCTTCATAAACCTGGCGTGTTTTTGAGTAGTCTGGGGCTCTACCATAGCGCCATTTTGCTTTGGAGTCTTTTAGAACAGCATCAGGGTCTGTAAGATAATCTGGGAGCGCAGGGGGAGCTTCTGCTGGAGGTGGCTGAACATCGGCAGTAGCCATGATGGGAGAATATGTGAAGTCCTGGTGAAGGAAGAGGTGAATTGAGAAATTATGGATGGAAATGGATCTATGCAAGGGAATATGTATATATATCGAAAGAGGAATAATCAGTAAGAATATAAATTAATCGGTGAGACGGCACAAGGGAATGGGGACTAGTTGGAAACCGACTGGGTAGAGGGCTTGAAGGATCTGAGCTGACTGGAGTAAAGGAACCCAAGAAAAGGAGTTTATCAGTGGACCAGCAAAGATAGCGCAGACGAGCTGTACTAACATAGCTGTGGCCCTGCAAGCCAATTCTTGCCTTGAGTGTGGATCCAGAAATCCTGAATGACCAATCTGCACGCAGGGATGGGACTATTCAAGAGGAAGGCTGACCTCCCTTCCATGTTGAGCGAATTGGTGGTACATGGGACTTTGATCCGCCTATTAGCTTTCACCACAGGCTCTATTCCCATGCACTCTGCATAACCCACATGTGAAGTTCCACACATATAAGGGAGGGGAAGTGGGAGATACACGTGCGGAAGAGCATCCCGACGGGAGATCGGTGGGAGAAGAGGCGAGTGGGATCTTCGGTTGAGCGTGTCCCTAAAACAATGGGACCAAGGTTAGTGGAGGTTACGCTGGGATGAAGTTTGAGCTGCCACTGGATTCAAGCTCTTGGGGAGGGCTAAAACTGAACACGCCAAGCCGCGGAGCAGAAGGCGGGGTATATGGCGAACTTTGTAATATGATATTCAGAAAGCCATGATTGAGGTGCAGAATTTTGCCGTGATGCAGAAAGGCTAAAACTAGTTTTTCTAGCTCGGGGAGATGTGCAAGCTGGTGGTGATGCAGCGGAAGAGCGTTGTCTTAAGTGAAGCCTCTAGGGTAACCATGGTATATAGAGAGGTACAGGCATTAGTAGATAGTAGCTTGACCTAGTTACAATATATTATGAGATTCATCCGAGATCAGGAGTGGCGATAGGTAAATCTAAGTCATTTCCGCCTTAGTTGAAACAAATTTCTGCTCAACGCGACGACCTTGACTAACCCATTGGTTTTACGTGCATGCCCTCCGCTCGCCTTTATTCGTTCAAGGGACTGCGAGCGCCCCGGAGCTTCGTTCTGTCACAGTTACAGCATATCATAGGTGTCGAATGCCCTGCTCTTATAGACTCTCCATGCACATAGAAGACTCTAAAGGTTCTAGTCCTGATGTACAGAGCCTCATTTCTAGTTTAAGTGGCCCAGCTGGCCTGACTCATGATTCAGGGTGAAGGGATGGTGTTAAATATCTTTCTAGCCTTGTATGATAACTCAGTGTACAGTTAAAGGAAATTCGGCGTAAGTACATAGCTCTAAGCGGACATCCAGCTTCTCAATTTTGATAACCGTACTTTTTAGATCAGCTACCCCCGGCGGCATGACCTTATCTTCCGCCCACCTTCATGCTGAGAGGAGATACGCAGACCGTCTCATGGACTCACCAGTTTCCACTGACATTACAGCAAGTGGATGATGATGCATTAAGGGGAAAGTAAAGTGGTCAGCATGGAGGGTTTGGAAATAATCCCCGTTTGCACACGGGGCGGAACAGTCCGGACTCGAGTTAGGCGCAGAAAATTGCATCGTTATACTCTCACTTGTTCTAGAAACGGTTTTAAAGAATTGAATTTTCTATTAAGTGTTGCTTGTTGGGGGTCAATATGCAGTGAGCAGTGTAGTCCAGAAGAAGGGAATGACGCGAATTGGACTTGCTTCCCCGGAAATGGCCAAGGGAGATAGTAACTTAATTTTGGTAGGCACCCCTTTTAGTCAGAATCGATCGAACGTGCGTTGAGTAGTTAGAGGAAGGGAGTTATATAAAGGGGATAGGATCTTATGCGGAACGGGCAGGTCACCGATACCCAAGAGTGGCTATCCTTCTGTGTGTCGTGAGACGTACTTCTGGACTATCTGCCCCTTAAATCGTTATCGATTGTTTCTGCATCTCAGTAGAGGGGAGTTAGATGCCATATGTTGGGCAGCTTTCTGACAATCAGCGCCTCTCAGGGACTCATCACATGATCGCGTACCACCACATACCACCGCCAAGGAATGACGTCAATGTTTGTCTTCAAACTTGAACTGTGACTGCAACTGGTAACTGCAGATTGTGGACATTCTTTCAATCCCCTAATCGTCTTCCTCAAAGTCACACAGAACCTCAAACAAAATGGGTCGCCGTCAACGTCTTATCAGCACCTCCATTCTCCGTGCAATTTTCAAGTCTAACTCGCAGGATTCCAACAAGAAACGCGGCCTGCTCGAACGTATCCTTGCCTTCTTCTCCGTATTCCAACTCACACTTTCACGATACAGGGCAGAGTTGTTCCAGAAGCTTCGAAATGAAATATGGCGGATCGACGAGGAGGAGTACACAGAGTCGTTCCGCTCACCTGGAAAGAGCAGAAGGCCCGACCTCGTCGCGGTAGGAGACTTAGGATACTCTGGCTCTGTAGGTGCCTTCCGTCCAGCAGTATTTGGTGGTAAGACTTATCCTTGTCTAGACTTTCTTTACCACCCCAAATTCAAAGTTCCTTATGAAATCGCTACCTCGTCAATTCGAACAATCCTTTTTCCGGAAGCGCCTCCTCAACCCGTATGTTGAGCACATGGAGCTCAATCCTACCTCTCTCTTGGTTCGCATAACAGACCTCCTGTATGCGCCGTCTCTTACTCTCGGAGCTGCTATTGGAACTGCACCCTCCCACCACATCGTTATGGAGAACATCTTGTACGGAAAGTCCACATGTACCATAAACAAACAGAAGGAGTGGGAGACCTACGATCTGAAGCCCATTGATTACTTCTATCCGGAGCGCGATATTGCCGGCGGAAGGCTTGCTCCGGAGAGTATCAAGGAGCGTTTGGTTGATAAATTCCTCGACAAAGTGCGTGTAGCAATCGACGAGAAAGAGGAGCTCATTGCACAACTGTCAAGAGATACAAAGATTTTGCAAGACGCCAACGCACTTGACTACAGTCTCTTCGTCGTTCGATACCCGGCTTCAATGTCGTCAGCTAAAGGCGAAAAAGTCACCATTCCTCCTGGCAGATCATCCTCTTGGCGAACCGGTGTTCTTTCTCGGGACAAGAAGTGGATATATCGCGCTATCCTGCTGGATTTCTTCTGGGCGAAAGATGCGTTGCAGGCAAAAGCGCTGACAGGATTAGTCAATTCATGGAATTTCGTGAAATGGGGAAAAGGAGACGGGCCAATGAGTATTACGACAACCAGTAATGAGTACAGAACTAGATTCTTGAAGATGGTTGAAAGCATTATCGAGGTGCCAGATAGCGCGGGTAGACCATTAGGAGAGTTGAGAAGCCCACCACAAGAGAGTATTGAGGAAGTGTAGGATCTTGCGGGGAAATTTGTCCCAGTTAAAAGTTTGGGGTTTGTGCTTAGAATTCAAGGATTCTGACAGATGCATGTGAGATACCCCTAGTACGAATCCAAGCTTGAATTTTTGCTGCAGAAAATCACATCTTTTGGTGAATTATACTTTCTTCTACTCCGGAAACGTAGCCAATCAAACATTTCAGAATAGAACGACTCTATTATTAATTCTGCTAATACGTACAGGTAGGCTAGTGCTTTCCAGTGTTTGCTGGCGTACAGGATATCAATGCTTTCGTGTCCTAACAGTGTAAGTAGACTTCTAACTTCTGAACATTCTCCTTTTTATCTAAATCTAAAGATAAATGGCAATTTTAAATGCATGCAGCTCTGCGAATTTAGGAAGTTTGTCTGACCCTCTAGTTTGCTAATGATGACCTAACATATGGGAAGCCTGTACACATGGATAAGGCCTATTGCTACGATTGGGGAGCGTGTTGAGAGAAAGCCAATACCGTGTCTAAAACTAGATCAGATCTTTACGGCCATCTTCTTCTAGCTGAAGCAACAACTTGTGGAGTATTGAGTCCACTTGAATGAAGCTCAAGTATCCTTTTGCTCCAAACAGGGGCTTAATGATAACTGTAAAGACGGGGAATTGATAGTGTCGTCAGGCGAATGGGACTTAAACCATCAGCATTACACAGAGTACCGACTGCCGTTATCGATTCTCTTCCTCACGCTGGCTATTGGGTCAGCAGGTGGAGCTTAGATTAGTGGCGACGGTGATGACGAGGTATTGAACGAAGGGCAGGCAGGAAACACCCCCAAAAAATAGTAACGAGGATTCATTGAATGAGGATTTCAAGATCGGCATACATACATCGTGCACAAACCCCCCTTTATCTACGGACTTTGTCCAACCCCGCAAGCACCAAGCGCATCCTAATACCCCTCGCCCTCCAACAAGGCTATGTAATCTCTGTTCGCACAGCGGCTCTCAAGCACCTCCCGGCCTTCTCATCCCCCACCTCCAGCCCCCTCGCACGCCCACGTGTAACGCAACCGACATTACCTTTAAAAAAATATCCGCAGCGAAGCTACTCCGGACTTTTATGTACGATGGAAGGATCCACAAGCTTTACATCCCGTGAGCTTAAGCGGTCGGGGTGACGGACACGAGAAAGGCTTTTGGGGAGAATTAGAATTAGGGTCTTGCGAGGGCTCTAAGACAGGTTGTGAACTGTGGGACAGTGCTCGGAGTGAGTAAGAATTAGGAAGATATTGTTGTGGGTAGGGAGAGGTGAGGGAAGCGGAGTTCGGTAGTAGTGGATCATGCTTTCATGGGGCGGAAATTGGGGAGATGGACTGAAGCGATATTGGATATCGTACTGTAGAGCAACGAGCGTATGAGAAAGGAAAGCTTTTGAGAGATTCATAAAGTTGCGATGTTAATGCAAATGGAATAAGAGTTTGATTGGGAGAAGAGAGATCTGGGTGGTTGGGAGGGATTCCCCAAATTCTATGAACTGAGGTAACGCGATCCTGAGGCGAACACCTCGTGTCTGCTGTCAGCGGAGAATTTGGCCGTCGGACTCCGGAACGGCAAGGCTCATTTACTTCTTCAGATTTATTACTAGATCGAGGAAAACGTTAGGAAAGATGTTTCAGATTTGCGTTGGTGGAGAAGGTAATATGGTGCGATGGTAGTAGGTTGAGAAAGATACTCGCTCAGCAGAGTTCATTCGGTGACGACCAAACGAAGCGCCACTTCAGGCGATGTTTTCATGTGCGTGATTCTCACGCCGCATTGTGGGGATTTGAAATACTGGCCTCAGAACAGATTTCATGTCTTAGAACCCATAACGGTTTAGCGGAAAGCCGTCGACAGTGGAGAGTTGGGAGGAGGCGTGAACGGGATGTCACGGCAGCGCTCTTCTTGCTTGCAACGGCCCCAGCATCGCCGAACTTTGAGACATGATAGCGGCATTAATATATCCCACTCAGTGTTCATGATAGGGGAGCTGTGAGTCGCTTGCCGCGAGCTAGTGTTGCTGGGAGTCTATGTTGCTCCGTCCTGACGAATTCCAAAAGCGGCACAGGTTGTGGACATTCGGCTTTTGAGACCCAAGTAATGTGGGGATTTTGAAATGTCTCGCAATACTTCTTCGCATATCATTGGCTTGATAGCCATGTGAGAAACCACCCGGTGGAGAGCGGTGTCTGAATACTAGATCCTAGCGGATTGACAGTCTCAATCTGAGTCAATCAGGCCCGAAGTCGATGACTCGAAGAGAAATCTTCATGGAGTGGAAGTTTCATAATTAGTATCCAGAGTGGCATATCAAACATATGAGTGGGAAGTGGTTCCTACGAAGTAGTTCCTACGAAGTAGTACTTACCTGGCCTCTTAGAATATACCTAACGTATCTGCAATACTGCACGATCAGCCAGGCGTAGTCTTATTCATCTGTGCCAACCATGAGCTCAGAAGCTAGTGAATTATGTCTTACCCTCGAAATAGGATACAGTTCGAAGTCAAGTGTACGTGATACTGTGTAAGAGGCAGCATCATCGCAATATCCAGCTGATGGTCAGCCTTGCCACCTGCTAGTATCCAGCGGTAGGCATGTGGAAGGGAGCTTAACGCTCATAAATATAGCATGCGCGTGCAATGACGAGAAAGCGACGAATCCAGCATTATGCATTTTAGATAGACGCAGGGGGCAGTGTGAGATAAATTGACGTCCGGAAATGAACTCGAGATGCTTGGCGATGTGGCAGGTGTCGTCAGCCTCATCCGTTCAATTCATGCTCCGTATTGGTGCATTGGGAGAAGCGATCCACCAGTGACTAGTAGAATTTGAACATTAAAAGTAGGATTTCTTGAACGTTGTAGTGGCGCGTGGGACTTGGAAACCGCGAAATCATGTGGTCCCCGAGGTCGGCGATGAAGAAGCAGATAGGAATTTAATGGGAGAAGTCTGGATGAGACGTGTCACAGGAGACGAGAAGTCGCATCTGCATACATTTGTACTGCAGCTTAGGGCATAGACTGGGCAGCATTAGACTGTTTATCGGGTGTGCCTGAGTGAGGAACGAGCGCAGTGCGAGCTCGAGGTGTTGCTAAGTGGTGATGCCAGGACTCGCTGCCCAATCAGGGGCGCTTCGACCTTGCCATTCACAATGCATCCACGAAGGTTGTATCACCAGAGCGCGGTCAAGGGCTTGATGCTCGAGGGCTCTCCACTACTGCCGAAGAAACAGAATCAAGGTCTTCGTCAGGGCCTTGCGAGGTGATTCCCTTGTCACCGCGTCAGCGCGCTCGATATCTCCACGATGGCCGTTCGATAACCGCTGGCTCGAGATAAGGCTTGTTGATCGCAAGAAATCTTGAAACGAAACATACGACGACGCCGCTGCGATTGGTGAAAGCGCGGAAGAAGGAGCTGACAGCATGACTTCCGTCGTGTGGAGATGTTGGCTGAGTACCCAGCGGACGACGGAGCCTTGCGCGTGCCTTGCTGCTTCTGGCTACAGGCGCCGTCTATTTTTGCGCTTAACCTCTGCACAGCACTGTCTTGGCGCGCTGAGCCCTTGCGAAAATAGCGTCGACGGTCGAGGCCCTGGCGACGATCTCTGGCGTGGCTGTCTTCGGACCCCGCGACCAATTCCTGCCATCCGCTTGCGTACGAAGATGCTTGTGAGTGAGCGAGCAGCGAGCTTCACGGCAGGCCTCCAACGCGGATGGGATGTGCCTTTGAGGCTCAGTACATTCCCGGACGACCCTCAGCCGATGTAATAGATATCTATTAGCTACTCCGTAGGTGTGCTACGTCTCTTCTTCGTCCTCCGTCTCCGGTCTCTTCCATGTCTTCTTTTGGTTGCATCTCAAGCTCGTGTCTCTCCAAGCATATCTCATCTCAGCCCTTCCTCGTGAGCCTTTCCCGGTGCATAGCGCCACTCTCGTTCATATCCCTGTCCGCCCCAGCTGTCCCTCTCACTAAAGTTATTACTATTTTGAAACGCGCAGTTGTATACTTCTGCTTACCCTGCCTCCATGAATTCCTCCGACTCTGGATTTTTTGAATCCTCTTCCTCGAGGACACGCTCTCTGCTACGGACACATACTGCCTTGCGTCCTGGACTTGTTATTAACCGTCGGAGTCTGCAGGTTTTCTCACATAAGAACTCAGAAATCCCACGCAGGCCTTCTAGTCGGCCTTCTAGTCGGCCTCAACACACCTCTGGACCGACCGTCATGCTGAACGTGTCGTCCTCGTCCTCGCCCACAAAATCGGTTAAGAGAGGGAAGACGTCAGCTATCAAAGGCAAGCCAACCAAGAGATCGGGTACTGTCTTGCGCGCTGTTCCATCGGCCACCGCTTGTGCAACGGCTCCCCTCTCCCCACTAGAGCAAGACATGGCCACCCTACCCAATCAGGAAATTCTCACAAACATTGCTCGCATATCACCAACCTCAGATGGCCTGTCAGCTACTCGGTCACTTCCTCAAAACATTACCTCTCGCCCCCGGGCCCGCAGCAGCAGTGCTGTGCTCTCTCCTATCCAGGCTGGGACGGAAATGAAGTTCTTCTCCGGTAGTACCGACCCGAGAGCCATTATTGGCACTTACAAACATGGAATATTCCACTGGGAACATAAGGACAAGACGTCCATCGACACCCAAAGCTTTCGACCCGCCGGATCTGTCCGGTCAGAGCCTCATTCACCAAGCTCTAGGAAGAGTCGGAGACCTAGGATACAAGTGATAATCCCTGACGACCAGCGCAATCGGCCACTTCCGTCCCTACCATTTTTTAACCACACCAAGAGTCGATCAGCTTCCGCCGAGATCGTATCTGGTCATGAGATCTCGCCACCCTCTGGATCCAAAAGCACTCGAGTTCGCGACTCCATGGTCTCTCCTCTTAGCGCACAACAACACCAACAACAACCACAGAACCAGTTGATGTCATCGATCAATGCTAACATTTCCAATACCCAACGCGAATCCTCAGGCAAAAACAATGCTCCTTCTCACTCCAACTCGTCTGACGAATCTCATGCAGACGATGCATCGTCAGTTTACAGCCAGCCGTCGTCAATGACAAGTAACGAAGCTACCAGTCCTCCAGGGGACGAACAGCAAAACAATCTCCGGAAACGCACAGTCACCCGAACATTCTCCATTAAGTCGCCCGTGGACGTAGGAATTTTTGATGACGAAGCACGTGTAGTTCCTAAGTCCGTAAATGCAAGCGCTGAAACCGGACCTTATAATCCGTCCCCGATAAGCACGCCACCACGTCGTTATGCGCCCCATCCACCCATTGAAGAGGATGCGATGTTTCAACCCACTTGCCCGCTTCGGCCGGCGCGCAAGCCTTCAAATGATTTACCTCGTCGACAGCCATCCACGCGCAGGTCATTAAATCGCAGCATTCGTCGCAGGAGCCTTGCGTCCAACCCAAAGATGGGAGTCTTGAACCAAGCAATGTCGCGCTCAGAGTCCAAGCAAATCTCAAATGGAATTCCGAGCCCAACTCTTAGCGAAGCGGAAAATGATCTTGAGCAGCACCTCACCTCATTTACCGATGACAACCCGTTCAAGTGGGATCAGTTGCTTGAAGGAACAAAATCCAGCAACAAAGAACTCTCGGGTCCCCCCCCAGCTCTCCCCCGCAAATCTAGCAAACGACATTCACAGTTCGGTGCATCCAACTTCCGCTTATCTCAGGTACCTTGCGACCATATCGCTTCGCAACTGAAGAGGAACCGGTCGCTGGGAAAGGGAAAAGGCCTTACCATCAACATCCCTTCAAAGTCTAAGCGGGTGGTTGACTCTTTTGTTCTTTCACCGATTCCTGGAATTCCTGGCGTCCCAATGATTCCACCCAAAGCTACTAAACGAAGCATCACACCAGGAGTTGCGGAGAACGTCATCCTGGGGATTTTGCAGAGTCTGGACTGTTTGGACGATCTGTTCGCTACGGCCGTTGCTAACAGAGGCTTCTATCGAGTATTCAAGCGCCATGAGCTCGATTTGATGAAAGCCACGTTGAGGAAAATGTCGCCGCCTGCTTGGGAGCATCGTGAAATTTGCTACCCGGGGCATGACCAGCAAACTCCAGAAGATCTTGAGAGAGAATGTCCAAGACGGGATTACACGCCAACGACATACCTTAAGTACTACATGCGCGATCTTTACATCATTGCTGCGCTCAAGTCGCTCATCAAAGACAAGTGCCAATCTTTTTTACGACCGGAGATCTCCGTCGCGCTTGTGAGTAATAATGAAATCGAGTCTTCACGGGTAGACGATGCGTTGTGGCGCATATGGACTTTCTGCAAAATATTCGGGTCTGGGAAAGGACGCGAGGAAGACATTGTAGCCCAGATGGATTGGCTGAAAGGTGGCGAGCTTGTCCACCAGAAGACGTGCACATACAGTATTCTGACCACGGATTCCATTGATATGAACGACACGTTGGCCAGTGCCCCGGAATGTTTCGCAAAGGGAAACGAAGATGGTTTGACTGCGGAAGAGCTGTTTGATATGATGGAGCTATGGAATTGTCTGGGTGTATTACTTCAGCCGTTTGAGGGTCGCACAATACAGGCTCGGGAGCACGGCGTCTACGAAAACACAGAGGTTCGTGGAGGCGATATTGATGGGGAAGAGCAGATGCTAGGTAAGTTTCCGATTATCTTTCAACCACTTGCATGCTAATGCATGTCCTAGATGAATGGTATTATTACCTTCTTACACTTGGTCTCTCCCCTGTCTTAGACCTTGCTGCTCCATGTCGCCAGACAGACGCTTCAGCCTTTATTCTAGCATCTCAAAATGGCTGGATGAATTGGAAGCCACCCATCTTCGGCGGGACCCGCAGGAATTTCCTTAAAGAAGCTGCGTCTCGTGTCTACGAAGACAAGATTGCCATTACCTATGCCGAAAGCTCCACCAAAGAAGTTCAGCGTCAGCTTTCCAAGCAACGCATTCAACGGCATATTACCGAACTTCGCAAACGCAAGAACAGTGGCGAGAGGATGCCGGAGATCCGCATGAGTCAGGAGCGTCCCATGAGTGAGTGGGAAGGGGTCATGGACAATCTTACCAAGCCTCGACCGCCTCCTCCGTCTTCTAACATCGTCTCTTACATTCCATCTCTTCGATCCGCTGCTCCAACTTCTGTCCTAGCTCAGCAACTTACCATGACCGTGGCCGAACTCCCTGCATCCAGGACACCACCACCACCTCCTCGCCCCCGATCACCACCAAGGCGGGTTATTGCCGAGCCTCTACTTCCTACACCACCCCCATCTACTGTTCCTAGTGTTGCTGACTGGGAAGCGCGAAGCGTTGCACCAAGCATGCCTTCTATCGACGAACATCCCATTTTCCAAACCCGCACAGAAACTATCCCAAGCATGCCTTCTTTAGAAGAGCATCCAGCATTTACCCGCCATCTTCGGCAGATGAGTGGCAATGGCCCTCCTCCTCAGACTTCTTCTTCCAGCACACCTTCTCTCGAAGAACATCCTGCTTTCCAACAGCATCCTCGCCAACATGAAATCTTCCAGAGCGATGCCACACAGAACACTGCTGAAAAAGCCGTATATCGCATCGTTGAGATGGGGTTCACAGCCGAGCAGGCAAGGCATGCTCTGCGCGTGACCGACCTTGGAGATGGTCTCCGGGTTGATCGCGCCGTTGAGTTGTTGCTTCGAGAAGTTTAAGTTTAAGTTTATTGATTTCCCTGCACATATTTATGGCACTTTTTATACACTCGCTTGATAATCCTGAAGCCTTTTCTTTCAATGTCCTGCTACATCTTTGGGGGTATTGAAATTGGAGTTTGAGCTTGAATTTGACAGCAGCCTGGTTCAGGGAGTTTTCTGGAACATGCTGCTTTGAGTCAACATCGAGCGTTTTGCACGAGATACCCATCGTTTGGATTATTTTCTTCACATATCTTGTATACCAGACGGATTAGAGATTGAACAGGATTGGATGAGAATTGAGATTCGTATGAGGGTAGTCGCATACAGAGAAACGTCACTCAAAACTGTTGGTCCTATGAATGTAACAACCTATTGACTTTGGATCGATGTGATGAACAACAGTTCGAGCCTTGCCACGATACATCATGTCCTTGCCTATAGCTTCGTACCACGTAGAACAGATTGAGGTTCCTGTCCGCAAACTTGTTTGTGCTCTTGGGGGGTGACGTGGATGTCTTCGTATCCCCTGCTGATCCATCTTGTCCCTCATATTCTTCACCTGCATAATTTTTAATCTATCCATTCCCAGAACTGCTGTTCGCCTATGTGATTGCGCAGCCTTTTTCTAGGCCACGAGGTTGACTTGCGCAGGCCTTGCGTGGGCTGCGTTCGAACTCGCATTGACATAGCCCCCCCGAGGATGAGATGCTGGGGACGGAAGATAACATAGTGACAACAACAACATCCTCGACATCGCTGCTTCTTTCGGGGAGTTGATATCAAGGTCTGCGCCGCACTTGAGACTCGGGGTGCGAAATTCCGGGAGGAATACGAGCAGCCAACTGACTGATTCATGATGCGATTCTGCGGCTGGAGTTGCGATTTGGATTTGCGGGTCATGGATTCTGGATCCTGGTCTTGTCCCTCAGTCCTGATGGACATACCCCATGCCTTTCCTCCACCATTCCCAGACGCCCAATTCTTCCATCCGTGCCCCGAACTCCTTTACGCTGCCGACTTCTTGCAGCTTACCGTATTCAGTCTGTTGTTCTTTGACTCCTTTATCACGCCCGTCTATGTGCAATGGAGCCACCTTCTGCACCAGCTGAAAGTCCTTGTATCGGAGGCCCTGCACAATGCTGACCCAATCCTTTACTCCAGATTCATGACCTTCGCAGTACATGATTCCAGGACAGCCGCCGCTGCGAAGAAGCACAAAGACAGCGTAATTCGAAGCCGCAGCGCGCAGTTTGGTGACTTTCTTGCGGGACGTGATGTGGTGGGTTCGGACTAGAGCGTTCCATACCGGGGTAGACATTCCATGCCTTTGAAAATCCCAACGTCAAATGCAGAATCTGTGACGGCTGATGATGGTGTTCCGCAACTGATGGGAGGCGGATATTCTTAACGCTCCCACACGTGACTTTCCACTAGCGTACATTTTCTATTTTCCACCGGCTCCAACATTAAGTTCGCGCCTCAGCTTCGATTGATATTTCGACAGCGACCCTATGGATCGGCTCCTAGTTCACCAGCCTTCGAATGGAGAGTTATGAAGCTAATACCGCTTCATAATTTACGGACACCCTCGGTTTCCGTCCTAAGCTTCCTGAGATCGCAACTTTTCGATGTGGCCGAGACCCCCACATCGCGATGCGCCTCCGTGAGGGGGAAGGCTTGGAGGGGGTTGTCGACAAGGGCGGCAGGGGAATTGGGGAGTGGTGGACGGCGAGGACAGGAGTGGGCTGGAAAGGACACGGTACAGTTAGGCTTCACGGCTTCCCGCAGGAAATGCTTTCTCGAGTCCAGAATCCGCTGCTTAGGATCCAATGCATTTCGATCATCTGCTCGGATACTCCACTCGCCCTTTGATTTCCTCGAAAACCCCCTCCTCTGCCGTCGCGCTTTCTCTACGACACCACAAAACCGAGTATGGCACCTCTGGGGCTCGGGGAAACATCGAACCACAAAGCCACGCGAAGAACACACCTCACCACTTACGAGCTTCCTTGATGATAATGGAGGCGGATTAGGCGGTCTGGGGAGAGTCACAAGGCCTACGAATGAGTTGAAGCTGCGGTGTACCGAGCTAGATGAGCAGGGGAATGTCACCATGGTCAGCGGCGAGTTCAAGAAGAGCGAGCTGATTGCGAAGGTGCGTGATCCAAAAACCTGGAATCCCTCCCCACACACTCTACTTTCCATGCAGCCTGCTATGATGCGAGGGTACTGATGAATCTTCAGTACGGTCTTCTCCCCCGCGATCTCCGCAAAATTGACTCCTCCCTCCTCCCTCACATTTTCGTCCGCCCATCCGCTATCCTGATCAATTTACTCCATCTCCGCGTCCTAATTAAGCACAATCGTGTGCTAGTGTTCAATGCCTATGGCTCCACAGACTCGTACAACCAATCCGTCTTCATGTACGATCTCGACGCAAAACTACGACAGAAGGAATCCCCTGCAAACGGCACATTGGCGTACGAATTCCGCGCCCTAGAAGCCGTCCTGATAAGCGTAACTCTTGCGCTCGAAAGCGAATTCGAAGGCGTCAGCGAGCCCGTCGTCAGAGTTCTCCGAGAACTCGAAGAAGATATCGATAGGGATAAACTCCGATATTTGCTCATTTACTCGAAGAAATTGGGTACATTTGAACAGAAAGCAAGATTGGTCCGAGACTCGCTGACGGAGCTTCTGGAAGCCGACGATGATCTGTCGGCGATGTATCTGAGCGAGAAAGCGGAGGGCAAAGTCCGCAATGAGCATGATCATACTGAAGTTGAGATGTTGCTGGAATCGTACCATAAAGTTGCCGATGAAATCGTGCAAGCGGCTGAGAACTTGGTGTCGAGTATTCGCAATACTGAGGAAATGTACTACACACACACCCTTCCTTCCCCCCCCATTTATGAATTTTAACTTACATATGGCGACAGCGTCAAAGCCATCCTCGACGCGAACCGCAACTCCCTCATGCTACTCGACATTAAGTTCTCCATCCTCACTCTCGCTATCACGGCCGGCACCTTCGTCGCCGCCCTCTACGGCATGAATCTCAAAAACTTCCTCGAGGAATCTGGCATCGGCTTCTTTGGAATCTCCGCTTGGTGCACCGTGTTCGGACTCCTGGTCGCCACCTACGGTCTCACTAGACTGCGGAAAGTGCAGCGCGTGAGTATGTGGGGTCATGGCCATGGTAGTGGCGGGTATTGGGGTATTGGGGCGTGGGGGGGACGGAGTACGAGAGTTGATGGGTTTGGGGAGGGGTTAGGGTTGGGAGCTGTGTCGAGATTGAGGCCGGGAGAGACTTTGGGGGATTTGGTTAAGAGGGAGAGCGCGGTTGCGAGGAAGTTGGCCAGGGCCGAGGCGAAGGCTGAGGAGAGCTTTAAGGGGTAAGCGAGTCGCTTGCATTGTTGGGTGAAGTTGTGTGTCTTGCTTGTACAGACATGTTTCCGATTCTCTGCTCTAAGATTCCCCCCTCATCGTCCATTATCTTATTATTGACTAGGAACGGTTGGTCGGTTAGGCATTGTAGACTGGATTTGGGCTTGCATAGCGCTGGTGTCTTGGGTTGTATCCCTTACTCGCACGCAATTGGGGGCGACTATCTCCCTATGCCTTTCACGTATTGCATGCATTTCTATTGTAGAGTAGAGTAGAGCAGAGTGTATCTATACCTGTTCTATTCCTTCATTCGCCCACTCACTCCGCAGCATTGTGCTTCTTATTGCTCTCCCAACCTTAGCTCTTCTCCTCTAAAGTCAAACTCAAGATCACACTCTACTTAGAACAATCGCATAGAATTCCTTGGTATACCCAATAAATTAGCAATCATCAGAGAAAAGATAACTTTTATAACACCGTTGCCCTATTTCCCTTGAACGAAACGTACAGTGGTAGTAGTTAGTCCACGCCGCTTGTTGTGCCGAAGATTATATACAAGAAAAACTCGTCGTCCAGGTCGTATGCTCGCTTCCAAGACGGGGGAGCCTTCGATCAGTGTGTGGCTGCCACCCCTCATCAACATGAGGGTGGGAGTGGTGGCTCCCTTGCTGGGTTAGGTTGAGCTAGAGTTTGTTCTTCTCTGCTTACTCGACGTCTGGCATATTTCCGAGTTGGTTCCCATCTGACCCAGCCTCCAAAAGGGACCGTCAACTTTGTAAATCCAACCTCTAATAAGGAATACCATCATACTCACCATACCCCAACGCAAGATTCATATTCTGCAAACACTGCGTTGCCGCTCCCTTCAAAAGATTATCAATTGTAGCATTAACCACAACCCGCTTCCCCGAGCTATGGACTGCAAAGCCGCCAATCTCCGCACCATGTTTCCCAGAGATGGCCTTGACGAGTGGCGATTCACCAATGACTTTGACAAGCTTCTCGCCAGCGTATCGGTCCTGGTAGATGTTGCGGATGTCGCGGGATGTCATTGTGCGATTGAGAGGGATAGAGATGGTGTGCTATGGAGCATGTTAGTAGCTATCATATTTTCGAAAAGGATGCGAAGAGAGGGAGGGGGCTTACGTGAATACCCTGGAACCAGACAGCGACATGGGGGATGAAAGCCACGTCAATTTCCAACTGTGATGATATTTCTCTTTCGTGGATGTGATCTACTAGACTGTACGGAATGATATTGTTCTCTAGGTTCTTCACATCGTTCTTTGGACTAGGCTTAGTGCCAGCCCCCGAATACCCTGAAACGCCAAAGACTGTAGGTTGACCGCCAATGAAGTCCAGAAGAGGTGCGATACCAAGCTGAGCCGCGGTCGCATAGCAACCGGGATTTGATATCCGTGTAGCGTCCGAGATCTTGCGGCGATCTACTAGCTCAGGGAGTCCATAGGTCCATGATGAATCGAACCGGTAGTCTGCGGATAGATCCACGATCACCGCATCGGGCTTTCCAGATTCGTTGATGGCATCGACGAAGGGTTTGCAGACGCCATTAGGAAGAGCCATGACCCAGCAATCCACCTCCTCCTTCTCTGCCATTCTCTTAACATCCTCAGGTGAGAGATTCTCGTAAATGATCTCGCGTTTTGTGTAGCCTTCAAGCTTCTTGCCCTTAAGCTCACGTGATGAGACGTGGCGGAGGTCCATGTTTGGGTGTCGGTTTAGGAGGTCAATGAGGGCTTGGCCAGTGTAGCCTCGGGCACCAATCAGAGCAATCTTGGAAGGCCAGTCTTTGCTCTTGAACTTGATACCATATGGAGGGTTAGGGTTAGTAGTTTCGACGGGGCGTGATGCGCTTGTAGCAAAGCTTCGAGACAAAAGGGCTGTTGATCTGTTCGGCCTAATTGCTGGCCTTGATTGCTGGCCTAGCGTTCGGGAGCCAACCATGGTTGAGTAAGCGCGTGTTTGTTGGCCATGCTTCAAACTCGCCGCATAGTCAGCCGCTCGTCGCAGCTGCGCTTCGAGGTTGTGATCGCCAAACATTGCCCGTCCATGTTGAGAGAATTCACTCATCAACGAGACTACCTCGGTCGGGTCGGCCGGGCCCCAGAAGCAGAAGACCTCCTTTTCTCGACGAAGGGTTCCGTCCGCCTTTTCCTTGAACCAGCCAAGATTCTCATCTTGGGTCTCTACGGTCCAGTACATCTTGGGGTACTTCTTCTTCATGCGTTCAAAGATGTTGTCAGCCACGTTCGTGAGAAAAGCGTCTTTGGTTGTGGTAAAGGTAGAGAGTTGAGCAAATCCAGATTCTGCAGTTGGCGGATATACAATGCCAACAGCACCCATCGAGTCATCGAAAAATGCCTCGAACGGGCGATTCTTGAGGTTATTCAAGAAGCGGTCAATGACATCTCCCGAGTCCAAGCCCTCGCGATCCCTCAAGAGGGCATCTCGAAGCGTCCTGATATCCTCGAAGTCCTCGTACTTGGTCACCGTCTGAATACTCTCACCTTTCCGGATTAGTGTACCACCTCCGGTGTGGGTGAATAGTTCCTTCTCGAGGTATTGAGGGTGGATGATGGCCACACTGGAGGTCCTGGGAAGATCGTCAAGGAGTTTCTTGACTTCCACGATCTTCAGCTTAGTGCCATATTTTACCCAAGGTTGCTGTAGCAAGGTGTCGTATTCCTCGTCGAGGTTTATAGTAGAGATGAGCTTTCCAGTGTCGCCATTGAAGAGACCACCCTTCTCTGACAGGTATACGATCTTCAGCGGTTCCAACGATCGTGCCAGAGCTCCCGCAACAACGTCGGCGTTGACATTGAGGATTTGACCGTCTTCGGTCTCCGCCATGGAGCACAGGATCGGCAGCTCCTTTGCCCTGAGAGCATCTACGATAGGCCTGGAGTGGACCTTAGTGATGTCTCCAACGTACTTCCACTTTTCTTTGTCAAGGTAATCTGCCTGGAGCACACCAGCAGTAATTGGCCGCGCAGGTATTCCCCAGTCTTGCCTTAGCTTTAGGACTAGGTCCATGTTAGCTTCCAGAAAGAGCTTCCGAGCTATGCCCAGTGTCTTCTTATCTGTAACCCTGATCCCATCAATGAATTCGGGTTCAACGCCAGAATCCAGCAAAATCTTGTTCATCTGCGGGCCGGCACCATGGACGATGATGGGATAGAGCCCCATGGCGTAGAGGTGCTGCAGCGCCATGCATAGTGTATCAATGTGGTCTGTGAGAATTGCACCACCGACTTTGACCACGGCGAATTGCTGCGAGGAGACGGATCTGAACTGGGCGAGGTACTGGTCGATTTCCCTCCGTGAGCTGACGCTTCCGAGCAAGCTCAGGAACGCGTTCCGCATCGAGGTGGCATCTCGGCTGTCCGCTGAAGACGTATACAGACGCGTCGAGGTCGTGGCGAGGATTCGAGGGAGGGTTCGCGAAGCTCCAGCAGTGGCCGTGACTCGTCTGCAGGGCCTCGATGCCAATCGGGCACCGGAACGCACGACGGCCTGCATTGTTGTTGTCTCGCGCGCGAAGGGCTCGTAAGGACTCTCTCAATGCACTGCAACGGCTGCGGAAGTGAATTGGTGAGGGAGAGGGAAGAGGGGAGAGCAGACGGGGGAGATAATAGAGTGCTGGTGAGCTTGTTGCGTCAAAAAATTCGCTTCCGATAACGCACCACTTCCAGCTTCTTGTTCCCCGCTGCAGGTGGCGCGGCAACAGTTCCCTCCATTAGCCTGGGGTGCGTCAGGCCTGATTGGCTGCTATGCGGAGAGAAATTTTCTATGCCTGAGGATGATGCGTCGAGCATCGAGCATCGCATTTTTTGAGCGCGCAGGTGATGGCCTGCAGCCGTGCGAGCCCCATTCCCGTCTAGAATCTTGGCACCATTGTCATCGTTGTCAAACTCTGCAATAGAGCTTGGAAACCCGGCCTTCAGTTTGTCGGCATGTTCTGTCTGACCTCTGACACCTGATATCGATGGATGCGCTGTGTGGTGCGTCCCGTCACATCCACCACATCACAAAAGAGAGACAAATGCGAACTGCAACTCCACAGTCCATATTTGGCAGTGAAACCAAGATTCAAACTCCATTTGGGGTCATCTAATCGAGCCGTGCCCGAAATCGTCGTCTCTGGAGGTAATAAACAGAGAGAAACAGAGCAATCCTGGGGAATAACGAGACTCAGGTTGGATCCCACTGTTACCGACCGAATGCTCAATGCAGGGAAAGACAAGAACTGAAAACCAGACCCAGCGCTCCTAATTCGCCGTGACGTTAAACCTACAGGGACTGCTCCGTCGCATGAAAGGCAATGCGCACTTCACAGCCAGTACCAGTCTAGCTCCCCTCCCCCCAGCCCTCCCCCCAGCATGGCTATGCACTCCAGCAACTCTCCTTATTAATATTCCAGCTAGCTTTTACTCGCCTTGGCCAGGGAGCATTTATCTCGTAGCAACGACTGCATGAATGTGAGCAATCTGAAATCAAGCCGCTGGAGGGCGGTGGGCGACGTTTCTTACCAGAGGGGACAATGATGACGACGAGGAGGATGATAATACCGACGATGAGACACATGCGCATCTTCATGTCCTTCCACCACATCTGCTTGCGCACACGATTGGCGCCCCTTCGGAAGCCCTGGGCGGACACGGCGAGGTTATCGGTCTTGTCCTGCAGCGAGTCCAGACGCGCTCCTCGTTCCGACACCTTATTGATATTGTCCCGCATGATTCCGACGGTGCTGTCGATTTCCTGATGAAAGTCATGTCAGCAAAATCGGATGCACAGCATGTGAACATTGGGCATCTATGTCGTCGCTCGAGACAGCGACAGATGCAGCCGAGTGATGGCATCAGACTCCATCAAGAGGCTGAGGCGGCCTCCGAACACTTCGCCGGGTGTGTTGGGCGGTGGTTCCAGCTCTCGGCAAGCCCAGCTGGAGCTCCCCAGCACAGAAGAGCTGCGCAGTCGCTGCGCCGAAGGGAACAGTGCCGTTCGAGTCGACGAAACAAAGAATAGTGATAGACATACCGCTTGCAAGGCCTGCGTGCGCTGATTACCCTGTCCTTGAGCGCCCTGGTTGGCGTTGCCCCCGGAGGGAATGTAGGGGTCGTACGGCTGCTCACGGTCGGCCATGGCTACTGCGGGTGGTGTGTGTATGTGTGTTGTGTGTGTGTGTGTGTGTGTTGAAGGAGTAAATGCGACAGTTGTGGTGAAGGTAGAGTTTGCTTGAGGAGCGATGTGGATAGATGCTTGGTGGTGAGAACGGAGGTGTTTGGTGGATGGAGCCGGACGCTGGCAGATCCGGAAGGCAAGAAGTGGTTGGTTGGCGTTGGCGAGGGAGCTTGTAACAGCGTTGGTCTGAGTGCGGTTTTAGGTGAGGCTGATATCGGCGTACGACCTCACGCTCTGCCGCTGCAATCTCGGGCCGTTGACTTGAGTAACGTAGTGCTGTATTTATTTAGGCAGAGGGTTGAATAGCGGAGCAGAGATAATTGGCGGGTTTGCAAATTTATTGTTGCTGCGTCTCTCTGTGCCTGTTGTGCGCCACGGCCCAGTAACGGTCACGTGCACTCTCAGCCTCGCCACTGACGACGCCGGATCAGCTTGGGAGTGGCAACGGGAATGGCAACAGAGGCAGCTCGCGGATGATGACGAAGCGCCAGCGCTGCTAATTTGGTCCCCCTTCCTTGAGCAGCCTTTTCAGGACGAGCCAGGCGCTGAAGCAGGTGCTGAGACATTCTACGCAGCAACGCGCACGTGCAGCTCCTCGTAAAGAAACGATCACAGCATCATGATACCGCGTATGCCGACTTCTTGTAGCATAGTTGCCGCTGAACAATCAGTATTCATCCGGTCACTGGCCGTTTTGCAGCCGGACCGTACAGCATATCAGCACCTATTGTGGAAGAGTGATAGAGAGGATTTGCATTCTTGACGCGCTTGCTGGAATCAGAGGGAGCCTTTAGAGAATACTGGCTATTGTGTTAAATCCAGCCTGTCATGTTCTGTTGGGTGTGGTAGCATTCAGCAAGATCCGGAGTGTCGCTCTCGTGTTTGGCCTTGGCACATCCGCAAGCATCCTGCCCAGCTGCCCAGGCGCTGCGCAGCGTCTCCTGAACGACACCAACACGCACCTCCCAACCCCTCCACCCGCTCTCCGCAACCTCGACGAACGACACTCACTTGGAATTTTCCTGCGAACGGCGTGATACCCTTTTCGCGTGCGCCCTTGTCCCCAGCCCGCCTGCCCCTCGATTACTCCTCGTCGATTCCCACGCCCACCGCTCCCCGTCGCTCGTTTCAGACCATCGTCAAACCTCCAGGCCATTCACTACAAACCTTTACTAGCAACCGGATCCATTTTGTTGCGCGATTAAAAATAGAAAGGCTGCCTGAGTTGACCGACTTAACGACAACGCTGCGCGTTACGACGTCACCCACCCCACAGTAAATACTCAAAGGATTCACATCATAATCTGGACCATATCTGCGCTGGCTGCGTAAACCCGACATAATGAAGTTTTCATCCTCCGCCCTCGGGGTATTAGGCGCCTCAACCCTGCTGGCATCAGGCGCCGGTGCAATTAATTTGGAGATTGGCAATCCAGGTGAGGAGCGTCGTCCTTCAAGTGATGGAAACGCAGACTAACAATACTCCCCCCCTCTCCTCCCTAGACTCGATTAAGAGTGCAGCAAAGACCATTGCTGCCGGTATGAGGAAATACTACACCGGAGATAAGCCTGGCGATACTCCTGGAAATCTTCCTGACCCCTACTACTGGTGGGAGTGTGGTGCCATGTTCGGGAGTCTGATCGATTATTGGTACTACACTGGTGACTCTCAGTACAATGCCATCACTGTCCAGGCTATGCAGCATCAGATCGGTGACTACAACGCTTTTATGCCCCCTAACCAGACCAAGACCTTGGGTAATGATGACCAAGCTTTCTGGGGCATGGCCGCTATGTCTGCTGCAGAGAACAAATTCCAGGACCCACCTGCAAACCAGCCTTCGTGGCTCTCTCTCGCTCAAGCTGTTTTCAACACCCAGGCAGTCCGCTGGGACGAGAGCACTTGTGGTGGAGGTCTAAGGTGGCAGATTTATGCTTTCAACAATGGATACAACTATAAGAACACCATTTCCAACGGATGCTTCTTTAACATGGCCGCCCGTCTCTACAAGTATACTGGCAACACGACCTACAGCGATTGGGCCGAGAGGATGTTTAAGTGGGAGCTCGGGGTTGGCCTCATGAGCAAAGATTATCACTACTTTGACGGTACCGACGATACCATCAACTGTACTCAGATCAATCACATTCAGTGGACCTACAATGCTGGTGTGCATATGGCTGGCGCTGCCGCCATGTGGAATGTGGTAAGTAAAGCAAACCCCAACTAGACTCTCTGCAACGCTAATCCCCTGTAGACTCAGTCCGATGAGTGGAAAGCTCACTTGACCGGAATCATCAATGCTACTTCTATCTTCTTTTCCACCGAGGCACCGAACGTCATGTTTGAGGTTGCTTGCGAATCGAACGGCAAGTGTGACGTCGATCAACGGTCCTTCAAGGCTTACCTATCCCGTTGGATGGGTTACACTGTTAAGGTCGCCCCCTGGACTCGGGAATTAATCATGCCAAGGTTGCAAGCCTCTGCTAAGGCAGCGGCTGCACAGTGCAATGGTGGCGCTGGCCAGGACCAATGTGGCCTCAAATGGACTCAAAACGGACAGAATGACAACAGCTTCGGTGTTGGCGAGCAGATGTCTGCTCTTGAAGTCATCCAGGCTTTGCTTCTTGATCAAGTCGCTGGGCCTGTCTCAGCAAATACTGGTGGAACTAGCAAGGGTAACCCATCTGCAGGATCTGAGAACCAAAACAAGCCCTTGACTTTCAACAGCATCACCACAGGCGACAAGGCTGGAGCTGGCTTCCTCACGACCCTCGTTCTTATTGGTATTATTGGTGGAGCGTGGTGGATGGTGTCGTAATGGGGATGTAAATATTGGATTGTTTTGGGTTTTGGTCAAGCTTTCCTTTGTTTACCACTTAGGGTCAGCCGACTTCCTTCACAAGGAAGTTTTCGTCGCTACTTTGGAGCTGCTGGTGTTAATGATATTACTGGGTAACTTAGTTCGTGTTTTATATGTGACTTCCAGGCTGGGTTTGGTCTGGTAGAGCAAGTAAAGAAAGATCCATCTGAAACTTTCGTTCGCCTCGTCTGCTCGCATTACTGTTTTTCTGTCTCACATTGACTTGTTCTCATACACACCCGGGTATGCATCTGAATGCTGTGTTTTTCTGTAGCAAGTCTTACCGCTCGAGCATCCACCAGAGGCTGGGAGCGAAGTGCAGGTCTTTCATTGCAGCCAACAGAGGAAAGTGCAGTCTTACGGCCAACCCCTCAGTATTCCTTCACTAGATATTGGCAATACCTTTCCAAGCCCTAAAACTTTTCCCTCCATGCTCTTGAAAATATTATCGAGGAGAACTCCTTCGACCCTAGTACTCGCTGACCATCCAGGACGTTGTCCAGTCCCTATTCTTCACAACGTAATTACAAGACACGGATCGTCGCCCGGAAGATGTTGAGATAATCGAAGACGCAAGCATACCGGGTACGGTGTTCCCGCCGTTCCTCATCCATCTTGGCGTACGCCGAATCTTGCCATAAACGGAGCCCGTTAGCTGGCTTCATATTATCGACATTGACTACTTCGATGCGATACGCTGACCAAGGGCCGGCGGTAACGGTATCTCCACGACACCTCAGCACTTGATACAAATACCTCCTGTCAATACTTCAATTATGACAGGTATCAACATCTTAACCTTATTACAAGAATCAGAGGTGATGTCTAGCAGAACCTAAATCCCGGTATTCAACCTACATTGCTATTTTCCGTGGAATGTGTCGGAATGGAGTGTGGGGACCAGTGTTTTCCGCGAGACCAAAAAGCTTCTTTGATTATGTTTGGCCGAACTCTGATTTTCCCGATTGTTATTTAATGTAAATTTGGTGGGCCTATGGCTAGAGAGAAAGTCAAGGTATCGAGATTTGCAGTTCTTTAGAAGAACCATTCTTAGTGAGACCACTCGCCGGATGGGGATTGTGTGGGGCTAGTCTGTGGTTGAACAGAAAGGAAGCTATATATAGGCCCTAATTATAATGCACAATAGCTTGGAGGTTCATCTTGAACAAGGTGAGCTGAGCTTCATTAGAACCGATTGTCCTCGATGATGGTGGATGAAGGAGACGATGTCAGTAAAGGACTGTGGTTGCAAGGTTGCGTACTGCGCAAGGCTGACCGGGGAATTTAACAACTCTCACGTCATTCGAGGTGCATAGTCTTCACGTGAAGGGAAAAATAGACAAGCCTTGGAACATTGGCTTTGAGTTTCGGTAAATTATCATTGCACCACATATACTTGCTCATATCGGCCTATTGCGGCATGCAGTAAAAGGGACTAGCCAAGATATCAGTCTCCATTTTCTCCTTGTTCCTCGCATCGCGGAGCGACTCACCACTCAGGCAATCCCTGAATATGTCCTTCTCGGCGCGCTCGCCATTGGCTCGAGCAACGATCTACCATAGGTCAGTTTCTAGACCGGCTACTGCCTTATATTGTATGTAAATATTAGCTTCTAAACTTAGACTCTCAGTTACCACAATCTATTTAGAATATACAGAGAACTAAAAGGATTAATAGAGAATCAATGGGACAGTAAAGCGGCTGGACAGCGGCTCATGGAATACAAATAGGGCACGCACGGGGAAGGACTGACTGAATGCAAAATGCATGTGCCCCAAGCATACCTCCGGCGGCCATAGGTGGACAGTTGAAACCCAGAAAGAAGGGATTTCTATTCCATTTGGCGCCCATACCTAATGTTGTCTGTCAAAGACGAAAAGTTAGCACGGTCTCCAGTCCAGCCCAGTCTACTGAATAAGGCGGTCCACATTGGCCACACGATGCTCATCGAGATGACAGGACCATAGGTCGTCAAATCTCCGTATCTCTCTTAATAGTGGTGAATAGCTATCACAGTGGGGAGTAGGATTCTTCCAACGAAAAGTATGGAGATCGAGGCCCCCGTACAGGAGGGGATATCTCCGGATCTTCGGGGGCGGCGCCCACGAGGACAGAAAACAAAAAAGGCGCATATGTCGGGAAGAATCTCTGCCGCTGCTTAGGCTTCGACTACGAGTGGATCGGGCAGCAGGAGTGAATATCAGCTCGAGACGTGACAACGATTCGGTTAACCGCAGATTATGTCAGCCGCCAAGGAGCCGAAACGCGGCGTAGTGGGAGAAATTTCTGGGTTTATCATGTTCCCACGCCCACTAGATGGTCTTGCTTCCAAAAGACCATGTGCCTTCTGTCCCTCAGCACTTGGGCCCACAGCCCCGGACACTGCACGACTCCAATTGACTACTTTTCTGCCCATCGTCATGCTCCCCACGTCGCGCTCTTAAACTCTTCGTCCGGCAGTTTTGTGCCGACGCTTCCCGAATATCACTGAACCCTTTCTACCTTTCCGTTCTCATCCTACTACGAGACCAGCAGCAAGGTAAGTAGTTCTACGAATTTTTTAATCCTCCTTTACTATGATGAGTTCGTCCAAATTTTAGATGTTAGACTTGCGACTACAACGCATGAGCGCACTACGACGTCCTGAGCAAACGCCTCTTCCTCAACCTCGTCTTCACCACTTCATGGATACTTCCAGCTAATACCTACTTTCTAGGCCAACCCTGATTAGATATTCCTCGTATCTCTCGCCTCTCATCTCTTTCAAGATGTGTGGCATTATCGCCGTAATCCATGCGGACCCGTAAGCTACCGGCTTGAACGAGATAATGCATTTTGTACTAAGAACAGACAAGGAAATCGCAATCCGCTGCTGTGGAGATCCACGATGCTCTGTATCTCCTTCAACACCGCGGACAGGATGCTGCGGGCATAGTCAGCTGTGGGGCTGGTGGACGATTCCACCAATGCAAAGGCAACGGAATGGCTTCCAAGGTCTTCCACGACGGAGCTCGAGTTGCTGAGCTACCCGGATTCATGGGCCTCGGGCACCTCCGATATCCCACCGCAGGGAGCAGCGCAAATTCTGAAGCCCAGCCATTTTACGTCAATAGTCCTTATGGCATCTGCATGACCCACAACGGTAACCTCATCAATGCTCCCAAGCTGAAGCTATTCCTCGACCAAGAGGCGCATAGACATATCAATACTGAAAGTGACAGCGAGCTGATGCTCAACATATTCGCAAATGAGCTCAATGAGACTGGGAAGGCGCGTATCAACTCCAGCGACTGCTTCGCTTCCCTCGAGCGCATGTACAAGCGCTGTGTTGGTGGATGGGCGTGCACTGCTATGCTTGCAGGTAAACTTGACCTGACTCTTTCGGCCCTGGTGTAACACAAACTGACTTTATTCAGGTTTTGGTCTTATCGGCTTCCGCGATCCCTATGGCATTCGCCCTATGGTGCTTGGATCTAGAAAATCTAGCGGTGGCGATGGATTGGACTACATGATGGCTTCAGAGAGCGTTGCCCTCGTCCAAGGTGGTTACACTACTTTCCAGGACATTCTCCCCGGACAGGCCGTCATCATTGAAAAAGGCAAAGAACCCGTGTTCCACCAAGTGCATCCACAACTGGCCTATACTCCGGATATCTTCGAATACGTTTATTTCGCGCGTCCAGACGCTGTCATTGATGGCATTGATGTAGACGAAAGCCGGCGCAATATGGGCTTCAAACTAGCGGAGACAATCAGGCGACAGCTTGGCCCCGAGAGACTTCACGAGATTGATGTAGTGATGCCGATCCCAGAAACTAGCATCACTTCTGCCCTCTGTGTGGCTGAAGCGCTCGGAAAGCCCTATTGCCAAGGGTTCGTCAAGAATCGCTACATCTTCCGTACCTTCATCATGCCATCGCAGAAGCTGCGGCAGAAAGGTGTACGAGCGAAGCTTAACCCTATGCGCAAGAAGTTCGAAGACAAGAACGTTCTGCTTGTGGACGATTCCATTGTCCGAGGAACTACATCCCGCGAAATCGTTCTGATGGCGAGGGAAGCGGGTGCTAAGAAAGTCTACTTCTCTTCATGCGCTCCACCCATCACCAACGCCCACATTTACGGAATTGACCTTGCCTCGTCATCAGAACTTATTGCGCATCACAGGAATTCAAGCGCAATCGCCAAGCATATTGGAGCGGACGATGTGATCTATCAGACTCTGCCAGACCTTATCGAAGCCTGTGCCTCGCTGTCTCCTCGGGATCCAGCTTCCCAGAAATTTGAAGTCGGTGTCTTCTGTGGAAAGTATGTCACACCAGTTGACGATGACTACTTTGAGCACCTCGAGCAAATTCGAGGGGAGAGCCGCAAGCTTAAGATCATGGAGTCGGCGCGAGTGGCTGTGGTGCAGGGAGTTGCAGATCAGAAGCAGATTCGGATGGCAGCAAAGGGAGTGGTAAGTGATTCAAACCCCCCTGTTTCAGAATCACAAATACTCATTTATGAAATATAGGAGGTAGACCAGCATGGCAATGTCATCCCCACCGAGAATGGAAGCCCGGACTGGCGCCCTCTCAATGTTGCAAAGGTAAATGGGGTGGTCGAGGAAATGAACGGGACCAAGAGACCTGGCGAAAATGAGGAGAGACTGAAGAGCGACGAGCAAATCCGACCTCGGATCAGCCAAGACATCAGTCTTCATAATCTGAACGACCATCCTTGAGCACCGTTAGAGCAACCACTCGGTAATCTCATGATATATCAAAAGTCTTGAGTGGTTTCATACACGTTGTTTACGTTATAAATAGTCCAGCTTCCTTTTAGCGTTCAGCGACGTATATTCCTTCCAGGAAGGCATAAACTGAAAATTGATGGCTATGCGGTCCTGTCGTTTCATTCGGTCATTCTGTCATTCTGTCAGCGTATCGGTTAATCAAGGTCAGGGTCAGGTGTAGTCTTCGCAAGAACAATTGAAATATTTTAGATACCTACTGCTTCTTCATAAATTTCGGTCAGCTACTGCATTTCACGTCAGATTCTCGACTCATAATTCCAGGAGAAGTCTCTCTATCTTATCGATGCTATTCGTGACTTGTGGGTCAAGCCCTAGAACACTAGAACTTTAGTCTAGAATATGCTGCGCAATGAGGAATTAAAGGTTCTGGAAGGGGGCGAGAAAGAATCACGGCATATTTGTGCCGAAAGTAGAACACATATAAGGGAGGTTTGGTGAGAAGGTCTCTTGTGATGAACAAGGAGAGTGCTAATGAATTCCAGCATGCTAGTGCCCATTCCAGGTCGCAGAGGAGGATTTTTGAACTAGTAAGTCTCTTGTTAGAATCCAGGAGAGAGCCAACAGAATGCTTTTATATCTGTCTAATCTTGAGTCCGTATCATTTTCTGTAGCAAGTCCAATAGGTAGTACAAATAAGACTTCCACCGCCCATCCAGCACCCCACGACCGTCGGTTATATTGCAGTTGCCACCACGGCCCTACAATATACCCCTCGCCCGGTCTGAGAGTACAGGATGCTGCATTAAGCTACCGTTAGGGAAGTGCTTAGCTCTCTGAGTCACGTTCAGCGTGGTCAACAGCCCCCAGTACGGTTCTACGCTACTGTTCATATGATGGCCGTATGTATCGTACTTCGCCCTATACCGGTACGGTAGCATGTGATAGATTCCAGGTGGTGAGGAAGGCTAATTAGCGGAAATTTTCCAGTCCAGTGTAATCTTATAGCTGCTACATACACTAATCTAACTGCTTTAGTTAATCATCCGCAATGGTAATAGCTTAAGGTTAGTCGTAAGCAGTATCTAATGCTCCATTAGATTGTCTTTAACTTCCTCTTAGTCTCTGCGAACTTATGCAATCGTAAGAGGTGTTTTAGCACAGCTAGAAAGAATGTTACAACAGTCAGGAATTAGCTATGAGACTTAACAATCAAGGTGGTACAACTAAAAAGTACTAGCTTGAAAATAAGGACGTTAAAGGCTCTCCACCCGACTTTACAGCAGTAATTGAAGGGCTGTTATAACTATCCAAGATTCTGATGGCTATTAACTTCTAGAAATAGGTATGATATACGGTCCCCTTACAGCGTACAGTTTCCGTTACGTATTATAGGGATCATCGTTTTATTGCTATCATAGCTCAGATACCAATCGTATTTACCTCCCAAAACAACCCGTAACTACGGCCTGCGCAAAGCTGACCACACTAGCCACGGTGTCTAGCATAAATGCCTTAAAGTGTCTAGCCTTCAGTGGCCGGAACTACCGATAACGTTCCAGAATGCCACTACCGTCTGTTAGGCAATAGGCATACCGGAGCAGGCCTACTGGCCCTCCCTGCCGGCGGTGTCGGTGTAACATCCATACCACCCCCGAACTACTATGGAACTTCCACTTCCTACACAATCCGATCGTGGCTTATATGCTGAAGAATAAAAGCTATGCAACAAACAGGATTGCTATCTTACATATATGTCGTACACGTCCACACGTGAGTCATGATACAAATAATGTACGATTCTGGCCTTATGTATCCTCAATTTCATACCAAGAGGAGTAATGCCGTATGTCTGTACACTTTACATAGCTATTACGTACCTATCGTGCATGTCCTGCATACCCTGCATTTCCTGCATTAGAGAGTAATTATGTCTAGGCATGAAACAAATGGTGGGATACTCAAAGAAAAGGAGCGTCTGAGTCTGCCGTTTAGGCTCTCTTAATGTGTCAAGGTAGCACAGTCTCTATTCCTTCTGGCGTTTACCGACTCTTCTCTGCTCCATCATACTTCCCATAACACTCTATCAACAGCGATATTCCCCGTCATCTTTGCCAATTGGTGATGCTGAGTCTCTCTTCGTCGGCTATATATGGCCTTGGTATTAAATACCACATTATATAAGCGGGAAAGAGAATATCCTCAAAGGGTTGTGAGCATACACAGTACTTTAGACAGAATATTTAGCTGTAAGCGAGTAGATCTTCACCTGTACCAATAATCTACTTAATAATAGACCGTCCTTCGATCCGCACAGCCTCTGTCCTCCTCACCACTCTATTTAGCATATGGACCGACACATGTTTCACGGATACCAATAAAAATATCGCCTCTTCTGTAATCCACTATCCTAGTCCTTGCGTTGTTGACTTATACATCTCTTCCATCGCCTATCGCCTTCAACTCTCATTTGCTAATTGCTCTAGTTGCTCAAATAACTCACTCACAGTTTTCGAATAGTCGAGATCAATATTGCACCATGACTTCCATCCTTCCTTCCATTCAGACATATCATTCTCGCCCGTTAAGCCTAGGAGCGCGAAGATCTTGTCGCATGGATACGCTACCGATTTATTGCCCATTGAGTGCATTATCTGAAGCAAATCCTGGTTAAACTGTTGAGATTGCCTTTCCTTGGAGCATCGCTGATGCTGGGGCTCTAGAATATCAAAAAAGTGGCGCAAAACTGATGTCTTTAAATTTGCCAGCTCTCCAACTAGGGTGACATTCTATGTAATTAATGAGACGAATCATGAACCGTAGATTATAGGTATTATTGGATCTCTAGGCGAAAGAGTCATGGCCGCACAACATAATGGCTTGGAACGGGAGTGCGGCTTCCTAAGGGTAATTGCTTAGTCAGTCGGATGGATGTGGAGAGAAAGTGTCCAGCATCTTTGCGTTGCTTCGATTTGCTAGATCGTAACGACATAGAATTGAAGTGAGGCTGTTCTAGGCTTTGCGGAGCATAAACGAAAGAGGGGTCGAAGTCCGGTTAGCTGGAGGGTGAAGGTGCATTCCCCCTCGCCTTCCCTTACCATACTAGTAGACTAATGCGGACCAATTCATCACTCCATAATACGGCATAACGCGCGGATGAATGAAGGGCTTGGCCAGGGTGTGCGCTATTTCATGACCGAGGCCATCTGTCCCGTGAGAATAACCCCCCCCCCTCCTCCCTTCGTTTGCCCCTTCTACATCTCCCACTGAGATGATTATTCGCCTCGCCCGGTCAAACAATATCGCTCACTTAATGTGCTCCACTATTGCATTCTTACCTGTGCATGATCGCATCATCTGCTGAGGGAGTACTTGAAGGGCACTCATGATCCATGCTGGGTACTCCTTTCTAACAGTGACCCTTTACACGGCGTGGTTGGTGTAGCTGTGGCTCGTGGAATGGTTACCAATGCAGAATGTTAATTCAATATATTCGAGCATCTTGTGGACCAATCCCAGGTTCCGCCCAGAGCTCGGGGCTTACGGCGTTTGATGCATCTATAAAGCTAACATGGGAGATAAGTGCTGGTGCTGAGACGGTGAGCCTGAGTGACTACCCTATGATATAGTTTTTTTGGGAGAAGAGATAGGTCCTAATCGAATGCCTGGTACTTGCGATTTCGGGGTTAAGTGAAGAGCAGGTGCACCGCGACAAGCAAAACTGGAATATTAGAATAGTGAGGCTAGATCCATTCGGATACTTGATTCACAACCAAAAAAATCCATTTCGGGAGTCTCCCGTCACCAATGGGTGACGTCACGTGAGACATCTATTCGGTGGCTCTGTCGTGGCTTATTGACAGACAGGGCGTAATATTGGGTAAGACTAAAATAATTCGGGGTCCCTCAGCTGGTATGAAATAGAATCCCTCAACGAGTTGCTGACATTGAAGCGATTAGAACAACTAACCTTGTTATCCGATGTTGAAGAAAACTCTAAGGTGAAACTGTTGAGCTTATTTGGGAAACCTACTGCTCTCTCTATTTGTGTAACACATTCATCACTGTTGAATCAAAACTCACCGTAAACCCTCTTCACATCGACCTACAGTCACTATCTTGAAGCATCTACCCTATAAAAACGTTGCATTAGCCACTCCCAAACACTCACATATAACCCACTATACGCACGCGAATCTCCCATAGCGTCGTCAATATCAATTCACCCCGCCAAGTCCCATGACCCCATACGCTCTAACTACGGAAATATCTACGCAGATGATACGATGTAGACCAGATATACCCCAGCCTATCACCTTTGTTCTAATCACTCACCCACGGTTGTGATCTTTCGTCTGTTGATTCTGTCAGAACTACGGTTCCTAGGGAACCGATCTGGTGGTGCGAAAGTATGACTAAGAGACTAAGGGGATAAGCTCGAGGAAATGGGGGCCGAAGCGTTTGTCCGAAGTGGCGGTTCGGTACGGTGGGGAGACAATAGTCAGATCACTCGGTAGTTGGGAATAAGGCATGAGTGGTCTGGCCTGGTTGTCAGGTGTCAGGTTTGGGAAGTCCCCTGCAAACTGAGAGTCTTGATGATCAATGTGGCTGATGTGTTTCGTTTGTCAATTCAAGGTTTTGAGTATTGTTGGAGTTTTGAAGCTCGGGTCAAAAAGGGAAAATGCTAATGGTTACTCAATGACTGGATAGGTACTTTGTGCTCGAAAATCAAATGTTGGATTCTCACTAAGCATTACTTGCAGTACTTCAATTTAGATAGTTGCTGGTGTTATTGCTCGAAGAAAATACGACCGACAAAAAAAAAAAAATCCAAAGTTGCCACCCAATATGTCTGTCCAAGCCAGAAATGACAGTAACCGCGCAAACCGTGAGTGCAAAGCATAAAAAGCAGTGGGTAATAGACCAAAACGCAATGGTAGATACGCACAATAAAAACAGAACCGTCCGCCCCCGAGTTATAGCCAGATCAGCCAACAAATCCACCCCGTCATTAGGAAGAGGGATGATGCTGAGGAACAACAAAAACAAAATGCGAACCTCCATGATGCTAATCCGCCCCCTTTCTAGTTTCAAAAAATTCACGAACCCGCCCGCCCAGTTCCAAGATCCTGCTACAAAGATGCACCTGCTGGACTGCTTTGCCACCTGCACCTCGCTACGTATCGCCGAAACCTCCAAGAACCTCGACCACCCAATCAAAAGTACTTATCCTCCCAAAGGTATTTGAGACAACCAACAATGCCGTGACGTAAACACCCGCCGACTTGGATTCGTGTTCTCGCTCCGTGGGTTGCTGGAATCGGGCCGTGCTTAACCGATGCAGAACCGACAAGACGACGCGAGGATGACGCGGAAAGCAGACTTGAACCCCTCATCCGAGATGGAGGAAGAACGGAAAGGGGGGCAGGTATTGAGTTGCAAGGGTAAAGACTTTTCCGCGTTCAATAAACGCATGTCCAACACACCGCTCGCCGCAGCTTTTCGGCCACAGAAAAGGAAAAAAAAAGAAGTGGATTCAGACGCGCCGAGACCACGTGGAACTTGTTCGAGAAATCCGCCAAAATGCTTGGTGTTGTTAGGCTCGCGCCGAGATCGATCTGAGGAAGGAAAAGAAAGACATTTGGAGGGTAAGCAGGGATCTGAGAGGCGTTGCATGGACGGAAAAAAAAAAAGGAAAACCTCGACATGCTTCCCGAACGCTATCAAAAGGCCACCCAATCGTAATTGCCGTTGCTAGCCACAAAAAAGTTCTGGAATAAAAGAGGAAGGGTGGTGATGGTGAGTGTAAAATTAAATAAAAATAAACAAAAAAGGCATGAAAATGACTGAAACCGGAGACTTTTTGCCATTTTACGGGGAAGAATGGGCGCAATTGAGGGATTGCATTTCGTAATACCTCCAGCACACGAATCTTAGCGTTTCCCATATGCCACTGCAGGTCCAGCTTCAGGGCATATCCCAGTCCCTGAACAGTCGTTTTACATAGGTCGACGGTTGAGCATATTGAGCATATCAGAATCGGTGGAGCTTCTTGAATTGCCGTTGTCGCTCACAAGATCGTTAATACGCATTCCTGGCCTACTCGACGCTTGCGAAGTCGGGGGAGGCGGGGTCCTGCCGTCACTGCGCGGGGGTATTGGTTGCAAGGTACTGTTGGAGGAAGGCGGCGCTGTATAATAGGGAGAAGCACCCGGTGTGCTTGGGCCCGCTTGCGTGTGGGGAGAGGACGAAGCCCGACCGGTATCATACGAGTAGGCGCTCTGCGGAGACGATCGTCGCGGCGGCTGGGCTGCATAGTATGGCTGAGCAGAGGGGGGTGGAGGAGCAGACGGATATGTGGCAGAGGAGGACGCTGGAGAGACAGCGGTGGTTAGACTTGTTGGGTCTGGATATGTGTAGTCCGGACCGGCGCTGCGATGAGGAAGCTGTGACGCTGAAGCAGGATTCGGTGGCGGCAAAGTTGGCGTGTGAGGCTCAGGGTATGGCCTCTTCCTGCTCTGCGGATCACGGCTTCCATCATCGTAGGGAGCACCAGAAGGATGACCAAATGTAGAATGAGCTTGGTACGGACCTGTGGCGCCCGTTGGGCTAGGCAGATACTGCTGCTGGCGTGGAGGCTGGGCATATGCCTCCGCGTGAGTTGCAGGAGGCAATGGCTGGCCATATGCTCCATACATTGGTGGAGGGTGTCCAACTCCACGCCAGACAGTATGCGCCGGAACAAACGCTTGCGTCTGAGCAGAGACGGGAGTGAAGATGCAATCCTGATTGAATCTCATGCAATTTGAACAGCGACCATCATCTGTGGCCTCGAAACCCGAGCATCGAATCTAGAACAGGAAGGTATGAGCAGAAGGGCTCCAAACAGCCGGGGAGTCAAATACCTTGCGTCTCCTGCAATAACGACAAGCAATTGCAGTCCTCTGGCGCGGTGCCGGAGGTTGATGACCGTGATTCATGTAGTTTGCAGGTGGAGCCTGGGGTCTATATGGGTCTGGTGGAGGAGGGGCTCGAGTCCACTCGTGAGGGCCAGGGAGACGATACTGCTGCTGAGGGTGTTGATGGGCCGCCATGTCGGGACGAGGCTCTTGTGGTGGAGGAGGGGGGAGAGAAGTATTGATCTACGGGGCGGAGAGGTCAGCGCGATGTGACGAGATTATGGCATGTGCAGGAGGCGGCTTATTGAAGACGACACATGATCCGAACTTACATGAGTGGGCGGCGGAGGGTAGGAGCCGTTGGCAGGCTGCTGTGAGGTAGGCGGTTGCCAGTGCGTAGGAAGCTGACCTTGACCGCCCTGGTGAGGGAACATAGCAGCGGTTTTACACTTGCAGTTGGATGAGCTGCGCGAGACGTGCGAGGGTCTGGAGATTCCACCGGCTATGTGGGAGCTGTCACGTCGGGCATAGGCCAGGGGGTGGGGTGGGCAAAGGAAGAGAGGCGCTCCCAGTGAAGACGTGCTCGGTGTGGTGATGGCGATCCTATGGGGCGTCGCGAAGGTAGCACAAATGCTGGCGGGCCGTGGGAGCGGCTGCAGGTCAGAGAAGGCAGTGCAAAAGCAGTGAATTGCAGAGCCAAGCCAAGCGGGTGTGGGTCGGAGGAGGGGGCAGACTCAGCAGCACGCAGGACGCTGCTGGATGCGGCAGACGAGCGGCTGCTGGAGAGGAGGGTGAGCGCTCAGCAGGCGACGTCGCGGAGTGAAGAAGGCGGCGAGCTTCTCGAACACGCGTGGAGAGCAGAGGCGCGGAGGGCAAAGGTGCGCTTGGGTACCGACAGGAGGGAGGCGAAGGGAGGTCCCGACAAGAAGAGGGATGGAGACGGGATGCCCACACACTATTATTTCCCACGGCGCCAGAAGCCCAGCGCCCGAAGTCCAAACTCCTCAGTCCCAGGGCTCGCGCACAGGCCGTGGCGGGCGGGCTGCCACTGATGCAGTGCGTCCAGGTCCCTGTCGAGTTCCGTGTCTCTCTTGCGCGCTGGCGGCTGGCGAGTGCTCTCACAGGCCGGGGGAGGGCCAAAATGACCGGCTTCAAGGGCCCAGGACCCCAACCAGCAGCACACACAGCACGCAGCCGGCGCCGGACGGGGCCTGAGCTGCTAGCGCGACGTCTGGCACAGAAGCAGGCCGTCACTCGCAGCGCAGCGGGCCGGGTGCAGCGGACGGGCGAGCAGCGAGCAGTGAGCAGCGAACAGTCTTCCTCGCTCTCCGCTCTGTGGCCACGATCCACGACGTCGACGGCGCCGCGTCGCACAGCACCACGCTGCTCTCACGCTGCAGCACGACAGCACGACGCGCCTTGGAGCAGGCGAGCAGCGGCACAGCTGCAGTCCTTGTTCTGTACCACAGCCCCTTTCGGCGAGCCTGGCAGGTTCGTGCGCTCCCTGGGCGTGACTGAGCAGCCAAGGGCAGGGAAGGGAGCGATGGAGCTTTGTAGCGATGGGGATGGCGCTGGCTCGAGCCTCGAGCTGACGGGCCGCTTCGAAACCCAACGAGAGCCCGCTGCTCATCGCGCCAAGCACGGGTAGGTCCGTTGAGCCTGCAGACGTCGGAGACCACATGGGGGAGCGTGCGATCTACTGGGGGCGGCTTGTCGTGCTTTGCTAGTCCTGGTCGTCCTGCTGGTGGTCACTCGTCGCACACAAAACTTTGCCTAGTTGCGCCAGTTCATCTCGTGAAAATGCATTTCACGGCATGCTGCGCTTCACCACATGCCACTGCACATATCCTGTATGTCTATCCACTGCACTCTCATGCCTCCCCCGCGCTGCGACGGTGCGGCGCGCGCCTCGATGCTGCTTGCTGCTGCAGCCCGATCAGGCCTCGGGCAGAGTCGCCCGTCGCCCGTCGCGCATCGCACAAAGCACGCAAACTACACACCCCCATCCACGCTGTCCCCCCGGGACGCTGGCTAGGCGGCGTGAATCGTCGACCTCTTGGTGTTCAGTCCAACTGCGCGTCTGCGGCAGTGTCGAACAGACGGCCCACCCATGGCTTGTATCTGTTTCGCTCCACCACCGCGCTTCACAGGACTGCACTTCAACCACGGATTGGTGTTGGTGGCCATACTCTTGCGGCCGTCCCGGTTGCCGCATGCTCACCTGCAGCGGTCCACATTGATAACTAGCTGCTGCTGTCCGGTCAAGTTTGCGGCTGGCGTCCTCTTCTTGTCTCAGCTGTGATGCCCCGCCGCGTGTGTTTCCGAACCGCTCGTTTGACATGACGAGAGTCACGATACTCGTTCGGACGCAGGCATCTCGCGGAATAAATTCCCACATCCTGGGCCACGGGTTGCAGGGTTGGTCCTGCACCGTCTGAATCCGTCGCAGACGAGATAGGGCTGTTCCGCTTCTGCAGCGCGACAGCGTTGCGGCCTTCAAATCGGCCAACCCCTTCATTCGAGAGGCGAAAGCGGCGCATCCGAGCTGTGCTGTTTTGTTGGTTTGGGCCTGGGCTGGCCAGTGAGGTGAGAGCACACCAGCTAGCATGGAGGCAGAAGTGAGCATTTCATGTGTGTGACTCGGCAGGATCAGGCAATTCTTTCGTCAGCGGGGCAAAACTCCAAGAAAAGCAAAAGCCGGGCAGACGTTCAACAGTAGCAATTATTACGTCCTGGGTTCGCATTTCTGTCAAATAGTAGAGCCGATGCTGGCCCGTCAATAACCTGTGTACGCTATCACGGCCGTTCTATGCTGCCATTGCACCGTGCTTGGTGAAAATGACACACGTTGAGTCCACACCGTTCTCGAATCATCCGCCAAAGGCTGACTTTGACCGTTTAGCTTTCCTGACCCTGGAGCCGGCGTCCGCATCAAAAATACCCACCCATGGCAAAAGCAATGGTACGCCCCTGATTCGCCGAGCCTGGTCCTGGTCAGGCAAAACGGGATCCGGTTTAGAAAATGCTCTAGGGTTTGATAGTGCCGGCTTTCCCGCAGGTGACGAAAGGGCACGGAGTAATGCGGATGGAATGCATCATGGGGGATGGTGGAACAAGACGACAGTCTCGCCTCGCCGTTTGCCTTGGATCCATCCTGGAGTAGGGTTTTCCTAGCGGGATCGGTGGGGACGCGAGAGAATATTAAAGGAAGCACACCTCGACCGTCGTCTGGCGCCACGCCGAGACAACCATACCTGTCCATCCGTCTGATGCTCACACATCAATAGCGTCGCAGTCATGGTATCATGGAGGCAAATGCGAGCTTATGCCCCGCTAATTCAGCCACTCGGCGTCAAGATCGATGGGAATATTCGGCCAACGACCGCCAATGATGTGCTTCGCGCTCTTTAAATCAGAAAAATGTTTATTTTCTTGGAAGCTAGTGTCGATGTATTGTGCCTTGCATGAAATGTGTGCCTCAGAACGGGTAAATCATTCACCCATGATCACTCGGTGACCATAAAGAAGAGGAAAAATTGTGCGGTCAGAAGATCACAAGACCTATTCTGTCACCGGTCAGCCCTCGTCCTCCTTCCTTGAGTCCTTGGTCGTTATTGACTGATATATCGTATCAAGCAGCCTGATCATATGCGGCCAATCGTAAATATAATGCTACTGTTGTAGTTTGATTGACTACCATCTACACTACATCTGGGCGTCCGAGGGTGAATCATGAGGTCTGAGGTAGATGCGCACAGATAGACTGAACGGCGAGGTTGGTAAGCCAGCTTGAACCGCTTGCCGAGGGGTACTATGTCAAGAGTAAATGGATTCTATTTCAACCAAATCTGAGAGCATATTCCTCCGATGAACCGTCGTAAACCATTCATGTGTCATCTTGTGCTACGGAGAACACTGCCACAATGGCGGCTCATCGTTGAAGGATTATCGGTGATCTTCGCCCCTCCATTTATTTAATCCACACGAACGATCCCTCATGCCTTCACATGGTCCGGGACTTTCGGAAGCATTGGCTGTATGTGGTATCTGTACCTGATACAGTTCACGGTCCAGCGCATGGGGATTCCGGGAACTAGCATATGAGACTGCAGGAAAAAGCACGAGACCACGGGCCGGCACGAAGTCGGGCGCGGGAGAGTTTTGTACGAGTGTTGCAGTTACCGCTTCTGGACCAGGACTTAGATTAACGAACATTTTGTGCAACTTCGGCTTTTGAGCGTTTTTGGGGCGAATATGCGAAAGGTTGCAAAGGCCGCATGGCGCGTAAAACAAGTCAAGACTTGAGGTAGTGAAACTTGCCGCTCCCCAATTCGTCGTGCAGCCTGTGCAGCACAAGTCCTGCACGTACTATCAAACAGAGGAATGTCAGACGCGGGAGAGACGTTTTGCAAACAAGATATGAATAGATACCCTGTGCCCCCTCAACATTGTTTGAGCACGCTGAATGTGAGGCAGGGAAGCTCTCCGGCTGGATGGAGACCGTAACCCTAGAACGAGCACGACAATTCGAGTGGGAGCCTTTCAGATTGCCTAACGTTCACCAACCCTGATGTTTACGAACATCACCATAGCCCTGGCGGTTATAATTAATGAAGTTGGGGTCTTGTGACGCAGTTTCGGTCCCTCACCGGGTTCCGCATCGTGTTGCATCTCGATATAGGTCTTCAACGCCGCCCGGTCGCAGATGGCTGCTTCTTAATGCAAGAATTCCGTCTTTGCAGTAGCGGACGTTATTGAGAGGCATGGGAGGTGCAGATATCGACCGGACGAAGGGTGCTTCGTGATCCCCCGCTTTGGTCAGCAACGGAGAGCAATTCTCCACGAGAGCAAAAATATAGCCCCAGAGTTGGGGGTTGTAATTAATGGTGAACCTAGAAGCAAGGCGGGCATGCAAGGCGGGCCGATCTGGAACAATGGACGGGTGGTGGAGACGAGGTGTTAAGTGTCGGGCGCAGCCATGGCCTGACTTCACCGGAACTCGAGGGGAAAATTGATGAATGAGAAACGAGCGGAATGGGTTGTCAGCTGTGAGGCGTCCAGTGTTGAGGATGAATGGTGAGTCGGTGACACGGAAGCCGTTGTGAGATGACACTCCAGATCCTTCGTGCGCAATGCTATCGCTCGTCATGAAGTCGACGATTGAGAATCCAGCATCGAATGCAGCGCGATTCAGGGATACGAGATAATTGAGAGCATTTGAGAATTGATTCGCCAGCCATGCGATTATGGAATGCCATCGGTGTGATGAGCACAGCGATGAGACGCGGCATGCGCAATTTTAGCATCGAACACACCGCCGTTCTTCACGCCTTCCCCGACCATCAAGAGTTGAACGATCGGAGTGTTCTATTTGCTGCAGTCAAAAGCAGGCGGGCTGGGAACGGGGATGGAGTGGCCTGCCAGCACAATGAACAAAGGAACTTAGACGTCTTCGCCACCGCCTTGCAGATTTGCTTTTTTGCTAACAGGCGGCTTGCGAAGTTTAATTTGCTCGAGGAAGCTCTGAGTTGGCGCTGACTACTCCGTACTAGGCAGTGTCCTCTTGGGCGTGCCACTTTTCGGTGCCCTGCGTGCGTGAGCGGAACGCACCGATGCGGTAACTAGCCGTCAAAATGAACTAAAAGGGGCCGGGGGCTGAGGGTTTCAAACAGTGTTTTCAAGATGGAGATAGCCTTATGTGGGCATCATCAGGCGGGCGGCGGAGAGACAGCATCCATGCTTGAACGAATCTTGCGCCCCGGGCGGGCCGTCGCGGCCTGTTGACATACAGGACTGGGGTGATGTGGGGAGCAGTTCATCGGAATAATGAAAAGACATGGAGCGAATGCGGGAACCCTGAAGGCACACCGATAGATTCTGCGTGGTCATTGAAGGATGCCCTGTTGCCGGCCGGTGGCAGTGGTCACACACCCTCCGTCAGGAGAGAGGTGAGAGGCGTTGGGAGCGAGGTTTGTGTGGAACACGGTCTTGCTGTCGGCACACCAACGCCATCAGGCAAAACCAGACACTAGCAAGAAGCGGCCCGTCGTGATTCTTGTGGGCCGGGGGTTCGGTTGAGCTGTTGCATCACCCCTGCTCCTTTAGCGTTAGCTATTTCTTAGTATATCACATGACTGAATCTTGCTGCACAAAACCCTCATTTGCACCTGGGGCTGTCTGGGCCCTTTCGCGTGGGACGCCAGTCAGCGCCACTGCCGACACACCATCGCAAATGGGCCTGGTTGCTATTGGCTGAAGCATTTCACCGTCGCGCTTGTTTGCGGCATGGCGTCAACAAAAAAATCATCATTCGCCGCCCGTCGACCAATCCCGTGGCCGTCTACACTTTGTCGTACGAAAGCGAAGGACAGGTCGTCTTGCGAAGGAACACAGCTTCGCCTCACAGCTCCCGAGCGCCCCAATGATGCCCCTCATCCTTAAGCGTCGCGCTCTCCCACACTACTGCCGGTCCCACTCTCGCCATCCTCCTCTTCATCATCGCTTGAGTCTGAGGAGTCTTCATCTGGCATGACGACTCTGTTGAGGTATGTAATCTGCAACACCATGTTAGCGTCCTGGTTTCTAGTGTGCATGCGGAAAGGGGGAAAGGCCGTCGGCTTCTTTGAGTTGGCGCCCTTCCCCACCCCAAGATGCGACGGCGCAGCTATCGGTGTATGGAACGGATTCGCTGCATTGCCAACGCACGAAGCGGCCAGCCAGTACTCAATGAGTTGCTCCATCGGCTGAGTCCACAAGGCGAGGGCATCCCTTCTTCGAACGGTGTCTCCTGTCTCCTGTTCTCCCGTGTCCATAGGCTAGGATCAACGCCCACATGCACTATTCCGCTAGGTCCGACGAGAACCGCCAAAGGCAAAGAAAAGTCCACAACTTACAAAGGGTACCATGCAGGCAACGAGCTCGGCAACTCGTTCCAGGCCTTTCGCTCCCACTACTTCGCCGTCAGATAGCTTCGTGCCAAGGGTGAAATTTCTGAGTCGAAGGAGTTCAATGTCCTTGTGGTCATTCTCGTATCCCTATCAATAGCTCCTGTCAGCAATCCTCTCAACAACTTCGGACAAAAAGAAGAAAATTAGAAATATCATCGCTAAACACAGGAGGAGCAGGCAGCGCTAATGTGAAACTCTTTCCGTCTGGCTCTTGAGGTTAGAAGCATTACAATGGAAGCATCAAGCAGGATATAGGGGGTGAAATTGGCGGCGGTATTTGCAAGGGCAAGGACGGATTGAAGTTACGGCTGAAGAGAATTCAACCGGCCCTCGCCGTTCACCGTTCGCTGGGGCATCTTGATATTTGCTTGCTCAAGCGTGCCATGTTGGGACACCTGCTCGCTGACTGCACGGAACTGTGCCACAAAACCGCTGCTGAGCTCGTAGTGCGACTCCCCCTTTCCCTATCGACGAATTCACAAATAGCTTGCGAAGAGACAGGAAGAAGACTGCTCTTCGTCTAGTCGGTGTTCATCAGTAGATGAGAGACTGGAGTGTTGGCCTCTAAGGAAATCATCCAGGAAAGCTGTGTCCCGTCTTGGGCGCGCCGTCCCGTTTGATGTTTGGTACCGATTTTGTAGCGAGGTCCATGAATCTTACCACTTCACACCCTGAGTGCTCATCAATTCCACCCTGACCCAGTGCATTTCTCCATCATTGTGATGCTGAGGACGCTATAGTCCATCTTTTCGGACTCCAATCTCACTGCGTTTTGACATTCACAGTGAGACTGACCTCATCGCGTCGCGGAGCTCGAGCTCAAACACCACGACTGCGAAGCACTCAAGTATCAGGGCATCCATGAGATGCCACTTATTCATCACCGGTTTGGTCACGAATCCTATCTCAGATCTTCATGTTGAAAGAGACGAATGCACTTACCTTTGGGTGCTTCTTAAGTGCCGTTGACCGATTCGTAGACTGATTTGTGAACGCTTTAACGGCCTTTTTCTCATCGTTGGGAATACCCTCCAAAAACTCCTTTCGGATCCCCGTGTCGGTCAACACGCGCTTGATCCTTTGCGGTTTCCGATCGATATCGCGTCGAAGCAGAGCTAAGGGTTGGGCGTCTGGCTGCCATAGACCTCCACCTGAATTCCAAAACGTTAGCAAACCCAGCATTCCCGTTCACACGAAGTAAAGAACAAAATGCGGGCCGGGGTGCAATGGAAGATACATCGGGGTGGGGATGACACCCTCTTTTGTCCAGTGAATATCGTGCTCCGATACTGGAAGCCACACAAACACAGCTCGTCAAGCCGCTTGTCGTCCAGAGCGCAGCTTGAGGGTCCATGTGGCTGGCCTGGCCAATGGAAGTGACGGTGTCTTCATGCCTACGGGATATCCTGCTATAGGAGCAGTGGTAGGTAAGCTATCTCTATCTGGTCTTGTTGACGCGCCGAGGAATCAACAAACGAAGCACCAGCGAACCCTTGGAGCGCCGATGTCCATCCTTATACAACGCTACCAAGAACTAGATTAATAAGGTTGTCGTACTGGCATGCTCCCAGGTCGTCTAGTCTGGATGCGCGCCTAACTCGTCCGACGGGCCTATGAATCCGACTGCGAGAACGTTCGGATCGCGTCCCCAGAACTCGGCGGCTAACACGCGTACGTCAGAATCATGAAGAGCGACCATAAACTGCCTCGAATTGCCTTATGACTCTCATGCCTCCGGTTCCTGACCCTCCCCAACACGTTGGGATCAGACCGACCGACGACAGCCCCGAAAGCCTCTGTTCAGTGACAGAATTTTGTATCTTCCGCTCAAGCTGATTCAATGAACATTGTTCTTTGGGATCTGGCCAGCTTGGATACACAATATACATTGCAGGTCGAGGGGGTGAGGACAAAGACCCGATACCTTCACTTCTGGTTGTCCAGTCGACAAGTTTCAGCGCGCCAGACCCCAAAAGTGTTCTTGGGACCCCACATATCCGAGCTCGAAACGAGGGCTCAGACGAAGATGTTGGCTCGGTGCTGAGGGGGTTGCCCTCATTGCCTGAGCTGCCTGGCAGAACTTTGCAGGACCCTCTGGAGGGGCATTCGGTGATGATTGGAAGTCCAGGCTCTCATGCCTTAGCTAGCTAGACAAGCCATTGTCCCTGGGAGGCGTCGCATTCTGGAAGGCACATAACGAGACGTCGGTCGACCGAGGCGAAGGGATAACTGGCTAAGGTTGCTCCGTCCAGGTACCCCTTCTTCCCTACTGCAGAAAGGCTCCACAGAGATGAAGGTCTGTGGTCCGAGTGGAGGACATTACACGAAGAACTTGCGCGAGGCAGTATCCTTACAGCGCCTGTGTTACCGTGTGGAACTCGAACAAGCAAAAGTCGTTACCACTCAGGGCCAAACGGATTCTGCATCTATCCAAGCTGTAGCAAATTCCTAGTATTGGCCATCGGAGTAGACATTGCGCGGGTCGTTATACTGTGTCGTTGCACCTGCCAACAGCGGGCAACTATATAAGCGCGGTTGCCGGTCCGCTGGACCATAATGTAGTATGACTGCAGAGGTCGACCTCGATAATTGCTGCAAGGTACGCAGATTGTTGGGTCTTTAGGCGGGCATCTTCCCTCTGTATGTGCCATGTCGAGGAAAGGAAAAGCAAAGAGAATAGAGGACCTACCAACGAAACTGTTCCCGCCAGGCTGAATCTGCACGTAGTAGGCCGCATATGGCCCTTTCCGGCCCGTACGACTCCATGCTGCCGAAAAGTGGGTCTGAGATTATATCAGTGCTTAGCTTGCTGGCTGTCGGCTTGATACGTCGGGTATGTGTCTTGGGCGAAAAGCTGCAAATATCGCCTCATACCACCCTAGCTAATGCAAGAGGCGTTCACTCACTTTGTATGGGGTCTGATCCTTCGAGAATCGAACATCTGCATCCTTGTTTACTACTATTCCATTCCATTTCCTTTACGTGGCGACTGACCTCGATAAATGCGAAATATCTAAAACAACATCAGTGCTGATTTTCAGAATCAGGAGGTGTGCTGGCCACCCACAATGTCCTTGACTGGTAATTCCGGCACCGTCTCGTCAGCTTCAATTACCTTCTCAGAAAGCTTCTCGAGGAAGGTCGTAAAATTGGACAGTGCCATGCGATAATCTGGGTCGTGTACTACGCCTTGTCAGCGTCTCGCTCTGCAGGGCTGATCAATTTTTTTCCTCTGTAGCACATGTGTGCCTTGCTTCTGACGTGACAGTTGAGGAAGAAAAGCGCAGGTGGAGCATGGGAGACCCCACATCCAAGGTAGACATACCCTTCAGCCACTGACGGTCATTGTTAGCGGCTAGGTCCTTGAGAAATAGTAATGTGTTAGGGTGAATGGTGTGGTCGGTGTAGGGAATGTCTCCTGCTTCCCTCGGTTTGGGCTTCTTGATGATCAATTGAGTTCCAGGCTCAAGTTTCGCCCCATGTTTCCACAGTTCTTTCTCGCCGCCTTGCTTCTTACGCATGGGAATTGCAGTTTGTTTTGCAACACCCCCTCGGGGAGTTCCCTTCTTGGGCTTGATGTCGTCCTCGCTGCTTGGTTCCTCGTGACCAGAATCAGACGAGGATCCCTCATCAATGGTATCTTCATAGTCCATCCCCGATATATCTCCTGAGGGTGGAGTTTCCACCTTTTGAATGTCCTCGTCGGATTCCGGCTCGACATAGGAGCCTTTAGCAGCCTTTGTCCTCTTCGATTGGCGGGTTGGAGTAGGTCTGCCTGGTGCCGCACGTTTAGACGAGCTCTGGGGGGTGATTTTTACCGGCTTTCTAGGCATCGTTTTCTTGCGCTGTATTGATCCGAGAGGCTGTAGTTGTTGCGTTATTCACTGTATGTTAGAGTGACTTTTCTTGAGGTAGTTGGGCGCTATGACCATAGGCAGATGACGTTTCTTTCGAGCGAGGCGCGAGATCAGACGCGCCAAGCCAGCTAAATCAACACCAAATTTGCACCATCAACACAACACCCCGCAAGCGGGAGCCTTGCGCTGCATCCGACAATGCACAGCCGCTTTCTGGCTAAGAAGCGGACTATTTTGGAACAGCTTGACACTCCGGATGAGGAGTATCACGACCTCTCACCTAAGGGCTCCATTGACCAGCCCATACGTTCCTTGATCAGCAACATAAATCGCCTCGAAGGTCTCGTAACGACTAGCAGTTGCTCTGGCAGAGTCAGTGTCTTCCTCGAGGGAAAGAAGAAGGGCGCCGACCCTCTAGAAGCTCCTCGTGAGGACGAAACTCGTCCCGCAGGTCCGGGAGGGAAAGGTGGAGGCTCCTGGCTTTTCGTTTCCCATTCTCCCGTTCAAGTCAAGAAGACTGAAAACCAGAATCAATTGATGGCGATGTTTGGCCTGAGAAATCCCAGCAATGAGAACGAGAGGGCGCCCAGCATTGATTGCAGTTTCATACACCTCAAATTCGAGCCTATGGTATGTTGCTGTTGAGTCGAGTAATATCAAGTGCTAATGATAATCAGATTCTTCACATCTTAGCGGCATCTATGGTCGACTCCCATCGAGTGCTCACCGCAGCGATTGGTGCTGGCTTTCGTGAAAGTGGTGCTATGAGCCTAGGTTCTTCGAAATCTGGAGAGAGGAATCCTATGGTAGCCGTGCGGTCCACTGGGTACTCATTCGATTCCATCATAGGGTATCAAAACGACCTTGGTGATAGCATTGCTATGGTTGATGAAGTGTACTTGCGAACCCTGGTTGATATTGCAAACGATAGATTCAGTGTCAACTCGCAACGCATTGATCGATTCCGCTCATCTCTACTTCGGCAATTCAACCAGAGAGAGGCAGTGGATGTCACTGTGCTGTCCACCCTGCCTAAAACTGTCAAGGCAGACTGGGAGCAATCAGAAGCCAGGAGACAACGAAAAAGAGCAGAAGGATTGAACAGGCAGCAAGCCTTGCACGCCCAAGAACTGGCAGAACCAGTCGCAAACTTGTTAGTTGCAAGAGAAGACGTGGAGGTTCACAATTTGTTCGACCACTAGCATGTCAGGACACGATGGACGCGATACTGCATGCTGTCACCTACAATGGATGAATCTAATATGCAACACGAAATAGCATCCTATTAATGGTCTCCCTCATCATAGCAACAGGCTTGATAAATGAAGTCTATCCTGATTTTGTTCCGTGGTAGGGGTAAAATGTTGTTTTCGGACACTTTCTCCCTTGCCTACTTAGGTAACGAGAATTTTTCTTACGGGACGGGCCGTACAAGTCTCCGAAACGTTTCAAAAACCCCTATCACAAAAATATAACCAGAAGGTAGAAAGCAGGTGTCCCTCGACATTTCAGCCAATAGGAGAAATGGCCTAAAATGTCTCCGAGCTAGTCGGCGACTTCAAGATTCAGGTGACTTCACTTGTACACAGGCAGTCCACATATAAAGAGAAGGAGCGGCGTTGCTGCAGGTTAGATTTATCAAATCATATATTTCAAACCCCATTAACGTCCCAGAGTATTCATTCTGGCGATACCTCCAGCTACACTCCAACATGTCCGTCTCCGAAGCCAACCAAAACTACTTCGAGTAAGTTGACTACTTTATTATTTCCCGCCAAAGCAATCTAAAACAGCTTCAGTGCTATTAGCGACTCCTATGACGATAAACCGTGGTTTGCCAAGATGAACCAGCAAGTCACGGATTTCTTGCGCAGTCGTTTGGACTGGGTTGGGATTCCTTTCGCAAATATAGGGTCCAAGACCGACGCCGAAACCGTACGACTTCTGGACTATGCATGTGGCCCTGGCCTCATGTCGCGGGTAAGTACTTATTCCGAAAACTCCATCCTCAGAAACCTTCTCTATACATTTTCTCCATACACCTTCTCTTCAGCCCTTCTTCACATTATACCTTACTAACCACATCTAGATCTACGGCCCATACGTCACCATAACCCGTGGCATCGACATATCCCCCAAAATGGTCGCAACCTTCAACGCCCGGGCCCATATCGCCGGCTTCAGCAAAGATAAAATCAACGCCGTCTTCGGAGATCTTTTTGCCTCACCCCAGCCACCTGAGCTCTCTGTTCCCGAGTACTACAACTTCGACCTTGCTGTCGTCGGCTTTGGATTCCACCACTTCGAGGATGTCATCCACGCTTCCAAATGCCTTAAAGAAAGACTCCGACCTGGGGGCGTTCTAGTGATCAGCGACTTTCTAGAGGGAGGCGATCTCCGAGCTGATGAGAATGGGAATATGATACTAGGGACGGAGGGTGATCATATGGGAGTTATTCATTATGATGAACATGACGACCACAAGGAGCATGGACAAGGGCATCATCACCATCACCACGGCCGTTCTCAAAAAGGCAGTGATAACGATCTTGCGATGAAGCATCTTAGCAAGATGAACGCATCAGTTGTCGTTCCCTCATTTACGATCGAAGGAGTGACGCAGTTCTTCATTGAGGCCGGCTTCGTAGATGTGGGCGTAATTACCATGGAAGAAAGGGTGTACATGGCATTTGCAGGAAAGCAGTTGTGGAGGACGGTGTTGTTTGCTCGCGGGAGAAGGCCGTTCGAAGGTGAGGAACAGCAAAAGTCTGAGCTGTGAGTAACGGATAGTATTTTCTAGGAAGGGCGGGGTGTGAGCAATCGTGTCGAAGCGTATAGCCTGTCTTGTTTATGTAGATGTACGGTTGCTTCTTCTTGAATTAGTGGATGGACAGAATGTTATCACATAACATGGAACACGACTATGGTAGAATCCACCCGTAAAGCCTCTTGCTGGAAGTAGGTAGGAGAACATCAAAAGGATCCAATCTTCTATCTTGAAATCCTCCCTTCAATCCCTGTCCTATTCCGCTTAAGGTGATTACGATGCAGCAGGTTGGAGTGATGGACGTAATAACCGGAGCCCGACATGTCCATAATTTCATACCTCAGCTCATCCGACCAACACTGCCCTAATCTCGCCTTAGTGGGCAAAAGGTTCACAAATTCTGTCTAAACCTAAGCCTAACTTCCTAACAGTTGTACGTACTCTCCTCCATATAGCGCTTGCCTACCTTTCAGTGCTGGCACACATCAATCGTATACATTGAAAACGTCGCCAGCGCGCCCACCCCCCTCCGCCCCTAAAAAAAAAAAAAAACCTCGGGTGCTCAGGATGGATCCTAGATTCACCAAGGAAAAAAAAAAAATCTGTTCTTTTCATACCCAAAGATGAACCAAAGACAAAGACAATTCTCGTAACCTCAATCACTTCTATCTGTAAGTCAATGCTATTTGATCATAAGTAGGCAGGTGCGCAAATGATTAGAATTGTACACTGTTTGGGGATGAGCATAATCTACTTATTGCAATAGATTGTCGGTAAGCACAGACTTGTTCTCTAGAGTAGGTGAAGCGGAGCTAAATATTGCTTTGTAGTAACATGTTATGATTATAGCCAAGGCTCTTGACCGCAGCAAACGAAAATAGACAAAAGGCTTAAGTTGGTGCAAGGAGGCCAAGTCGACGAGAACCCCCTCTAGAAAGCAGGCTGTTCCGCTCGAAGCCTGTTGCATTATTGCTTAGGTATCTTTGAGGGGACCTCAATCTATTAACACAAGCATGAAAGAGGGGTGATGGGCTTGGTACAATTCTTTTCAGGGGGTGCGCTGAGCAGCGTTGTGGTGCCTAGTGTATATTTATGCAAGGCCTGCAAGTGTGGAAGGGGGCAGTAGTGATAAAACTTGTTCTTTGATAAAGTACATAGCTAGCATGGATTTGGCCAGATTGACGGCCGTATCCTGGATGCTCGCAAAGTGCTTTTTCCAGCGCTAGCTTGGCCGAAAATCCAGTCAGCCTTCCGGGAATTGCGGGCCCTTCGGTTCGTTTACAAGAATTCCCAAGTTGTCCAACACAGGGATTCACCTGGTACCGTCCTGCTTTGCAGGGGGAGGCGAGGAGGGAACTGAGGTCGGTCCTTGTATCTGGATGGTGTCCAAGCGTGAGAGCTGTCATTTCCGGGGATGAATGTGTCGGGAGACATTTCTGCAAGCGATTCAGTATGCCCAAGGCTCTCAGACTGCCCCTTTAACTTTTAGTATTCTTGCTTGACAATAGACTGATTCCCTTGTCAAACTTTAAACCATCGCCCAAACCTATAGCTACTTGTCCTAGATTCGGTCATGGAGTTGGTTGATGGGTGTTAATAGCAATGGATATTCCTTCCGACAACTACGGATGACTCTGAGGCCTGAATCAGGACCATATACGCAAGATCGATGAAGAGTTCTCGAGGAGTCGAATCCTGCTGCTTGAGGGTATCATCTATTTCTTGTAGCCACTCTCTTCCTCTGCACTCCCCAAGACACCCGCATCTCTGGAACGCCTCTTACTGGCTTCCTCCCGAGCTGGGTTTGCCTGGAAGTTTGACGAATATTATTCTGCCCGTGCGCATTGCTTCGATCTGACTTCCTCACTTCTGTCTCCAGTCCCAGACAAAGGGCCTCTACTAACTTTGCTGCCTCTCTTTTAACATCCTCGAATTTTGCTGTGACCAGCGGGGCTTGAGCATGAAGCTTCAAGCTGCCCTTCAACTCAGGTATCTGCCCTCTTTCCAGCAACTCCCTGAAAACCTCCCGGTGTGGCGCATTGTCCTTGGTATCCACAAATTTTCCATCCCGATCAAAGCCCCTACTCTTCAGCTCCTCGATGAAGGCAACTATCAGCCGCCTCCTCAACCATGACCTTACAACCTTCGTCTTGGAAGAATTGTTGCCGACAGTGACATGCCACCACAAGCCTGAGCGTGAGCGTTCGCCTTGGATGCGTTTGCGGATGATGTGAAGGGGGTGGTGAGAACTGTCTACGATTGGCTGATAGATCAATGGCTTGTACGTGGATTGGTAGGCATAGCTAAAGGTACGGAATGTCTGCTTGGAGAGGATCGAGAGTGTGTGGTTCATAGCGAGATATCAGAGAGGCAGACGGAGACCATTGGATCCAGAAGCGGAAGAGGAAGAGGCCAGTTAGGAACAGACCTCGGAAGGAATTGGACCGCCGGAACAATATATCAGTGGCATTACGCACAGCGACATGAAGAAGAAGCGTGGGTTAATATATATTGTCGGTCGGCGTGGAATTTGGCAGCCAAGATTTGCGACTGCGCTAGGCCCAATGCAACTTAGGATTTGCCCACACAGTCACTTGATGAAAGCCATCCACTGCGCCAACAACTTTCTGATTCACCAACACACGCCAACACCAACAGGCCCCCCCCCAAAAAAAACAGCTATACACCAACTCCCTACAGCACAGAGACTTCTAGTGACCGGTCAACATGCCTAAGAATAAGGGAAAAGTACGTTGGCGCCCACCCTCCCTGCCCCACTACCCCGCCACTCAGCAGATTGATGCTCTAAAATTCGCCCAATACTTTCGTAGACATACTGACAAATTGACGGCAGGGTGGTAAGAATCGTCGTAGGGGGAAGAACGAGAACGACAACGAGAAGCGTGAACTCACCTTCAAAGAAGAGGGCCAAGGTATGATACCTGTTGGCGCCTGCGCGGCCCATTCTCCTTTCCCGCACCCCAACACCTTGTCCACGTCGCTAACCTACTCCCCATAGAGTACGCCCAAGTCATAAAGATGCTCGGCAACGGCCGTCTCGAAGCGCAATGTTTCGACGGCGCTCGCCGTCTCGCCCACATCCGGGGCAAACTTCGCAAGAAAGTCTGGATCAACCAAGGCGACATCATCCTACTCTCGCTGCGCGACTACCAAGACGAAAAGGGTGACGTGATCCTCAAGTACACAGCCGATGAAGCCCGCTCCCTCAAGGCCTACGGCGAGCTACCTGAAAACGCAAAGATCAACGAGACGGATACGTATGGCGACCAGGGCGATGAGGGCATCGGCTTTGAGTTCGACGAGGACAGAGATGAGAGCGATGAGGGTGGCGAGGGCAAAGAAGTGGATATCGATGATATTTAAGGAGCGGCGTGCGTGTCCGCCATGCTGTCTTAGTCTTCTCTGCCGTGCTGCGCTGCTGCGTGTGCTCGCAAGAGGAGCGAGAGGAGGCTGGGACGGCTCAAATGCGCACCACTTGCTAGCGGGCGGACGATTTAGAGGTCTTGATGTTTCTTCTATTGATACGACTGCATGTTAAGGGCTGGGCTTCGTGTTCGTCCTTCTACGTAATCCTTACCTGTGCTGGCCTGAAAGATAGAGGAGGACTTGGTAGCTCGACTCATATATTTAGCTACACACCTGAGACGAGAACTCAAGCATGCTTTCTTCATAATCTAAACATCTTATCGGCTAACGTGACACATAACAGGGGGGTAATTTGAGATAGAAATTAATATCCTATGAGAATTGATTCTCTTTCATTTTATGAAGTGGCTTGACATGAAGACTCTACCCTGGCTATGTTCTACGTTGTCTGATAGTATGCTGTGTCTGCGACTCCCAACCATCCCCTCCATCTACAAAGTAGGCAACGCAACTTCGGCGCCATCATAAACACTCCTATTAAAGAACCTATAAATCCTCCTGGCCGCATCAGTCCCCACCAACCCCACCAACTCTCTCTCCTCCATATTTGCCAACTCCTGAATATTCTCCACCTCGAGCGTCAGCGTCGTCAAGATGTTCTCATTCATTCCGGGAATCGCTCTCAGCATATCCTGTGGTACCTGATTGAAACTCCTCAGTTCATCGCCCGCCACTGCAGGGTCTAGGCCGAGTTGCACGGCCTTTAGGGGATCGGGCTCGTCTTGCTGCTTCTTGAGCTCTGAGAAGATCTCAGCGGTTTGGTAGGGCGAGGATGACCAGATGATTTTCAGGCGTGGGAAGGCGAGTGTTAACATGACGATTTTAGATTGCAGGTCGGGCGCAACTGCTAACCCTATTGTTGTGGTCGGTGCAAAGAGGTCAGAAAACGGTTCGAGGGTGAAGGTTTTGTTTTGGTCGAATTCGATGAGAAGCATGGGGGCTTTGTAGTGTTCCATCATTGACTCAACTTGGTTGTACAGACGACCATTTGCGAATGAGCCAATGAGATCGCGGACGGATTTTCGCTCGATGCAGATAGTGGGTGTGAGGACGTAGTCGCCAACTGTGAGCATACAAGGCACGACGACGATACTCCGGCCGTGGAGCAGTGACGGGAGAGATGAGCGGAATTCTCGCACGTCGACGACGACGCGGGGAGGTTGTGCCGTGGCGGCCAGACGGCCTCCACCGGCTATACGTGTGTTTATCGTGCGGAGGAACGATTCTTGGGGGCCGAGGGCTGCGGATGTGAGTGTTATTGCCATGTTCCCTCGTTCGCGGATCAGTTTGGTGAAAGCGTCTTTTTCGCGACGAACGGCGGATAGATACCGCTGTTCTTCAACGCTACCGCCGTAGTACATGAAGAACACCTTCACGGTTCGATCTGTGTGCGAGGAGCGATATACTTCTATCCTTCGGATGAAAGCTGCATCTGGTTCGTACATGATGACATAACGCGGCTTTGTTTCTTCGAGGACATGCTCGTCCATGTCACCTTCATAAGGGTGAATGACGATGAGGTCGTTCATATCAAAGAGCTCGTAGTAGTCATCCATGTTTTCTAGCGGATCTACCCCGATTTCTATCTTTTGCATGGCTTCAACTTCCGTGGGTTGCAGTTCGGCCATTAGACTCGCGATGTGTGCGTCGCGGTCACCGGCAACGCGTACTGTGCCCATTTCTGTGCGAGAGGGTCCGGAGCCTGCGGATCCACCACCTCGCATCCTTCGTCTCTTGTTAGGCGGCGGCCTGTTGGCTTTGCCACTTTGGACCCGCTGATCTGTGCTTCCATTGATGGCTTTCTGGTTCTCTGAAAAGAGGGCAGCGCTGACTTTGGAAAAATCGCGTTTCCAAGCTAGGTAGTTGCGGAGCTTGCGGCGCATCATGAAGGAAGCTGAGGGACCCTGTTCTTCATCTTCATCTGTGCCGTCCTCTACGGTGCCTTCAGGTCGGACATACATCGTCTGCAGAAATTCTCGGAGTTGCCTACATGTTCCTTGATCACCACACATAATGAGAACGGAGCCATTTGAAGTATCATTTGGGACTGGATTCAGATACGCATCCTGTTCGATCTCTTGGAGAATCTCGGCGAGCTGGGTCCATTTCGGAAATTCTTCGAGAACTGGTTCCAAAGAGTCCGGGACAGTATTGGGGTTGCTGACGAGATCATCATTTGATACTTTACCAGTATAGACTCGGCGCTTGGCAGTGGTGAAGATAGTATCGGCCGCGTCCAGGAAGAGCCAAGGGGACTGATTATGCTTTGTAGATCCTGGAGGAGGCTGTGAGGCAGCTAGAACAGTATCCAGATATTTGTTGAAGTTGACAGCATCGTACGTCAGGAGTGCGTGAAGGATAGTCCGAAGAAGCGTGAGATCACGGACGACCTGCCTTGTCTTAAAACTCGTCCGATGCCAGACAGGATCTAACTGCCTCCTGATGATGGTGTCAAAATTTCTGTGAAGTGCACTGTCAAGCGTCCAGTCGTCCATCTCAACACCTGTGTTACCTTTTCGCAGCTCGCTAATGCTAACCTCGACACACTCTAGGACGGCGTTCTGGATGTCGCGCATTGCCTCAGTCATTGGCACTTCCAACTCTATGACTTCTGCTTTCTTTCGCCCTTCTAGCGACTTCGCCACTGTGACATGGAACCGTGGGTATAGAGCCGGTTTTTGAAGGAAGAGGTTCTTCATCATATTAGCCAATGGCGCGAAGCCAGTCGTGAATGGTTCTGGTTGGTCTGAGAAGGCCTTTAAGAATCCCGCTTTGTTCTTCTGCCGATATATGCGCAGGATGAAGGCCTCGAGTGAGGTTGCGATAACCTTCTCAGCGTGCAGCACCACCACTCCGGTGACCGTCTCGGGGTTCATCAACCCAGAGAGGAAGTCGACGATGAGTATGCGTGAGGTGATACTGAAGATACCTCCTTGCGCGTAAATTTTCTCGCGTGTCCCGACACTCATCAGGTCTGTATTGACCAAACTTAGCCCTCTCGCTTTCGGCGCCATGCTGATTGCAGCATGTTCCGCCAACGCCTCGCCGATCCACACATTCTCGCGCTCTTCCGCCCCGACGAGCAATATTAAGTTATTCCCGGCGGCATCGTATGAATGGAGGAGGTTCGAGACTATTCGAAGCACGCCGAGGCCGCGGGCGATGAGGACGAGTTCATCTTCCTCTCGCAGTTCCTTGAAGATGTCTTGTTGGAATTCCTGACATCATCAGCCCTAGCACAAAGAGGGGAATACGTGCACTTACGAGAGGAAGGGACAGCTTCACCGGGGCTTTTTCATCGCTTGGCATCTGGTACAACAAGGTAGATTGTGGTCGGTAGAGGTGAAGGTGGGGTGGTGAAGACCTCTAGGGACGTGCCCGGGTCCGAGCGCTCCGCCAAGCGTCCGCGCAGTCACGCCTCCACTACTACTCCAAGACTTATCCTCCCGCTCCGTCCCGCAGAGCAGGCAATGATCATTTGAATTGTCAAAGAACCCATATTGGTGCTTTAATTCCCTCTCACAGCATGAAAACCCATCAACAACCACCATTCAGTCTAACCATATTTAACCACCGGAGCCACACCCTCCGCCTTGTCATCCATCTTCATCTCCTCATTCAACTTCTTCTAGAAGCGAACCCTGCCATCAGGATACCCGGTGATTTTGTTTCGACGCCAATCCGGCTTCCATCTGGTCGTTTCATTCGTCTGGTCGCCCTCGTTCTCTCCTGTTTCACGTTTCATTAATCTCGCACCCTACAGTTCTAATCTGCCTAGTGGCTATTCTGCATTGGGACCATAGCATCAGGGCTGAACACGGGCGCTTCTTCCATCCTTTCGAGTCTTCCCATAAAGCTTCTCAATCACAAGCCTTGATTTCCAGGGCACCGCCCCGCAAATTTCAACAATATGGGGATCGTCAACTATCAGCCGACGGACGATTTGCTCCGTTGGATATATCTTGTGGACATCTGTTCCGGTCCGCTATAGTTCAGGAGACATTCCACGAGGTAGAATGAAGTGATGCTCTTTGGCCATATATGGTCCCCAAGTCTATCGAGGCAATACACTTTAGCAAGCTACTGTTGTCTTTCTCAATCGTGCTCTCCATATTTTGCTTTGCTCGACATGCATTTTCTTTCTATGCTGCTCGTAGCCGTGACGGCGGGGCTTGCTGTTGCTGCACCAGTGAGGAGCAAGCGCGCTACGAAGTTTAAGTGTATGCTCCCCCACTATTGCCAATGTGTATCAAGTCTTAATTTCGGAACAGTCTTCGGTGTCAATGAGAGTGGTCCCGAGTTTGGAAACAAGAACTTCCCGGGAACAAAGGGCAAGGACTACGTTTGGCCTACAACCAGTACAATTGATGTGAGCATTTTCGTGGGCCAGTTGAGTTAAGCATGGCTCTGCTAACCTTTCTAAGCAATTCATTAGCAAAGGCTTCAACACTTTCCGAATCAACATCATGATGGAGCGTGTCGTTCCCAACCAGCTGACTGGTGGCTTGGACTCAGCCTATTTTAAAGATCTTGACGACGTAAGGAACAAACGGCTGCGTGAACCCAGTGCTCTGCTAACTATTTTCTAGACTGTGAAATACATCACAAACAAGAAAGCATACGCCATGATAGGTAAATTTCCCTCTTCCTGCTTAGCATACTCGCCCTATTGTGATACATATTGGGGAAGATTTGATTCTTCAAGCCTCTTCCTGGAATTTAGGGCAACATCAACGGGATGAAAATATCTGCATTATAACACCCCTGCTATGTTCTACTGTAGGTGTGAAAAATTGTGAAGCTGAGAACTTCTTTAGTCCCCCACAACTACGGCCGATACTATGACAAAATTGTCACGGATACGGCTGGGTTCCAAAAATTCTGGCAAACACTGGCCACCCCATATAGGAGCAACAACTATGTCATCTTTGACACCAACAATGAATGTAAGTTAATATTTCCACTAAACTACAATCCTTCCGGTTTGCCTTCAAATCCATTGACTCTCTTTAGACCATGACATGGATCAAGACCTTGTAGTCAAGCTCAATCAAGCTGCAATCAACGGTATTCGCGCCGCCGGCGCCACAAGCCAGTGGATCCACGTCGAAGGCAACGACTGGAACGGGGCTTGGACGTGGACTACAGGCAAAAACTCTGCCACCATGGGGTCACTCACCGACCCGAATAATATGCTTGTCTACCAAATGCATCAATACCTTGATACCGATGGCAGCGGTACCCATGCTGAATGTGTATCTGCGACTATTGGCGCTGAGCGAGTTAAAGCCGCTACTGAGTGGCTGAAAGCGAACAAGAAGGTCGGATTTATTGGAGAATTTGCGGGTGGTGCGAATACACAGTGTCAGACGGCCATTAAGGGCATGTTGGAGTATATGGCGCAGAACTCGGATGTCTGGCAAGGCGCGCTGTGGTGGGCGGCTGGGCCCTGGTGGGCTGATTGTGAGCTTTCCAACTCGCACCCTTGTATGGAGACTTGATTGCTAATATTCGGACACAGATATGTACAGCATTGAGCCCACAACCGGGGCAAGCTGGAAGGGTTATATGGACATCCTGCAGAAGTATGAGTGAGGGGATCTCGACTGAGACAGACCCTGGGAGGGAAAGAGAAACTATATTATAACAAACGGATCTGACTATGTCCTCGAAAATGCCCAACTATTTGATTTCGAGTTAATATTTTCAGAGGTCGTGAGCTATAGGACTATCAATACACAACATGAGGCCAAAGAGTTAGGTTCACGTCATGCTTTTAGTACAGCTAGCTGAGACCTCGATACACCAAAATGACACCGCTTACGTGTATATACAAAGTGCGAGGGTAAATACTATACACAGCCTCGAGGATCAATTTTTCATTTTGTGCTCGACCTAATCGCTTCTCGCTGCTTCTCTGTCTCAGCCGCTGCTGCGGCCTGTTCATCTCTTAAGCGCTCTTTAGCCTCCTCAGCTCGCTTCCTCTCCATATCTCTCTGGACAAGCCAAACTGGTACCGTCAGCCAGACCCACCTTTCACAAAAAGTGGAAGACGTACTCGGTCTGTCCGATTTTGAAGCTTCCTTCAATTGACCCACAAAAGTGTCAAATTCTTGCTGACGTTGCTCTCTCGTCTCAAGAGCCCTTTTCTGGAGGTCGGGATTGTATTTCTAGGATGCCTTTAGAGTCTCATTCAAGGCATGATCCGTAATGCCAATGCCGAAGCACGTGCCCCGAGAGTGAGATCTCAGAATATGGAATGTTGGAAAACGCACTTTGAAGATTTCCTCTTCGGTCGGCGTCACGTACATGACCAGAGCGGGGCCCCCTATGCACAGCGCAGCTCCACTGCAAGAAGGATTAATGTCAACTTCTGGTTTCCGAAGCTGAGATGTAGGACAAACGTACGCGGTGATGGCCTTGACGTAAGTTGCTACACTAGGCATGGCGGCGACGTCAATATAATAACAATAAGAAGAGGATATTCGACACCAGAATGCTTAAGTGGCGGGAATCCGGGAATTAGCGACGGTGGCGATGGAATTGGTGTCGAATCGGCGGCTAGAGTGCGAATGGTGATGCTGTGACTGCTTTGGCAAACCCGCGCGCCACATTGACTAGACCTTTCTCAGCTCAAGGTTTTGCATCAGCCACTGAATGTGGCAGTCTTATCACGTGATGCAACCTGAACCGCGCACTTAGACTCGTGATATTACAGGATTACCATTGGTCCAGCCTCCCCTGGTGATCGCCGACGACAGTAGGAGCTCTTCGTCATTGGAACCGTTTTCTTTTCGTGCATTAAAGGATCACCAGCAGCTCTGACCTAGTCCCGTCCGTTGAACTATTTTTGCTTGAATCTGAGGACCAATTTGTACAGTGACGCGCAAGGCTGAAACCTCGCCCAGAAGAACATTACTCTTGCAAAGTTACACAATCGTATCTAATATTTGGTATCCTCAGCCTCCTGTTATTTGGCTGCGACTTCTCCTTTTTCGCGTTTCTTCCTGCAACTGATAGCTACATCTGGGTCCTTCCTTGTGGTGTTTCAGGCACCACGATTGACAACAGCGCAGTTCCGCGCCTTCATTTCCCTTGGCCTGTGACGTGCACCGCTGCTCAGTGGTTGAAACCGGCCCCAGACTGCAGGGTCGGCACTGGATGATCCCCGTGGCGCTGAGGGGAGTTTCGAACGCGAGCGACCCAAGGCACGGGACGCGCTCATCGGACACCCGTTGACGCCCTCGTCGCCCTCGGAGCTCTCGTAACCCTCCAAGCTCGTAGTTATTCTCGGCCATTACGGTGCTGGTCATCCGTACAACCATTCGTTAATCTCGACGGCCCCCCCCTGGCAGGGGATGCAGCTGACTGTCGCAAACCCCAAAAACTTCTTCGCTTCATCTGAGACCTCTGGGAGCACAGCTTGCAGTCCTTCCGTGCCTCTTACTACAGCACTCTCACCCTTACCACGGAACAATAGCAAGGATAGTTTAGTCCTTTAAATCTCTTGCCGGAACTAGAGCGACTGTCAACTGGATCTCGACTTCAGTCCGAGGCTGAACCAATTGCCCCCCAGTCTGTGCTCCCTTTTCTTCGCTGCACGCCCACAGTTGATGGCCCGGCCCGCCTTCGCCTTCACCAACGCGTCGCTCGGCTTCTAGTAACGTCAGTGGCTTCGACGATCCAACGTCGCGACCCACCGCCGACATGGCATACCAGCAATACGACAACTACCAGCAGCCGCAACAGCAACAGCAACAATACTATAACCAAGCACCCACGCCGCCCGGCCGGCAGCCCGTAGGCTATAGTAACCAGCAGTACAGTAATCAATATGACGAATATGGATACGGTCAGGGACAGTATGAGCAATACGACGGCTACTACAACGAACAACAGGGTGGAGGGCGGGGGAATGGGCATCCGCAGCAACAGTACCTAAGCGGGTACAATGACATGAACGGGCAGTCGAGACAGCCACCAGGCCACCGGCCTCCTCCGCGGGATCAGTACGGGCAGGAACCAATGTATAACGAATATCAAGGCCAGCCTCGAGGACCAGATCCAAGAGGCAGGCCAATGGGGCCAAACGGTGGCCCTGTGCAAGGCGGGATCCAGCGCGGAGATTCGCGAGGTCGCGGCAATTCTCGACAGCCAAACCTTCAGCAAGGTCCAGCGGGTCTAAAACCGCAAGGTACTGCTCCAGATTGAACTAAGCTGAGAACAGGCTCAAACTGACTGGGTGCAGGAAGGGAGCGGCCGCTCTTATCCCCGCTGTCGCCGATGAACCTCCCCCAAGACAACCCCTTCCCGACATTTCCCAACCAAAAGAGCAAACCGCGAGCAAATACTGGGTCAATGGACGAAGCCATGTCCTTGATGAGCATTGGACATGACCAAGAAGGTCAAGGAAGGCCACAGGGGCCGCCCCAAGGCAGAGGTCGGGGTCAGATGGGCCCACCCCCCGGTCGAGGTCCTCCTGGAAGGGGAGGTTATGGTCATCCGGATATGCATAGACAAGATTCTGGCCATGGTGAAGCCTATGGACGCGGCATACCCCCTCCAGCGAATCGAGAATCACCTCAACAACGGCCACCCCCGATGAATCTTGAAGGTTCCCAGAGGCCACCCCAGCGACAATATGAGCCTACATCCCCTATGCAGCAAGCATTCGGCCCCAACACCCAACGATCTCAGACAATGCCTCAGAACATGTCTGGTTATGATACGCAGCAACAATGGGCAGAGCCTGGTCCCGTAGCTGGATATCACGGCCCGGAATCGCCCACTTACATTCCCCCTCGTCCAGCGACAGCAGCCGGAACGAAGGAAAATGGCCATGGGCAACCGCACCAATTCGAGCAGAGGCCTCCCATACCCCAGCCACCTCCACCCCAGCAACATCAGCACCAGTTACAGCAGTCTCGCGATGACGGTCGAGGCGATCTCGACAATCTCTACGACGATTACTACGGAAATGCTGTGCCACAGGACCGACAGAGTAAAGCTGCCTCGATAGACATGCCCGACTTTGATGCGATCCCCGACTCGGGAGGGAGGCACCGCAGGGGCTATTCGATTGAAAATCATCTGTCACCCACTTCTTCAGCCGCGCCTATGCAAGGAATAACTGCAGCCACAGCTGGGCCGGCAGATGTAGCGGCTACTCAAGGAGAGGGCTTCTATCAACAAGCAGCAAGAAGTCGGTCACAACCGGATTTGCATGGCCAATATGCTCAAGGCAATGGGGTTTATGAGATGGCTGGAGACGCTCCCGCTGTTCCTGCTGTTCCTAATCAGTACCCTCCTAGTGGGCTACCAAGTGGTCCCCGAATTCGAGGGCCGCCTTCAAGAGCCATGACTACAGGAGGACAGCCTCAGGGCTTCGATCCCAGGTTTGGGCGACAACAACAACCTCCTCTCCCGAGAGGGTACTCGGATGAGTATGCGTATTCAGAGCCTGGTCCGCAAACTATGAGAAACGCCTCGCCTATGGTAACAGGCAACCCTATTGTACGGCCTGGTACAGCGGCACCAGCACCTGGCCGAATGCTTAGCGATCCTGTCCAAAGACGACCAGGTACCACGCAACCTCAACGTAATATGGATGCTCTTCCCTCACATCCTACCCCAGTACGAGCAGGCCTCATCCAACAGCAGGCTCAACCCCCTGTTTCGCAGCCTCAACAGGCGAGACCACCACCTGTGAGGCAGTACCCCACAGATCCTACACCTGCCAGTGTCGGATATGGGAACCAGCAAATGTCCTCTGTCCCACCTCAGCGCGCCTCTGTCTCACACCCTGTGACGCACGACGAACTCAATCGTCTCCGGAATGCATGGAAGTTCAACCCCGCGGACAATACCGCAGGCTTGCAGCTTGCAAAGAAATTAGTGGAGGCAGCAAGTGTATTAGCCGATGAAAATGGGACGGCTGACACGAGGACCCGTAACAAAAACCGAGAGAAGTTCGTTTTTGAAGCCCACAAGATTATCAAAAAGCTCGTTGCAAGCGGCTACGCCGAAGCCATGTTTTACCTTGCGGACTGTTATGGACAGGGCCTTTTGGGCTTACAGGTTGATACCAAGGAAGCCTTCACGCTCTATCAATCAGCGGCCAAAGCAGGCCATCCCGCAAGTGCTTACAGGACGGCCGTCTGCTGCGAAATGGGCCACGAAGAAGGGGGTGGTACCAAGAAGGACCCGCTTAAGGCCGTTCAATGGTATCGACGTGCTGCGGCCCTCGGGGATACGCCTGCATTGTACAAGATGGGCATGATTCTACTCAAAGGTCTTCTTGGGCAGCAGAGGAATCTCGGCGAAGCTATCAACATGCTGAAACGGGCTGCCGATCGCGCTGACGAACAGAATCCGCATGCTCTTCACGAACTTGCGTTGTTGTATGAGGCGCAGACCGGGAATGAGAGAATCATCAGAGACGAAGCTTATGCCTTGTCCCTATTCCAACATGCCTCCGAACTTGGTTACAAGTTTTCACAGTTCCGTCTAGGCCAAGCATACGAATACGGATTGCTAGGCTTGCAAGTGGATGCAAGATCTAGCATTAGCTGGTACACACGAGCAGCAGCCCAGGAAGAACATCAGAGTGAGCTTGCACTGTCAGGTTGGTACTTGACCGGTAGTGCAGGCATCCTCGAACAGAGCGACACAGAGGCATATCTTTGGGCGCGGAAAGCGGCCTGTGCAGAGCCTCCACTCCCGAAAGCACTTTTCGCGATGGGCTATTTCACCGAGGTGGGAATTGGATGTCCGAGAAGTCTGGAGGAGGCGAAGAGGTGGTATGGCAGAGCTGCTGGTAAGTTTCAGTGTACGATTGAGCATGAATTATGTTTGCTAACCATATTATAGCATACAAATTTCCAAAAGCACAAGAACGTCTCGAGGAACTCAAACGTGGTGGCGTCAAAGTCCAAAAGAACCGAGAACGCCTCAGCAGAAGCAACCAGAAGCAGCACGAGGAGAATTGCGTTGTTATGTGAACATGCACGCCTGCAGTCTCGCCGTTGGCCAAACTAGTCTCACCCAGTCCTTTCCTTGATTTGGTCATTGTATAATGGTTTAATGCATGGTGTCGTAGGCTAGGACACTGGACAAGAGTTTGCGTTAACATGGACATTTGCATGCTTAGGCATTGGCATCGGCGTTGGCGTTGGAAGTTGGAACTGGGCTGGATACATGTTCAAAATGGTAGCACGAGAGCTCAATGCCGATATGGCTGTAATTGAGACATGTTGATGTGCATGTTCGGTCATAATTATGACAAGCTATGAACAGGTTCTGTACCTGGCTTCTGGAATTGAACACAACCGAGGGGCAATCTGGAACAGAAATCTTCATCATTTTGCTAGGTACTTTCCAACAGGGGCTTTAACAGATATATTCTGCTTTAAACGTAAATCCATCCAACATTCGCTCCGACGGTGCCAATAGAATTCCTTGGTCAAAATATTAAGATGACCTCCTTGTAGCCCAGAACGGATGGATGCTTGCCTGATTAGTCTTAGAGACCCATAATCTCTGTCCTAGGAACACCTTCTTCGGGTTTAGTGCAGTGCCGCTGCACGTGCGCATTGTTTACAGTGCAGCCACCTACTCAGCCCCACCTTAACTTTCGCCCGCCTCAACCACACTTCCACCAACTCTCACAACACTCAGTTCTTCGAGTCTTCTTTTCCTATCACTAGAAGCTATGTAAAATGACAATCCCCCTCAGCCTGGACCTCAGCTCGGCCAACAACTAGATTTCGGGCACCTAACACAAGCATTTCAATAAGCCGCCACCGAGGTCGCAAATCTTGCCAATCTTCCTCCAATTACTCAGTCCAATGCAATGATACAGCAGATGTAGCAAATGCAGCAACAGATGCAGCAAAACCAGCTACAGACGCAGCAACAGATACAGCAACTCCGCACAGATATCTACCCATGTCCATGGCCTTTCTCCATCGTGTATATCTATATCTACTCTACTGCATGCAAATACAACCCAATTTTGAAGCTAGTAGCGCTGCTAGGACTGATGCAGCGCTGCAGTGTAGTTACGCCAAGATAGAGCTACTATAGCAGTGTTGAGCGCGCGCGGGAGAGGCTCTGGGTACATTGCTATATACTCCTACTTCTGCTTTCTCATGGCTCAAAGCTGCTTGCAGAGCAGGTCCAGAGAGCACCTCTGCTGCTGCTGCTGATAGCTAAGCTGCCACATAGCTGCCTCGCTAATTCGCTGTACCTGTGCTATACGCCTGATCTCCTTGATAACCTTAAGCCGTAGAGAGTACCACTGTAGTTCACTGAGCCTACCTGCCCTCTAGGTACTGCCCCACTGCCTATATAGCTCACTGATTGAAGGCTGGCCTTGGAGGCCTACTATCCACTCGCGCCAGAGATCCTCTACCGTACGTACAGCACGGCACATCCTATACAGGTCCTAGCGCTGCCTGGTGCTGGCGCTGGTTCTGGTGCTGGTGCTGTTCGGATGTTGCTGGTGCAGGATGACTAGGCAAGCGGATGAGAGGCGTAGCTACTAGTAATAAGCTACTTAAGTTTATTACTTTAAATAGTGTTGTAGTACATTTTATAGTATAAATAGAGTATTATAGCAGCGTAGTACACTAGCAAGTTGTCTAACCTAGCGTAGTACTTGCTAATTTTAGCCTACGCAGCACGTAGGTGTGAGAAGTATTGAGCAGGAAACACAGGCCACAGAGAGGGAATGCAGGATAGGGGGGGTGTAACGAGAGTAAACCTTAGGGTCAGAGGCAGAGGTACGGAGGCCGAGGAGCCTATATACCCCGTGCTAAGCCTAGGGTACTCAGGGGTTGGATAGCTGTAACAAACCGTGACAGTAGATTAATAGTAAAGGTCCTTAGGCGCCTTATTATGTGCGTTGTAGTCTACTGCCTTATACGCTTTAACACACTGCTTATAGTTTAAGAGAACATACTTAAAGACTAAAATAATCTTAGTAATAGCACTAAAGTGTCTACTTTTACTACGTTTCTTAAGACACTTTATAGTAGACTTAAGCAGCTTTAGAACATCTAAGTACTTAGTAACTACTACCTAGTTAGCTACTATAAGCCTGTCTAATTACATCTACTATAGTGCAACACTATCACAAACTTATTTAGCTGTGCAGATGTGTGCACTCATGTGTTAGAAGCGCTTTAGACAGCTTGTTGCTGCAGCTCTTAGCATATATATCCTTATCTTACACTTGTTGTATATGGTAGTTAGCGTAGGCGTTTGTAACGGCGCAGGCAAGACAATGGGTCCGAATGCGGTAGGAATCCACTCAGAGGCATATGGGAGTGCGTGGGGACTCAATGACCTGGGAATTCCATTGACACCTATAGGTCTTGTACGAAAGAATACCAGAAAACTACTGAGCTAGCTAAGGGGAGAGGTGCGACTAAATACTTGGGGGAATAGGGGTAACCGCGGGGGACAGGGTCGAGTCAGGGTCGGGGCCGATACGGGGACCCTTCGGATAGGTTCCGAGCGACCCGAGATGGAACGATTCATGAGAATCGTTACAGCGTTAACAGCAGATTGCAGCTTTACAGCACACTTAAAGTATAAGTAGTACAAGTTCTAGCGTGTAACAACAGGCTTAACAGGTTCTAGCAGAGTGGGTGGTTACTGTCCACAAGCTAGGTGATAGTAGTAAGCCTAAAGCGTGTAGTATTAAAGCTAGAGAGCTTGTTAACAGTTACCTACGCAACTGTAATCTTACTATCCTTAAGGACATAGCGCAGGGCACTTCTTTAGCTAATAACAGTAGCTTTACTAGGCGCTTAGTGTCTATAGCTATGCTTTTACTCTTTTAAGTAGCGCGCTGCTAATGTTAGCAACTGCGTTACCTTATATACGCTACCTGTAAGCTAGTGCTTATAGCAGTAATAGCACATAAAAAAGATGTAATCTAGGTTCTTAAGCGAGGCAACACGCTAGCAATAGCAGTATACCTAGCTTCTTCTTACCTGTAACAACGCTAGCAGCTTTATATAAGCGTTTAGGTGCTATAGTAATAACAAGAAGGGTAGGACAAAGGTTTAAGTAAAAAAGCAACACTAAAAGCATAATATATAAGGCTAATAGCAGCAGAAAGTATAGGATAGAGCGTGCTGTGCATAGCGTAAGGTTGTTACTAAGCTACGTTTACAACACTAAAGAACTATTACAAGATTGCTCCTACTGCACAACTAGCAGCCTTACTAGCAGATAGCTGCTGCCTCCTTCTCTACTTAAGCTAACTAAGTTACTAAGCTACTTAAGCTGGCTTCCTTCTTAGCTTAACTTAGCTTGTTAATTACTACAAGGTAGCCTAACTTGAGGGAACAATTAAGTTTCAATCCAGTCAATTCAAGCGCTTGATCTGGCTCGCTTGTTGGAAAGTATGCTGATTCCACCTGCCAGTGCGTTAGATCTAATCCTCGCTGACCCCCTTCAGCTCTGCCAGCTTCACACTAGCGCTGCAGCTAAGGTAAGTTTTCTTAGCTAAAAGGATACCTGCGTAACTAAAGGCCTTTGCGACCCAGTCGCGCTGTGAGTTGTAGGACAGGGCAGCTGTAGGAGATGTGCTGCTGCTGCTGCTGCTGCTGCTCGCCTTAATCAGCCGCGTACTATACTAGGCGGAGCGCTGGCTAAAGTCAGGAAAGGACTCCTTGCCTAGGTCCTATATAGTAGAGCAGGTAGAACGCTAGTCTACTAAGCATACAGAGCAGCGGCTTTCTATTGCGTAGAGCGCTGATTGTCTCTAGCTGGCTATGCTAATTCTGCTTGCTAGCGCGCGTTGTGAATATAAGCAGTATACAGCGCGTAGGGCCCTCACCCTTAAACTTAAAGGTGAATAGATCTGACAGCTTGGCCGCGCGGCAGTCGCCACCACAGCTAAGCATGTAGTGGCCTAGCAGGGTATTCACAAGCGTACGGAGGTGGCACTCTAGCGAGGTCTCTGCACTGTGTAACTAGAGCTCTCTGCAGACACGCTTAAACTCCTCCTCAGAGTAGCCATCAAGCAGCGTATCCCTGCCTTTGTCGGCGTACTGCGCTCGATCCTGCTAAGCATCGCGCCGCTGCAGAGACCGCAGGTACTCGCGCGCGGTGTCCTCGCGCAGCGATGGGTGGCTATTCATACCTAGCGCCTTCTGGTCCTGGTATAGGTTGGTGATCGCAGTAACATAGGTCTAAACTAAGCGCCAGGGGAGGCAAGTCTAGTCCTAAGGGACGTTGCTAGTAACCTTGTAAGACTTAGCTCTTAGTAGCCTGTAAGCTACCTTTTTAACTAGGAATAGCAGCAGCTTCTGCTTAGTTACAGTCTTGCTGTCCTAGTACTGCTTCCGCGTACAGAAGTCCTGGATAGGCAGTTAGTATATGCCTGTATGCCTGCATGTACGCGCAGCGCGAAGAGCAGCTGGTGAGCTGGACCTACCTTAAATTCTGCCTGCTTTCGTAAATATACCTAGTTTGTATTCTCAGGTCGCTGCTCCCAAATTGTAGCTAGGAGCTGGTGGGCGTTGGCTTGTAGTTCTGCACTGTTCGCGACGTCGCGCTCGACGCGCTGGACGCACCCGCGCCGCAGGTCATGCTTTGGCGGCATCTCTCCTGTCTGCTTTCGGTGGTGGTAGAGTACCAGCAGCACCAGCAGCAGCGCCAGCAGCGCCTGCAGGTCCTCCTATATACGCTCCATCAGGGTCGTAGCAGCTTGCCGTTAGCAGCTGCAGCAGTAGCAAGAGTAGGTAGGGGGTGCGGGTGGTGGTAGACAGGTGCAGCGCTGCAACCAACGGCTCAAAGGTCAGCCTCGAGGTCAGCGCTTATGCTAGATGGGGGTATTCTATACCGGGCTAGCCGGCTAGGCGTGTAGGTTATCAGGACAGCTATAGCGGGCTGACCAATAGGGCGCGATAGAGCCGTACGGTACATAGCAGTTCGGCCGCGAGGTCAGCGTCCAATTTGGAGCTGCCGAAATATCCACAATCGGTGGCGCACGCGCGAGGTGGATATTCGGTTAGCTCGCTGGCTGGGGAGGGCGGTAGGCGGGGCAGCCAGGTCATCGCACCGTCAGCGGCACCTCGAGCACGCCACAGGTCATCAGGCAACGTGAGTAAATCCCAATTAGATGTCCTACTTACCTGCTGACTAATTATTGTTAACAGGGAGTACAATTCTATTGCTCACCTTCAAAACTCTGGTATCGCAAGATCTAACGCCCCTCTTACTGCACTCCATAAACTTGGATGCCTACTATTGCTTTGAGAAAAATGTGCACCCCTACCAGCTTAGCAAACTGATGACAATGCCACTGTCAGAAGCCACTTCCATGGTAGACGCCATTCCAGTTGAGAATACACAAGGCCGCACATAGCTCGTCGCGATTACCAAGGCGCGACGTGCAGACAACACACTGTTAAACCATTCAAATCACGCACAGTCTGTGCGTCTTATTCCAAAGTCTGCCCTGCTGCCATAGCAACGATCACTCTCGACGCCACAGATTGCACCACACCCCTGGAGGGGAACTCTAACCTAGATCTCCCCATTGTCCCACTATCGGTTTGCAACTAACAATCAACTCTCAACCCACTCGAAACTAGAAGCCATCGAAGGGTACAAAATTGCCAGGAAGCCAAGCTTTAAGGGAAATTTGAGACGGTCACTAGAAAGGAAGGCACCAAGAAGACGCCAAACGCTATGGAACTTGAGAAAGCGTTCTTCGAGCACACAGGACATAAACCTCTCCTCACGCGAGCCCTCATCGAACACGTTGAGAGTCAGAGGGTCCGGATTCGAAATGGTGAAAAGACTTATATTCAATTGAATTTGGAAGGAAACTCTTCCGAAGAGTCGTCTCGGTGGTTCCAAGATATGGAAGCTAAAGGGTAAGACTCTTTCCCACTCTCCACTCGTAGTCGCAGTCGCAGCTTCAGCACACTGACGCGTATGAAAAGCAAACCCATTACAATATTCTATAACCACTATCAAGAAATGGCAAAAATTCTCGACGTTCGGAGCGATGCCGATCCCTTCTTTAAATTCAACCGAACAATCCCCATCCATTTTGTAGTCCAATGCCCGGATCCTGAAGACCCGAAGGAATTCGATCTTCAAAAGATGAAAGCTAGGCTAGAAGGATGGGAGCAGTCCTGGAATAAAAGCGTCGAGCGCCAGAAACTCCTAGAGTCAGTTCAAACAGCCAAATCTACTGTTCCAATCAATAAAATTATTGGACTCGGCCTCGGTTCGGGGAATCGCCCGTACAAGGACTACACACATGCGCGATTTAGCTACTGCCAACATCTCGCTGCTTGTGATATTGCGCTGGAGCTCCAAAAGCTATATGGACCGGATACAGAGCCTATCGAGATCTTCGGCCAAGATCCAGAGTACACTCCAAACGATAAAGTGATTCTAGCACACCTGAACCCGCCTATTGCCACGTTGGAGGATCCATATGGCTTTCTCGCAATTGACAAGACGACTTTCGTCATGTCAGTTCACCCAAACGTTCCTGTGCGACAGATTATCGCCGATCTAGCTTTGGAGTCGAATGACGCTTGTCCGGCGGGCGTCCTTTGGAACTACAATCCGCAATGGCGGGAGGAAGGCGGAGACCAGGATCACACAGATCCATGCTCTAGCCGAGTTGAGAAGATGCTTGAAGGCTTCGTTTTGGCCGAAATTTTCGAAGACGACAAGGAAGAAGATCGGAATACTTTTGGGAAGACTGCTATTTGGTTTAGGAAGTTGTGACCGCAAGCCTTGGAGTTCCGTCGATACCGCTTGAGTATATGTTGGGAGTTTCGGGAGGCGGTGCACCAACATTACTTGCTTTGCAGCATATTATTGCCTACTACAGATCGTAATCAGGCATCTTTAGATTGGTTGAACATTCTTCCTGGAACTCGGACGAAGGCTAAGAATATTCCTGTCGTAAACCAAAACTTCGTCGTTTCCTGCAGTAATTACCAACATGAGAATAATTGCTAGGGCAGCTCTAGCGGTATATTTGGTATGTGGAATCTTGGTACAGATATAAAGTTCAATATGTATGAAGTCTCCATCTTAACGTCTCAGTGTTGATTAACGTTTACCACTTCAACGGTACGTTAGAACCATTATTTGAGCCACAGAACGACTTGACCCGCAATAGAAAAAAAAGATATGCTCAGGTCCGCTTTCCATATCCTACATCACAAAAAGGCAAACTTTTGAAACCGACGCTGGAGACTTGCAATCTAGAACTGAAAATTCGCAACCCTCGCCAAAGACGCGCAAAATGCGTATTATACCAACGGAAAAGATGTCTCTTCCCAGCATTCCATCTTCCAACACCAAAAGCTACGGAACATTCTCCTCTAGCTCCTCTAGCTCCTCTACACCCACGATCTCCACCGTCTCAACCGGTTCCTCGGACAGTCAGGGCCCCTTAACAACCCTCATTGACTCAGAATCCGAGCGTCCCTTCTGTACCCGCGTCCACGGCACCATACATAGAGCGGTATATCTATCTCCTTTCCGCACTCTTTGTTTTGCTTCTTCTTTCCCACGCCGACGGAGAGTGCGGCTAATAACGATTTTAGAATCGGCAACCCTAGCGAGAAATCCACGATATGGAGGCACTCTGAGAGACTGAACAAAACGAATTGGCTTTAGATACAATACAAGTTACGACTATTTCCTTTTTTGCTTGGTGCGCGGGTTCTAGTTTAGTGATAGGGAGCATTTGGTTGTGGGCTTGGCGGTGACAGGGTTGAAGGGGACCGTTGGAAGAACAGTTGTATCAGTGATTGCCTTGTCTGGATTGGGTTTGTAATGGGATATATTTCGAATTTAGTCAATAGGGCTGTAGGATAGAGGGACTTTGCTTTCGGGAGGACCACGTGAAAGAGGGTCTAGAAGAAGCAAACGTAGAATTGTCTCAGTAGGTGGAATTGAATATAGCCGGCGGGTAAAAATATTTTATTATGATGTTACATGAAGGGGAAGTCGTGGCCAGCCGAATTGATGACTGTCAGTACCCGGCGATGATTCTTAAGTCGAAATCAGCCCATGATTGAGGATTCGTGAGTCAATCAGCGGCTTCTCTCATACCACTGTATGTAGCCATTTTATTTGTTCAGCTCCTCGGCCCTTTTCTTAAGCTCCTCCTTGCTGGCAGGCTTTCCAATATCCTCGGCCATGACGGGCCCCTATTCTACTGTGTTAGCTCTCAGCACTCTTTATATCATCTTGGATCATTTATACCGGATTGGCCTTGTGTGCCTGTGCTCCAATCGAGCCTCCAGATGTCGCACCTGCGTCTACTTGGTGATGTGGGTGGGTAGAGGCGGTGGAATCGGATGCATCTTTGGCGACTTGGTCGGTAATATCTGTGAGAGAAGTCAAGTCAGCAGTGCTCCTGTATTAGATCTGGAATAAGATCAGTGGGGAAAACAAGGTGTTGCGAGATACAGATGCAGTGAGCGAGAAAGTCACACTTACTACCAGTAGCATTCTCTTCAGCTGGATGGTGAGGCATAGCGACTGGATGTGATTTCTGTCTTCGTGCTCCTGGTATCAAAAGTCTTAAGTCTCTCTCCTCTTTGTGGCTTTTTAACTTCTCAACGCTTTGTTTGAGATACTCCTCGTAAGATTGCTTTTGTTTTGGTGCTGGTTCTAGCTTTGTCTTTTCTGGGGGGTCCGGTGGTGAGTCTTGAAAGAGCTGGGGAAAGTTTGGTTTTTTCTCGTGATATTCGGCAATGAGCTGGTGGATGGAGGGTTCACCAGAACCAGAGGAAGGCGGCATGTTTTATAGACACTTACGGTGATGCTGTATGACCGGTGACGTATTGTTGCTGTGTGGTGGGGTGCTAGTGCCAAGGCATTGGTGCGGGGCGTTATGGGTCTATGCCGGAAGAAGTGACGAATCACGTGGGAGGCAATTCACGCTGATACTTAGGATGGCCAAGTCTTTGCACACGGCCAGATAGAACTTATGTCGCATGCAACTATCCGCCTATATATATCTTTCTGCTGTGATAGCTGGGAGGCTGACCTTTTGGCGACGCAAGAACTTATTAAACCTATTCTCCGCATAGAAAAATGAAGCTCATATCTTGCCAATCTCCAAGGCTCGGGCCTTCCCATACCTACTTAATCACCTACTACTTGTCTATAAATCTGGCTGTTGTTCGACTTCCAAGGAACGTGATTCAAAACAGTCTAAATTTTTCTGCTTGCAATTCCGGCAAGCTTCTCTTAGTCGTAGTCTGCGCTAACTCTAATACCCTCGGGCCATGGCAGCAAAATCTACAGGTCAGCCAGAATTTCGCTGGAGGTGTTAGTTTTGTGAATGGCAACCATTAAGAGGACGTATTTCTACACTCATCAATCATCCATGAATAGGAATTCATTCGCCATTGTCACTCCCTCACGGCCTGATACACTTAGAAATAAAATTTTCGATTCGTTATATGCTTCACTCTTTGTTCCTCACACGTAAATGTGTTAGTCATGTATAACTTTGTCATAGTCGTAAGCCCTCCCCCATGTTAGAAATTCCTCACGAAGGTGTTTTCCTAATATCCGTCAACTTCACCCTCAACGGGCTCTTCTCCCAAGTATTATACGCCCTCAGCCCCTTAAATTCATCCTTCGGATTCCAAAGAGGTGCCCCATCCGCCAACTCGAGGTCGAAATTCCACAGCAGCGCACCCAGGATAAGTCTCAGCTCGACGTAAGTCAAATTACGACCAATGCAGCCACGGGGACCTGTTGAGAAAGGCTGCGCGGCTTTCTTGATATCGTTGCTGTAGCGGGCTTTGGAGGTAGGTTCATCCAGCCAGCGCTCGGGGATAAAGGCGTCAGGGTCCGTGAAGTTGTCGGATGAGTGTGCGGCACCCCAGGAAGATACACATACGGAGTACTGGGAACAAGTTAGCGTCATAAGCTGCGGTACTAAAGTGACGATAAGGCTACGGACGTTTCCTGGAACCCTGTGTCCATCGATTAATGATCCTTCCTTTGGCACTGTTCGCAAAAGGCCGATGGGGACGGGCGGGAATATTCGCAGGCCTTCTTCGATGCAAGCATTCATATAGGGGAGGTTCCCTAGAATGTCCATGTTCAAGTCTGCCTCGCTTTTGCACGCACCACGAAGCTCATCTTTGAGCTTCTTGAAGGTGACTGGGTTACGGAGGAGGTAGTTCGTTAGACCGCAAAGCTCAGTAGCGGTAGTCTCGCTCCCGGCAACACTCCAAGCCGGGGTTAGTCTATCTCTCTCCGAAGCTATGTGTTTAGAACTTACATGAACAGCGCAGCATTCATGATAACTTCGTCATCCGAGACCTCGTTCTTCTTCTCTCGTTGCTTAAGGATATACCAAATAAAGTCCCTATGCTCAGTTTTGGTATTCATTCTTCGAATAGTCTTCTCGGTCGAATTTCGCAAATGCTTGAAGCGGCGCTCGCGGATAACGGAAGGGATGCACCACAAGAGAAATAGCTGTGTCCACGATCCTGGAGTAGCGAATCGTCGTGTCGCTTGTTCGAGCGCACCAGCTTTGATAGACTCATAGATGAGAACGACCCAATTTGCGGATTCTCCACCTTCACCTATAAACTCATCAGTCTCGTGAGCCCTCGTAAGGTGTGTTGGATAACGATTCTTACCCTCCTCCAAACACCCAAATGGCTCTCCAAAGCTCAAATCACCAATGATATCAAACGTGCAAAAATTGAACCACGACACCATGTTTGCCGCCTCGCCTCTATGCGCCATCTCCCTCAACCTCTTCACAAACAAGTCCACATACCCCTTCAGAATCGGCTCCTGCTCCAGCAACGCTTGCTTACTAAACGCATGAGCCAACGCACGTCTCTGCCTTGCATGATGGGCATCGGGCGCCATTGTCAAGTTAGTTGCCCCGGGAATGGCTTCCACAGCTCCAACATGAATAGGGTCTTTGTCCATGTTAGGGAGGCCAATACGGTGTCCGTAAATATCATCCCAGGCCTTTGCGGTGTTGAAGGAGAGCTCATTCGGCATAACACGGACAACAGGCCCGTACTTGTCATGAATGACTTTGTAGTCGAAGGATATGCGCCCACGGAGAAGAGAAATACATGATGGGATTGGGGAGATGCACCAGAGGAGGGGACCGGGGTATTTGGCGAGAGGATGGAGGGTTATGCGGTATATGGCGAGGAGGACGAAGTATGCTACGAGCTGGATTGAGAGTTTGGTTATTACGGGCAACAACGAAAGCGTGGAAAGTACACACAGCAATTGGTGCACTAATGGCAATCTGCCGGATACGTTCTTCGTCGAAGAGACCCATTACTGCTGGCTACTGCACGGTTCAAATACGGAAAGGCGTCCGAGTAAGCAAGCAGAGGGAGATTGAAAAAAAAAGAAGACGCAAGGAAACTACATTCGTATATCGCCTGAAAAACCGTGCCGCATTTTCGAGTCCTTATACGGAAGAGAAAAGAGTCACAGGGGCGAAGTACGCTAATTTCGCTGGAAGACTAATTGGCGTCTCTAAATATCTGTAGACCGAGAACAGGGTGTGACGGAAATGCTTTGGCGAAATGTTGCCGCGAGCCAGGTGTGCTGATCTAGTATGATATGCCTATATTTCTTCTGTGGAATAGAATGGAAGATGAATCCAGATGCCCGTCTTATAGCTATTTAAGATTGAAATTCGTCGCATGATATTCACGTGTGTTAGTTTGAGAAAGGACGTTAATAGAGAACTGGTCACGTTGTTGGGGACAGTATAGTGTCGGTGTTGAGTATCGTCCGGTGTCAACGACCCCGCCTTCTACTCCGAGCCCCGCGCTAGGAAAGGACCAATGGGTGGAGAGTTGAGGAAATTTTCGAGTCATGAGCTCAGCGGTGAATGTTGAACTCGAGTCCTCTCTTTGATCCCTCTCTGGGTATCCTCGAAAGATTGACTGACTTTGTATGCATCTGTGGCACGAAAGCTATTGAGAGTGCATTGAACTATGAAGGGTGCTCGTAAGGAGCCTACACGTAAAGAGAAGTTGGAGATCAATCGGTGATGCTCCGGGATTCGGCTCACAGGATCTAATCAAATTCTTCCTCATAATCAGATTCTATTTAGCTTTGTGGCTAGGGATCTAGAGCATTAGTTTCTGTCTCTACAGATTGAAGTGAGAATTTAAACCATTGGACTTACACTGTGAGGGCGCACGATGAGTCACAGTTTTATGAAATCATGAAACGAATAGATTTGCGGTCCCAGTAACGAAGCCAATCATCGAAAAGCAAGCGTGACAACCCTCAATGCGGCCATAACTTCCCACAAGTGCACCATAGATACACACCCGACTTTCCGGATAACCGATTATCCGATGTGTTGCAAGCTCAACCTCAAGACCTATGTCGGAACAAAGACTCAGAACATTGGTTCTACCTTTGCGTCTACCTAGGATCAGGGCCAACCGGAGAAGTGAATAAGTTCTCTGCTGCAGCGGCTTTCATGATCTCGAACCAGATATCTCCCATATGAGCATACCCTGAATCGGTGCTGCATCATACATTAGTACCCCATTTCTCATCCTTGCTGCGGGTAGGAGAACTCACGGATGCAGGCTGTCAACTAACTCATCAGCCCCAACAGCACTTTGATCCACAACCATAACTTTATGCCCTTCATCAACTCTCTGCTGCACAACTCCCGGAATCGCGTCGTTGAACGTCTTGATCCTGCTCTCCGTGTCTGCAGTCCTAGAGTTGATAATCTTTGCAACCAAAACCACTGCGTCCGGACAAACTCCCAAGATTTGGTCGATTAGCGCTCCTAACCTTTGCGGTGCCTCGTCGTATGGCTCATCTGGGTTTACCTTATTGTTTAGATCGTTCGTGCCTGCGTGGAGTAGCACTGCGTTTGGCCTCATCTCAAGCCCAGGACCCACAGCGCTCGCGATTTGAGAGATCGTATACCCGCTGTGACCTTCGTTGTAATTATCCACCATGTCGCCGGACCGCTGGGTTCCAACGAAGAGGAAATTCGATCCGGAGAGGCGGTTCGCAAGCTCATAGCGGTAGCCGTTGGTTCCATTTGTATGTTGGGGCTGGTAGCCGAAGGTTATGGAATCCCCGAGAGGTAGGATGCGGAGTTCGATCCCGTCTGCGATGACATCGCGGGTAGAAAGAGGGAGACTTGCGATGACTCGAAGGACTAGTACTGTGTGTCAGGAAAAAAGGACCCCAAGTTCGTGCACAGGGAGTAGAAAGCCACTCACATAAGGATAAAACCACGACTCTCAGCGCCAACCTGAAATTGAAACTTAACATCGTGATTTATTCAACGCAGGATTGCAATTACATGCGGCTTTGGGATACTTAAATAAGCCTTCCGGCCGTTGGGATCACCAAGTTAGATCACAGCCTCGAATGGGGCCTCCGAAAAGATGTCTTGTCCGAGCCAAAAGTTTCATCCTTGGGAGCTCTAAGAGGTCCCATTGGTTTCGAACATTGCACTACCAGGCACTGCCGGGCACCGCTAGGACCTAGTCTGACGATCATCATACGTCATAGCCTGGGAACACAGGGGAGGCCTTAAGGCTATGAATAGACCTAGAACAGTGGAGAATAAGGCGAAAAGTCCGATGGTATGGAGGTATTTGGGAGAGGGGTGCGAAGGAGACTTCAAGTTTACAGCAGAAAATGAGATGGGCTGGAAGGTCATGAATCTGAAATGCATTGCTAAATAAATTCGATTGGGCAGATCTGATGAAAACGAGAATGTTTCTTGTCATCTCAAGCCACTGGGAGAGAGGAAGTTGATGCCTCATGGAATAACCTTGGCTTTCCTCATGCGATCGAACGCAATCTTCCAAGTCTCTGGTGTGCGTATCTCCTCAGTGTAGCCAGCCTTATGCGAGGCCTCCATGCTCATCTGTCGGTCGAAGTCAAATAGCGTCATGATGTAGTACTAGGACGAGTTAGGTTATATCGAAAGTGCGAAGGTTTCAGAGCATTCTTACCTGGAACCCTGGGTGGGTTATATCGCTGTCCACACTACCCTTCTTCAAATTCTGCTTTTTCTCAAGCTCATCCCATTCCTCTCTATGCGCTGCGATATATGCACCTGGCTGCGGTGAGTTCTCCTCCGGACCGGTTCCCTTCAAACCAAAGTAGTCGCAAATAACTGGCCACTTCCTGCTCCAAGTATCTTCCTGCCCGCCAACGTTGAAGCTTTGCGATGCTGTCTTTTCTGGGTGGAGCGACGCGAAGATTGAGAAGTTTGCAACCATATCTTGAGGGGATTCATTGTACTTGTTAACCCACGACTTCGCGTTTCCAGGAAACGGACACCTTGCTCCATGGCCTTCAACAGTTTTGTAAAGCGAGAGGTACAGGGCGAGAGTTTGCGCGAGGCAGTATGCGTTATTGTTCGGAACAAATCCAATGATATTGTCTGGTCGGACCTCACACCAGTTCCAACTCTTTCCTTTCGAAATACGCTTTAAACAGTCGATTTGGTTGTAGTAGAAGAGCTTTGAGAGGAAAGGTTCGGGGATCGGAGGAAGGGTTTCTTTCAAAGGCAGGTCGTTCGAGAAGGGGAATTTGTCGAGCATCTGGCAGCCGTAAATCTTAGTTCCGGATGGGAGCACTACATATGAGAGTTTTGAAGAGAGGTGCTCGATCGCGGTGATAGCCCGTTCCAGCATAGCTTCATTGGTTTGACATTCTTGGTCGTTGTCATCATTTTGTTTGTAGGCTGAAAAATTCCATTAGCCATCTTTCCTTTCATTTTGACTTTATGGGCAATGATCACTTACAATAAAAGTACACCTGCGTGACAGTATCAATGTCTTTTACCTTCTCCTTAATCGCCTTGTCCAGCTCCTCCTGGGTTCCTTTAAGAAGGTCAATTCCTGAGACGACCTGTAGCCTTGGGTCATCAGGCCATAGTGCCATTTCCCTCGTCAGAGGCCTGTTCACCAGCGCCGAAACTTTGGAGAAGGTATCCTTGGAGGGGTAGCCATTCAGAATTGAATTCACGATAGCCCATCCTGAAATGCCAGATGCGCCATAAATTAAAGCATGATTTCCAGTGGGGGCCATGACTGAACCGTGTTATGCTCAAAAATTCAGTCAAAGACGCTGATATGCAGAGTACTGCGACGCATGGGGTAGACCCTAAATTTTGTATTCCCGTATTTCCCCTCCACGCAGGAACGCTTCCGACCACCTCCTCATGTCGTTCCCCAACGCCATCCATAGGAGAGTCTGGCAGGGTTGGTCCGTTAATCCCGCTAGTTGCGGAAGATCTTATCCAAGTGCACATGACAGCGCGTCCACGCACGTCAGCCCCACCATGACTCGTCGCATTCTGATCTTCGGGGCTAAAGCTGACAACTGGCTTCGTTTATGAATCCCCAGACGCTGATTCTCCCAAGGCCGAGTGGTGCTTCGTCAAGAATATGGGTGGATCCTATTTACTAGGGAAGGGAAGTGTTTATGCTTATTGCTCTCTAGGAAAGTGAGAAGAGGCACTGAGATGACTTCAAATATCAGCAACGACTCATACATGTCAGAATATGCCCCAGGTTGCAAACTCGACCCGGATATCAGGGCTTTTATAAGGCGCTACTACACCCCAGTCGACATCCTAGGAAGACATGTTGAGTACTCTAAATGCTGGGCCGAAGATGGTGTCCTGATTGTTCCACATGGCAATTAAAAGCTTACTTATTGTTATAGTTATGTTACAGCTATCTAACCTCTAAGTACTCTAAGAGCTTAGCATAAAGTATATAAGCTTCTTAGCTTCTATACCTCTGCCTCTAACTTTAAGGTTTACTCTTGTTACTCTCTCTATCTTACATTCTCTCTCTATGCCTTGTGCTTCCTGCTTAATACCTTTTACACTTATATAGAAGTATATAAAAGCTTAAGATTTTTATATTACTTTACACACTATTTAATATAGAGCTAATAAGCAGGGGGCTAGCTAGCATCTTTATATAATAAAGGACTTTAAGCTAAGTAAAAAGTAGAGGTTATTTTTTAGTGTTAAGTGCTATATACAGCGTTTTAAAAGCGTAAATAGAGTAAATGTTAAAGTAAAAGTAAAGCTTAGTTATAGCATACTTATTGCCTAAACTAAAAAAGCAGTAAGTAAAGACTTTAAATTATAAAAATTTAGAAAAGAAATAGTTCTTTATTAACATAGTACAAGTGTATAAAGAACATCTACTAACTAGCCTAGGTAACAGAAGTATAGTATACAGTACTAGAGAGACAAATAACTCTTTTACTGCTAAAAGCAATTAGAAAGCGCAACTTATAAAAAAATATATAAAAAAGCAGTGCATTATATACAGATTGTAATAAGGTAGACGCCCTGCCTGCTAAGCCGATACTATACGACTTTCCCCACTGTACTAAAAGGTACGCACGAGAATACTTAAGCTAAGCATTCTCGCATAGTATAATATATATAGATAATTCTAGGGCTAGCACTAGCACTAGCGGTTGTCTCTAGTCTAGTCTAATCCTCTATAAGCGAGAGAAGGCCACGTGGTTGATGGTGCCTACCTTATTATAGTTAGCGCGCGAGAATTTTTGCATCTCTGCTCTCTCTACTCTAATAATAGGAACACACTATCTCTAAATACTGTGTGTTTAATTTCTATGCTTAGAAAAGAAACATTTAAGCAGTGTGCCTATTATAAAGGCTACTTTATTAGATCTGCCTCTTACATTTATTTACTACTTAGGCTAGGAGAGTATGTTAATGTATTCTATAGGCAAGTTACTTACACACCTAAGTTGCTTACTTTTACTAAGACTACACTAAACTACTTTTTTTTACTAATATACTCTTAATAACAATACTTAAATGTGTTAAAAAATTAAATATAGCTTATACTTTAAGCTTTTAAATAAAATATAATATCTTTTAAGTAACATACTATAGCTATATATAAAGTTTTTTAAAAAAAATAGTAAATAACTAACACACTAGATAACCTTTATAAGCTAATTTTATAGCTAACTTATAAAGCTAGATAATAATAAAAAGTAAGTAATTATTAAGTATATACTTAAGCTAGATATATAAGAATTTTCTTTTTAGCTAGTAGCTATAGATAATATAGCTAATTCTTTACACACTAAGTGTAATCTAGGCTATGTTAGTATAAACTAGCCTAGTTATTTATTAAGTGTTATTTAAAGCTTAAAGTAAAGTTTTAAGTATAAGTATAATTAGTAAATATTTAGCTTATTATAAAGCTTATTTTATTAAAGTTATAGTTATAGTTAAACTTTACTTTAAGTTTTAAATAATACTTAATAAATATACTAGACTAGTTTATGCTAACATAGCCTAGATTACACTTTGTAACAATTCGCATGCATTGTTCTATCTTAGGTTGCCTGACAAGCTAATATCTAAAGGGTCCTTGTATCTGCTCCAATCCTGCCCTGCCCTCTGCTGTACCTCTATTCCCTAAAGTATTAAGTCGCACCTCCTCTCTTAGCTAGCTTAATAGTTTTCTAATAACATTCCTAGGTTACTAAGTCCCCACGCACTTCTATATGCCTCTAAGTGGATTCATACCGCATTCAGACCTATTGTCTTGCCTATGCTGTTACACACTTAGTGTGTAAAGAACTAGCTATATTAGCTATAGCTACTAGCTAAGAAAAAACTTCTTATATATTTAGCTTAAGTATATGCTTAATAAGTTCTTACTTTTTTATTATTATTTAGCTTTTATAAGTTTGCTATAAAATTAGCTTATAAAAGTTATTTAGTATATTAGTTATTTATTCTTTTTTAAAAAACTTTATATATAGCTATAGTATATTACTTAAAAAGTGTAAGCTATATTTAATATTCTTTTAACATATTTAAGTAGTGTTATTAGAAATAAATTTGTGTAAAAAAAGTAGTTTAGTGTAGTCTTAGTAAAAGTAAGTAACTTAGGTGTGTAAGTAACTTGCCTGCAGTGTACGTTAGAGAATTAAAGCTACCTAATCTATCTTGCCTTCCTTACACACACTCTCTCTTTTAAAACCCTTATACCCTCTTTTTAACTAGATCCTACGTCACTGATAATAGGTCACCTAATAACAGAAAGACTTAGGTGAGATATTGTATTAGAAATTTTCTAATTTTTGCACATAATAAATTTAGAGTTTAGGCAGAAGCGGGAAGCTGATTAATGGCAAAGCAGTCTTATATGTAACCACCTTAAGATCTTAACAACAGCTAAGGGAAGTGTTCTAGAATTATAAACCTAGCCTTCTATGCATTTCCTAGGAATTTTATTAGAATCTTAGACTCTAAACGCTAGCTATTGTTAAATTATTTTAAGTTTTGTTAGTTTTAAAGGCTAAAACAACGTTAAATTGTTATATCTTAAGAATTACTTAATTCTTTTCTCTCTATGTCTACATTCTGCTCTAGAGTTATAGAAAATACTATACTAAAATTTAAGAAGAGTTCTTTTGGGCTGTTGTTAAGATCTTAAGTCGCAATTTTCGTCATTTTCGGAGGTTTTTAGGGTGGGAGGATGACTTGTAGAATACGCTAGTTATCGACCTATCAAGATTGAAATATTGCAGGCGAAATGCATTACTTACAGGTATTTGGATTACACCATACACTTTTTCAATTCTCAGGGCTGTAAATTCAACAAATTGCTTCCAAGGTTCGCAGACGGGAGAGAATTCCACGCCAAGGGTCCACCGAGCACAAGCATCATCTCGTGCTACAATCGTAGACTCTAAATCCAATCTAAAAAGTGGCTAGAAGCTAGCGCCATTAATTGAATGCTAGAAGTTTTGCTAATCCCATGATGCAACCTTGGTATGACGTTAGCACCAAAAGTCACGTGTAGCAGAGCCCACAACTGCCCATGCCTATGCGTTGGAACCATTGCTTCTCTCGTCGGTGACTTCAGATCTCAAGATTTCCAGAAGATCAAAATGGCAGCCATGCAGGCCTTCAGTAGTCCATATAAAGGAAATGAGTCTCAGTCTGAACGTCTCCACAGCGAGATTTTACACCAATCCTTGTGCTTCTCATTCAGTTCCATGATGCTTATGTCTTGGACGCTCAAGATTTAACGGGTAACAGTAAAGAGCCACGTCAACGCCTCAGTATTGATGGACAAACAGACAAATAGCAGCAAAGCTGACACCTGGAGCCGTGAATGAAACAACTGCCTTGGACTAGCTTGAACTATCTTGCAATGAAGTTATTTAAACAAGGGTGATACATCTTACTTCTTAGAAATTGGCTTTTTTAGAGTCTTCTTCACTGTGATCGAATCACCCACGCCCTCCCCAATGTCGTTCTTCGAGCTGGACGATTCTTTTCCCTCTTCTACACCCTCTACAGCGACACCTCTTACCCACCACTCCTACTCATCCATGACTGGTGTTACAGCTCCCATGATAAGTCCTGGCAAATATCCTTCCTATGCAAATATTACCATGTCATCACGATAGGTCTTTGAGGCCACTCCCCCCCGAGGACTCCACAATGACTCCAATACTCTCCCAGAGAGTTTCCCTCCTGTGCTATCGCTCTCTCCTGTCATCTGGAGTCTGGCAAAGATGTACAGGATATGGGACACTCAATAGGTGGGGTAAATACGTCGGTACTTGCGGCTCTGGAACCTGAGCTAGTGAAGGCAATTGTTCTAGTTGATCGGGCATACTATCAATCGAGTGAGACCTGCGATCAATTCATGCTAGCAATACAAGCGTAGTGGGATTTCGACGAGTGGGCAGTAGGCGTGGATATCCCTGTATGGATGAAGGTGTGGTATATGAGAGGGGTCCGAGGAACGGCCCCTCATGTTGTAATGGACTGCATGGAGGGATTTGGGAAAGGTGGACTTGGAAGATCTGATTTATATCTAAATCTGATCTCGGAAAGGATGTATCCAAGATTTGTAGGGTTTGTGGCGCTTAAGAACGCAATTATTGAGAGGACGAGGGTGATAGGAGAACTGCACGAGGTGATTGCGGTCGAAAAGGTAGGCCATGGGATGCACCAGGTGCGAAGCGATGAGTCAAATAAGCTGCTGGGAAGTTGGTTGATGAAGATCGAGGACCGCGACAGTGCTAGTGAATCATGAAATCATTAACATTGAACACAAAAAGGAAGGATATTGTGGGGGTTGCCAGAGTGGCTGAGGGCCTTGTGGGAAGTGAAGTGTTGAAGGTAACGCGAAATGATCTATATGTAGCTCAACTCTTCTCCCATCGATCCATAGACTCAAACGCTTCCTTGGCTATCTCTCGAGTCTCTTCGCTTACGTCCCGATTTTTGCTTACATCACCGAACCTCTGCTTCCAAAGAGCCCAGCGCTCTTTGCTAAACTCACTCCTTCCCTTCCACCGATCTCCTCCTTTCGCAGGGTTTCCTCCATTCGGGCTTGTCGGTGTAAGGTCTTCTTCTTTGTCATACAATGCTTTCCCCAGAGCGAACACCCAGACTGCTGCGGCCGGTACGTTAGCATTAAGTTTTTCGATGGTGGTACCGGGCACGTGAGACTCGTTGGGTTCATCGTCCTTGAGTATATCCTCGAGGCCTGATCGCATCGCCCATATGGCGCACATCCAAAATTCAGACACGCCCTCTTTCGTCAGTCTAGCTAAGAAGTAGTTGGCGTTGGCGTATGCGTGACTCTCTGGTAGGGAGTATCCGGCGCCAACTCCAGGGCAATCGTTCAAGGTTTCGAGCGCGGATCCCGAGAAGGACAACATAGTGTCGTAGAGAACGTAGTCGTTGTGGTTCCCTGTGTGAGTTTTGATGTCGTCCACGAAATCGACAAGCTTTGCATGCATACGTTCATCCTTGAACGAAATCCTCTTTGCGGAATGTAACACACTATATCCGAAGTCTATTTGACCTATCTCTTCCGATCGACTCTCTGAAATTGCATCGTCGATGAGCTTCATTGTTTTTTTTACAATTGCCGCCAAATCGAGATTTCCAATCAAGTATTCCTGGATGATGGGATAGAACAGGCTTTCCTCCCAGTCTGGACTGAACCAGTTGCGAATTTTGGCTATCGCATCAATTTGGCTTGGCTCGTCTGGTATGGTAGAGATTGCGTCTTGCACCTTGCGGGCCAGCTTTTGTTCGTGCGTGTCGATGTTGGGTGAGCCTGAAGCGGGTGGATCGAAGCTATCGATATCGATTTGTTCATCGGCCATTATCATCAGAATGTGTTATCGATAATAACAAAACAGATTGGGTTGAGGGAGAGACGTTTGAGGATATTAGCGTTTGGTGAAGTCATGATGTGGCTGTGCGCGCACGGGTCGGATCCCGAACGCTCATTGGGGGTGTATATTAACTTGGCTTCGGCTTTTCAATCCTACACAGGAAGAACAAGTAGCCAGAAGGCGAATACAAACGATATTTACCCTGAAATACAAGGTATCCATGAACTTGGTGCTAGATCGTTGGGGCAGGAATCCTCCACAGCTAGGTGGGTCAATGCCACTGTGAGTTTAACCGAAAACCATGTCGAAAAGTTTCAATGGGATTGCCTGGTATGTACCTGCGTACTTAGGAAGAGATGTTTCCTGGTTCGTGAACTGAAGTGAAGTCAATTTTTGGGCTTCAGTTGTGTGTCGGTAGTTGCTCGAAATAGCTTACACGAAGCTAAGAAGCCGTAGGGTTTTGAGAGGGGCTCAATTGGAGACAAGGGTAATACTTTGCATGCCCATTTCAGGATGGGCTTGGAGGGCTAAGCGAACATGTGATGTAAGAGGTTGCAATCCATAATTTCCTCTCCGCCATCTCTTCCCACTTGCTTGATTCCAGCTCTCATCGGTCTGTGCCTTCCAATCCCCAGAATTCTTCGGCCTGCTCATAAAATGCACCTCAAAGTCCCTAGGATTTCGCTCAAACTCAAGCCGATTCTCGGTGTCCGCTTTTGGAAGTGTTCCGCTTACCGCTCACCGCTCACGGCCAAGGCACTCCCCTCTTTTGCGCCACCTTTGAAGTTGACGCACAAGCTACCCCCTGAGCAATGCGAAACCGACCCCCCTGCAAGCCACCGTCATCGGCCACTCCCGTTTTGACAGCTGCATCATCCTCGTGCTCGTTCCTTGTCTTTCCCCACTGACGCAACGCACATCTTCTGGTGCACATGGCTATTATTCCTTTGGGCACATCAATCTTACTATTTTTCGCTTGGCCTCCATGATACGTCGTTCCCTCGACATGATGCATGAGTCATTGAACACCCCGCTTTCGCTTTGTCTGACAAGACGGTCGCAATCGATAGCTGCAACGTTAATCGTGATAAGAAGACGTGATAAGGTGCAGTAGTCATTCCCTATCACAGCTGTGAACGCTAGTGCGACTGTCGGAATGCACAATGAATGCATAACAGACTTTGAGTTTAACTCGTATCAGGTGTCTGAATTGTGGCGCTCTCGTCAAAGCGAGAAACAATGCGTACGTACAGACCAACCTATAAGTGGCGTTGTTATGATTCAAGACACTTCCTTAGAATAACCTCTCACAGGGGAGCTCCCATGTTGACTTCCATCATCTAGTGATGGTGGATATCCGGCAGCGTTTGTCCTCAGCTCCGTTGTACTATGAAGCTCTACTTCTTTTTGGATGTAAATTCTGTCGTCCATTTCCGCTTCTGCCCGACTCTTCTTTTGTAGTGTGCTGAGCTGATGGCTGATTCTAGTGGTACTACAAGTGCCATTCTTTGTCGACAAGAATCTTGGAACAATCTTTGATATCAACGGCCGCAAAGTCGGTAAGCAAGCGCAAAGAATTCCGCAGTTCAGCTCCACGACTGACCAATATGCCGTGGGTGCGTTATCCCACATTGGATCCGTAGTATTGATTCCCTTGTGGAGAGTTGAAAGACGGACTAGGGAGATGATACATGCACTACGCGCAATCAGAATTTAGCCAGTCAGAAACCAAATGCGTGTTGTGACTTACAAGAAGCCAAGACAAAAGAGGGCACACAACAGCAATTTTTGCCTTGTTCGCATCTGTAACTTAAGGACTGAAGGCACTGGAATGACAAATATCATGAAATCGGTTACGATATTCATCGATGAAGTGAGATACCAAATTGGAAGCGGGGAGATGCACTTATCAGCCATCTTAGGAACGATGGCCGCAAGTGGTGAGCATGCCAATCCAGCGAGGAATTCCTGCGTAATACCCCAGGCGACGACAAAGACGAGAAGCCAGAGGCAGACCCTCTGAGTTCCCGTTCCGGGGAACAGCCGCCGGTACTGGATTAGGAAGGAGATCTTGGTAATGATCTGGGCGGCATTGTAGATCAAGATGTTGGAATAAAGGCACTGCCAGTCTCAGTACACTACGTACTAGAGAGTATTAGAAATTATACCTTCAACTGTTTGAGAGTCGACTCTAGAGGGACGAACTTCGTATGTTGACCAAGCCCCCATATAGCCTCTGGTGGTTCTTGGTCAGAAGCCTTTCCATTGTGTTGAAAGAAGGCAGGAACTTACCCAGAATTGTGGTAACCGATACCGCGATTGCAAGAACCTGAGCAATGGTGATGGTAATATCATCGGGACCTAAGACCGAAAGGACCTTGCCACGGGTGTATAACCTTAAACCAACACTCGCAGTGGAAAGAGTAACGAAGATGATAGACAACGAATAGATTAAGGCCGTCTGTGATTCCGCCTCTAAGGTGACATCACCTTTCAACATTGTGAAAAGACCTCAGAAGTCAAGGTTTGAGTTGCAAAGAACAAAACTACTAACAGCAGGATTCCCGATCTGGAGGCCCTTCTCAAGGTTCTCTATATGTCGTTGGGATCGAAGTATGAATATAAGTACGAAGAGAAGTCCCACATCGACGAATTTCCATCTTTACGGAGCAAAATCTTGCATTTGGCAGTAGGTCCTATGCCAAACGTAGCGCCAAACCTTATTACTCTGACATTTACCTTAGGATCTACGCGAGGAGTGAGGGTTAACAGGTGCCGGGGCTATAGGCTAAATCGCGAGGCCTCTTTTGCGACATATCCGGCCAATAGTTGATGGCGAAGACGACAAGGATAGTAGTGACCGCCCCTCGAGTCGCAAATGACGCACACGAAACGTACGCGAGATGTCAGCGATTGGATTCCTCGGGGATTTGTGAAGACGCGATGGTTTGGTCGAGCATTGTCACCTGCACCGTGGAGCTCGAGGAGCTGTGTGGAGCTCGAAGGAGAAGCTGTGGTTCTGTGCCGATCAGGGACTAGATGCGGTGCGCGCCGTACCTTGACAGAATGGCAATGCGGCCAGTCCCGAGCTGGAAATCTGGGGCAAATGTCCTCGTATTCGCCTGGCAGTACTTGTCTCAAGCTGCACAGAGAGCCGGTGGCAAGCTGTCCTTTGCTAACAGGTCTCCTCTTCTTAATTGCTTTGAACTCTGTTTGTCTAGAAATGACTTTAGAGCAGTAGCTTTGCCTGGGGTTGAAGCTTAGCAGCCTTGCCAACCAGTTGTCGTAAATGGACCCGGTCCGTGCACCATTAGGAAGCACATTTATTGGATAGTCGCCTGCGCGAAGCTTATCACCGTTCCAAGGTTCCAAGACTCCACCGTCCAATTGCACCATGATCATCCTAATCTTCATCAACCTCCATCGAGAGCTCTATAACCATCCTACGCCTGCTCAATGAGGTGACGAATACCTCGAGAGTGACAATGGTACCCCATGAGTCGTGCTCGCCTCCCCGGCGCCGATCGCAACTGCCAGTCAATCTCGCCCAAGAATTCAAGAGCTGGGAACATGGGAACGAAGGGCAGATCCCCACTATTACGAGTAAATTCTAACGGAAAAACCTACTAACCCGAGAGTAGTGCGCTATCCACGAACCAGGTCAGGAGACGGGTATCCGGTCACGAGTCCAGTCCAACTGTGGGTTCTCACACGCTAGTATTGTTACCGATACCGTTGGTGTGACGGAGCCTGCTTGCGGTCAGCCTTTTCGACTCAAGTCATGGATGACGGATGGGTGTTTCAGGCTTTGATAGACTTTCAACCCCTAGTAGAGACATGGGGGTTACTGCTCATCATCTCATCACTCGATTGTCTTACCGTAGGCGTAAATTATTATGCATTTCCTATGGTACGTCCGAATATCCTTGGCTCGTCATCCTAGCATCAGACTTTGTTCCTTTAGAACATGAGAAGACAGTCTTTCCCTCCTCTAATCTCTACGCGCAAGCGATATGCCATTCCTGCCTCCTTCATCTTCATCGGCGAATACGACCTCAACTCTACTCTCCAGGACAATGTGTTCCTCGGTTTCCTTGCTAGTGCCTCTTTCCACTTCCCCACGGGCATACTCGACACCCCTTTCCCTCCTCTTTCCCCTAAGACAACATGCGTCGATGACTCCGACAAACACAACCACAAAACCAAGAACACCGACACTTACACCAACGCCAACCTTTGCTTCGTTACTAAGCCCCTTCGTCTGTTTGACCGTTGGTGCAGAAGGAGTAAAAGTCGCTAAATGAACTGATGAGGAGGATATTGAAGACCTCGAGGACTCGATGAAGGTATATGCTGTCATCACAGCGGGCTTTGCGAATGACAGGTAGGGTGTGGCCTCCGCTAGGAGCGGTGGTAGTGAATCGGAAGGAGAAGGTGAATGGGTGAAAAGTGGAGGGATTGATACAGCCGATCCTTTAGATGGAGTGATACCCGGATTCCGAGCCTACACATGTAACTCAGTAGTTGCCTCAAAATTCGTGTTCTCAAAGATCAAGTTACCTGACGCGATTCATCTGCCTTTACAACGATCCCGTATACGACCCACACACTATTCGAAAACAGCATAGCAAACACCAACCTGTAGATTGCTTCGACCATTTCACAGACGACTTTCTACAAGAGAAGGGGGCAGAAGAGGAGCGATTGACCGTTGCAAAAGAGGGGAACGCGCCAATATATGCATTGCCTCCGCCCACAAACATCTGCATCAATATTATCGTGCATGATGTACATGCCGTAGTACCATCTCGAGTTGCCTTCAAAACTCTATCTTCGCTGGCTTGTCGCACAGGAAGTCACAAAGGTCAATATATAGGACGGCAACAACACGATATACGAAGCATTGACCCAAGATATACAAATTGTTATTAGAATGAAGATCGAGTCTCGACATCTTGTTTACACCTTGTTTTTAGGTGGAAGTTGGAATTAGAATTGAGCGTTGGTGGAAGCACAACGGACGCAGTGTAACAACACAACGGTTTTCATCCTCCAAGCAGGTTACTAAGTCTGGAAGCGGAACAGTTTCAACTTTTACCCCTGCTGTTCCTTCACCATTCAATTCTGTAGTGTTTACTGGTGTCGCTAACTCATGCCTTTTGGCATCTGTTCCATCTATTTTCACATTTCTGTTGCGCTTCGCATCGCTTTTCCCGACCTTTGCAGAACATCTTTTATAATATGGTTCTCGTCTTGCTGCGTTTTGCCTTGGTTTGGTCGGTATTAAGGGTGTTAATAGGAGATATCAACAGTAGCGCCAGCAATAGCGTCATGGGTAAGGGCTGAATGCGACTGCTCGTTTGCAGACGTTGGTTTCGAGTTAGTTGGTTCTTTCGAAATACTTATTTAATTAACCTCATTAGCTTGGAACTGCAAGGAGAAGGCGCTCTGGGCCATACCTGTCGGTACCGCAGCGGTCGTTCTTCATAGCAACCCATTTAAGGAAGCCATATTTACAGTCCCACTCCTCGAAGCTGCAGAGAAGCTGAGGGAGAATTATCATTGACAATAACACCACATACAGTCGCAAGGTAGCCATAGACCTTCTGGGCTTCCTCCATTCAGTAACCCGCATCCTGACCGGGCGTGCCTGAACTATGAAACGGAGCGTCCGGGCTGAGTATTAAGTCGCTGCAATCGTCCCACATTACTGCTCTTTAAAGAAGGTAAAGGATCAGGGATGTCAGCCCATTTTTCAGAAGCAACAGTGTCGTAGCGTTTCCACGGTTGAAACACAGTCGGGATCGCAGGCGAGGGGATTATTAGCCATCTGTGATATTCTGCGCCGAGGAGAGAGGAACGAGACAAATCAGTAGAGTAAGAATCCAGATGTGCATTGGGAATTATCGAAGTACAGGTTGACGATCCGGATATTTTGTGGAATGGCGATCTGTTAGCGGTTCAATGAGCCAGTGAGAGGTCACGTGGAAATTGGCGAGAGCCCCCACCTCCGGGAACGATACGATAGTTATCGAGTACCTATTTTCGACTTCTCCTGCTTCTCACTGTACTACGCGCTTTACATAACCTACCAAGACTAGCAAATTAAAATATTTCAAACCAAGGTAGCTAGCTCTCTAAGCCTTGGTCTATACCACCACAATAGATTTGAGAATTGGTCTTTCAAAAATGGGGTTTAACTGATTCATATGACCCTCCATGACAAAAAAGCTGAAAACGATTGTGGTATGTTATCAGACTTTATGAGATTAAATTTTCACAGAATTATCAATTTTCTACGGCAAGCTCGTTTATCAGATTGGCAAACGTATTCCATGCCCCCCTACCTATTCAATGCACAAGTTTTGGCCTCGTCATTTGAAATGACCTTTTTACGAGATCTCCGTCTGCTGGATCGGATACGGGGTATTCTCCCCTTTTAAACCCCAAGAACATACTCCACTCCCGCCACACGATCCCCTCATATTCCCACCAACCTTGAAATTTGCCTGGCCGGCATACTTCTTCGTAAATGAGCTCCCCAAGCTAATCGTCTGTGCTACCCTAGTGAACTTCAAATCAAAGTCCTCCGTCGACAATCCTTTCCCATCACTGGGGGCAACCACTTCCATGGTCCAGTACCCATCCCCGGCGGCATCACACGGCCAGAAGTGATTGGAAGGGGTATTTGGGGGTAGCCATTTGGCCTCGCAGTTTAATGCTTGGCCGCCAGCTGGGAGAATTACTTCGGTGTTGTTGGAGTTGGTACCGAGGTCAAGCTCATTTGGATCCGTCACGTTGGCGACGATTCTCAGCCAGGGATAACTTCCTGGTCGGCCCGAGGGAGAGAACGAGTATACGTATTGGAGCTGCCAAGGCTGAAGATCAGCTCGTTTTGCGAGTGGTTTCGCGGTTGCAAAGGAGGCCGCCGCAAAGATGGAAACAAGAGCGTTCGTGTTGAAATGCATTATATATAGGTCAGTCTCGACTAAATTGCGAATTAAGGTATCGCGGGACGTTGTTTTAGTATTCCCAGAAGCGACAGTGGTGTTTGTGATTGAAAGCAAGTGACTTTACAAGTTGGTGCGAAGACACAAATTTCTGCGTCTTTCCTTTATACTTACAACGATCCAGACGCTACGAAAATCGCCCTTAGAAAGGCATTTCCTGGGGAAATACTATGGTGAAATGCGGTTAGGTGAGCTTCGCTCGTCTCGCCGAAAAGAGGATAATTCCAACATTGTGCTATTTTTAGCACGCTCGGCATCAGCATGTAATCGATTTTTCTCACGATGTCACCTCGAACCCTGATACCTGGGAATGATCTTCATCGTTTTGTAACGAGATCTCGTGTCCCAGTCTCAAATACTCACCTGAGAGTCTTACGAAGGAGGCTTTTATCCTCGGATTTCCGAACCTTTCTGGCAGCAATTACCATTCGGGTTCTATAACACGAGGAAATGTCGGTTAAATTAGGCAGGTTGGTTTTACCAGTGCTTTCCTTGTCAAAATATTATAGAAGTGGTGTCGATATGAAGCATAGCTATGCACCTATTTGCGGAGCGGTTGGCGAGCGATCTTTAACGAAAGTTACAAAACATTGAACAAGGTTTATATCTGGCTCACTTTCTCCTCTCCTGGGACGATTGACTTTCGTTAATTCTCGATATTTGGTCTCCTCTTGCCTATTCTATAGGAAATACCAGGCCACACGTATTCAAATCCCTAGCTCTCAGTGGCTTGTATGCATATATGAGTAGTTGCTTCGCAGAAGAGCACTACGAATATCAGATTCCCTTCTGTTAACTTATCGAGCACGACCTACGCGGCATGTTCCTTACGTATTATAGCTTTGACCTCATTGAAAGCTCGTCTCGCGCCTTCAAAGTCAGAAGCAATGGCACTGCCTCTTATGTCACGGTTTCAGTTTAAGGAGATCGCTAGCTTCTACTATCGCACAGTTAGAGCCTATAGATGATAAGAGGGCTGGAGTTGCGAGTCGTCAATCTGGTGGTGAGAACCAAACTAAGTAGAACAGAGGTGTAAAGTCTGAGGATCTTGAGCGGGCTCCGAGCTAACTATATAGTAAGCGACCAAAATGACGCTAGTATCGATAAGGAAAAGACACTAGTACTAAAAGGGCGACTACTGCTGCACTGACCCATATTGGGGTGAAATACTACGTCATGTGACGTAGTTTCACCTGCTCCAATTGTCACGTGCGACATCTACGAAACTAATTGTGCCCCAGAATATGGCAGCTTGGGTATCGTTATTTCCAGCCATTTTATGGAAAATAACTGTTCTGCATTTGAACTGTTTCGTGAGAGAGGGCAGTATATGTTGTGAACACTTCAGTGTTTGCTATTGTTTGGTTAAGATTCCGTGTGACCGAGTTACGCTTGCGTGTGTCTGGATTTTCTGGAGATTTATGTTTAGAAAAATTATTTCTTACCTAATTGCTGTCTCTGGAAATTCTAACAGCACATCAAGCACCGGACAACGCCGGCATGCGGTCAATTTGCGGAGTTGTCACCCTGCTTCTATGGGCTCAAAAATCATCAGCTCCATAATCTAAATAGCCGCCCTGACGGCTCTCTTAGCCCGCCTTTATGACCCGTTCTATCTTCCCTATCCTCCTTCACTACCTTCTTCTACTATTTTCCCACCATTCGCAGATCTGATTGCTTTCCATACTTCGGAAGCATCATTACAAGCTTCTCAATATTCAAGAGCAAGTTAATCTTCCGACGTCCCTCCTGAATTTTCCTGTGACCCAGGCAAGAGCCACGTACACATCTTTGCTCCATCCACACGCTATTCGCTTCCTCTTTCAAGGCCCTAACGGCGTCTTCGATGTCTTAGCAAAAGCTGAGAAGCTTTAGACCGACACGAGTATCTCTGAAAAGCATCACAAGGTGAAGTAGGTGGCCTTCTTTCTTAATGACAACAATTTACATGGGGTTAGGGTCTCATATAGGCATAATGGAGGAAACATGCCAGAGTTTAGTCAACTTGTCGAAATTCGGGCTTTTAGCAGGGCTTTTGGAAAGAGTGACCCTAAGATTCCATTAGAGCATTTGAACAGCCATATTACGGCCATGAGATTAAGTGGAAGGACAAGAGAAACCAGTCCATCCTCTATGTGAGGGAAACAAATCGGAGGAGTGACTATTTTCTTGAAGGATGCAGTATTTCCAACACTGGTTTCCACTTTCTTTCTTGGTCAAATCTCTTCATAGAGCTTTTATATGCTTCCATGAATCCTTTTCTTGCTCTGATTTTCAACTGATTGATCTGCAGCCTGTAGCTATATGCCTGAGACCAAGTCAAATGCTCTTGAAGTCCCGGTACCGCGACATAAACCTTCAAGCCGATGGCTTGACACTACTGTTGATAGTCACATATTGTACATTTTGATTCAATTGCGCATATAGCGGCTGGGAGTGTGGCTACAGTATCATACCTGATGTCTCGGGCAATTTGCCGAGTCAGGGCTGTTCTAAATGCACAAGTATGGGGTCAGAGTGTGCCTGTGAGATCTTCTTAGATGGCGACCAATATGTGCTCTGGGAAAAGTCATACCGGAGATTCTTTACACATTTCGAATGTCGGTTGAACGAAGAGTGAGAAAATAAGAAGACCTTAATATCGTAAGTCTTGTCAAGTTAGGTACCATGAGAATGTGCCCTCTCTGTACGGTTGAGTCATAAGCACCTGACAGAAAGGCCAAAAATCTATAATCACACCCTGAAAAACTGCTAGACGGCATGATATTAGATTCAAGGACAACTTCTATCATTCAAGACTCTTAAGAAAGGGACATAATTTCTTCCTCCCTCTCTCTTTGTCTATAAGGTGCTTTCAAGTTGCTTCATCGCCATCGTCGTATTATATTGTTTCATCTCCAGCTTTAAGAAGGTGCCAGTAGAGCTCGTTCCCATAGATGCTTCCGTTTCATAACCTCCAATACCGAGACATGTTCAGAGTTAGAGTAGCGCGCATTATTTATTGCTACACGATTCCCGAAACTTGTTGTGATTCATGAACTCTTCCGCCCAAAAGCTTGAAATACTTCGTTTGATCAGTTTCCGAGTTCTTCTATGAACATTGAAGTAAAGGCCCAAATTCGGGGCACATTGAGAGTTTGAAGTTTCGACTACCATTTGAAGTGGGAGTATCAAGACTGTATGTGGAAAGCTAGGAATCCAAGACCAAGTGGGGAGAGGGATATATACATAACAAGTTACCGAAAATGTCCAAAACACATCAAATAATATTAGGCTCGAGGAAGATTGTATCATCACCGGTGTAGGCAGCTACGCTCACATTAGATATGCAATTTGTGTACGCGCATCCACAGCGACGGTCAGCTCGCGCATACTTACCATCGTCCGCAACTTCAGCTGGACGCCTGTAACTCTAGAATCTTGCCAAACACCTTCCGCCGAGAGCAACGGAAATAATAACAGCCATCATCCACTATGCCCATCTAGAACTTATCGAAATAGACAAGAAATGCACGTGAGACGCCAGGACGCTTGGTTTGGCTGAGTATATTGCCATGTGAATAGGAACAGAGAACCATATTATATCGCGTTGTGGGAATCCGGTCCGAAAGTTATATAAGAGGTGTAAATGAATATGTAGGCAATAACGAATGCTACAGCCAACTCGGTGAGGACATCATCTAATGTGAATTTCAGCACCTAGCGCCATCGTAGAAAAGGAGCCCAATAGTTAGAATAATTGACACTTTGCTGGATGTCCAGGCCAGAGCCTGGATGATGTTAGTATACGCGCGAAGTCATATGATTTATTTACACATAATCTTCGCTAAAACTCAAAACCAGGAGTCATAGGAATCCATATCGAAATCATATAGAGCTTAGGCCAGAATTTATATGCAAACGGTAGGGTAGGAGAAAAGCAGTTGGGTTAACAAGAATTGACTAATTCATCCAAATCTTGACGAAATCATTGAAATAGTTTCTAGCCTCCCACGGAGGGTTTCGTCGATCTTCAAAGCCCGTTTGTTCGTAGTTGATTATACTTTAATAAGAGGGATGACCCCGAACCAATGTAATTGTATTCGTCTCTTCGAGCGCTCCTGAAGATTCCTTAGCTTGAGGCTACATCTCCAATGGAGAGCTGTAAGGTGTTGAAACTAGGGAAGGAACGAGGCACAGAAATACAATAGACTCTTGATATAACAATACCATTTTTCTAAGGCTTTTAGCTAGTATAGGAAATTATTGTACAATTAAACTAGTCACGTGTGATTCCAAAGGCATCTAAAAAAGCCTAATCTTAACCTAAAAGTCTTTAAGACTGCTTAAAATAGGCGTCTAACATCCTATACTTACGCTACTTAATGCTCTAAAGTTTAAACTGCTGCTTAAAGTAATAAAAAGGCTTTATATTACTAGTAGAGTTGGCAACAATCAAGTTAACTTAATAACTTAACTTAATTAACTTAATTAATAGCTGTTAATTAAGTTAATTAGCTAGGCAAAATTTACTAAGTTAATTAAGTAAATTGTGCCTACTTAATTAACTTAATTAATAGACTTAAATCCCTAAGATCTTAGGTTTACTAAGGGATATAAGATCCTTTAGTGTATAGGAGTAGTAAATATAGTATAAGGCAGCTTAGCTTTAAGGGACTTTAAAGTTGTAATAGTTGCCTAACTAGGCTTAGCGCTATATATCTAAAATTCTTTAACTTCTACTGCCTACTAACTTACCTGCCTCTACTACGTATACAAAGGCTGGCTAGACAACTGCTACCTTAGCTTTTAACACTTATAGGTAGAGTTTAAAGACGCTGCCTCTCCTGTTAGTACTCTAAAGCCTCTGTTAAAGAAGGCACGTACAGGGCCAGCTAAGAGCTAGTTAGATTTTATAAGAGCTGCTCTATAAGGTAACAACACCTACTTAACTTATTACTGTAATAAGTTTAAGCGCTAGATAATTAAGTTACTTATACTAAAAAAGTCTCTGTTTGCGCGCAACCTAATTTTATACTAGATAAAAAAGGCTAATAAGTACCTTATTTTATTACGCTTTACCCTTATAATTCTTAGCATCCTTGTGGCAGCTACTAATTGTGAGAGGACTTTCTCTAAGCTAGGTAATTTACTAGAGACAAGGCGTCTCTGCATAAAGGCAGACCTCCTCTCTGCCCTACAAAGCCTACGTAGTTAGAAGCGCCTTAGCTTAAAGCCTATAAAGTTAGCAAAAAGTCCACGTAGTAATGCTATCTCTTCTAAAGACCTAGAGACTATCTATAAGATATACAGCAGTTAATTTGCTACGTAATCTATTAATTAAGTTAATTAAGTTAAGCCTTATTTATGCTATTAAGTTAATTAAGTTAATTAAAACGTGCTAGATCTGTTAATTAATTAAGTAATTCACCCTAACTTAATTAACTTAATTGTTGCCAACTCTGATTACTAGTAACAGATCTACTCTAAGCTTTAGTAAAGCGCTAATAATTAAGAGAGCTTGAAAAGCTGTAGAAGCTTGAGTTTATTATTCTCTTTTAAAGCAACTTTAAACCTTACTCCCTTAGTATAATAGTTAATTACTATATGCATATTAACTTACTTCTCTAGCTTATTATTCTTACTCTTAGGCGTAAGAAAGGTTTTAAGATTATATAGCTTCTCTATAGTTTCTAAGGTCTATTATGCCTAAAGTAACGTGTTTCACATATAAGCGCCGAACCTAAGCAAGCGCCGCAGCATCCCTACTACAACGCCTGCGCAACAACAATATAAAATGCTATAAAAAAAAGTTTAAAAGCTAATAATAATAATAATAAAATATCCAGCTTACTATTTTTAATATTTAAAAAATAACAAGTCTAGAGCGTCTAACATGCGATAGTAATCTATAAAGTTTTTAAATATATAATATAATGTTAACATAATAGAATACACATATAATATAACTCTAAGCTAAACTTAAAACGTTTTAATAAGTTTAGAAAGTAATTATTTAAAGTATTTTAACTTTACTTTATATTGTATACTAGTTATCTACTATATTAGTAAAGAAACCTTCTTACTTACAGTAAGACTAAGATGGCCCTTACACGCGATGGGTATTTATACTACTCTGCACGCGAATCAACTGTTAGTTGATTATTCGCACCTTTTTAGTTGTGATAGCGGAGTGGTGCGGAGCCTCGTCTTTACACTTACTTTAAAAGCTATATATAAGTAGATGCTTATAAAGAAAAACACTTATATAAGGTTTAAAAAAGCTAGGTTAGTTCTATTTAAACTAAATGCAGTGCTATTAAAGTTAATATAAGGCTGTGTATGTAAACTCTACTTAGTAAACTAACTAACATTGCCTAGAAAGCAAAAACACTACGCAACACTTGTAAGAATACACCTACTCTACTACCCCTACATTAAAGTACTGTTAATAGAGAGAAGACTTTCTTACTTTAATAGAAGGCCTAGAGCTATATAGACCTTCTTAGATATGGAGTTATACTAGACACATTGAGCGTAACCTGCTAAAGAGATAGTTACTGCCTTTTTGTACAATCTACAATATCTAGTTATACGTACTCCCTGCCTCTACTTGTTAGGACAGTTAATGCACCAAGCTTAAGGCGCTTCTTTAAGCGCACGATCTTTTCTTTTCGCCACATACCTAGATGCCTATGTAGGTAGACACCTAGAAATCTACACTAGTGTTCTGTTCGCCCCTGGAGTTTACTTGCCAGACGCGCTCCCCATTACCGCACCAAACACGGCTTGTAGGTAGCCTACAGATGTGCAGCAAGGAGGTACAGGGGCTAATTTATAGAGAGGCAAGATTGACAACTTTTCTATAAAATAAGAGAGGTGAAGAACACACAAAGTCGCTCCCTTCACAAGCGGAGGTATCCCAATATGCTCGCCAGGGCCGCAAAATATCAGGAAGGCACTATGCGGAATTCTAACAATAGTATCGCGTATTTCTGCTAATGGCCAGAAACAACTGCGCAGGCTTGGGAAAAGGCGTTCGTTAATTGCGCGTTCAACGAAAGGATTGCGCCCACTGCAACAAACGACAGAAGAAGCTCGAAAACAACTTGGCTTTTATAAGGGAATACGAGACTAGAGAGGCCCATCCGAACCCGGAAATAGCCATCTGTTAAATGGAACTTTGATCATCCTGCCTCTCGCTAAGGTCAACCCTGGGAAGCAATCAACCAAGAACCGTCAATTCACGACCTTGACCAGGTCCTCTAATATATTATATGAAGCGTCCAACCAATTTTAACAACATTTTCCACCATCACGTTACAAGCTTCTCATGTCCTATTTTTAGGTTTATCGTTTTCCAACGGCTCTCCCTTGCTCACATCAAACGTCCTGTTCTAGAGCTACGGTGTCCTTCTGTCTCTTCTCCTTCCACATCCTACCGACTTTCCCGGTTCACTTCTGCGGCTGCAATTTCATCGGCAGATCACCCCATGTCCGTGGTGGCCAAATCCAGGAGTGCGATAGGTTAACTTTGGTAGGATATGTAAGAATTGTATCGATACCTGAAGAGTTTGATCTAATTCACGATATTAGTCCTGATGGGTCAACAATCATAAATTATTGGCACACTATAATGCAAAAGTTTCATAAACGCGATCTAGGGGAGTAACGAAAGGATGGACAGGCGAACTGAAAGAACCCTTGTCAGTCCCTCTGAGATTTTACTGAGAGCCGCCTGGTTGGTTGTACGGCGTTGAGGTGCTATTTTCGTTTCGGAGTCTGAGAACTGAACCAATTGCGAACCTAGCGAGCGGCCCGTAGGACCGTGCCACGGCCCGTCTTCTTGGAAGACGTTGTGCGGGGATGTTCGAGAAGTCGTGGATAATTAATGATGCCGGATGAGAGACGCACATTCCGGGCCAACGTCCTACACTACCGTCCTAAAAGTTTTGACATTATATAAGGAGAACGTCTCTCCGTCCATTTATTCTTCATCCTAAGTCCTCTTACAACTCTATTAACGGCACTTGGCCATCCGTCTACATTCAAAATCCTTTCTAGCATACATCTTTTTCTCCTCTCCAACTAATCCTACCTCTTTGATAGCTGAACCAGCCGGTGTCATGAAGTATATCGTCACATCTTTTACCCTCGCGGCCCTGGTCCTCGCAGGCCCAGTTCCGGACGTCGCTAGCCCCTCACCACCTTCCTACAAGATCATCAGTGCCATTCACGGAGGCAATGGCTGTCCCCAAGGCTCCATCGATCTCGAGTTCACCGACAGCAGACTCCTCCCCATATACTTTGGTAACGACTTTATGGCGACGTTAGGCCCAAATACGTCGGATAATATCAAGAACTGCCAGGTCTCCCTTGACATCGTATTCAGCCCGGGTTACCAGTACACCGTATTCAGTGCCGATTATTCAGGGTGGGCAGATCTGGACTCGAGTGTAAAAGCGTCGATACGCTCGAAATACTATTTTGCAGGATATTCAGGCGAAGTATGTGTTGGCAATCCCGCCAAAGTAGACACCAGCTAATTGCACTAGGCAATCACAGTAATGGATATCAACGGCCCCTTTTCCGGAAAATTCAATAAACATGACGACGTTGATCTTGCCGTCTGGTCTCCGTGCGGGAGCGAGGGATTACTGAATTTCAATACGAGGGCTATTCTGACGACAACCAACACATCTGCGAATGGGATGCTTGCCATGGCAAAGGAGAGCACTAAGTTTACACAGAATTTGTACCTCAAGTGGCGTCAGTGCTAGATGGAGTACGTTTAGAATGGCCTAATGCTTGCTAAAAGGCAAAAAGTCGCAAGTTTCATGATTCTTGGTGGTTTATTTTAATTTGTAGATACCGTCTCCCTCCTTTTGTCCTTTGCCAGGGAGAGCACGACAATACCAACTTTTTTATACAAGTCCTCTTTCGCTGTAGTTGTAGTGATCGATGTGGAGAAGGGCTAATCTGAGAAAGGGAGGTTCTCCGCTATTACAGACTAGCAATATTGTCACCGTAAACTACGATACGCCTCAGGCTCTCCCCAGAGAGCCCTCGGCGTGGCTCTAGGTACGTGACAGGACGTCACGTGCCTTAGTACAATATATCCTTTCTGAAACCCCTAAGTTTCCTTAAGGATTGGTCTATTAATACTATCATAGACTCTCTTCTGCGCTTTACGCATTCTACCTATAGTGTTTGTCATGGTATTGTTACGACGGTCTGGTTGGACAGACAAGGGGCACACCGAGACCAGCCCCATAGGAAAAGAACGGACCCGCTCGGGTCACGTGACAATACCGAGTTAGGTGATGTGCTTCCAAGGCTTAGCATCATACTTGCTATGCTTGTTGTGAGCATTAGTTAATGTTTTCTTTATACATACATTTATAGAGCTGTCTTTACTATTAATCTATCTAATTTTAACAATCTCTCTCTTCTTATATCATATGCAATGTCTGTACGCAGGAGCGACACAGCGTATGGTATCTACCTGGCCCGGCATGGGATCACGTGATTACACCACGTGATGCCCGTGCGCTGTGCGCGCCTCCTGAAATATCCCTCGCGTCTTCTGTACATAGAGAGATAAGCAAGAACGAGATGTTATTACCTACTCTAACTACTTGTATGCTGTACACACTATACACTACTCTTTTACTACTTAAGTGCTTATTTTATAAGCAGCTATCTAAAAGAGCCTATTTAACACTAATTAGTAGTTGATTTAATTAACTAACTTACACTATAGGCAAGTTACTTACACACTTAAGTTACTTAATTTTACTAAGACCTTACTAAACTACTTTTTCTATACTAATATATTTCTAATAACACTAACGTACCTAACAGGTTGGCCAGCCACTTTTGCCAAGCCCCCACTAAAACCACCCTATTCTAGCGCAAAACAGCCTACTTTAGCCCTATATAAAGTAATATAACATAAGATATTATTTAGAGTCTACTTTTACTACTTTCTTACATATACATAAGTTATGCCTAGTCTAATTGCACTGCCTACATTACCTTTAACTTAGCTTACTTTCTTTAGTGTGCACTTATGTCTTTAGCTTTTTTCTATTACTACGCGCTCTAAACTCTTTTAAAGCAGTTAAATAAGCTCTATTTTTAACTATTAAAGTTCTTTTTACTTAAATCTACTTTCTTTTATACAATCTATATTGTGTAGCAGCTTTATTTACTACTTAAAGCTTTATAATCTTCTTTTACACTAACACTAGCTTATGCATAATAATTGCTGCCTCTTTTAAACCCTTTTTAAAGGCCTTTACTATAGACATTCGTAAGCTATTTATATGCCTTTAAATTCTTACTTTTATAAGCATTAATTATAACTTAAATTTAAAAGTATTACTTAGAGTTTACAACTACTAAGGCTTATTATTAATAAGTAGTAGTAGTAATAAAGTATATAACTAAATGTTAAAGGCTATTTTAACTTATTTTAAGTTAAATAAGACTAAACTAGCGCTTTAAAACTCTTTTTAAATATTACTAAAAGTAATTACTGCATTATAAGTGTGTATAAAGCATAGTAAGAACTTAAGTTTTATAATATAAGTAATCTAGTTATACATAAAATTTTTAGCTTAGCGTTTATATACTTTTTTTAAAGAAGCAAAACAACCTACATCAAAAGGCGGTAAAAGGTATAATAAGTGTAAAAGCATATAAATAGTAATAATTTTATTCTTTTTATAGTACTACTAGAAATTAAGTAAGTTATAGCTTTTATAGCTATTAATAATAAAAAGCTAATAAGCGCTTATAACTTTTTTTTTATATACTTATTAAAGTGCTTTAACTACTATAGCCTAAGCTTATTTATTATCTAGCTGTTTTTAGAGACTATAATAACCTAGTTCTAAGGCAGATTTTTTTTTATACTAGGCAAAGAGGTAATAGCAGCCGTTAAAAATAATAAAGGGTAAAATAGCCTACTTTATTATATTAATACTTTAGATAACTATTATTTACTTTTTATTACTTTACTATATTACTTTTAGCTGTCTTTGTTTTTTTAAAGCTGTAATAACTACTCTAGTTAATATCTAGCCTATTATAAAGCCTAACTTATTAAAGTTATACATGTCTTTATTTTAGATACTGTACTTAGCTTTTATGTTAGCTACTAGGTAAAACTAGCTTTAGATAACCTCTAGATTTTTATTAACTACTCTCTTATAATTATACTTATAATTAAACTTTATTATAAACTTAAGGTAGTGCTTAACTTATATACTAGGTGTTACAATCCTTGCTTCGTGGAAGCACTCGGGTCTTATGGTGTTCCTATGGGTGGTAGGACGGGAGGTAGGGGCCAGTCCTGCAGGGTGTACAGTCCTACGTACAGGCTAATAGGCTATTAGAGGGAGAGAGAGTGACTAGATTGTAGTTTGCCCTTTATATAGCAGTAGAAAGGCTAGGTTAAACAGTCCTGTTAGACAGGATTAGAGGTATATATAGTGTAAGATATATAAATAGTATTACAGCTCTTTAGAAAGCTAAATGCTACATAGTCTATGTAAAGAATAAACTAAACATTAAACACACCTTTTAAAGGTTGTTTAATGCAATAACTATATACATATGCTAGAGGTGCTAAGGGGAGCTAGTAGAAGCTAATAAGAGCCTGCTAAGAAGAGCTCCTATAAGCTCCCTTAGGCTTTATAGACTTGTGGCCTGTCTTCTTATTAGATAATGCATTCCTCTATTACTATAGGCAAGTGTGCTACTTTTATGTCCTCTAACTAGTTTATAAGCAAGCCCTGTCCTAATCTAGCTAGATTATAGAGCACTGCTAGTGGAGTTACGCTAGTCTAACTATAGACTGTAACACGCTGCCCCTTCTCCCTAGCAGTGTCCTTGCTGCTCTGCTTACACAACTATGTTAGTAAAAGTTTATTTATAAAGTAGATATTTTCTTACTAAAAAGTGTTCTTAATATCTATTTTTTTTAACTTAAATAGCTTACTAGTCTTATTTTTCTTGTTGTTCTTATGTTACTCTTTAGTTTAATTTTTTTTATTAAATAAAAATAAAGCTCTATAGTGCTTACTAATTCTTAGAGTTATCTTATGTGTTAATGTTATCCTTAGATAAATATGTTAAGTGTGTAAAAAAGCATAGTAAGTGTAATACTTTTATTTCTAACACTACTTAAAATTAGTTAGAGAAAGAAAAAAAGACACTTCTTTAAAAGGTAAAAGCTTTATAAGCCTAAGACTGTGCATTATTAGATAAATAATTAGCTTAGAACTAGAAGTAGCTTTATTTATAAGAGAAAATGCTAGGGGTAAGAGATAAGAAGCGCTTTAGATAAGATTATATCTAAAAATTACTAAACCTACTAAAAGCTTAATGTGTAAAGTACTTAAAAAGGGATCTTTTCTTCTTAGACAAAATAGAGGCTTTTAAGGCTAAAGTAAAGAGCTGTTTCTTTTTATAGCTCTTATTAGTAAAGACTTATCTTTAAAAGCTACTGCTATCTAGTAATAACATAGCTATTTCTTTTAATATAAGTGCCTTATTACCTAGCTAGTTTCTTTTAAATAAGCCTAAAAGTACTTTTATACTAATAGCTGCGCGTTCTGTAAATTCTTAGCTAGTTTTTATATATTTTTACTAGTAAGCTACTTTTTTTATTTTACTAAGAATTTCTTTTAGTTTTTTTAATTACTTATAATGCGCTTAACTTTATATTCTATTTCTTTATTTTTTTATCTCTATGTAGATAAGAGAACTTCTTTAAGTGCCTTTTCTAACCTAAAGACATAGAACCACAGGTGTATCTTTATGTGTAGAGGAAGCTTAAGTTTATAGTTATCTTACTAGGTTTAGAGGACTTTGTACAGTTCTATTTTTTTTTCTACTAACTTCCTTAAGGGTCTAGGTATTTTAAGATTCTTAGTGTTAAAGTATGCATAGTCTTTTAAATAGATTATTAGTCTTAGTTATTATAATTTATTTACATATTTTTTTATTATCTTTTTACTAAATCTAGCTTTTATTACTAACTTCTTATATATATGTTATAGGTCTGTTAGCTAGTCTATTAACTTTTATAAGTTTATAAGTTAGTTTTTTTATAGTGTAAAGTAAAAGTTATATTTAAAATTAGCTTTATATAGTGTTTTCTTTATTATAGCTAATTCTACATTATTAATAGCTAGTTGTGCTATAAGAAGCTATTCTACCTAATTATACTAAGTATAAAAAATGTACTTTCTTAAGTATCTTTTTACTTCTACATTTACTCTCTTAGTCTAGCTGTCTGTCTACAGGTAATAGGCTATTAATAGCTTATATATTATGCTAAGGTGCCTTATTACTGCTCTCTAGAATCTACTAGTAAACAGTTTATCTTAGTTAAAGATAATAATTTTAAAGCATTTATATACTAATATTATGTTTTATTTTAATTTATAAATAAATTTTTTAGCTATTATTATTTTTTCTAAGGGCTAAGTATACAGGTATTTAGTAGTTTTGTTAAGTGCTACTGTAATTATATTACACATTCTTTCTGTCTCTAGTTTCTTAGATAAAAGTAACTTTATAATAAAGTCTATTATAATTATTATCTATAGTAACTTTAGCGCTTTAATTAAATAAAAGTACCTATAGGTTTTATACCTTTATAGATTATTTTTATTGCAGATATTATATTCTCTAAGTACCTTAGTGCATAGTTGTTTTATTTTTAGTATTTGCTATAGTATAGCAGCCCTTAGCTTTTTCTAAAGGG